ATGAGGGGACTAAGCAGCGCTCATCCCCCCAATAACATGAACATTGATACTAGTTTAACTGATATGTCTCTCCAACGATTTAAACACCCCACTAGAACTTCCCACCCCCTCGTTTGTTCCCGCCTCCATAACGCCCAGCAATGCCACGCGTGACTCGAATTAGTTGCCAGACGCCTATAAATACCTGGAGCTCTCGGGCCTCAGTTTCCTTCCTTGGCGTACAGCGCCTTGCCCAGCAGGCACCAGTGTTCTGGTTCATTCATTCAAGCCCTGGTAGACTCACTACTATGTAGGCTCAGAAAAAGAGAGGATAATCCACAGGTAGCGACATGTAACATATACTATAGTCAAATCGAGCTATCATGCCAACATAGTAGCACTTATATATTATATATAACACTATTTAATGGAGTATGAACATTTTCTCCGAATTGATCCAGCTTGATGAGTATCGTGCATCCCTTTCAATCGGAGCTTTAGGATCTGGCGCTCTACCAGAATGCTTTTTTCGCAAATTGCGGAGATTGGTTAGATATATACCAATCATGAAAATCAAGCAATAGTACTGCTGGCTGTCAGGGATAGGAGATAGTGGTTAGGATTTGAGAGCCGAGAAGCTGTATATATATACAATTCTAAGATGATGCCAAATACAGTGTTAGTAGAAGAGAAATTGGGCCTTTTCAGTATCTCGCCAAAGGTCTTCGAACACAAAACCTGGGGCTAGGCTATAGTATCCAGATTCTTGGTCTCGTTTTCTATTTCTGCCACTTCACCGAGATTTATCATAGAGTTTGAAGATACCGAGCAAAGGAAATTACTGTACTTCGATTGCACGGTGTGAGGCACCACAGACAAGGGACTTGAATACAGGCATGGGGTAATATAGCGGTCCCATCTATCCGAATGGATAAGGTAGTGGATGGACTAAAGAGACTATTGCGTTCTGGAGTAATCAGCACGATCTATTACATCTTAGTATCTGCATTATCTGAAAATCTCTCTGTTACTTGGCAGTAGACGATATTATCAGAGGTACTATGGGTGCTCTCGCATGGAGAGTTATCTCTCTCGTGCCGTGTGCGGAGGGAGCACAAACCAACGCATTACGCATCTACTATGTCAATCGGGCTCCATTCGAAATTTCACGAGTTTCAAGTCACAATTGAGACAGCAAATATGGTCTAAAGGTTAGGTGGAGACCACAAAGAATACTTCGTCTATGTTGACTGCTTGAATTGTTCTTGTTATGCTCCACATGGGCAATACTAAAGAATCAGAGTAGCAACATGAATTTCTAGGATCATGGATATGCAACACTATAACCAGTGAACATAATAAAGCAGAGGGCAACTAGCCGACAGTAATTCATGATAGATTCATAGCTCTGACACTGCGACATATCATCATGTCCGACGATCCCACGATGTGCCGGGGATAGCAGAACTTCCCAATATGGCTAGTAGTTCAATAGTGCCGATCCAAGTGGGACAAGTTGCAGAAAGGCAATGCGCCAAGGCGAGCAACCCCCGGTCACCTTCGGGAGAACATCACCCGTTCACCATGCCCAGCAAAGGCATCACTGTATACAGCTACATCGGCGTTCCGGGCTACGAGGTTGGCTTTGCTGTGCCTCAGCAGGAGGTGCTCCATGATGTGACCCACAACTTTACCAGCCGTCAGCTCGAGATCGACTCGTCGCACATTCAGGGGCTCGGAAACTTCACAGGCCGCTTCGAATGGACCGTCTTTCGCTATGGAGAACGTGTGGCTGGCGCACATAACGACGTTAGCAGCCTGACGGGAAAGATTGAGGGAGGCACGATGGTTGCGACGCAGGACTTCCATCCGGTCGTGACAGAGGATGCCATCATCACTTATGGCTTCTATGCCGCGGGTCACGGCGAAGTTGGTCTCACAGATCGCCATCAGTGTTATGTAACGATCTGCTCAAGAGAGAATCGAGAATGGATGGGAAGTGTGGCTCCCCCAGGATCCACTGCTGCACAGCAGCCCTTCTCACGCTTCGTGCTCGCCGCGCCGCACGACAATGGCATGAATGGTATGACGGCATGCGAGGCCATCTTTCAGCATCTCGATTCGGACATGCTGGCAGCCGTTCGCCGGCTTGTTCCCCAGCTCGAGCACGTCAACCACGTCCCGGACCACTTTCTCATGAAGAAGCTACCTCATATCGTATACGGCCTCTCCATCACCCAAAAGAAAACCGTCTCGACTATGCTGGCCATGGGGGCACGGTACTTTGAGTTCCGTCCAGCCAAGCTCCTCCCCATGTTTCAGAAAGTGTCTGCCCTACGAGACACGTTCTACTTCCAGCATGCGTGTATCCCAGGTCTTGCTTTTGACGAATTCCTCCGCGAGCAGGTCGCCTTTCTCGACGAGAATCAAACAGAGATAGTCACAATTCATATCCGATGGGATAACGTCGTGGCAGACTGCCAGCGGCCCACAGAAGACGAGATCTCGGACCTGCTTAACGAGACATGTGCTCGAGCGGTGCGTAGCCCCATCATCTGGGGAACACGCGAGTGCTTTGAGCAACCAATTGAGGAATTGCGCCGCACGGGGACTCGCCTGATTGTTGTTATCGAAGCCGACAAGTACGATAGCTGGACCGCTGAAGCATACGCGACATTGAGTGCCGACCCAATAATCGACCGCTTTGAGTCTATGACTACCGAGGGACAGGCCGACTCAGACTTGACCATCCTGCAGTGCCAGGCGACCTCCCAGTCCATCAAGGAAGTGCTTGTGTACAGCGTCTTCTCCGCAGCAGCGGCTAGCTCCTGTCTTACCTCGACCAAGGGGATGCTTGACATGCAAACTTTGCCTTGGATTAGAGAGAATGCTCTGGATAGACTTCGAGCCGAGAGGACTATTGTTCTCATGAATGACTTTATCGATGGGGCAACTGTCGATACGTCCATTATGCTTTCGCGGCAGCGCTTGTCCTTGTAAACCGATTATTGCATAATGTGCATCGATAGAATTGTCCCTACCACCTTGTGTACATACTAGTTAGATTCTTACTTGTCAACTACTTACTGCTTTGTATACGTTGGCTTACTAAGGGTTGCCAGTTGTGTCATTCTCCCGGCAGCCATCGGCGTAGTACTCCATCAATACTGAATTGATGCTGTCTATATTGCTAGGGTTGGTTCATCCGGCTGAACAAGAGATCCTGCCCCCCTCGAAGTTGATTGTATCTCATCCGCTCTTTGTTCCTCTAAAGAAGGACAGCACGACTGACAATACCGGTGGCGTCAGGTGATCGTTGCCTATCCTTCCATCTGTCAACCTATTGAAAGTTCTTGTTCACCCTCTCGTTCCCCCTCGTCCCCCCTCGTCCCCTCCGTCCATCTACCAGGATCATGCTTGACATAGAGCTGACAACATATCCATTCACCTTTGGCTTCGCAACCTACTTTTACGAAACGCACACGCATGATGCTTCCAATGTGACTGGTAAAATTACCATCGACAGACCAAAATTGAAACAACATATCCAGTCGGACGGGTGTGGGTTTCAAGCAGAACTGAATAGTAGGCAGACTCAATACAACAATCTGTAGCTCTCTTACAAACAGGATTTCCGTCAAGAAAAATATGCCAAGCAGACTGTCCCATAATCAAAGATCCAACGCTTTTGCACAAATTACCACATTTCACAAAAGCACAAGATCATCCAATAAGAACGAATACCCATCAGCTCGTATCACCGGCTAGTACATGAAACCGAATCTGATTCTCCACCATCTCAAGGTCCGTCCCCAGTTCTTATCAGAAGCGCGAGCCAGGGCAAGTGGCGCAAAGAATTTCTGCTTCTTGGTTTGAAGAGGGATCTTACTGGGAAAGGTTGAGATCTTCTCGGCCAGACGGTACGAGAAATCGTCTGGTTCTGTCGTTGTTGACCGTTCAGAGTAGCGCCAGAAACAATCGATCAGCTCATCCACCAAAGATGAGCATGGGATTCTGTAGCCCATGTGTGCTAGGTTGCGAACTTCTGTAGCGGATTCTGGCAAGTATAAGAGCTATTAATAAGAAAAGGAAAAGAAAAAGAAAAAGAAAAAGTCATCCCGCGCTCATAAATAGCCGGAGAGCGTAGTTACTCACCTCGTTTCGCTCAACGAACTCGATACAGACACGGCTCCCATTAAAGGGGTTTATATATACTAAGCGGTTTCTGCCACTCAAGTTGAAAAGGCGGGTTGCGGTCAAGGCATCTATCAGTCGGGGAACCGATCCCTGTCCTGACACTGCCACAGAGACCGTGTTGGCATCGTATGGCTTATCGGGTGAGTTAGCGAGTTCCTGAATGTGTAAAGGGGTAGCGCTAGATATGTAAGGAATGGGTGATTTGTATGGAAGAGGACTGTCAAGGAAACATACTGTACGCTCTGGTTCCCACGCTGGGAGTCGGTGTTTAATGGACTGCCGGCCAATCACGACTAATTTGATATCACAAAATTGCCCGCTGTTCAACAGAATGGCAATCATGATGCCTTCGCAATGCGGCCACGGCCTCCAAGCCTGGTATTCTCCTCGGCTTGAATTCATGATTTAGTGCTGAGATCTTTCTGATCGCTCAAGGAGAAGGGGACGATTAGGCCTCTTATACATATCAGCTTTGGGCCTCTCGTGGTGGACATTCTTGGTATGCCTTCTACTATCTGGTATCTTTGCTCTTGTGTGTTCTGAATCAAGGTCGACAGAAGCTCCCCCGGCTTCCCTCTCGACATCCCCGTGTGAGAAAACTCTACCCAAAGAGCCTGTTTTGAGACAAATATCGTGAGTGTAAAGCTAAACCTACACCGTGACAAAGGTTCCAAGTACTTTTGGAAACCATCCGAGCTCGGGCTTAATGCTTATAGGCAATACGTAGTGTTTATTACGATTGGTGTGACATAGGTTACTGAGATGTCATGGAGCTTGGAGTAAAGTACAAAAATGCATTCGTAGTAAGTAGTACCACCTCGTTTTTACTCATCGTCAAGGAAAGGGGTATTGCCGCTGTAGCGTTTCAGGCACTTTTGGTACTCCATCTCCGAATGATAGTCGATAATTTGGGTCAGTCGCTTTAATGTTCTCCTTTTTGGTTGCGGTGTGCGTGGAAGAGCATCCTCCGCACGAAGCTTGGCTTGGAGCTCCAAATAGTGTGCGCGATGCTGCTTGCGGGTCTGTCCATCTTCACCACCACAGAGGTAGTCCCAAAGAGGCAGAAAGTCGGGTCGCAATTCGTTCCGGCAAAAAAGCCCATGCTCAGCAAGCCCTGGAGCTTTTTGCACCCAGGATTCCAAGACATCCTGCCACTCACGCTCCCACCCCCGTTCCAATCGCTCATTGGGATTCCGGTCCCGACACACAAGCCATATCAGGGCTTCAACTATTTTGACCGGCCTGATCATCCTTACAGGAGTCAAATCCAGTGGAGGGCGCTGCGACGTATTATCGTAGTAGGTCCATGGGATTCTGATTGGCATGTAGTACGGATCATCCGACGACGGAGGAGACGACGGTAATTCGGGAAAGGCGAAAAGAAGAGATGACTTGTCCCAGAACGCCACAGGTATATCGTGACCCAATAATCTGGTTTCCTCTATGTGCACATGTGCTGCAGCCACCGGCCCGTCTCTATTATGCGTCTTCCAACATTGTTCCCCGTGTCTGCATGGCATGAACCCCGCAGCCAGAAGGGTCTGGCATGCTTTCTCGGCCATGCCATCGTGAACGATGTAATCAATGCACTGTTTTTTGTGTTAGAGAGAGAGGGGGGGGGGAGGCGGGGAAGCGAGGCCGGGGAGTGTGCTTACCGTCCCAATATCTTCTTGGAGGAGCCGCTCTATAATGTAGCCCCAAAGTACGTTATTAATTCCAGCTTGGTCCAGAATAAAAGTGATCAACTTCATCTGATCGGTAAACTGTTGGCAGAGTTCATCAAACATCTTGCCGGGATGTTGTGACTTGATACTGGTTTTTTTCTGCAGCTTGTTTGTCGTTCTTGTTCTTGATGGAGTAGTCGTAGTCGTAGTCGTCGTCGTCGTCGCCGTCGTCGTAGTACTTTCGTAGCTTGGCTGAAGCTGACCTGACCACTAAGTGCATGACCACCAGAACCATCGTGGGACTTCGAACCAGTTATATAGATATTGTGCTTGAAAGTTGACTCATTGCTGCCTATTCAAAGCTATCTGCGCTATCGCGACTTGCCTGTGATTAAATTTGAATACATTTTGGAAGACTTTTTTGATTTTGATAGAGGCCTACTTAGTTTGATGACCTTCTTCGGTTCAACGGGTTACCTTCTACGATTGAATCTAAGAAGTAGCGGAAATTTTCTACCAAGGAACTTCTTGTCTTGTACTTAATCGACGATTGATCGACGATCTTCCGTGCTTACATGCCATGTCAAATCTTCAATCGTACGAAAGGCGGGAAGAAAATCAGTCAAAATGCCCAACTGCTACCCTGTGGCTGAAATTTTGAGTTTATGAATTTTGCAGTTGATGTATCCTGGAGCTTCCTAATGACAAAGTTTGATGACTTTAGGGATATCCCTGAGTATTTCCAAACCGTTTGATTCGCTTGGCAAGGTTTATCCCTATTTGCTGGAAGCTTACATCTGACTGTTGATATTCTTTCATTTCTTTTATTATGCTCGCTTGTTTGTCTGTGAAACTGTCAGCAACCGGTTTCTTCACACTGTGGCATCTGCATCCATCGAGGGGAATTTCCGAGAGGTGGTTGTTATCATCGGAGGAGCATATTCATCGTTAGAAGCTGAAGAACAGATTGATGTCCTGCACAGTATTGTGGGAGAATCCTTGGATTGAGAATACCGAGGAGTATGGAGTCGCAGATCAAATAAAGTAGTGGAGTTACATACTTGCAAGTGGAGTTGCGGTCAACCCCAAGCTTTTCTTTTTTTCCTTCCGGGGATTGAATGGATGGGGCTTGCGCCACAGAGGCCCAATGCGTTCGTTACACGCCAGTTGGTGCCTTTTGACGGGTCAGATAAGAGTTCCTCTGCATGACTCTGAAACGGAAAAACTCAATTGATCCGTTTGCACTTGAGGGCATCCGTAGATGTTGAAGGGTTCGATTGAGATCGGATAGCTTGGCATTTGTTTTCATCATCATGATGCTTTGGTAGCGTATGCATGAATGGCACTGCACTTGCCATTTTACTCTCTCTCTCTTCGGTTTCATCAAACTTTGATGGGACTTTTTCTCTTATGTTGTCATTTCTTTCCCCGTTTTGCATAGGTCGCAGTACGATCATGTGTATTGGTAGAAATAATCTGTCGCATCCAGCCCTGGCGCCAAGACAACAGATATCGGAGGGCATGTAATTGTAGCCTCAGGCATTAAGCTAGACTAAAGTATCACGTGATGTAGAAGTTGTTAGAGCCAAAGGATATCCTTCTATCTTTCCCCGCAAGTACTTTGTACTCTGTGTGGTGATGGAAAGTGACCAATATGCTGCCATAAAGCAGGGATCCTAGTTTCATTCACCAGTTATCTCAATGAGTGAGGGGTAATCCAGATAACCTGTCTCAAATATCCTAGTCTCATTTAATGTTTATCCGGACGCTTATGGAACCCAGCTGAGCTCTCAGCGCCAAATTGCTCCATGGTATACTCCATTTGAATGCAGGATATATCTCAGAGCCGTTGGAGACCCAGAACCTGCCGCCTACATGTTATGTTATCGCTACGCCTCTTCCCGAGCGGCATGGCATGCACTGCAACTCGGCTGGTCACCATGTTCTGCCTGCATCATTGGTGCATACGGGGACGCAACCACTTACAAAGTACTAGTGGTTCGCGCTGGCAGTGACTATAGGTACATGAACTAGCTACCAAGCTAACTAACAGAGGATAGTAACTATGACTGCCAGCGGCTGGATATTCTACCCGGAGGGAAACTAATATCACCATAGGCGGATACACTCGCCCCCCTGTAACTACTGAACTACTACTAGCAACAGTTGGCAATCAATCCAATCAAAAGCGTTGCGGTCGGCAACTGTCACGGAACTGCTAGTACTTACTACGAAGAGAGAAAGAAAGAGGGGAGAGAAAGGACACAGGGGATGGAATGGCGCGTCGGCAACCATCCAATGTGACGCCAGCCGACCGGCGAAAATGTGATGAGAATCGAGAGAAGTGTGCTTCGGGACCCAACAGGATGATCCGAAGGACCGCCAGACCAACAGGATTCATCACTCGTGTGAACAGAGCCACATAAGGGTGCAGCGCTAGGGGTTCGTTCGGCGCAACTTGTGCTTAGACGCTTAAGTCACTGACCAATAACTACAATACGTATGATGATTCCCCCGCCGCAGCAGCAAAGCAACTTGCTTGCTTGTCGTCCATCCATTTCCTTCCCAAGCGCCATGCCATCCCCTCTCCACTCCGGCGATTGTGATCACCCAATTGCGGTTGTACTTGCTTACTGGTTATAATCTCGTTGCCTTCCGGTTTCTTGTCCTGGTGGGTGTGGATGTACTTCTGGATTTTTTCTGTTTCTCTTTCTTTTTGTTCTACTTTGGTTCTTGATTTGGTGACTTGGACTCATTTGGATGTTGAAGAACTTCATCTCTGCACACTCACTGTGCTATACCGCTTATTGATGCTTCTCTCCTCCGGGTTGCGAGCGGAGGGTGTGCGCCTCGCCGGTACATGTAGATCCCTACGGGACGACCGCATTTGAGCGACCTGACAATATCATTCGACCCTCGAGAACCTTACTTTTGCTTGGGTGTCAAAGAGCTGAAACGCTCTGCGCACTACGGTATAGTGTCTGAAGCTGTAGACGAGTTCACGAGTTTGCGATCTGGAATCAGAAGCGACCGCCATCATGAACAGACAACTGCAGCTGAATACGTCCAATCTGGGCTCCAATCCGAGATACTCTTATATGGAAACTCCGTTAGAGATGCATGCTCCAGGAAGCCGACTAAGAGACGAGATCACACCTCCAGCGGCCACAACGAACACCCAGTCAACAGAATCACAGACTGTCATGGAGCACTTTCAACCACCGGTGAATGAGAAGTCGCAACAATACCAGCAAGACATGGCCGTTCAAGGCTATCCCTGCGGACCAAATCTCGAACAACATCCAGCCAACTATGCGCCGTACGCGGATGAGATCCAACAAGTCCAGCAGAATCCGAAAGTGCCTGAATACTCTTACGCACAGCCTCCACAATCCCCGGGCCCTCTTCCAGTCAAAAAAGACCTGGAAATGTCAGAACCGTTACCAAATAAACAGCCTATGGCTGTTGTACCAGACACGAATCCTTTACATTCGCCTCAATTACCCCAGTTTCCCCCTCCAGTCGCCCATGGGGCGCCAGCGACACCTGCAGGATTTGACCTTATGGCATATCATCGGCCGGGTCAAATAACGCATCCTGATCTCGAGATTAAAGGCGGATCGTGGCGCACTAGCATGTGCGGCTGCTATGATGTTGGGTCATGCTGTCTCGGACTACTCTGTCCATGCATCCTATTCGGAAAAACGCAATATCGACTTTCTATGAAGTCAAGGAGTGAAGACCCAACCAATATGCTCGGGTATGAAACGTGTAATAGTTCCTGCACCGCTATGGCTCTGGCCTGTGGGTGTCAATGTAAGTGTGCACCTTTCCAGTTGGTCTTCAGCACCAGCAAAGTATGCTAACAAGCCGTCGCAGGTTTTCTGGCAACGTTTCAGCGCCGTCGAACGCGAAAAGCCTATAAGATCGAAGGGGATATTGTCTCCGACTGCGTTCGAGCGACGTGCTGCACATGCTGTACGCTCATCCAAAACGAGGTCGAGATCAAGAAACGGGAAGAAGAACGCGGGAGATATGCTAGTGCCACGGGGGCAGCGTTAGTATCACCATACCTGCCTCCGACGCAGATGTCGTACGGACCACCTCCGAGGTGATGGGACTTCCGTAAGGGCTTTTCTGGGGGAGGAATGTGGGGGTGTGAGACCCTGATCACTGTTTGGACTATAGAAGGGAGGTTGAGAGTAATGGGGATGTTTGTACGACTGAAGTGGTGTCTAACTAGGGGACGCAGTGCATGGGATCTGATTAATTCCGTCCTCTCTCATCCATCTGTACTACCATGTTTGTTTTGTTGGGAGGCTGAGGTCTCCATGTGATCGATTGTCAGTCAAACATGTCTCCCTCGTGGCCTTCGTCTTATGCTTGGGATCCCGTCGCGGGTCGATTTTTGTCAAGATTGCTGGTGTGGACCTGCATTGGGGTCTAGCCAACTTGTACATACATAATCAATCAGGACAATTGTCATAGTTGCATTGCAGAATACAAGCAAGAGTTCCGAACGAGATAGCTGTACAGTTTAGAAAGAGGAATGATTGATGAGGTGGAGATGGGGCAAGCGGTGTACAAGAAGAGCCAAACTGGCGACGGCAATCTGGACCGCGGGTGGCGGATCTTTCTATGGCGCTGCCAAATCCTCCTCCCCCTCGCCTACTCTCTCCAGGACGTATCATCCCGTGTACCACCTCAGCTCTTTCGCGGCATCGCTTCCTCTACGCTCCGTTGTTGTTGCTCATCACCTCCCCAATCCCTTCCAGCTTTCTGTCCGATCACCAAACCCCGACGCGGATCATCTCGAACTTTGTCTCCCCGCCCCCCCTTTTCCCATCCCAGCTCCCCCGACTCCGCCCGTCGAACATCGGATAAAGCAACTCGCTCTCTCCCCATCTCTCTCGCGCCCTTCGTTACCCCCCCGTCTCCTCCCCCCCAGCACTGCTCCGCAAGAATGATGGTTGCTTGAAAAGGCCGCGTGTGACGGGTCCACTCTGACAAGGGCATTGATGATAGCCGTTACGCCTCATCTCGTAGGGGTCTGAGGGCTGCTCCGAGGAGAAATCAATCGTCCCCCCCGACCATGGGGGAACCCGCTCATCTAACGCCTCGCCAAATCTGGGCTCAACCGACGACAACGACCACCAGGACCTATGAAGCTGACTGCACGCCGTTTCTATTACCCAGCTCTGGTATGTGGATTTGTGCTGGGCCCAATGCGGGCCGTCAAGCAACTCGCTTCCGTACGGTTACACTGACGCGGCGCTTCGGCGGGTGCTTTGCAGGTTACGTCTATTTGAATCGCTCCTACTCCATCGCCTTGACCGAAAATGCCATCTACGATCCCATCTGTACGGGCACGGGCACAGCGACTGCCACGGCTCATGCGGTCGCCGCGCTCGATGTCACCGACCCTTTTTATTCCTCCGTGACCCCGGCGTTGTATGCCATGGGCTGTACGACCGTTGTCAGCTATCTTCTCGTTATTATTCTTCTCATCACGCCGCGTACGTTTTATGTTGGAGGTCCTGGTGGGGGTGCGAACTTTCTCGGACGTCATGGTATGATTAGCGGTTCGTATAGTGGTAATTCGTCGGTGGTCGGCGTTGGTGGTCGCCCGTGGTTGCAGAAGGTCGCAGCCTTGTTAGTCGCGGTATCGCTCACCATCGCGACTGTGGACTCCTTCCGTGTGGCTGAACAGCAATACTATTATGGTTACTCCGATGCCGAAGCGCTGGCCGACGAGGTCATCGACGGTATGGAGATCCGGGTAGTCAGAATCATTTCCAGCACCTTTTTGTGGCTGGCCCAAATCCAGACTTTAATTCGGCTATTCCCTCGACATAAGGAGAAAATAATGATCAAATGGGCAGGGTTCGCGTTAATCGTGTTCGATACGACATTTAGTATCCTCGACAAGTTCTTGGTCAAAACCGATACCGTTCACCCACGGCTCTATGAAGATGCGATTCCCGCTCTCAGCTATCTGTTCGAACTTGCACTCAACCTATTGTACGCCGCTTGGGTCATCTTCTACTCGCTTTCGAAACATCGCTTCGCCTTCTTCCATCCGAAAATGAGGAACATCTGCTTGGTGGCCTTGCTATCGTTATGTGCGATCCTTATACCCGTTGTGTTTTTTGTCCTGGATATCGCAAAACCGAAAATCGCCGGATGGGGTACTTATGTCAGGTGGGTTGGTTCGGCTGCAGCAAGTGTCGTGGTTTGGGAATGGGTGGAGCGGATCGAAGCATTGGAACGCGATGAGAGGAAGGATGGGATTCTTGGACGCGAAATATTTGATGGAGATGAGATGTTGGAAGTGACCCCTTCGGAAGAAGTCGATTGGCCGCGCTACAATCCTGACGGCCATGATCGAGGCGGAGGCGGTGGAACGTCTTCAGGATGGGGAGGCATGATGGGACTGGCTCATCGTCCTTTACGTACGAGGGTGGGTCGCAATTGGCAGTCGAACCTGGAGAACCAGCAACACAACATTCCCATGGACCCTCGGCGCCGGCGTATGGCGCCCCGACCAACTCCTCCCCCAGCAGCTATAACGCCTGTTAGTCGGGCCGACACAACCAGCGCGGCCAGTACGGTATACAACATACATTATCATCCGGTGTCTAGTCCAACTCCACCGGTGGCCATGCCTCATATGGAGGAAGAGGACGAAGACATAGACGAAACGGTGGCTGCGAAGGAGATGACAACCGAAGGTCAGCAAGCTGGCCTAGCTCATGATGTGCTGGCACAACAACAGACCCGGGAACAATCCCCTCAGATTGTGCACGTGGATAAAAGATGGCGAGCGCTGCTGAATCCTTTCAAACGAAGGCGGGCATCTTTGCCAAGAGAAGTCGCGTCTGCACAGGCCGAGGAAGAAGGGAATCCCGCAGGTGCTCAAGTGGAACTGCAACGCCATTCTCTGGATGATAGCGACGATGAGCACAGCTTACAGCACAGGCACGATTTTCGGTTTGGCTTCCATCGAAGATTACGACCCGGTTCTGGACGACAAGGCTCCGACTCGCCCTTGCCAGTCACGGTCATTCCTGCTAGACGCCGTGGTCAACAGACCTGGTCGCCGCAGCAATATCACGAGCCTAGTTCACGAACCACAACTTCGAATCAGCGTGTTCCGCCTGGCCGTGATGACCTGCCTGTAAGGGTGATTCAGCCGCAAACGCGAACTGCCGCTCCATGGAGCGCAGCCGATGGGCAAGGGTTCAGTCATGGCAACTATGAGCTGCGCTATGACCCTGAAGCTGCGGCACTTGTGGAACCTGGTGAGAATTGCACTGAATCTCAGCCGGCGCTGGACGCCGATGGCTCGGTCAGCGAGCCTACTCGGGGGCCGGCTGGGCGCCAACAACCCGAGCAGGAATTCGACCCGATGGAAGGAGCACCTCTATCACCGGCTCAACCTTTTCCTGAGGAGGTCCCCGAAGATTCACGAGGGTCACATGGCCAGCAGTGAGGTCCACGTGTGATGCGGAATTGCCTTCGTCTTCCTGTCTCAAACACTCCATTTCGCTTCTGTTTCGCATTTTCTGCCGCTGATGTTTGATTTTTAGCGGGGAGTATTGGCGATCTTGGGTGCTGCCGGATGGTCTACTACTGGAGTTTTTTTTTCTGACACTCTTTGTTCCGGGGCAAAACTTGCTTTATTTGCTTTTTCAATGTTCGGTTTAATTAGGGGCTTGGGCTGGGCACGGGTGTATGCATAGGTTGGTCTGGGTTGGTTGGAGCCCTCCATGTCTCAGGCGACCGCACTGTTGTTGATGTACAAAGATACCCTTGGGATGCATATATCACTGATCTTTCCTTCATATACATTGTTATCATGGCATATTAATGCGACATATTGTTGTCTTAGGTCTGGGTGTAGTAAAGAGTAGGCTCAGTCATTAAGCAGGCGAAGACTATTATCTGTTGAAGATAACAAGCCAGGTACGTACCTTATGCTTCGGTATCATGCTCACAATCCCGGCTAGTCTGTGATGAATGGCCCCGTCTCTCTCCAGTTGAGAATCCAGGGGAGCGCAGCAACCCCACATATTACCAGATGATCACAGTATATTTTTCCCCAGCTATGGGGACCACCTTATCCCCGGAAATGCTGTCTGGGGCCCGAGTTGCGCTGCTCGGATGACATCTCGGTTTGTGGTCCGCCGACCCGATGATCCCGACGTGAGGCTTCGTATAAGTGCCAGCGTGCGCAAACATCCGATCAGGCCCAGTATGCAGGCTGAGCCCCTGATAATCCTAAGCTGGATTTAGAGTTATCATCGTGTCAAGTACTAAATTTTTATCTGATTGAAAGGCGCAGAGATGGGTACGTACTTAGCCAGACATACTCCTGGATATGCGCAGCCGATACTAACAATGTATAGGATTAACGCCCGTCCACTTCTTCTCTCATGGCTCGACCATGATGCTCGGCGAAGAGTCCACTTCCGCCGACTACTGGCGGAGATGCGGCGACGAAGCCCTAGCACAAGGCATCAAAGGCGTAGTCATAATGGTACATCATCCACTCCATACTCCCTCTCCATCACCAAGAACACTAACAACACCCCCCAGGGCGCCCACTGGGCCTGCCACGGCGACGGCATTGAAGTCGCGACGAACCCTAACCCAGGCAAAAGCCCCGTTGCCTACGTCCACCCCTCCAAATACGTCGACTATAAGCTCAACCCCGACCTGCCCACCGCCCACCGGTGCATCTCCCTCCTCTCTCAAGCCGGTTTCAAAGCCACCGGCAACGACACCTTCGAGTGGATCCACGACGTCTACCTCATTCTCATTCGCATGTTCCCTAACGCCTGCCCACCCACCACCATCATCTCCTCCAACGCCCGCTACGACCCCCACTACCACATGAAAGTCGGCTCCACGCTCCGCCAGCTCCGTCGCGAGAACTACCTGATCATCGGCACCGGTGGCGCCGTGCACAACCTCTACCGCAATCGGTGGGCGCCTATGCTGCGGTTCCGCGATAACTTTGCTATGGAGACGCCGCCTGAGGACTGGGCGTTGGAGTTCCGTCAGGCTGTTGAGGATGTTATGGTGAAGTGTCCGGGCGGGCCGAAGATGAGACGCGCTATGACGAGGTTGATGAAGCATCCTGAGTATAGGGATGCGCATGCGACGGATGATCATTTTATGGCCGCATTGTTTGTGGCGGGTGCTGTGGGGGAGTGGGAGGATGAGGGAAGTAAGGTGGTGCTGGGGGCGGAGACGTGGGAGTTGACGAATATGTGTAATTCGCAGTTTACGATTGGGGAGTGGAGTAAGTTGAAATAGTTGCTGGAGTTATGTTTGCTGCTTGCTGTGTGTTATAATACTTATTGGTTCTTAGTAAAGGTTTCCCATGAGAAATACCTTCAGCGGTCTACCTGAGAAGTGGTCTGGTTACTTCTCTCTTTTGTTGGCATTGTTGCATTTCACACAAGCTTCACATACAGATGAGACTAGTAGCTAGACAGTACATGTTGGTACCAATACTATCTACTCTTGGACAAAGTCAATATATACTCCAAATCTGACAGATGGGGTTCGCTGTTGTCATCATTCTAGAAGTGAGGCTTGGAAAAAGCAAGTCGTTTGATAGCCTTGAAATGACCGGCAGCAGGACAATAGAGCAGGGGTCCGATTGTTTCATGATTGTTTCCCCAGACAGGAGTCTACCATCGGAGTGGGTCTATGAGCACAAGGTATACCCTTGCAGTAGGACATGCTATCTCCATTGTAGACTATCCGGTAAAGGAGAGATGTACTTATCCACATTTTTCTACTTCCCTTGCTTTTCACCACGTGCGATCACCCACGTCGCATCTGTCAGACAGGCAGGGATATTTCTTTAATTTCGATCCGAACCAGACATGCAGATTTAGTAGGGGGAGAGGGATTAATTCACTTGAGGTCATAATTAACTTTATTATAACCAACATTAGTTAAGTAGTTAACAAGACGGTGAGACGGGGAACCTGACTCAGCAGTGGAACATCGAAGAGTTTCCGCCGTCCGCGATAATCCCCAATCGGAAAGTTACTTCGACTTCATCCCACCCCAGTCGGAGAGTCTCTGTCGCTCTGATAGATGTCTCGCCTGGCTTATCCCCACCTGCCCTTGTCTCTCTCCCAGTCCATGCTGCGGCCCTATCGCCCCTGGGCGTCGCATCATGGCGGCTGTCAACCGGAACATGTTTGAGGCCAGCGTCACCACCGATCGCCCCCAGGGCGCTCCACTAATGATTCTACCGCTCAACTTAATTGCGGTCATCGTCTCTTACGTTCGTCTAGCTACTGCTCTTATGAATGGAGCTCGTGCATCCCACTAACCACCTCGTGCCTTTTTGCAGGTAGATGATCCCGGCGATCTCGCCCGTCTCTGTCGAGCATGCCGCGTTCTCAACTACATGGCCCTCCCCCAGCTCTACAAACACATCACCTTGACCTCCTATGACAAAATTCGATATCGCGACGATGAGCCCGAGGGCATGGGTAGCGCCAGCCCTTTTTCCATGGGACTGAATGCCATTATCACCCGTCCCTATGCCACACTCGTTCGGTCGCTTACTCTTCGAGGCAACTGGCGGGAGCTCGAGCTCGAGGAGCATGCGCGCGTGGGCCGCGTGCCGGACTCGTCGATGATGCTGAACATTGCGGTGCGCGCGGCGGTCGATCGGATGACGGAATTGGAAAGCTTTAGCTGGGAACTCAATACCAAGATGCTGGAAACTGTCTATCTCGGGCTGGCGCAGCTGCCTAAGCTGACGGCCTTGACCATTCGGTTTCCCTCGAGTCGACATCCCCGCCCAACCATCGTCATTCCACCCATGCCACATCTTCGATATCTGAAGGTTACCGACATCGATCCGCTTTGCTATCCGGATGACATCTCGACTCTGGTGTTTCGGTGTCGCAAGTTGCGCGAGCTCAACTTGCATTGGTCTCCCCGCATGCGCAATGCGCAGGAGCCTAGTGTCATGGTTCACGACTACTTTCGCAAGTGCATCGCCGCGAAACAACCCCTTTCAATCAAGAAGATTGGCCTGCAGAACCTGTACGCTTTGCACACGGAGGATTTCGGTCTCGGGGTGGATAGCGCCACTGTAGAAGACGTGACCATCCTCCAGCATGGCGGTGCGGATCTTTCAATGAATACTTTTGTGGATAGCACTTGGCCCACAACGCCAGCTCATCCCATTCGTATCAAAGCAATCCGACAGGATGCCGTGAGCAAGAAACATGCGCAGTTTCTTAACCAGTTTACCGGTCTGGAACGGTTATACTTTGTCAATGCCACTCTTAATCCCAACGACGATATCAACTCCCCTCGACCTTTGACCTCTTCTGCCGCACTCTCTCCCCCTTCGTCTGACACCTCTCAACCCGCTACTAATGGTACATCCACCAGCTGCTCTGCCGCTGCAAGCAACTCCCCCAGTTTGCAAGCAAGCATCCGAGACCTATACCTGAACAACATCACTATGAATCATGCTGCCACCTTACGACATCTCTTACTCCCCGCTCGCTGGCCCCTGTCTGCACCGACGGTCGCGCGCCTCGTCCACGCCAGTCCGCAATTGGAGCAGCTGGGCTTCGCCACAGAATTCTCCGACCTGGAAGCATTGGGGCTTCTTCTTCCATTCCTCCGAAATCTCAAGGCGTTGCGTCTTCTCATTCCCACCTGCCCCTCACCGTCCGAGACAGCTCGTGCTGGGCCGCTCCCTAAGACGTTCAAATACTTCTCTCCATCTGCTAATGCGCTCACCTCCGCCCGGACGCTCTCCGACCTTGTGGAAGCTGACGACGACACCTTAATCGCGAGGCTCAGCGAGTCCCTTGCAGACCAGCAAGTCTTCCACCGGCTGAAGGTCATTGGTCTGGGCCGCAAAGGCTTCCAACTAGGAGACTACTACACCGTGCCAGCCGAGCAGGCCGAGAATTATGGACACGTCCAGCTACAAACGCCCACGGGCTCCCGGGCTACCAGCGCAGAAGCCAACGTAGGCTACGATAAGAGTCCACCAGCCGGGGGACCCTCCCCGACAGCCAATGGCCATAACGCAATGGTGCCCTCGCAGAGAAATGGACATCTCCCCCCTTCAGTACTGGGTAAGCGGGCACGAGAAGAGGACACCCCTACTACAGAACCAGGAGAAGCCAACCAGCCGGCAGACGAGCAAACACCCGACCCAAGTTTGAATCCGTGCGTTCCGCAAATCCTTCGCGATGGTCGATACTGGCGACGGCGCGTCCAGCGCGTTGGCTGGGAGGTGCTGCAACATTGGGAGATATGGGGACTGGACAAACAGGAGTTATGAATTTGGCGTACGGTGTCGATAAAACAATACCCTGGGAATCTTCTCGATTCTTCTTATTTCATGAACAATATTTGGCTTTAATTGGGTGACCTACGGCAATCGTCGGGGTTTCCTGTCGGGATTATATATAGCATGCATGTGTGCCCCCTTCTAGCCTCTTAACCATGGGGGTTAGGATGAGCATCAACTAGAGCAGATGCTCGGTTAACTAGTAGATATTATACCTTACCAAACCATACCATAGCAATATGAGCAATGACAACCTCCTCTCTAAAATTTAATTCAATACTACGTATATGTGGAAGTTTTCTGATTTACTGAAAGAGCTTGACTCATAACTTAATTGGTGTGGTACTACTTACTAACTGACCGCCAACGAAGTAAATAGATAGTGAAGTAGTAACAGTTTCACAACACTAATTGTATACTAACTACTCAAAAACATCGACCTCCTCCTCTCCTTCAAGAATTATAATCAAACACCATTATAAAATCCCCACTTAATCATCTACCCTTGATTCGATTTATTATTGATTTGATTCTTACACTACCACCGAACTAGCAGAGTAGAATCCAATTTATACCAGTGCATGCATCGATAGTACTATCCATCCAATCCGTCCTTTCCTTCTATTTCTAGCTGAAACAACTATTAGTTGTATAAATGGTAGTGATGATGAGTTGCTAGCTCACATGATACTATAGTACTACTACTAGTAGTAGTATACTACTATCGTTATGTGCAACCAGGTAGTATATATATATAGTATACGGAGGACTTACTACGCGCTCAAGTGCCTGATTTTTCTCTCACTGGAGGAAATTAATCTGGATGGTATATATATATAGATATGGATGGTATATATATTCGTATAACTGTATATAGTACTCACTGCTTACTTACCTCTATCAAGTAGTGAGAGGTAGAAACGAGACTAGAATGGAATGGAATGAGAGACTACTAGGAGGTGATGGGGGAGCGGAGGAAAAGATTCCTACTATGCGATGATGTGAAGTGATGATGACAGTGAAGAGAATTCGCCTAAGGCATAGGACGATACTACTCTCTCCGCTGGAGTTGTTTGAGGATTCATACCCGATACTTCGTGATACTGCGATACTAGCCTAATGGTTTTATCCTATCAGCGTTTTAAACGAGAGGAATTGCCAAATGGAGTCACATCACTAATGATCAGTATATGATCTCTTTGGGCTTACCGTATGCTCCCAGGCTATTAGCTCGATTTAATCTTATACTGGCTACTCACTTACCTGAAGCTTGGGGCTGTATCGTCTCAACTTAGCTTCTAATATTTACTATTGCGAGATTCTATTCCCGGATGATATGGATATCATGGATGGAAAGGTCTTTGTCAAACTAGAGCTTTGTCCTTTGGGAGAAACGCATACAAGTCTATATGCAACCTCAAGCTCTGAAGCTCATGATGATCCGGCCCTCCGTCTAGTTTTCCGGATTAGATACACCGATTCCTTCGGTCGTGAAGTGGTATACTATGCAACAAATTCGGCCATGGGTATGGTATTCAAGGCGAACACCTTCGTGGAGGTTCTGGAGAAGAAATCATTGGAAGAGATCTCGCAGTTCCCGAGACGGTTTATCCACATTGGTAATGAAAATACTGCTCATCCTTTGCTTGAACGATTTAGGCGTGGGGCACATACCAGTCCACTGCCTCGTTAATCGTGTGTTGATGTGATTTTCCATGTACCCGCCCCCCCTCTTCCTTCCCTTTCCTTTGTTGCAGTGAACTTTCAGCGTCTATCTCGAAATTCGCCGGAGGAAGGGGGGGAGGAGCTGATTGATATTATAAAACACCATCTTGCTAGGCAGTATACTGTCAATAACATTATCATGACCCAGCCCAGTTAGTCAATTATAGTTTCTTAAGATGATACTACGAAAAATAAGGAAGGAATGTACCAAAAAGAAAATGAAAAAAATGTAAAGCCCCTGGTGGGGGTCGAACCCACAGCCTTAAGATTAGAAGTCTTACGCGCTACCGATTGCGCCACAAGGGCCTCCTTGGTTAATGGCGGGTACAATATTACGCCATATTAGCTTGCATTCACAGCAGCTTCTTGCTTGAGGTTAGACAAAAAAAGCAAGTGAGCGGGCCGTTCATGTGAATATGAAGCATGATGTTAATTGCGCAAACAAGTCACGTTTGGAGAGGGCAGATATTTCTTTGATTGATAGCAGAAGGACGAGATGACATAAGAAAGAAAGAAGGAAAGGAAAAGGACATAAGGGAGGCGCCTCATATGTTTCAAAAAAGCTTGAAGTTAAATGCGAAATCAAAGGGGAAAAAAGATAAATAAAAAAAAAGCCCCTGGTGGGGGTCGAACCCACAGCCTTAAGATTAGAAGTCTTACGCGCTACCGATTGCGCCACAAGGGCTACTTGTGTAGAAACGGTTTCCAAAAATTGACTTATTTGATGTGGTTCATTTGGGCGTCGGTCCCTATCTAACGCGCCCGTCCCCAATTTTCTCAATTCCAGGCAAGTTCACAACTTCTTCGCCAGGAACTTACTACTATCTCTATGGCAGTTTTGCTTATTGACATGATAATATTTTAACTGTGCGATTGTAGAGGACTAGACTATTGAAACTTATTAATAATCTAAACTACAACTCTACTTTCTTAATATATTTATGTAACTGCACTTTCCCACGGAGCGTCAACGGAACTATAGGCAGGCAAACACAGTTCTCCCACAACTAGGTGTTGCCAGGGGAGAGATCTTTCAACACCAGAGATAGTTTAACATTGCGTGGATTGGGTCTTAAATTATTATTACTTACCGATTTTAGTTGAATTTGTGTTTCGGTGATTTATTGTACTCCTTCACATCTGTCAGAGAGGTGTTGTAACTGATAGTAGCTATCTTATAAGACTCCTCTGCGGCCACCTCTGGGGTGATGTTGGGCCGGACGAGGCACCGCAGTAGATATAGGTGGGAAAGTACTACTACTGGTTCAGGTGTTTATCCTGCACTCATAGCCAAAAGCCATGAGATGGATATACATATATATATATATATTCATCACATAGATACAGTCACATTTGCATATGTACCGAGCTTCATCAAGTATGTACGGGTCATCATCAAATCAACATCATCACCATCACCCTCGTCTGCTATACATTTCCACATGTAGTTCATCGTCGAGGGATCAATCAGCAGATTATAGACTCCACTTCAGTGGTTGATCTAAGCCTGAGCGGCGAATCCCAGCTTAGGGCCCTCAGAGTTGAAGACCACGTACTGGCTCTTCAAGAACACATCGCCCAGGATGGACAGTCCCAGACCGCTGTTGCTCTGGATACCGCCAAAGCAGGTGGAGCTGCCAGTCGAGATGGGAGCGTAGTTGATGTACTTGCCCGGAACAACGGCCTTGTAGTCGCCAATCACGACAGTGAAGTCAGGGGGGTTGGTCGAGCAAGAGAAAACGTAGCCACCGGCTTCCTCGCTCTCCTGAGCGCCAGAAACCTGCTCGTAGTAGGCGGAGACGATTTCGTCATCGAGGAGGATGAGGGTGGTACCGGTGTCTATACACAAGTTAGTAAAGAGGTGGACAAGTTATGTGTTAGGTGAAGGTGGTTCTCACCAGCAATGGCGCTGAAGCCGCTGGAGCTGGAGCTGCCGTCACCGATACTGTAGCCGTCGGTGCTGAAGCCCCAGTAGCCCTGGGAGCTATCGGCATCCGTGTAGGTGATAGAACCGGTGTACTTGGAGTCATCGATGTAGCCAAAGTCGTAAACACCGGGGGCGTCGTGCTTCAGCTGCACGGCGAAAAGGGGAGAGTCCAGCTGGGACTTGACGGTGTCGAAGAAGGTGGTCTGCGCCTTGGGCTGGACTGTGTATCGGTCAGCAGGTAGGTCAACCCGGCTGATGTAGGATTGACTCACCAGTGTTAATGGAGCTAAAGGCCAGTCCCAAAAGGCCGTCATTGGCCGTGTCCTGAACGAACTCGGAGCTGATCTTGCTGGCTGCTTCAACAGCCTGCTTGTTGGTGGTGACACCGCCGACAGTGACAGTATCCCGGTACACGTCTCCGCTGGCTGAGCTGCCGTCACCGTAGGAGATGTCCCAAGTGTAGCCGCTCAGCTTGGTCGCGCTGGAGCTAGGCGTGTACAGATCGTGACCGGTCTGCTCTGAGGAAGGGAGCTCGTCCGAGAAGACCCAGCTAGTCCAGGTTAGTCACGATTTACCCGAACTACCTGAGCAGGGAAGCTTACAGATCTGCAGATCCGGTGTCAAAGTCCAGATGGAGGGTGGACTTTCCGACAGTGACGGGAGTCAGGTACTCCTCGTCATTGTTCTGGGGCGTGGTCACGGCACTACCCTTGCTGGCAGCCTCCTTCACGCTCTGGGGCACCGTACCGCCAAACTTGGCCAGGGAACGGGCGTACATGCCTGGCAGGTTGATGGTGCGGGTCTTGTTGGCAGGCCGGGCAATCTGGTTGATGGTGAAGCCCTTGCGAGTAGGAGCCGGCGCCGCAGAGACGGCGGAGGACAGACCCAGAACGAGGGCAGCGGTTTTGCTGAAGACGACCATTTTGACCACGAGAATGTCAAGCAAGAGAGTTCGGAGAAGAGATAGAACCAGACAAAGAAGCCTTGGACTCTTGGTTGATGAACAAGAAGATCCATTCTGCTGGTCGAGCAGTCTCTTCTTATACTTGCAAGCCTCTCCTCATTGACCTCGATCAACTCCTCCATCATCCAAGTCGACCATGCTCTTCAGAGCAAAAATGTCTCAGAGTCCCCGCTATGGCAGCCGTCATGATGGAAGGAGATGATGTCCCTTCCAGGAATAAACCGACGAAGATCTCCGCATGTCCGTCCAAATCCGTGTCGTCCGTCGCCCGTGAGGATATTCGCAATTGCCAAGACAGAGCCAACCGGCGGCCGACTCGGTGCAAAGTAAGACATACAGCCCTGGACCCTGCCTTAGTGGAGACAGGCACGATGTTACCGCGGAGTAGATAGCAGATTAACTGGCAGGGTCTGACGGAAAGAGACAAGAGCTCATTCGACCGTGGGGGCCGATCACGATAGCACTGGTCCGACAAGTCTGCAGGGCTAGGCTGAACTGCTGAAGGGTAGATATCTTAGGCGCGGATGTCCTTAGATTGCGCTCCACCGCCGATCGCGCAGGGTCCGTCGGGCCTCCGGAGACGCCATACGTTAGCCAACATCCAGTCACACGATTCAACTTATCTGCTGGCACAATGTGACGGTCAGACTTTGGACTATCGCGTCTTATCAGTGGTCTAATTTAGCTCGTCGCTGCCGCTGCCCCTGACGACTCGGGGTTGGCCGGCCCATTTGAGCTCGACGGTGTCTCTGCATTGGACCAATGACCAGTAGATGGAGAGTTGGGCGTCCAAGGACATTGTTGGTTGGTGGGCCGCGATGGAGAAGCCGTGTCTTCATCCTGCGTTCCGCCTCACGATCGAGACAAAAAGGGAAAGAGAAGGTAACCAGAAATGGCGCACTCCGGCGGTATCCGTGAGGATATACATCTCTAGCAATCAAGATCACAAGCCAAAAGCGGAAGTGTACAGAAAGGAACTAGCAAGAATCCAAGCAAAAAGAGGAAGAAGCTACGACGCGTAAATTCGTACATTCATGAGACCATCGGTGATCACGATTGCAAAAACTGTGACGGAAGGTTCCCTCCGCCAGCCGACTCTATCCCCTCATGACCGTCATACTGTTCATTTAGAAGCACCTCCAGCATGTCAAATTCGCCCACCATGGGGCCCGTGCCTCCCAGACCCTGGTCCACCACGGCTGTCGAACTGTTGAAAAACTGGTCGAGTGGCAGCGCAAACCAGTCGGGCAATCCGCCGGACGTACCTGGATTATCGTGCATCGCCTGAGACGGAACATTAGACCCGTCCAGCTCGCCCGCCGGCGGAGTTGCGCTGGGGTCGTAGTAGTTGTAATACACTGATGGAGGAGGGGGCATGAACGAGACATTGATGTTGGACGAATTGATCGGCTGGGCAGGGATGCCGGCCAGCGGATCATGGACAGAAGTCATGCTGGTCCCCGTCTGGCTATTGCTATCGACATATCCCAGATTTTGTGTCGCACTCTGCGCTGGCGTCCAGGCATGCGCCGACCCTTCCCGGCGGTTTTGTGGCCCTTCACGCGGCCGCGGCGACTGATGCCGTGAGACTGGTGCGGATGGGCGTTCTTGTTCGCCATCGCCGCTGCGGTCCAAGGGCGCGAAACGCAGAAAACGCGTGCGAATGCTGGTGGTGAGCAATTCCAACAATCGCGCAATCGCGTGGTTTAGGTGAACATCGTCGACTACGCAGGTCTTCAAGGCTTCAATGGTGCGATCCTGGAGGTCCAGCGACACACGCACATCGTCTTCTTTGGCACCGAGCGTGAAAGTCTGGAAAATTGTCAGCAGAGCCACGGCCTACGGGGGAACCGAAGGGGCCTACCTTCAAGATGAAAATCATCCCCGACAGAATACGAAAGCACGTCCGGACAGGGGCATGCTTGAGGTGGTCGCGCGGGACCAGAATCTCGAGTACTGTCTGCAAGATTTTGCGGGAGGCATCGACTACCTCCTGGATGTACTGCTCGTTGACACGATATAATTCCATGAGCACATGAAACCAGCCGGTGCCCGAGGATGGACCGGAATTGGGGCGCGCATTCTGGGCCTGAGCAGCCTCATTCGACATTGTCGTCCAGCGATCCACCACCGCCTGCAAAGCCAAAGAGTTGACATAGAGTCCTGAAAGAGTCAGCGAGTCGGACGTCGTAACCACATAAAGTTAACTACGTACGGGTATATTCATATTCAATCATCAAGATACACCGCATTGAAGGAGACACTGCGTATGACGATTAGCATCCGGCCAGCGTCCAGCCCACCAGTTAGAGAGCACTCACAATCGATCGTGTCAATGTTATGTCGCCACTCGCGCAAGAACGGCTGGAACCGGTCAATCTGATCCCGATAACGACCGCTGCGAATGAGCTCCGACGTCTGCTCGCTCGATGCAAATAAGAGTTGATTGCTCTGGTACATGATCTTAGAAATTCCGATCCAGCAATCATGCATCCGGTCGACTATGGTATCTGCCCCCTTGGCGGCGGTGGCCGATGTCGGCTGAATGTCGTTGGTCCACTGGGGCAACGGCAGCATGGATGGGATACCCAAGCGACCACTGCTCTGGGTGATATATACCAGAATCAAACGCCGGAGCCGACGTTTGCGCGTCTGCTCGGATGGGGATTCACCGGCAACTTTGGCGTCGCTCTTCTGGTCGAACACTCCCAGTTCAAACGCCAACGCCTGTGCGGTACTCAGCAACATCCACGACATCCGGTCCGACCGCCAGGCGGGCTCCAGCCACTTCTGGAAGGCCAGCCTCCCTTCAGCAGCACTGTTCGGGACCCGGTTGGCCGAATTGTCAACCTCTGTTTCGAGTTCCTTTTCGTATCGGCTTTGCGTTTGCGCGTCCAGGTCCAGCAAGGCATTTTCGTCGTCACCGGGTGGAAAGTGGAGGTTCCGCGGATGCCAATCCGTCAATATCAGCAGCGCCTCAATGGTGCCTAGTGACCTCAGGTTGCCCTTGTGGCTAACCTTTGACGAGGTCGGCGCGAGGTCAAACGAACGAGGCCCACTGATTCCTACGCCATTTCCACCAAACTTTTCCTGGCCCCAGAACAAACGCTCAATCATGCCGCGGAGGTATGACCAGAGCCGGTCATGAATGTAGAAGGCACGTGTGTAAGCGCCGTCACCCTTGGGCTTCATATGCCGCGACGCTGTTGTAAGAATGGTTACCGCCAGCACCGGCTCGTCTGTAAGCAACGTCCGATGGGTGGAGGGATGTGAAAAATCCGGAATCACAATAGGGCTGAGCGGGGCGAGATGCTCGTAGTAATACGCTACGTAGGCCATCGACTCTTCCACAGACAGCCATCCTGCACGAACAAACCGTAGTCGCGACCAAGCCTTGACCGCGTCCACGAACCCGGGGTCCTGTGCCGTTTCTGCAGCGTCCGCCGGGCCACGACCATCCGGCAGTCGCGCATCAGCAGACCCTGATGCGCCCGCAGAATAGTACGTACCCCCGGGCACGGTCCCGGAGCGGGGTGGTCGAGAGAACGACCCGCCTCCACTCCGGGGCGTACCAGCCTGCGTGAGCGGAGACATGGGTGAATTGAATGATGAAACCGACTGGCGCGCAGCATACCGGTTCTCCAGACTCTGGCGGTTGAGATCCTCCGTCCGACCAGCCGCTTCCGATAAGAGGTGTAATGCATCATGACTGTTACTGATGGCCGGCGACAACAACTCCACAGCAGTCCGGTTCATCATGGGCTGGCCGCCCTCGAGGCTGAAGCTCGCCGCATGGCTCCGCTCCGCAGCCGGGTACATGGGCAGTCGCGTGCTTCTCGGTTCGGCGAACGGCGCATTTCCGGACGGCGACGGATTGGAAGGGAACCGCTGACTGGGCGTAGAAGACGACGGGAGCTGAGCATTGTTCGCGGCGGGCGATTCCTCGGTCCATTTGGGTCGAGAGAGGCTGGTACTGTTATCAAAGGAAGAGGTGCGCTCGGGCGCATAGGATGAGCCTCCATCACTGACAGATCCGCTATTCGAGATGACCTCGCCCACCATCATCCGCTTATCGCGTCGCAGGACGGCCTCGGTGGGCTCCTCCACTTCGGAGGGCTTGCGCTTCCGCCGAGTAGCGGAGAACTCGCAGCGCTTGCTTTCGCGGCGGCATCGTACACAGGGCGGGGGACGGGGATTATCGACACCTGCGGGGGACGAATAAGCATCGAGGGAAAAGTAACCGGGGGGGAAGAGGGGAGAAGGTTAATAAATTCAAGCGGGGGGAAAGTAAGTAGGGACTTACTGCCAAGGTCACACTTGACTTTGCGCTTTCGGCAAGGGTCGCAGGCCTGGTAGCCACGCCGATGCTGGGGCTGTTGAGACTGGAGCTGCTGCTGGAGCTGGGGGGAGGGCGACTTCGGAGCTCGGGGGTCGTGGGAATAGAGGGACTGAGAGGCAGAGACCGCGGCGTCGTGGTGGTGCTGGCCGTTACTCGCAGGCGCCGCCATAGTTTGAGGTAGAGAGTGGATATTCAGGCCAGAGGGACTGCCGATGCAAAGCGACAAAAAGCGGTGGGGGGGGGGGAACGCTTTTTTGTGGGCGAAGATCCAGTCGCTGAGTTCCAGATTCTAAACGGCACTGGTCCTGGTTTCGTCCCGGCCCGGAAGTTCTCCGCGGATAACCAGGCAGCAAGAACTTATTGGGGGGGAGATGGTGGTGGTGGTGAGGAGGAGGTGGAAAAAGACGGGGGAGGGAAGTAGTAAATCCGTGGCACAAGTGGTGGTTAATGATGATGATGGAGGGTGGGAATATTGATAAAACAAAACAACAACCACACTAGAAAGTGTTCACTCTTTCATTTTCTGCTTCATTTTGTGTGTGTGTGTCAGTCAGGTGTACAGCCATCCAAAATGCGGGGTAGGAATTCTCAAACCAATTCATTCATTCATTTGATTCACACGGCGTTGGATTACTCGTAGAGATTTCTCTCTCTCTCTCTCTCTTCCTTCCTTTGGGGAAACCTTTCCCCTGCCCTTGCGTCCACTACCAGTTCCTGTTATCAAAGCGAATGGCAATAGACTCTGGGTCTAAGATGAATCGAGTAGATTTGCCTGTCTTTCCCGGTCGCTCCGGTCGCTTTCTCCGCCATCCCCTCCAGGCATCTTCCATTCCTCCTTTCTTACCCTCGGTCTCTCCTCAGCACCGATACGTAACAGTATCTACTTTCAAAATGACTCTCTCCAGACCGTCGGAATGGTGGAGATACAGGAAGACCCCTCCTACTCTAATTCCCCCATTGCAGTCAAATTATCATTCATCAATTCTGGTGTAGTAAGTTCAGAAAGATATCATCACTATGTACACGGACAGCCTGAGCGCGCCTCCGACGGTCAAATAAATTAAATCCGATAAGCGGGTGAGTGGAAGGACAGACAGCCCATCCACTCGACCGCTCGAGAAAAGAAAAAATAAAGAAGTGAGAAGAACAAAAAGGAGAAAATAGAAAGAGGGAATTCAAAGAAAGAAAAAAAAAAAAGATTGTACACGCTCGACTCCAAACATGGCCTACAAATGCAAGACCCAAGCAGCATCAATCGCAACAAGCATGATCATGTCATGTGTAGGGAGATCCCAAAGCTAAATCATACACACATAGAGAAAATCAAGTTAAAACCCAGACGTTCAGGCCACAGATGGCGCTGCATCGGCCAAACTAGTACTCGCCATGGCTCGCTTTCCCTTGTCGGGCGCTATCGCTTCCCCGTTGGCACTTATCACTGAACTCACTCCTCTGCGAGGGAAAACCGCCTCACCATTAGTACTGCTGGCCTCGCTACCCCGGCGCGACAAACTCGGGGTCAATCGCCCGGGCAATAGGCCCCGGATGCCCCCAGCTTTGCGCGCAGGGATGTCGGTCGTGCCCGCCGTGAGCACGTACAGCAGATACTTCAGGTTGGGGAGGGTATGTCGGATGTCGAGCACGCGCAGCCCTTGCTTATTCAACAGGAACTCAATGTCCTTGTTCAGCAGGAATACTCCATACTCAAACCGGTATTGCACATTCACCGGGTAGAGCGGGTACGTCCGTTGCGGCAGTGACGCAGACACCGGGTCCTGGATCAGCGAATGCGACAGATACGGGTTTATCGGGTACGGCAGCGGAATGGACAGGTAGAACGACAGCAGATACACGAGATGCGCGGTATATCCCAGCGCAGCCGCAACCCCATCGCGGTCGACATCCGTAAAATTCGAGTTGGGCAAGGCCATTCCAGCGATGGTGAAAGCAAGCGGCTTGTCCGGGATGGGTTCAATAGGATAAATCGCAATTAGGTCCTCGGACATGCGCCGGATCTGACCCCGACCCTCGTCCGTGTTTTGTTCTAGCAACTTCACGCTCGAGCCCAGTTTCTCCTGCGCGTCCGGGAGATGACTGCGCGCCCGGGCTTGTGTCTGGCGTCCACGCTCCATGGCCTCTCGTCTCGCTTGAAGACTGGCGAGCAATTCTTCCTTCCGCTTCGTTGCACTGCGAAGCTGCTTTCGCTCCGTCGCAACGGCATGCTTGGTGAGCGCGAGCTTATCCCGAGCCCGTGAAGCATTACTGGTCGTAGTCAGCGCGCGCTGGTTCTCTTCCAATATCAAGCTTATTTGCGCCTCCAGCTTATCTCGGGTCGTCAGGGCATCCTGGATACACTCGTCCAAATTGGCCAATCGCATCAGCGCATCGTACGACGACGTTGGTAACGTGGCACCATCGGCGGATCGGGGGTGGCGGGAAGGTACAGGAGTGACCACAGGGGGAAGATCAGTTAGATTGGTATAGACACCATCTGCAAAATGAAACAGGATCGAATTCGGTGGGAGCGGCTGATGGAAGTTATCCAGGGACTTCCCCAGGAATTGCAAAGACTGCAAGCACAGCTGCAATTCCACCAGTAGCAAGTACTCCTCCATGGCCGCCGTGCGTGCCCAGACCTTCACCGTAATCTGATCACGACGAGCGATGGCCGGACCACATATATTGAGATCGAAAGACCGGAAGCTGGGGTTGGTGGCATGCTCGACCACCTCACTCACGTAAACCGGCTCGTCGACTCCGTCGCAGTGAATCGAGAACCATGTATCTGCCATGCGGCTGCTCGTGATCTCCTCCAGCTTCACCTGCCGCGCGCGTGGATTGGGTCCATTCCAGGGTAGCGTGTTCCTCCTCTGCCATTGTCGCAACGGGGGTGGCTGTTCTGTGCGAGGGCGGCCTTCTGCGCTGGAGGCGGGGGTCGACTTAAGATCGGTGAAGGAGCGCGACTGATGTAAGGGTTTCGCTGAATCCTCGGCGAGTGCTTTCAAAGGCGTATGTAGCGAGTTGGGGATGTTGTCATCGTCGATGGTCTTCCCGCGCGGTCGACTCGGCGGGCTAACAACGAGATTCCGGACAGAGAGGCCCTGCAAATGGCGAAGCTTGCGATTCTGGGCGTAAAGCATCAGCGGGGTGCCTCAATGGGTATACTCAAAGATCGTAGGATGATAATGTACCGGAAGAAACAAGCCAGGTCTTACACGGCGACTGCCAGTGTCGTCGTCGTTGTCCGCGAATCCCCAGGCGGTCGCCGGCAGCGCCATAGCAGACAGACAGTCGGAGGGGAAGCTTAGCTGTCGCACTGCGCACGCGCTGAATGTCGGGTCATCCTAAGCAGAGGACAGAGGTAAATCACCAGGGACAAATGTAATCGAAAGAAAAACTCAATTCAAAATGTTTCCCGATAATTTAGCGTTGCTGATCCTCAACCGTTAACATGGAGCTGGTTGAATGAAGCCAGCAAGTTAGTTGGGTTGCCGGCGGAATCCCTCGTCCGGTCGGGATCTCCGTCGAAAAATTGATCCGCCGACCTTCTCTCATTCCCTCCATTCTCTCTCTCTCTCCCGGAGCTTCGTCCAGTTCACCCCCAACCACACCCACCAATTTCCCCCGATCTCTCCGGATCTGGGCTCAATTCGGTAAATAGAGTGAACGACGAAGCAACCGTCGGCTCTATTCCACTACGGTCCTCCCCGCCATCGCCATTATCTAAAGAAGAGAATCCGGTCACGCGGAGTACGGTGACCACCCGGCCGCGATGGCCTCGCAACAGGTGACGAAGACGCCCTTCCAGAAGATCCTGGACCCGACCAAGATCGGGACGTGGAACATTGTGCGCCGCCCACCCGTCGAGAATCACAGCATCATCCAGGGCAAACCGCGCGAGCAGAACTCCAATGCGTTCAAGACGCATCAGGCCAAGGAGGGAACTCGGTTACGAAAGGCCTTGAAGGCACTTACTCATGGCAAGAACATCTTTGCCTACCACAATATCCGCACGAATCAAGTCGTGTACTCTCTGACTCGGTATTTGGAGGTGAGTCTCTCTTCCACTAGCTTACCAGGTCGAAATGGACCCATCAATCTATCGATCCCATATCAAGCAGACGAAGAAAACACACCACTAACTCAACATAAAACAGAACAACACAACCCTCAAACAACTCCTCTACCACGGCAAAAAGACCGTTCCCGCCCGCCTCCGCAAAGACATGTGGGTTCCCTATTTCAGCGTGCACTTCAACGACAGCAAGATCGGGCTACGAGCATACCACCTCCTCCGGGAATTCTCCATGCAGCGCCAACTCTCCCCGCCCAAAGAAATGATCACCATCACGGACGCCTGGATCGACCAGAAACGTCCCCGCGACCCGAAGGGCGCCGAAGACTTCCTCGAGAAATACAAGGACAAGATCGGCCGGATCATGCCCAAGCACCACCGCAAGCGCGCCGTCATGGATCAAAAGGCCACCAGTGTGGCAGATATCGCGGCCGTGCTGAAGATCCAGGAAGAGGAGGTGCAGAATGGCTTTGCGAATGGAAAGAGGGGCTATCTGACCCCTACCGCGCGGAAGAGGAGACGTGCTGCTAGGGCTAAGGAGGAGCAGGTTGCTGCGGAGCAGGCTGCGAGGGTGGCTGGATTGGAGCAGGCGCTGAGCAGTGAGGTCGTCGAGTATAAGGTTCAGGAGACCGCGGATACCACTGGTGCGTTGGAGGATCAGGGAGTTAAGATCCTTTGGAGGGATCTGCATGATGCGCGGTTTGCGGAGGCTTGGCCTGAGCGTGTGAGACATGGTGAGTTGGAGTTGTCTCGCGATCATGTCATGCCCGGTCAGAAGGGTGTGAGATCCGAGGTGTTGGCCGAGGGTGAGTTCCGCGAGAGGACGGAGCAGCAGCAGCAGGGTGAGAAGAACTAAGATTGTTCATACTTTATTTTTGATATCACATCCTGGGTTGGGGATGGTGTATACATATGTCGCGGGCTGCGTGGTCTTTTCTCGATGTTCGATTTTCCATTGATATAAATTGTATTTTTACTCACTACCACTACACTACTTACTATGACTGTTGTTTTAGAGAAATGATGCAATGGCGTTTGAGCAGATCACACTGCACTGATCCCTACTAGCCATATAACTTCCTTCCACCATCCCTAGCTCCCACACACCAACAGTCACTTGATATCAAACCAAGCTCGACATATTAGTATGAACCCATCCCCAAATCCCCCCCACCCACAAATAACCAAAATACAGAACAACAACAACCTTAAGCACCCTCTCCCCCAACTCCAAAAAGTTATACCAAATAGCATCCCGAAACCTATTTCGAAAGATCCCCGGATCATTCCCCCTCGGAAAAGGCACCACATCACCCTTCCCATCCAAGGGAACCGTCTTCCCCAGAAACTCACACAGCGGCTCCCACCCATCCTTGACATTATAGACGAGCAAGTTCTCAGCTGGCACAATATCTTTCACATGACTATTATGCGCCTCGAAGGCTTTACGGCCATTGGCGTCGAAGTCATCGTTGAAGTAGTATTTCCATATCTTTTGCCAGGTTGGGCGGATCCAGCGTGTTCGGGAGAGGAGGAGGGTCTCGAGGATGGTGGAGAGGGGGAGAAGAGGGTGTGTGAGGAGGGGCGTGAATGATTTACTGACGGATCTGTAGATTTGGCATGAGAAGAGTGTGTTGCATGATTGGGATGAAAGAAAAAAAGGGGGGTATTGAAACTCACCGATGCCAATCGTCGACGTCTCGGACTGTCAGGATTACTTTGGCCTCGGGGTAGGCTTGGATTAATTCGTCCGCGAAACAGGCTGCGGGGAAGTCGGATACAGCCTATGGTAGTGATCAATTTATCTGACTGTTAGTATATATGACTCTCTCTTTCTCTCTCTCATCTGGTAATCACTGGTTGAAAGGGAAAGGGACCGTCCGTACCTGACAATGCCCCAATATCTGATCGAATTCTTTTCGACCAAATGGTCGTCCCTTTCCCTCATACTTGGCGCTCAGCGCAGCATGCCACATCTCACAATCTCGAGGGTTCTCCAGGACTGCTGCGTATCCGTGATAGGTATCATTGTATCCTAGGGCTCGGAGAGCTTGTCTCAATGCTTTAGTTCTTGTTAGCGGGGGTGCAAGGTATCTTTCATGCAGACGCACGCCTTACAGTCTGTTCCTGTCCGACAGAGTCCAAGTGCCAGGACTTGCATCGGTACTTCACGACGACATTTGCGTCTGTCGATGTCGGTGACGGATTTGGTGACGTCGTGGAATTGGTAGGTCGTCATTCCGAGTTGGTTTTTTTACCACCTATGTGATTGAATCAACGTCGGAGTTGATATATCTATCATGTGGCGGGGCATTATATCTATCGCCCTTTGAACCATTGCTTCTAAATAAAGTAGTGCTTGCCGAAATTTGCCTGTTTCCCCAGTAAGAGGATACCGGAGATGGTGCCTCCGTCTTGTCCCCATTTTTTTGGAGACATTACATATCAAGGTACCTTGACGAGCTCTGGTATCCAGGAAGATCATGAAGCTAGCTATGTATACTGCGGATTAATTGGATTGCCATGGCGCTTGTTCCAATAGTAATGGACTATCAGGACAGACATTGTACCTGTTCATTGGCTAAAGCTGAAGATTAGCTCCCTATATTGTAGATTTCCAAGAAGTCCATAACTCCTAGTCCAAACCCCACAATGGAAAACATAGAGTAAAGGAATATGAAGAATTCGGATGACACCGCCCCACCTGGATATTGTTGTAACTTGCAAGAAGCAACGTTGTCTGCTGTTTACCTCATCGGAGCAATGTCAGCTGCACTCGAAGAAATCTGTGTATTAGTAGATCTCTTACTTCCACATCTGATGCACTCAGGTTCTAGCCCATAAAAAGTAATTCCCGGATCTAGTGTTATCGGTGGCGCTCGAGATCTGGCAGCGCACGATCTTCTCCCCAGCTGAACTGCGATGGATCTCGTGCGGCTGAACCGCCATATCATTACCCTTTACGGAACCAGCAGCTCGATAGTTCAGATCCTTATGCAGAGTGCGAAAAGATCTGTAGCCTTATCACTGGACCTTTGTGATCTGCCGACCCACTAAGACCACAAATAGTATTCGCTATTTATTTATTTTCTTTTCCTTCTCATTTTGCGGCAGCAGCAGCTGAATAATTTTGAATCATTGCTGTGGTAGGGCGGTCGATAATGCCTGAGAAATGTATGCCACCAGTGGATGCCACTCATGACCATTTTGCACTACTTAGGCCGAAGCAGGATTCTGCCCAGAGAGGAAGAATGCATTGTGTGACCATCGATTGTTAGCACTGGATCCAAGAACCGATGGAAACCTATCACGAACAGCAATCACTCATCATATACACAGGACTGTATGCTTTCTAAGAATCTGGCCTCCTTGCTGAATTCCATTTCAGAGACTATCTTCGAGGCCTGCCGGCGGAGATCAATATCAACCATGTTCTTTGCTTCTAGTGGATCACATATCTTAGATATCTTGACGGTGTCTAGTCAAATAGAAGTGGGGTGGGGAGTTGACTGAGTTCAGCCATACATGCAGCCCTGCAATAGATCATGCATACCGCGGGTGAAGTAACTACATAAAACATTTGCTGGTCTATGGGCGTTGTGTGACCATGTAAAGTATTTATGTACCCCGGTTGAAGCCGAAAGTCTGCTCTCCCTGCTCAGACCGGAAGAGGCGTGGTGCAGGTTTTTTTCTGAATAGGCTTTGGGGCACCAAGTTCAAGATGCTTGACTATTATCAAGGAAAGACTATATTCATCACCGGAGGTTCGGGCTTCCTAGGCACGGCCCTGGTACATCGAATCGCTACGAGCGTTGAGTTCAAGCACATATACTTGCTACAACGTGGGGGGCAAACGTAAGTTCCATAATACCAGATAAGAATGAAGATCACAGGAAACTTACATGCACTTCCCATATCAGTGGTCTGTCCGCAAAATGGCACCAATGCCTCCGCTTTAATACTGCGCAATGGCTTCTGGAGCACCCCCAAATCACCATCCTAGATGGTGACATGATGAAGCCGAGTCTAGGCCTTGACAATGACCAGACCGAGATGTTGAAGCAGAACGTCCATATCATCATCCATGCCGCATCTTCAATCAATCTTGCCCAGCGGCTTCAAAAGCTGTGGCCTAGCGTTATCCGGGCCACAGAGTATGCGGTTGAACTTGGACTCCAATGTGACAAGCTGGAACGTTTTGTCTACGTCTCAACAGCATATAGCAATACCCACTTGTGCAGCTTGTTTCCCAATCGAGATGTTGAAGTGGAAGAACGCATAATACCACTTGAACAGATGCCTCCTAACAATGGTAATTCCACTGTTGCCGAGGAGTACTCGGAACTGCAGTCGCGAGGATCCACCAAAGAATACGAAAGCAACGACTTTCCTTGGGGTTATGGGTATGCGAAACATCTTTCCGAGCGCCTAGTTACGGACAAGTTCACGAGACATGGCAAGTACGATCGATTGCTGATTGTACGGCCCTCTGTAATTGGGCCTGCGGAAAGCATGCCATTCCCCGGATATGCGGTTCCCACGTCGGTCCCTATGACTATGGTTGCGGCCGTGTTTGTCAACCATCCAGCATTTTCCTTAGAGTTGTCCAGCCGTCTGGACGACCCAGAATCAGATTCCAATTTGGATGAAGTACCTGTCGACGTCGTTGTAGACCGCCTTCTCGGTCATCTGGCTTACCAAACTCAGGGCTGCGTCCATGCGGTGAGTGGCAGAAAAGCCCGATTGTCCTTCAAAGAATTGGAAGCGGCAGTTTACCAGGTCCGCTGGCTACCCTGGCGCTTTCGTCTCAAGTGGGTGAAGAATGACGGGTGGAATTCGAAATCAGACGCGATCAGTCGTCTGTACAAGATCTTTGGGACTTCCTTCGACTTCCATGAAGAGAAGACTGAGCAACTGGTTTCAAAATTAAGCGGCGAAGAAAGGAGGACATTGCGGTTGTTCAATACCAGGAAAGTCGGTGCATGGGAGCTGATGTCCCGCAGCAAGCAGATGTATGATTGCTCGACTATTTTCGCCAGGAAGATAGCCTATCCTTACCGGGCCTTGTACCAACTTCTATGGCTTATCTGGTGGGTTTATGTCAAGCTGATTGTTGCTTGGGCGGCATTTGATCTGCAAGCTGTGCGTCGGCAGCTGTTCGCTGACCGGAAGGCCCTTTGACAATGATTTTCGTACATGACTATTTTGTTTAAGAATGTGTGCATATCCCCTAGGGAGCAAAGCTTTGATGTGTCGAGAGATATTGAGATGACCCACATGAAGCGGGAATGTGAACATGATGAGTGATCCAGACTGTGTTCAATAGATGCAGGAATGAAGCTGTAGGATGGCAAGACGGAAAGGGTCAGGTGATCAGCCTCAGTATAGAACAGAGGATCTAGACTATAGGAACCGGGAGCTCGTTCATACTACGCGGCATTGCTATTTTGAGGAAATGATATAACGGCACTCGGCAGACCATGAACTCCTATCTACTCGCATTATTTCTCTGATGCACTGAATGAATTCATGTATTGCTAAATACCTGCTGTAAAGCCGGCGAAAGAAAGACCTGCAGGTCAAATTTACATCACCATAGTAGGTAGGATACAACGAAGCGTCCCCGGCGGAGGTGTCATTCACGCTCTCCAGCCGGTCCTGTCCTGGCTTTGCCGGCGTCCGGTCCAAGCAAAGAAAGGCCGCAGTAGATTGCGAAAAAGTAATAATCTGAAAATCAAAGCTCCACACGAAGGAGGGATGAGAATGTAGAAGAATGAAGATCGAAGGAGAAGATAGACAGGGAGAACAATAGGGTCAAGTGTCAATGCAAGAACTCAAGACCCTTGGGCAGAAGAAGAGAAAAAAGCAAAGTCATAGAGTAAGGACGTGATGTGTGCAAGTCCGCGATCGACGCCAGCAGCAATATGGGAACATGTAACAGATGTTCAACAAAGAGACGAGAAGAGCAGCGAAACTCCATTGACGGACCTAGACCAGCAGGTGGCCTCGGTCTCTCTATCTCTCGGTACAGAATATCACACTAAAGTTCCTTTAACTTCTGATCTAATGATTAAGAACTCGGGTTCTTCGGCTCGGACTTTTTCAAGTTGTTCACCACGTGCTCATGGCTGTGCTCGTTGACGGAAAGCTCGGGCCCAGGCTCGTCATTCGACATCTTCTGCAGAATCTCTTCTTGCGCCTTAGCGGCCGTCGCCGGATCATCTGCAATTCCCGCACTGGCCATGCTCTTCCTGGCGCCCTCGATGATCTTGTCGGCCTCGCTCATCCCGCGATCCACATTCGAAGAAGGATCCCCGTCCACGCCAATAGGCTCCACAGTCCGGTTGATGACATCCTTCACCCGGTCAGAATCAAAGCGAATTACCATACAGGAAAGGTTATCGGTGCTAAACCGCGCTAGAGCATGGTCGACCAGAATCTTAGATGCTTCCTGAGCGTCATGCACATTGCGGATAAGATCTACCGCTTCTTGGTCGCTACACACATCCCAGAGCTAATTGTCTTTGTTAGCACAAAGAGTCATAAGTGAAATGATCCAAGGGTTCAAACTTACACCATCACAGGCGAGGATGATAAACTCATCTGAGTCGGGTTGGATCACTGTTTCGGTAGTATACGGATGTCCAGTTACCAGATCCTTGAGGTAAGCGTCACCAAGGGCTCTAGTTACGGCAAGCACTCCATTGACGCGATTGTTCAATATTAGTCCGCCTGCATTAGCTATCCGTTTCCCCTCGTTCTCATCGCTTCCCTTGTGATCATACGACAAGCGGAGTGCCTTGCCGTTACGGCAGAGGATAATGCGGGCATCTCCCACATTAGCAGTGTAGAGGACACGCTGGCGGAGGGATTTCTCCTGTAGTTTGGGAAGGATAGATGCCGCACCACCTGATACGGCGGCCTGAGTAGGCGTATCGCCTGCATCCGAATCGGCGTCGCCCTTCGAGGCAGCGGCAGCGGCAGGTGCAAGGGCAGCCGACCCCGTTGCAGAATGCAGACTGGGTACACGGTCTTCCCATCTGAGGAGGGCAATGACCGCAGTACAACCACTGTTCTTCAAAGGCAGTTTCTCCAGCTGCTGGTCCACGCTGGTAAACGTTTGATCCAGGAGTTCTGGGACAGGTGTGTTGGGATTCTTCCGCATGACATCTTCCAAGATGAGATGCAGCTTTTTCCCGCACCATTCCGCCGCAAAAGTGCCTGCATGTCCATCGAAGATAGCGAAATAACCATTGTCGGTTTCTACGACGGTAGCGGGGGGCTCTTCAGAAGTAGGTGAGGGGGCAGTGGGACTCGGGAGAGCTTTGCCATTGTTCTCAGCCTGGGCTAAAGGTGCGGGGGTCCCCAAGAAATTGTAGAGGTAGGCATGGGTATCTTCCATAGTCCGGCGACATTTTCGATTCCGGTCTTCCGTCACGCCAACTTTGAATGAAGAACGAGAAGTGGGGAGGGATTCTCCAGCCGAATTATTTAACGACCCTTGGGGAACACTCAAAGCTGGGTCCATGCTCCCAAGCCTGTTTAACGAAGGCTGTTCTTGGATGGTGTAGTTGTTGAAGGAGTTCTCGCGCGGACTGCTCGATAGGCTGAGGGAGTTCTTAGCGCTGGTGAAGAAGGATGCTGCTTTGGTGACGGTGCTACTCCGGCGCTTCTTCTCGCCACCAGGGTTGTTCTGGTCCTCGCTGGTCCGCCGGGTGAAAAAGCCGCCAGGAGGAGAGGACTTCTTCTGGCTGACACTGGCTTCCTCGGTGTGGATGCTCAAAGGAGGCGTGTCAATGGCACCTGAACGAGCGATGGAATCTGTCTTGTCTTTGGGTGGGCTCGAGGAGCCACTGAACATTCTGTTCAGCAACCCACCCTGGCTAGAAAAACTTCTCCGCTTATTCCCTGCCAGCTTGATGATAGTTGATGGGTAAGGGGGCTTAAAACCGGATCAAAAGTGCGAGAGAGTGCGGAGGGGGGCGGCGGCGGCGGCGCGTGGGGAAGGGGGGGGGCGCCAAAGAATGAAAGCCGCCGGGAGGACTGACGTAGGATGAGAATTGCGGCGGAGGCGAGATGATCTAGCTGGGTAGACAAGGCATGTCAGCGTCTCGATCCACTCCAAGACCAAGTTTCCAGCTAAGCACGATGGTAGTGGGATATGCTTGAAGAATCCGATGGCTTCCAGCCAGCAATGCGGGCGGGCAAGTGACATCGTGGTCAGGCAACGCCGGATGCATGCTGTGGAGCGACTATATACACCCTTCTTCCGGCGACAAGCGAACAGTGGCAGAAAAAGCATTCGAAACACAAAATATTTCATTCCGGAATAAATGCATCCATGTCGGAAGTTCAGACTGAAGCTAAGAGAGGCACGTTATAGCAAGCGTCCTAAGCTCTCACCTTCCGAGCCAACCCCACTGCGCGCCGGAGGGACAGGGTTACAGAGCGACCACGGGGAGCAAGGATGCAGAAGGAACCGAGGACACTCACGGAGATAGGGGAGAAAGATTGGCGATAGGCTGGATTGTATGTCGACAAGGATGTGGAGAAGATTAAAAGAAAGGGGAGGGATGCGCAACAGTCGGATGTTGCGATGATGGGGTGGAGGGGAGGGGAGAAGGAAAGGGAAGAGGAAGTTGGTATGGATCGGAGGTAATACTCAGTAGTAGTAAGTAAGTAGTCAGTAGGTGGTGGTAAGTGAGGCGGGCTCGGGATGGGCCCTTTATTATTAGCAATCGTTGGTTCCTCCGGGAGGGAAGGACGCTAGAAAAAAGGGTACTGGTTACTTGTTACTTGGTACTACTTGCAAGTTCGCACCGGCACTACCAACTCACTACGGAGCACAACTCCCGCTAAAACGACAGTCTGGCTACTATTTTGGGAGGCGGTCAATTGCGTTCATTATAACGTGACCCTGAAGGATGGGGTGCGTGGAGGATGACGCAGCGGCAAAATCCAGATGAGAGATAAGTGAAAAAAACATTGCGAGGCTCAAATACTAATGGTGACGGTGCCAAAACTTTCTGTTTCCTATTGATCTGTTTTTTTGTACATAAGACCATTAAATAACATGCAAGGTCTTGTGTTTGGATTATTTCTCCTAGTAGCCCAGAAACCCGAAACCACCACAACAAGTATTGTAGATCCGAACCATACAGTAAACCAAGCCCAATCCGTAAGTTTTACCATCAACGCCTATTGTTATACACATATAGAATAATATCCCCGTTGTATATGAACTTCTAATCCCAAGAACTGAAATCCCCAAACCCGCCTCCGCCCTTGAATTTCTTCCGCATTGGCTCAGGTTCGGGCTCGTCATCTACAAATTCCACGATCTCATCCTCCTCCTGCCCAGCCCTTTCGGCCAGCGCAGCTTTCAGGTACTTGCCTACCCCACCAGAACCTTCGTCTTTCGCACCGGTTCCTGCACCACGGACTCTTTTGCCCGTCCAGGTGATCCGGTCGTCTTCGGCGCGACGCGCATTCTCCTCTTCTTCCTCGGGGTTAACAATCTGGCCCTGCGCCTTGGCCTCCTCGGTTTGTTTCTGCTTCAGAAACTCTTCAAACGGGTCCACAAACACTGTCACATCGGTAATACGGATGTCCGGAGTAGGCCGATTAGTAGTAGGGTTCGTCGGGTGCAGTTCGAGGTTGTTCAAGGTCGTGGAGGAGGGCGTGGGGTCATCAATGACATGACCGAAGATGGTGTGCTTGTTGTTGAGATGGGGCAAGGCACGATAAGCAATGAAGCTAGTCAAGGGTAACTCGTTAGCGCGGCCAGGCACTCCTCCAGCTTGATCGCGGGAACTTACAATTGACTGCTGTTCGTATTTTTGCCTTTGTTGGCCATACTGAGAGTGCCTCGGGAATCGTGCTTCAGTGGGCCTTCAAACTCGTCGTTGAAGTACTTCCCCCAAATACTTTCACCTCCCCTTCCAGTACCAGAGGGATCACCACCCTGGATCATGAATCCCTTGATGTTGCGATGGAAGGTGACATCTCTATAGTAGCCCTTCTTCGCCAGTTTGATGAAGTTCCACACGGCCTTCGGTGCGTATTCCGTATGCAATTCCAAGTTGACATCCCCGACGTTAGTCGAAATGCGAGCATAGCCCTTCTGCTTCACTCGGCCTCTCTTCAGCATGTACTCCTCGTCGGACAAAAGCGCAAGCTCGGCAGAGGTGTGGGGCGTCATCCCCGTACTGGTGAATGAGGCGGCAGCCAAACCAGTAGTGTGTTTGGCCGCATTATACGGCACAGCCTTGCCAGATTGAAACGACGCCGTCTTCTGAGACAGCGCCGCATTTCCCGCACTTCCAGATTTAGCCAATTCTTTCGAAGTAGCCGTAGAACCGACACGTTGCGACCTCTCTGCGCGTGCCTTGGCCACAGCTTCCTTGGCCTTTAGAATCTTGGCCGAACTGCCCAGCGCGTTGACGTTCACATTGTTCGAAGGATCCTCCCGTTCCCGGATCTGCTCGTCTGTCAATCCACTCTCGCCTTCCTTGAGATAGTTGAACGAGCTTAAGTTCCGCGACTCGACGTTCTGCGGGTCCTGTAACGTAATGATGTCCTTGCGGGTGAACTCCTCGTCCGTAACCAGATCACGCCACAGCTTTCCCTTGATGTTCAACCGTTCGACCGTATCCCAAGCGAAGACATTCCCCGTGTTCCGTAGCGCGACAATGTGCGTGTTGTCCGTGAAAACCTTGTACGTGACCGGATCGACATACTCGTCGGATTCGTTCTTCGCGAGATGCAGCTTGATGAGATCGGAGCTTTTGAGAGGCGCGCCATTCACGGGATTCGTTCCGTGTTTCTTTATCCAGGGGAGAATGTTGGTGAGGTCGAAGATGGTGCCCGACGGGGTGCAAACCGGGTGCGAGAACGGCTGTAGTGAAAGGGAGCAGAAGTTGAAGGGGAGGCGCTTGAAGGCCGTATCTACTCCTCCTCGCTTCGCTCTGCCCACCCCTGCTCCAGCGCTGGCAGAAAATGCATCCTCCGATGCCCATTCAGAGTGCGTGATCTATGTCAGTCGTTGAGTTAGTCCATGCGCGTTCCGATAAGCGATAGAGCGCGGAAAGGGAAGAACAAATCTTCAACGGGAGGGGAGTTCATACATATAACTTATCCGTCCCTAAACAAGTGAGCGAGTAGGTTAGCCTTCTGCATAGCGATGTTGGGGAATCTTGCCGAACCAACCTTTACCCATCCTGGCGACAGAAGCTTCAGATGCCTGGTGCAGCAGCTCTTGCTTTTGCGATCCTGTCGCCGCGCTCCGAGGCCTGGAATATGATGTATTGCGGTTTCCAGATCTAGCCGATTTCGGCTAGACTGTCCACAGATGACCCTCGTTCTGTAACGGTTATACGGGGATGATACCAGTCACGGGATCGGCATTTCGAACCCATCGAGCATTCGTTATTAGAAACTAGAGACTATATGTTGCAAACTAGAAACCAAAGTAGACATGGCATGAGGTCATATCAATTGCTAAACTACACTACACACTATCATACATACATAATGTAATCAGCGCTCCAGAGGCGCCATCGTCACAATAAATCATGCCTTTTCCACCACTAAACCACGCATTGCTAGTGGGATTCTCCTGTCTTCCAGTAACGCCCCAATGTATGGCTCATTTTGTTTACCTTCATGGTCATTGAATCATCATTAAGCATGCCCATCTCGTTTAGCGGCTCAAACGGGAGGGGGCTGGTAGCGTAATGGCACCACCCACCGGTTTCCAAAGTCGATCCCATGCCGCCGCCGACTGCCATATTTTCTCCAGACTATCTGAGGAATGCCAATGTCGGCCACAGAGAGATTCCATGATAGTCCCTCCCCGGAGAGTAGCGCAGTGACAACCCCTGTTTTAGGAGCCCCGAGACAAACCACGGATTTCGAATTGACGCATAGCCGGCCCCCTTCCACTGTAGTAACCTCGCCTATAAAACACGTTAGCACCGACGTCAAACAGGGTACAATAACCGGCATACTGACCACTCATAGCAGACAGCCCCGAAGGCACGTCTACGGATAAAATTTCCAGGTTGCTTCGGTTGGCCCAAGATATCATCTCAAAGGCAGTGGCTTGGTCATCCGTGCGAAGGTCATCAAATGCTATGTGGATCCCGAACAAGGCGTCGACGACCAAGTCAGGCGCGAATTCGGATGTCGAGAGCCGGGTCGATAGGTCTTCCCACCGGTGTACACGGCCGCCAATCTTCTTAAATACCTCGAGCTGCTTCCGACAACTTTCTAGCAACTCATTCTCGTGCTCGATGCCTAGCATACAGACAGTCACGCGGTGGCCCCGATTGCGAAGATGGCGAGCCGCCGATACGGCACGGGCTCCGGTTCGGTGATTGCCTGTCAGCACCAACATCGTGGGCGCCGCGGCATCGCTAGTAAGAAGTCCAACAGCAGCTTCCGCGATACCACGTCCCGTATTTTCCGTAATCATGTCCTCGGTCAGTCCGAGTTCGGCAACTGCAATCTGCTCAACCTCAAGGGTTTGCAATGGACTGACAGTTGGGCAGCTTCGATTGGTTGTAGTGAGCCGCAATGAGCCTCCAGGTACACCAGGGGCACTTATTGGGGATGCTGAAACGGAGGTCTTGTTCGGTCGAGGGCTGGTTGTGCGAGACGTGCTTAGCTGACTGCGCCCGAGGGAATTGATCTGCGGTGGCACCAGCGGCTGACCCAAAATGGCGCTTCCTTTGCGAGAGCTCGGTGCACGAGACGTCCTCGACCGTTCCCTACCAGAATAGGTGCCGCTGCTCAGTTTTGCATCGCTGGGTATCTGGTCGGTATCCTCGCTCTCGGTCTCCTCAGGGCTGTCAAGGACGTTTTCTGTCCAATGCAGGTTCTTCCCACCATTTGTTCCAGGCTTTGGTACTTTCCTGTTGAAGCTAACCAGCCGATCTTCATCAGCAGTAGTATCATCGTTACGAATTTCTTCGAACACCTTTCTCTTGTCGAATTTGGAAAGGTTGCTCTGGAAGTCGAACTCGCCCATCTCCTGGATATCCGTCGCATCCTCTGTAGCCCAGCCATTAGGATCCTCTGCATAGTTCGACCTGTTGTTTTTCTTCTTCCGGCGTTGTTTATTGAGCGACTTGTTCATCTGCGGATAAGACGGCTCGACGAAAGCAGTCTGGCGCCAGCCTTTGCTTCTTGGGTCCGTATTCGTCGCCCCATCGTGTTCGTTGACTGCCTTTTGGGTCCTCGGTTGGCCAGTGCGACGATTGGCTTTCGCGGCGGACTGCGGAGTTGATTGCGATGAAACCAAATTCTCCCTTCCAGCGGGGACAGGGCCACTTGGCACGGCGCTGCGACTCTCATTTGCGGTCTTTCCAACATCAAGTTCCAGGTTGCTGAACGGTTCGTTGAGCACAGCAGCTTGATCACGATGAGCCACTTGCGGAAATTGAAAGTTCTGCGAAGTGGACCGGCTAATGGAAGGGGCTGGAAGCTGTGCAGGACCCGACTCTGCGCCCTGGCCAGATGGCGCAGAAGGTGGCTTCGAAAAACTTAGAATCGCCGGGTCCACGAAGCTTTGTGACGAAGTTGGGGGCGGAGGTGCGGGGGCTATGTTTTGAGATCCCTGAGGCGGCGGCGGACGCTGTGTGATGCGCGGAGTCGAAGGTCCCAAAGAAAGATCCGCGATATCAGGCGCTTCAATTGAATACGTAGGGAGCGGGTGTCCGATCCAGGAGAGTTTCACTGGATGAAAAAATTGGCATGAGATCCTTTCAGAAGGGGAATAACGATGCTAAGCATAGGGCGGAGGGGAGAAGGGTTATACCTACCATTTCGGAGCATGAGACGTTGGCCGATGACATTAGCCACTTCTCCCTGCACAGTTGCATTTGGTGGCGCTCGCAGCGTCACAAGCACATCGTAGCCGATAAATTCAGCCGCCATGATCGGCAGTGTGCACGAGTACCACCGCTATCCAAAGAGCCGGGAATAGAACACGCCACGGACCGGAAGGAGCCCCGACAAGGTCGCCAAAGGTGATGTGGATTGGGGTCAGCTTGTGCTTGCTTGCTTCTTTGCTCTTGGCTCAGGCATCACGTGTGGCTGGGCTCTTATCGATAAGGGAGGCACGAGACCCGCTCGGTGGGGTTCGCGTTTCCTCTGAATCTAGACTAAGTATCAAGAATCTAGATCCTGGTATAAACACTACTGCTATTGATTCATTGATCTTTTGAGAGAACTATATTCATTCACTCACTTCAATTGAATCAGTCGTGGGTACTGACCTGACTCTGTTACATAATTATTCTTCAAAGGCCGGCTCGATGCGGCGATGTAGTTGGCTCCCGTTTCCCCCATTCCTTGACCTTCCCTGCATCTCCCACTGCTACTTTTTAGTACATTTCTTCATCATTACTCGTACTGTAATACTTGTGAATGCTTGGTATTATCAGTTCTAAACCGTCGTGTTGGGTCAATTGATTGTTCGTCTGGATGAACTGTATGTGGCATAAGTTCACCTCCGGTACTATATATGTTCCGCCTCAACTGGCAGCTTGTCTCATAGTAACTTCACATTGTACAGTGATAGAGTGCTATCTTCTTTGAAAGACGGGCTTACGAACCTCAATTGTCATTGCCATACTGGTAATTAGATATTTGTATCTATAGCTGCTGATTTCTGGGTAGGGCAGACGTGGAAGAAAGTGACGGCACACCTAAAGAACACACCACAATCTATGAGGACTCCACGACTTCAATCATAGACCTCCACAACCAAGCAGCTGTCCGACTATGATTGACGGTGACAAACTTTGCCCAGAAATCTCCCAAGGTTTTCGAGGCTATTGCTGCTTTGATATTCTAGTCGGAGAGAATGCTTCAGCAACTAGCTCTGATGGGCCTCTCCCCGTCGAAGTGAAGTCACAGCTTTGGATTATAGTGCTATCAAGGTCAGAAGTTAGTTCTTCGCGAGGCAATTAAGTCCATACACCAGTGAAAGGCGATTTACAGTCTATATACATTTTCAAATGATCCTTCTATGTCTACTACGTGCCTTTCGAATATACACCATGACAGTTCTTTGCTTGTGGAAGCTGAACTTGGTTGCCAAACATTGTCGTATCAATGCTTGGTTCTCCCTTGTGTCTGATCCTCAAGCCCGACATAATAAAGCTCGATTATATCATACTATCAACGATTTCGTACGCAACACCTCAATTTCATCAGGAGATCCAAGTATCATGGTTCCTTTCTCCTGTATATATCTATGAACCGAGCACTCAACTGTGATGTTGGATTTGCTTAGCATCCACGGAACAAGACAGAGTGTAATTTCTTCACTCTGAAAACGAATAGCAGCTGAAGTCTTCACGGAATGCAGAAACTCCGCTCGCAAAGACAACATGTCTGACTTCCATCAAAAACCTAATTGTTCATCATGAAGTACCAACCGAACAATTCATCCCGTCAGGATTCATGACTACGACGAGTTCAGTGGGCGAGATTAAACGACGTGGACCGGGCCCATGCTCCAATATCATGTCTTCGACGACGAAAAGAGTTCCGGAGAAAGCAGCAGACTCGTTGAACTATAACCACCGACCATGACGCTGGGGCATTACAAAATCATGCCAGCTACTGCTATCATGTATGGCTCCGCGGAGCACCATTCCCAATTCGAGCAGTTATTGAATGTAGCCAAGGTTTGGCAACTCACTCTGAGCTGGAGCACAGACCGCGTGCATGCCTGCATGCCATTCCCCGTGGGTCAGTTACGGGTTCAGGATCCTCTCGTACGTGGAATGAGAGATCATTTCTTGGAGGATGGAAAGAAGCCCAGCATAGGAGAATTGCCCTCAGTACCTTCACAATCTCCTGGTCAACTAAGGAAGAGCATCAGAGGGCCCTCTCGATGTGGCAGACAACAATGATAGTGCCAGCACCCAAGTAATCATCGCTCCATAGCCGCCACCAGCCAGTAGCTAAGAGACAGTCAGCCTTAAGCCTGTGGGTGTTGATTCGCGCAAACTAATCGCGGTCAACGGCAAATGCGGACGAAGTACAACAAGCTAGCTCAGTCACTTCGTTCGCAACGGGACCAAGGGTGCATTTGTTTGTTGGGGATATCCGTTTCACTCCACTTCATATTCTGAAGAAGCAGCGTCATCGAGACAACTTGAATTATCCTTAGTATGAATATCCAATGAGCTGCTACGACACAGATAACACGGGATGAATGGAACATAAGATTTGGGAGTTCATTTTGGGCGAACTCATGCGCTGTGATCAGGAGAAGCGGAAACTAACTCGCCTGTACATACACTAGCACGATGCTTGGTATGGGTTGGGCGATAACTTATTAGACATTCATGTTGGCGAGGTTCCTTTCAGCTTTGACTTCCAGGGTGCGGATTGGACTGACTGACGGAAGTGGTGGGTGTTGAGCGAGGTGGAAGACTTTTCATACTAGATATGAAATGACCATGGTAGAGAAAAGCGGTGTGAATATATATAAATCTATACGATGATCTGATGATTTGATAGGAAGCCAGTAGTAGTATAACTCACTCGGAGATATTTGGATTACATTTGTAGAGAGTTCATTGGCTGAGACAGGAACGACACAAGCGAAGATATCATAGTAACTACTATAGTATGATAATATTAGCAAGTCCAGTAGACAGCCACACCAGGTCATATCACAAAATACATAGAAAGAAGGATTGATAATTCATTCTTCTCCTGACAATGAGCCCCTAATATAAGCAAATGGTCTAAGAATGATATACACTCCCATATCACCCATATAAATGCTCTAAATAATCCTGCTCGAAATCATCCTCAGGATCCGGGCCACCACCACCACCCGACTTCGGCTTCTTCGAAGCCTTCATCACATCACTAATACTAACAAGCTTAGAATAAAAATCCGTAACCTTCGGATGAACCATGACCTTGCGCGCCTCGAACCGCATGACCTGAAGACCAGCTTTCGAGGTCGCTCGACTCAGCGCAACATAGGCCTGACCCTTCTCAAACACGCGGCCCAAATCAACCTTCACCCGCTGCAGCGTCTGCCCCTGCGCCTTATGGATGGACAAAGCCCAAGCCAGAATAAGCGGCACCTGTTGGCGCTGCGCCTGCACCTCTCCGTTTGGAAGCTCGATCTTCCACGTCTCCGGCTGGCAGAGGAGATGGCGTTCGGTTCCGTCAGGCTGCACGAAGCATACGAGGGGCCATTTACGGGTGAGCGTTATGCCGCCGGGACCACTGCCGTCCTTGTTGGCGGCCATGGGCTTGAGTTTCTTGCGTGCGCGAGCCATGATCTCGTCGTCGCTGTTGTTGCCTGCTTCTCCTGCCCCCCCTGAGAATTCGTTCTCGTTGTCGATGTAGTAGTCGAAGGTGGCTTCGTCCATGAATGCCACGACACGGCCGATGGAGCCGTTGACGAGCGTGTCTTCCATGTTTTTGATGAGCATGACTTGCGCTCCCTTTTTGAGGTGGATCACTGGTGGCGCCATGCAGTTGGCTAGTAGGCGTTCGCGGAATTGGGGGTCTTGGATTGTGCCGCTGTCGACGGCGTTGAAGGTCATTGTTTCGCCAGATAGGCGGCTCATTCGGGCGCCGTTGGCGCTCTCGACTTCTTGGCGCGTGGGGAACCTGGGGTGAAGTGAGCTGGGTGCTTAATTTTGGGATGGGATTGGTGGTGTGGGTGTGTGCCAGGCTTACAGTTCGGTGGCCTCGAGGGAGTCATGGAAGTCGAGAGGCCGAGAAAGCTGTTTGAATGTGTCGATGGTCCGTGGTGAGATCTTTCCCAGGCGAAGCTCGTTGAGCATGTCGGCGAATTCGGGGTCTCGTTGACGGAAAATATGGGTTAGGAGGATGGTGTGTTGTATGGAGGTGTTCCAGGTCGCAGCTGCGAATGCAAATTTGGCTTCTCGGTTGCTGCCCTCTGGGACGGGAGGGAGTTGGAAAAAGTCACCGGTGACTACTAGTTGTATACCTCCGAAAGGACGACCATTATTCCTAATGCGACGCGCGATTTCCTCTAGCTTGTCGAAGAGATCGCCGTCGACCATGGACACTTCATCGACGATCAGAACCTTGGTGCGCATCCAACGATTGCGGGCTTTCTGATTCTTCTTGATCTATAGGTAGTTAGCAAATGTCTATTGGTGTGGTCCGCCGACGCCAATGCTGACCTTCTTGACAAGCTCCGGAACAGGTTCCTTCCCCAGTCCAATACCTGCGAAACTGTGAAGAGTCACGCCCTCGATATTACACGCTGCTAAGCCAGTAGATGCTGTTACCGCAACCCTGTCCGGCTCTTTCTTATACTTATCACGCAGTTTCTTGATGATTTCCCTCATAAGCACCGACTTGCCCGTTCCGGCAGATCCTGTAAAGAATATACTCTTCCCTTGCTGTACAACCGCGTCCAGGACATGGCGTTGCTCATCGCTGAGAAAGATTGAAGCCACCTTCGTGCGAGGGTTGTGTATTTGACCGCTTGCTTGTGCTTTCATAGTTTTATTCTGCCGACGCAGTTCCCTTTGCCCATCCTTGATCGCGCTATATGATTGATTCCAGGGATCCGTACGTTTCGGCCGTATAGGCGTTTGCGGTTTCAGAGACGGTGGTTCTGGTTCTGGTTCCGGCTCGTCTTTCAGCCATGGTAAAGTTCGAGGCTTCTTGGTCGGTTGTTGGAAGTGGGAGGGGGGCGAAGAAGACCATGGGATTTGTATGCTGCTGGAAGGCGGAACGCTCTCATCTGGAACTGGAGGTAAATCAGGATATTTAACCTCCGCTGCCACCTTGCTCGGCGAAGTCAAGTCGACTATCGGTATATCTTCCTCTTGCGCAGCTATGTCATGGAGGGACGGGTACTTGGGCGGTTCGGATTTCGGGACGCTCGGTCTGGTTATGGGGGCAGGGGGAATGAATGGATCGGGTTCCTCAAAGTCCAGGTCGTCATCGTCGTCGAAGTCGTTCTCATCGAAGTAGACACCGTCGTGGAGGGACCCCAGATTAGACTCTCGCACGGTAGCCATCTCAATCTTGCGCTTAACCCCTGTGGACGGCGGCGGGGGTCTCATCGAAGCACTTCCATTATTGCTGCGCGTAAGCGTGGACTGTAGCGGAGTCGCTGACGCTACTGAATGTTCCTTGACGGCTTTCTTGAACATCACAGCTTCCTCTCTAACCGGCGAAGTTCGCGATGCGGAGTATCTAGTAGAGGCCGTTGGCGATTTCAAGATTGGACCATTGGAAAGGAATTGGCGGAGTATACCTGGGGCCGACGTGCGGTGTCTGGAAAGGTACATATACTTGAAATCAAAATAAGTTGGAGTTGCAGCACTCGCCTGCCCTGAACAATCTATCGATGAGACTATTCAATTATTCGCCGGCGCGTTTTGGCGATACGCGCCGCGCCACAACTTATCGCTCACGTGATGCCGATAAGGGCTGGCTTGTCAATGCCCTTTGCACGTGCAAATGTCTAACGTCTATAGAATACTGCCTCTACCTCAGGAGATGTCATTGTGCTCCGAAATAGGAGATTAACAGCATTTCAGGCTATAACTAAGTAGTAACATCTTCACTGCAAGAAACCTTTCGATGTTCGATATATCGCACCGCCATTTCTCCCTTGTCCGTTGGACATCCCCCTCATTTCACCTTTAGTTCGTCGAGAAACTATACGGACAGCTTCACTACGGTTCTTCTCAATCCAAGTTGTCTTTCGGAACTACATTGGTGATGGCATCTTGTTGTCTTGGCTTCCTCGCCTTGAAGAGCATAACCTGGCCCATGATCCACGAATCCACCTCCTCAAAGTTCCGACGAAGGCCCTCATCAAACTGAGCCTTGTTGTCCTCCGAGTTATGGAAAGACTTTGTATTGTTGTTGTAGCTGTTCATCATTTTCTGTCCCAGCCAGTTGATTGGTACACCCTGACCAAGGACAGTCGTTCCCACAAGCACGCCGTCCTCCGCCAGATGCGGCCGCACCACGTCGAACAGCTTGCACTTTTCTTCAGGTGTCCCCGGCATACAGTGCAACAGGAAGAAAACACTAATTGAGTTGAACTTTTTGGTCTTGTCGAAGGGAAGTGGCTCCAGGGCCGAAGCCACGACAGTGTTCACGCGGACCGCCTCCCGGCCTACCGTCTCCAGGATGCGCTGCTCGGTAGCCTGAAGCGAGTTGGGACTGAGGTCCAGGAGGGTGATTTCAGTACATTTGGCGCCGGCCTTTAGGCTCTTTGCTGGGTAGTAGCCTGTGCCGACGCCGATGTCGAGGTGGCTCTGACCCATGGCGGCGTTGAACAATGGGAGCTGGACGGTTGAGGTTGGGCATTTCCATGCAAACTTGTTGGAAACCCATAGGACCCAGAAATCATAGAAATAGCGGAGAAGAAATGGAGTATAGAGTGCAATCCCTTCGTTCAAGGATGTAGGTGTTTTTGGTGAAGCTGTCATGGTTGATTCTGTAATGAGGGCTGCGTGTGAGAAGGTGTGCGTGTGTGCGTGTGCCTTCACTTTTCTTTCTTTCCTTTTCCCTTGGAAAGGAATTACGGGCAAGAAAACAATGACGAGGTAGAAAAGGACACCCCTGGTAGTAATGAGAAGAATGTATGGAAAGCTTAACACGAAGACACTATCCAAGCCTTGTGAAGGTCAGTCTCGCCCAGGGTTCGTCTTATCCTTTGATAACGGCACATGTATCATCTCGGCCTTGTTGTTCTCCAATATTGTCTTCAATTATTACTTGACAGGAATGTTGGCTATCTTATCTCTTCTGGAAACTTTCTCCCCCTCACCCCTTGCCTACATTATTTCCCGATGAGCGATTTTTTTCCATTGTTCTTCGACCCAGAGTAGACCATTCCATGAGGATGCCTTGCCGGAAGACATTCCTGTGCGACAAGCAGAAGTCATGTCATAAGTTACACTGACAACCGTTTCGGCAGATATATGTCTCGGTAACCCTATCACGGTTAAGGGGAGACTCTAAACAGTAGTGTTCCCTTGCCTGAGATTCCATCCATCAGCTATGCATTCCATCCATTCAGGCAATGGTCAACTTCTACTGTTGAACAGGGCTGGCATCCATCTGTGTCTAGACATTTAGTGATCACGACATCGTGGACCGGGCAGCAGCCAATTCCACCATGATAATGCATCCAGCCTGCGAATCCTTAGGAATGACGCGTATCAAAGACCGCAGGGAATAGGTCCTCATGACACACCGCAGCTCCTGTCTGGGTATCGGTATAATGCCGGCCTATGATATACGGGCCTGGTAAGTGTGGTGCCACCTTTTTCTGCCTGAGAACTAGACAATATACCCTACCAGCCTAATTTGATATATCGTATTCCCATCTTTGTTCTCGTGAATTTTTGTTCTTAGTCCTGTCTTCCACAGGATTAGTTCATAACAAAGAAGAATAGCAAGAAAGAATCGACAGCCATGGTACCGGAGGACGACTTCAACCTCACTGATGACCCATCGAAGCTCGGTCACAATGTCGTTTCCCTCTTCGACCAAACTCAGACCCGATACTCCCCAAAGGCCGCCATAGTATGCGGGGAGCATACCCTCACATACGGTGCTCTTGCATCTGATTCGGATCGCCTGGCCTGCCTCCTCCTGTCGCGAGGCATCAGCCGTGGCCATGTGGTGGCTCTTGCACTGGACCGCACACCAGACCTGATCATGTTCATTTTCGGCGTCTTGAAAGCGGGTGCGACATATGTACCCGTTGATCCTGCTTTACCCCCCGAGCGTGTCAACCAGATGCTGGATGATGAAGCGCTGCGTCTGGTGATAGTTAGTCCCGTTAGTACCAAAGGGGGGGCGGGCACCGGTCGATATGATTATGGCAATAAGGCAGTCTGCTGCACCACGAGCGAGCTGCAAGATCAGATGAGATATCAAGCGGACAAGAGGCCAGCTGTGGATATTCAGCCAGATGACATTGCCTATATTCTGTACACATCTGGATCCACGGGCAAGCCTAAGGGCGTGGAAATTCATCACGCCGCTATATGCAACTATGCCCTGTCGGTACATCAAAGACCCGGCTGTACTGACCAGGACCGCGTGCTTTTCAAAAGCACCATCTCGTTTGATATGGCCGCGTTTGAGATATACGTGCCATTGCTGTGCGGCGCTACAGTCGTGCAGGCACAGGCATATGAGATCGAGGATCCCCGCGCGCTGATGCATCTCATTGATCGGCACAGCGTCACCTTCTCCGTGGCGACGCCGACCATTCTACAGATGATGCTGGACAGCGGTTGGTGCGGCACGCCAGGCTTCTCTAAGTTGGTTACCGGTGGCGAGGCACTGTCACCTCGCCTGGCAGAGCGCCTAACCGCGTGTGTTGAAGAAGTATGGAACCTTTACGGCCCGACTGAGACAACAGCCAGCGTGGCTGCTTGGAAAGTTGAAGTCGGTGAGGACATATTGATTGGAACGCCTAACCCGAACACACGGCTATATGTCCTCGACGCCGACTTGCAGCCCGTGCCGGTTGGCAGCACCGGTGAACTGTATATTAGCGGAGCAGGCGTTGCTCGTGGATATCGGAACAATCCAGAGCGCACCAAGGCTGCGTTTCTTCCGGATCCTTTCTGGGAAGGCCATACTATGTACAAGTCAGGAGACTTGGCATGCTTCTTGGATTCCAGGAGACTGGCCGTCATCGGTCGGGCAGACACGCAAATCAAGATTCGCGGGCAAAGAATTGATCCTGGCGATGTTGAGGCATCCATCACAGCTCACGCGGATATTGCCAATGCCGTTGTGGTCAACCGAGACGAGCGGCTCGTCGCATACTGTATACGAAAGCCGGGCGTTGGCAGCGCTGAGGTTGCTCTAGCCAAGTTGCTACGCCCCTGGCTAGAAGGCCGCCTTCCCGGGTACATGGTCCCCTCGTTCTTCGTCGAAGTCGATCGATTTCCTTCTACGCTCAACGGCAAAGTGGATCTCCGGGCACTGCCCGATCCCATCTCGACCATCACACCGGCGAAAATACCAGCTTCTACACTGACACAACAACTGCTGGCTATATGGACCGATGTGCTAGGCCACGGTCAGATTGGCATGCAGGACAGCTTCTTCCACATTGGCGGCAACTCGGCGAGCATCATTCAGGTCCAGACCAAACTGGAGAAGCTTCTGGGTCGGCCAGTGCCGGTGCCAGAACTGTATGAGCACTTCACCATTGCCAACCTTGCTGCATATCTCTCTGATCAAACCCAGACCAATGAGGTTACCGAAGAGACGAAAAACCCTGCTGGGAACGATACCACCGGTGAAGATATTGCTGTCATTTCCATGGCGTGCAGACTGCCCGGCGATATTCACACGCCAGAAGAATTTTGGAAGGTTCTCATCAGCGGCACCGATGCCGTCACCAGGGTTCCTGAGGAGCGCTGGGATGCTGATGCCATTTACGACCCGGACCCGGAGGCCCGCGGCAAGTCCTACAGCACGGGTGGCGGCTTCGTCAGGGACGCCATGGATTTCGATGCGCAATTCTTTGGAATCTCCCCTCGCGAGGCCCGGGCTATCGACCCCGCGCAGACCATGATCCTGGAAACATGCTGGGAGGGCTTCGAACGGGCAGGGTATGGCACCAAGTCCCTGCGGGGCAGCCAGACTGGTGTCTTCATCGGGACCGGTAACAGTTCTGTGGATGACGGCCAGCTAAGCGCCGCCGGCACAGAGAAGTTTGAAGGACACCTTGGACTTGGCACGGCACCGAGCTCGCTCTCTGGTCGCGTAGCATATGCTCTGGGGCTTGAGGGTCCTACGATGACTTTGGATGCTGGGTGCGCTGCCTCGCTGGTCGCCACGCATGTGGCATGCTCAGCACTTCGCCAAGGCGAGTGTGACATGGCTGTGGCTGGCGGCGTCACATTCTTGCCTTCTCCTGGTTTGCATATTGAGTTTAGCCGCATTCGCGTTGCATCACCAGATGGTCGCTCGCGACCGTTTTCAGCGGACGCAGCTGGGATGGGACTGGGTGAAGGTGCCTCGGCTGTGGTTCTGAAGCGTCTGTCGGATGCGCAGCGCGACAACGATCATATCCATGCTATAATTCGTGGTTCGGCGGTCAATCACGGCGGTCGCGGCGCTAGCATGACAGCACCGAGTGGACCAGGCCAGAAGCGTGTTGTCCGCGCAGCGCTGGCGGCTGCGCGCCTAAAGCCATATGATATTGACTATGTCGAGGCGCATGGGACTGGCACCAGACTAGGAGATCCCGTCGAGGCCTCAGCTTTGGCGGAAGTATTTAGCAGCAGCCGCGATGATATTACTGGGCCGCTGAGGATTGGTTCGTCAAAGTCCAATATCGCACATACGCAGGCGGCGGCCGGCCTCGCCGGCCTTATCAAAGTGGCTCTGGCAATGCAACACAACATGCTGCCACAGACACTGCATAGTAGTCAGCCCAGCCCTCTGATCGACTGGGTGGGTGGCAAGTTGCAGCTTCTCCAACGGCCAATGGCATGGCTACCCAGAACAAACGATCCGACTGCTCCGCGAAGAGCGGGAATTAACTCGTTCGGATTATCGGGCACTAACGCCCATGCTATAATTGAAGAGCCCCCGAGGGCTCACTCAAATGCTAATGGCGCCGATGATGATGATAATGATGATGATGCGAGGTTGCCTTTGCCGCTGCCATTCCTCCTTTCCGCCTATACAAGTGAAGCACTGCGTCAGCAAGCACAGAAATTATGCAATCACCTCTCCAGTGCCACTGCACAAACCAAGCTGTCTGATGTATCCTACTCGCTGGCGACTACTCGTACGCATTTCCCACGACGTATCATTCTTGCAGCACAAGACAAGACTGAACTTATGGGCAGGCTAGCAAGCATTATCGACAACGGAGTACGGGCAACTGCTGACAACAACAAAACAGCTCGCGTGGCGATGTTGTTCTCTGGGCAGGGCACTGAACGGGCCAGGATGGGCAAGGGTCTTGCTGAACGCCACCTTGTATTCCGCAACACTGTCAGTCACATTGCAGAACTCTTCGAGTCGGTCCTGGAAAAACCACTGCTGGATGTCATGTGGGCAGAGCCTGAGAGCGAGGCCGCTTCTCTACTGCGGCGTACGGATTATGCCCAACCAGCTATTTTTACACTCCAGGTAGGACTATGGAGACTGTGGCAGAGCTGGGGTGTCCAGCCAGCAGTCGTGCTAGGCCATAGCGTTGGCGAAATTGCGGCCGCGCACGTCGCCGGAATCATGAATCTAGCAGACGCTTGCCGCTTGGTCGCAGCCCGAGGGAAACTGATGCATGCGCTGCCTGAAAGTGGTAGTATGGTGGCGCTTGAAGCCGGCGTAGACGAGGTCACTTCAGCCATCGAGCAGCTCAGTGCACGCGACAGGGTGTCGATTGCCAGTATCAACACCCCAACGCAAGTGGTTGCATCTGGAGAAATGGATGTCATTGACAAGTTAGCAGCTTATTTCAAGGCTCAAAACCGGTCTTCTAAAATCCTCAAAACCAGTCGCGCGTTCCATTCGCACCATCTGGATGAAAGCATGCTTGCATCGTTACGCGCCGTCGCAGAAACCATTGTGTTCCAGGAGCAAACGCTGCCTATCGTCAGCACAGTCACAGGAAAACTGGCAGAGCCTGGACAACTTAGCAGTGCGGATTACTGGGTCCGACAAGCTCGCAATCCAGTCCTGTTCGCTGAAGGCATGCAGACCCTCGCTGACCAGGGCGCGAATTGCTTTGTCGAATTGGGTCCAGCATCGACACTGTGTGGTATGGGAGCTTCATGTCTCGATGGGGACCTTAGTCAGACGAGCAAAGTGGCCGACCGCGAAGGCGTAAAGAACCTGGTCTGGCTGCCCTCGTTAAACTCCAAGAGCGACGACGCTCTAGTGATCCAGAACAGTCTCTCCGACCTGCACATACGAAAAGTGGAGATCGACTGGGCAGCGTTCTTCGAAGACATTGGCGGGCGCCGCATCCAGCTACCTACGTACGCATTTCAGCGACATCGGTATTGGCTGGACGGTTTGCGGCCAATATACAGCGGTAAATCATCTGGCCAACCTTCTGGCCAGTCTCCTTCGGGTTGCCCCCAACCCACTGGCCAAATTCAAGTTGGATGGCACACTATTGATGCGAGTAGCCAGTATTCCAATTCAACTTGGGGTCTCCTCTGTCCAGCAAGTGATGCGCCATGGATGTCACCGGTGAAGGAAGCATTGTTGCACGCCGAAAAGCAACCTATCACGGTCAATCAGCTCGCGGAAGCCAAAGCGATGAGCGGCGTGCTTTGTTTCTGGGAATCAGACAGTGAAGACGACATGATCTCCAAGGCATCTGAGCAATTGCAGACCGTGTCACGAATTGGGTTCTCTCCCTGGGTAGTCTGGGTGACGCGGGGTGCTGTGGGAGCCGGAAATATGGGCGAGGCATCGCTATGGGGGATGATGCGAAGCGCGCGCGTCAAATATCCTCAACTCTGTCTACGTATCGTGGACTTGGAAGGTGACGTTAACATCGCTACAGCCACCAAACTCTGCTCAATCTTGATGATGAGTACCGAACCTGAATGTGTTGTGCTTGGTGAACGAGTGCTCATCCCGCGAATGCAGATTCAGATGCAGGCGCAGGTCCAGGAGGTCCAGAAGCATAGTAAGCTGTGCGTAAACGGTCAAGAGACGACCAACGGAGCAACCGCAGCTGCAAAGCCAAATGGGACGGACAGCTTCGAGAACAAGATCAGGATGGCTGGGCGCGAGGAGAGGGCGATGATGCTTCAGCGACTAGTACGGGAGATAACTGCCAAAGCACTTGGTGTGGCGACTGCTGAGGAAGTAGATATGCACCAGGGGTTCATGGATGTTGGAGTGGATTCATTAGGAGCAATTCAAATGCGCAAAGAGCTTTCGGCGCAGACAGGGGTGAAGTTGCCAGCTAACTTGACCAGAGTGTATCCGGATCCTATCTCACTTTCCGATGCTCTGCAGAAGCAGGTAGATGGTCAGTAGCTAGCAGGTTCTTTATAGTCAGATAGAATAATAGATTAATGAGAGGTTGTTAATGCTGTCCGGTACTCTTTCACTCCTGACTAGACATGGAAATCACCATGTTACTTACTATTAGTATTGGTTCGGGAATACTACGGCCAGCACTATTCGTGGAACTCCTTGCCATCGATGGCTTCGAGGACGTCCTCCTGCATCTGTAATTCATCACGTGACACCGTATACTCCAAGACGCGCTTCCGCGCGGAGCTCCGCAAGAGCGAATTTCAGATCGGCGCAATAGTCCCAGGCTGATTCCTGCCAATCATGAAGCATGGCAGAGAAAGTAACCTCAAGTCAGTATTCCATTTATCTCCGCATATAACAGAAGGCAGACTAATTCCTCTTTAGACAAGGAGCATCCTCTTGCGGGGGTGGTCCTCTGCTTTACCTCCATTTTACCAGAGCAGCGGGTATGCTAAACACCCTCTAATGCGAGTACTTCTCGTTATTGTTTATAAGGAAAGAGGGAAATACTGATGGGTATCTGTCGCATCTAGTCTGAACTCGCTATCGTCGCAAGTCAGATGGGAGCAACCCACAAGTTTGACCTTACCTCCGACGTCACTCATCTACTCATCGGCGAAGTCAATACTCCGAAGTACAAGTTCGTGGCGCGCGAGCGGACTGATATCACAGTCCTGAGACCAGAATGGGTCGAAGCTGTTCGTCAATCATGGATGCAGGGAGGGGATACAGATATTCGTTCTCTGGAAAAAGAGTACAAATTTCCCACGTTTGCTGGGTTGTCTATCTGCATCACGGGATTCGAGGATAGTGAGTAGGAATCACCGTACAATCGGCGCACTGGAAGACTGGTCTAATGCTCGATGCTATAGTGTCGCTACGCAATCGTATCCAGGATACGGTCACTGCCCATGGAGCCGAGTTCCGGAAAGACCTCACCAAGAACGTCACTCAATTGATCGCCAGGAATACGGAGGGTGAGAAATACAAATTCGCAACGCAGTGGGGTATCAGGATTGTCACGGTGAAGTGGTTCGAGGATAGTCTTGAGCGTGGCATGGTACTGGAAGAAACTCTTTATCACCCTCTTCTGCCTGATGAGCAACAGGGCGCTGGTGCCTGGAATCGATCGCTGCCTACTCCGAAACCGAAGGTTACCAATAACGAAAACCCCTCCAACCCGAGACCGAGAAAACTTCGAAGAATTGCAAGCGCTAAGTTAGGTGATCAAAATGAAGGGATTTGGGGCGATATTGTCGGTACGGGTTTCGACAGCAGCGATCCGAGGCCATCTAGAGAAAGTCTGCAGAGGACCCTGTCTTTGACAAAGAGGCCTTCTATCCTCCAAGAGTCGCGCTCATTTGCCAGCGAGACTACCTTTGCAGAAGTGCAGGAGCCCCTACAACCGCCCCCGCCCCCTCCGGCAGCTGTAGAGCGTCACGAAGGGTTTCTGGGCGATTGTTTCTTTTTCATTCATGGGTTCTCTACTAAACAGGTTAGTGTGCATACCCTTGGACTTCCTTTTCACCTTCTAACTTTTCAAGACAAACGTATTGCGGGACCATCTCTCCTTCAACGGTGCAGAGCTGGTGGGCTCCTTGAGCGAGTTTTCCCGACCAGACATACCCAAAAGGGGCCATGGCCTCTATACTATCGTGCCCTACAAGATGCCCCGCTCACAGGTCCCATCCACGGATGACTTGGCTTTCGAATGCGAAGTGGTAACCGACATGTGGTTGGAAAGATGTCTCGATGCGAAGACGCTGGTGCCGCCAGAGTCCCACACAGCGAACACTCCGATCCCTTCATTCCCCATCAAAGGTAAAGCCCCAATCAGCTCCCGTTAGACGTCTAGCTGACAGTCCTAGGATTCGCGGGACTGAAGGTCTGCTCTACTGGCTTCTCCCGAATTGACCTCCTCCATCTATCAAAGCTCGTTAACCTCGTTGGTAAGTTGTCCCAAGCAGTTGAAGTACTCTGTCTAATTCTCTAGGTGCCACCTACCACGAGTACTTGACACCCAGCGCCTCCGTACTTATATGCAATGACTCCGGCCCCGTGAACCCGGAGAAGCTGCGACACACCCAAGAATGGGGTGTCCCTGCTGTATCCGCCGACTGGCTCTGGGCCTCGATCCGCAACGAACAAAAACAACCATTCGACCAATACTTAATTCAAAAGCAACCCACGCAAAGCCGAAAGTCTCTGGAACCTCGAGCCGGTTCTCGCCCAGAGCAGAAGCAACCATCCAACAGTAACGAGCACCCACGTCCCAGACATGAGCATGAGCACGAGCAATCAAAACCGAAAACAAGCAAGGCACAACCTCCAGACACATCCTCATCGGACCCCGAACCCAACACCAAACCCTCACCCGCAGCCCAAACCACCACCTCCCCCCTCAAGCGCAAACCATCCGATCAACACCCTTCAACATCAATATCAACCACAACCACCCAATCCGCCCTCAACCAAGCCGTAACCAGTCTCCTCAAAAACGCCCGACCAGCCCAGCCCTCCGAACCCAGCACCGGCCCCGACGACCGCCATCGACCCCAACGAGGTCGGAGACCCCTCCTCGGCCGGGCCCCATCCTCTCTCGACCACCCCAAACACTTCTCCTTCTCCCGCGCCAGCTCAATCGACACCCTGAACGAAGACGGATGCGGCAGCGTCGTCGAATCCACCACCACAACCACTACCAATTCCCGAATCCCCTCCCTGTCTCACACCCACAGCAACCAATACGAGTATCAGTACCCAGAGCGCAACGCCACCCTCGAAGAAGAGGATGAAAATGAGGCCCCGCCCATGACACAGCTGGACTACGAGGACCCGGATGCAGTAGCCATGCGGGAGAAATTCCTTCAAAAGGCGGGGAAGGTGGTTGAGAAGAAGAAGTCGAATGATCTAGTAGCGGAGGGGAGACTCGTTCCCGGGTTAGAGAATGGGGCGTGGGGGACGGCGAGGAGGACGAGGCATACGAATCGTGCGTTGGATAATCTGTAATCAGAATTTGATCTGTGTTGGATTTCGCTTTGTTGGGTTAGGTATATTATATATGAATACGTACGTAATTCTGCGTATGTGTGGGCCGAGTGAGGAAGTGAGCGGGTATGAAATTCTTATGGGATAGTATGAGATTGATGGTGTCTTTGTTTTGGACAATCATTGGGTCCGTGATGTTCTGCTGTTGAGTTTATGCATAGCATGGCGTCTCTGTCCTGAATGACAACCTTACTACTAGCTACTAGGGCAAGTTAGGATTGGTTAGAATCGATGCTTTGCTGTACTTTCTATGGAGTACATCTCCCGAATTGGTGAGTGCTTGCAGCCTAGTTCTCGATGTCGCCCTAAACTCGCATCATGGAAATAATGAATCCTACTATAACCGACAATACTATGACACGATTCCGACAATTAGAGAAAGGGAAAGTAAACAAAGCATAATAGTAATAAAGGCACAGCCTCAATCTAGTTAATACCTAAGCTGAAAGCCACATATACTAAACCCATAGGCATGACTAGAGTAAGCAGGCAATAGGTATGCAATTAAGCTCTAAGACGCCAATCAACGATGGTGATACGCCAGAAACTGAAACTACTAATCATCATCCATAAGCTGACGATAGCAATCATCAACCAGCCCTATCCTGCAAGGGATGAGGGTAATGATGCAAATAAAGATAAAGAGGGAAAGGATGAAGGGGAGGTGAATGTACACACACGAGGGGGATATTTTGAGTGGCAAAGGAAACGAGGAGGAGGGAAGTAAGAAAAAATTGTCAGCCAGGCTAACACTTCTGTTGAACAGACAGGGAATAGTAGCAGTAGCAGTAGCAAGTTCGTACAGCATCATTATGTTATGTTTTGTACAGTTGTCAAAGATAAAGGGGGATAAGAAAAAGAAAGGAAAAAACCAGAGTTGGTATTTAAGCATGGGCTGCCAGGCCACCGGGTAAGGGAGCATCGAGATCGATGTTTTCGACCGAGGTGCGGTTCTCGCCGCTCTCGCGGAACAAGTTCGAGAAGTACTTGCAGGCGGCGTCGCTTTCCTGCTTGGTCTTGCTGACTTCGTGCTTGCGGCGGCCGAGATCTTCGATGTCTTGTGCCAGGCTTGTTTGCAGGTTTCCGGCGGGGAGGCGCAGAATGCGGCGCACTTCGGAGGAGATGCGCGTCGCGTTGGAGTGGACGTAGTCCATCTCCGAGAGGGTGGCGGCGAGCTTGCGTGAGAGACGAGGAGGGAGAGTCGTTGGGATCGAAGAGACCATGTAGGCGGCTGTCAGGGCGGCTGGTTTAGTCAGTTAGTGAACAGTTCAATAGTATGACTTATAGGGTGGGACTCACCAATGGCCATAACACCAGGAATGAACAGGCGGCGCAGATTGTTCGGTCCAAGGAACTTGACTGCGCTGAAAACGCTGTCGACCCAGCTGAGTCCACCAAAGGCACGGCCTGTAAGAACGGTAACGGCGGTCATAGCCATACCTGTACCGGCCACCTTCTCTTGGCGCTCCCAGATGCCCGAGACGTCGAAAAAGTCCCATAGTTCCACTTCCGTGTGCACTTGTCTAGCGAGCGTGTGACGACGACCACGACGGAACATCATATCTGCGCGGAAGTTCAATGGCGCAAACTTGTCCTCCCCAACATGAAGGAGACCAATGTTCTGGATGAACCCGACGCCCTTTACCGTCTTCTCGCGAGCGTAGTCCTCGCAGCCAGTGACAGCCGAAGCGATCTGCTCTAGCATGGCCACCTTCAGGTCTTCGGCATATTGGAATGCGGAGAGGAAACCCGGGTATTCAACGCCCAGATCAGCCTCCGAAACACGGGCGATGGTGTCGCCCAGAGTAGACCGGGTGTGGTTGTAGACATCGTCGCAAGACTCGTCGACAAGCTTCTCGACTTGGTCACCAATCTCAATCTTCTTCCTCTTACCGTCCTCATACGCCGGCTCAAGCTCCGCCAGCTCGTCCGTGACGCGCTTGAGCTCGTTCTGAGCGACGTCGCGGTTCACCGAGGCCAACGAGTTGATGTCGGCAAGCAGGTTCAGGAGGTAAGTCCTGGCCGGAGCAAGCTTCGAGCGAGAGCGCTTTTCAAGAACGAAGCGGCGCAATGAACCCTCCAGGTTCTCAAAGTCTTGAATCTTCTCCCTCTCCTTGCCCTTTCCTTTATCCTTCTTGCCGGAAGGCTTATCGTCGTCATCATCAGAGTCATCACCATCACCACCACCGGAACCAGAGCTCTCCACCGAAATCGGGGGTGCTACCGGGATAGCATTACTCGAGACGAAGTGCACCAGCTCAGCCGCTTCCTTGTATGTGCGGGGACTAAGCTTGCCGATCTGGTCCAAGATCATCCGCTCACAGCGCTGCTTGTCGCGAATCTGGTCGAAGCCGTTGACAACGATGAACATATAAGCTTTCTCATGGGCAGCGTTAAGAATAAACTCCTTTGCAGAAAGAGTGAAATGGTTTGCAGCGGAAACCACAAAAACGACCACATCAATCTCCTCCTGTCGGGCAAAGACCGCCGTCGTCTTCAGCGAGTCCGAGTTCAGACCAGGCGCATCAATCAGAGCGATATCCACCACTCCGTTGTTGAGAAGAGATTCGTCGATCGTCCGCACATCCTTCACGTAGACCTTGCACTGCATGTACTTGGAGTTGTCGATGACAATGTTCTCCAGCTCATGGAGCGCATACACGTCGTAGGTACTCTCATCGTTGCGGTTGTAAAGCACATCCTTGTGCACGGCATGAACCTCCTCAACACCGCTGTTCTCGCGCGCATCGAGAACCTCACAGAAGATGCTCGTGCATGGCTGCTGATCCTCGGGGAGGACCTTGCGCCGCAACAGCGCATTACAGAAAGTCGATTTTCCAGCGTTCAAATCACCTGTAATCAAGACCTTGCTCGATGTATCCTCAATCCGATCCCGCAGCGACAACAGGTGCTTAATACTCTGGCTGATCTTGCCGTCCAGTAGCGATGCAATGGACGCTTTCTCTAGCGAGTGCACCAGCTCCGCCTGGGACAGCGCACCCAGCTTCAAATCCAGCTTGAGAATCGAAAATTCCTGCGCAATCTGGGGGCTCATCAACCTCGGTTCGGACGGTACGCGACGCTCAGCCGCAGCGCTAGATTCAGCCAAATCCTCGCCACCGGTCATCGTGGCAGCGCGTCTGATCATTCCGGGACGGGGTAAATCTTCCGATTCGATGCTTGTCTCTCCGAAAAATGACTGTCTCTTCTGCATGGCGGGCTTCGGCGCAGGGGAGCCCGGGGCGCTCTGGGAGGAGGGATAATGCGCGGGCCACTGGCGGTTCATATCCTGAAGCTCTTTGAGGGTTTCGATAGTGCGCGAGATGGCACGCGCGAGCTTAGTGCGATTCGAGTTGCTGTAGTTCGAAGAAGAGCGGACTGGTCAGTGTCTGCGCATCCCATAAGAGAAAAAAAAAAAATAGTAAAAACCACATACTATAATAATTGATGAACATGGCTAGCAACAACCTGTCTCTCATGCTCCACTGTAAACCCGCGGTCAGTCAACTTCCATTTGACAACATAAACCATATCCGTTTTCCTCCGGGGCAAACGAACCGGCAGGATTCCACTCTCCCAGATGCGTAGGGGTATGCATGGGTGTCGGGCGATCGACCATCAAATCGGCCTTCCAGTCGCCACTAGCATCACCATCCATCACACTTCCGCTGGGAATACTGCCTCCATAGCCGGAATCTTCATGCAGGGAAGCCATCAAGGCGGTCGCGCTCTCAGAGGTTGAGCCATTGCCGACGGTCATGTATGCAGGCGGGGGTCTCGGAAACATAGTAGAACTACTAGTGCTGGGAAGGCGTTCCTCCTCCGTCGGCGGAGGAGGATGGGCGTGAGAGGGCGAGGAGGACGAGGGTGAGGATGAACCTTCGCCGGCAGAGGAGGCGCCCTGGCCGGGGAAATACTCCTGACTCATGGCGACCGACAAGGAAAGAATGAGGGGAGTTGCAGGGGATGGAAAGCCATCAATCGGTGACGCGAAGATGGAAGAAACGAAAGATTCCCTGGAAAAGCCGAAAGGGGTTTGGTCTGGTTTTCTGCATGTGACGCTGTTTTATTACCGGAGTAAATTAACTAGAGTATGTAATTAATGTGTATGGTATGGTACGGTTACCTTGATGTCACTCAACTAAAGAAGTAGCCTGACATTCTATCCTCATCCTCATCCTCTTCGCTACTTATCAATTCATGATTTCTGGCCCTTCTCTTCTTCCTCCTTCGCCCACAAGCTGCATGTCATTTCCCTCCCGCCGGGACAGCAATCACCATTGAATCCTACCCCAGCCCCCAAATACCCCCACTATGAACGTATGTCCCTATCTATCTGATCTATCCACCTAACCTTTCCCCTTCCCCGCATCCCCCAAACTCAACCCAATACCGACAACAAACAAACAAACTAACCACCATCCCCACCAGATCGTCGAATGGGCCTTCGGCAAGCGCATGACGCCCGCCGAGCGTCTGCGCAAACATCAACGAGCGCTCGACCGAACCCAGCGCGAACTGGACCGCGAACGAGTCAAGCTTGAGAACCAGGAGAAGAAGCTAGTCCAGGATATCAAGAAGAGCGCGAAGAATGGGCAGATTGGGGCTTGTAAGATCCAGGCGAAGGATCTGGTGAGGACGAGGAGGTGCGTTCCCCAGTCATTTGACTCTTATTTTCAAAGTATGGTGGTTGGTATGCTAATGATGCGGGAACAGATATATCCAGAAATTCTACCAGATGCGGACACAGCTACAGGCTATTTCGCTGCGGATTCAGGTATGATCCCATTCTTTCATTTTACACATCAGTCATAAACTCACAAGGTAAATGGATAGACGGTACGAAGCAACGAACAAATGATGCAGTCAATGAAAGGCGCAACGATGCTACTAGGCAGCATGAACCGACAGATGAATCTCCCCGCATTGCAACGAATCGCAATGGAGTTCGAACGAGAGAACGATATCATGGATCAACGACAGGAAATGATGGATGAGGCGATTGACGAAGCAACGGGACTGGAGGGCGAGGAGGAAGAAGGCGAGGATATCGTCAAGGAGGTTCTTGATGAAATTGGTGTGGATCTTAGCCAGGCGGTTCGTTTTCCTCCTCTTCGCATGGGATTGGATGAGGTATATGATGCTGACATACTGCTTAGCTGGGAGAAACACCCACCGATATACAAATGACAGCCGTGGGCGAGACGAGAGTTGCGCAAGCGGTTGGAGCTGGGGGTGGTGGTGGTGGTGGTGGTGCGAATACGAGTGATGATGACTTGCAGGCGCGATTGGATAGTCTGCGGAGGTGATGTGATTCATACTACTTATGATGGTATGAGTACATTTATTTGCTATAACCATATTATTTACTCCTTGCACTTTCTGTTACGCGGGTTTTATGTTTCAAACGGGGTTAGGGTAATTGGGTTTGCATTGATTCCATCCATGAGCAATTTGACTCGATATCAATGATATATATATAGATACAATTACTTCTTGCTCGTATGCCGAAGAAGTAGAAGAAAGCGCGATCATTATTTTGCCCATCTCGCCTGCGAGACTGACAATCTAGTCAACAAACCCACGATTAATCCGACATCCATCCATTCACTAGTACTGCGTAGAAATAACTCAACCAGCAGCCTTCGTCCTCCTCTCCTGCGCCATCCACTCTTCCCGATAACTCGCCTGCCCAAACCAAGGCATGGACAACAGCTCCTGCAACTTCGGTCTCTCCTCAGGGTCCTTCGTAAACATAACCCTCAGCATATCCACACAATCCTGCGATAGCTCATCACTAACGGGCAACTCCTCTCTAATAATGCGCCTCCGCCGCTGCCTTATCTTTCGCGCTCTCCGGGCCTGCTGTGCGGCACCCTGGCCCCTGGTCCAATCGACAAGGCGCCCGATATCCGGATCTGGGTTTGGCTCTTCCCAAGGCGCGAAGCCGTGCAGGAGCTCGTAGAAGATGCAGCCGAGTTGCCAGAGGGTAAGGCAGCGGACGTCGTGGCGGAGGGGGATTTGGACGGTGCGGGAGCGGAATTTGGTATTGTTGTATTCGGGTTTTAGCAGTTCGGTGGCGAGTTCGGGAGTCATGAATTTCTCGTAGTTGGCGATGTAGGGCGTGTGGCTTTTTTGGAAGTCGGCGTCGTGGAGGCCGAAGTGAATGAGGCCGAGGTCGATTAGGGTTGTCTGTTTTTGGGGAAGGGTTAGTGGGTGGTTTCTTTCTGGAGGTTGTTGTAGGGATTTGCTTGTAGGGAGGAGAAGGGAGTTTACATTTGAGTCATCATCGAGTAGGTAGTTGACGTGAGAGATGTCTGTGTGGCAGAGTCGTATGTCATATAGGTATGCTGTTGCTTCCAGCAGTTGGGTTGATATCTTGCAGGCCTCGGTTTCGAGCAGTGTAGTCTTCTTTTCTTTCGAGTCAAGCCGAAAGGATCCGCTAGTTGGGCGGAACATATTCTGATTCTCGCACCAGTCCTCCGTTTCGGAATACGGGTTGTATTCCTTTTCACGGACTTCCTTTCGGACCGTAGCTTCCATTACTGTTGCCTTGTACTTGCCGTGGGAGTAGACGGAGTCCAGCATCGGGAACCGCTTACAGCCAGCCATGAGCAGCAGAAGGTAGGCCTCCATTGGAATATAGCGGAAGTCATGCGGCTCCTGGTAGTATAGAGGTGCCACACTCGGATGTAAGCTCCGTTTTCTCACGTCGGTGTTGATGGTCGATAGAGTCTCGACCTTGATTGCGTATAATTTTTGTTCGGCTGCAGGTCTGGTATCACTTCCTAGAGTTTGGGGTCAGGAGACAGAACTAGTCAGATTGAGTATTCCGGATGCTTACGCTTATGAGCCAGGAAGACGACTCCAAAGGCTGTGGATATGCGTAAGCTGAGATTCCAAGAGCACAAGAGGAGTCAGAATTTCATACTTCCAGACCCCAGAATACCCCGAAGTACAAACTCGTCGAGCAGTTTGGGACAGAGACTAGCGCGGTACGTATCAGGCACGTTCTCCTCGCCTTGGCGATAGATAGTAGAATGTTGGTCGTGTATGCACTGCTGGTATCTATAACTATCTGTTCGATGCTGCCCGTCCACCTTGTGCGTGCATTTGGATACCTCTGTTTCCCCTCTGGCTTGCATGCTGGCGTAGTAGCGTCTTGAGAGCACCTCGTGGAGTTGGGGATGCTCGGTTGCCAGCAGGCTTTCGGGTTGTAAAAGATCGTGGATCAGTGCTGCCAGGCTAGACTTCCAATCGAAGATGTGGCCCCATATTTCCCCATGCTCTGCAGCACTTACGAGATGAGCATTAGTCAGGACCCCGACGAGGCGGGCGAATTCGCGGCTCCAGAACATCTGATCTGTGTTATCGGCCGCCATTGCGAGTATGTCAAAAGATGTTGAAATAGGGTTTGGGGGTAGCTGTTGTGCTCCTCGCGGTAGTTTGAATAGAAGCGGGCTTTTATAGTAGTGGATGTAACCTGAAGGCCTCCAGGAGCGCCACAGATAAGACCGACAAGAGAATGCATTGCGAATAATCAATGGGCTCCTTACATTCACATAAAGAGCCTTTGTTCTAACTGGGCTATTGTTGGAAGTGAGCACGCCGAGAAGAAAGCACCCGGTCTGAGAGTGATGGTTCACATTGTTGCAGTCGAAACATCTATACGGAGAACAAAGGTTGTGGACGCCAACCAGGACCCTACTACAAAATCAACGGCAAAAAAGGCACTTTCTTTCGGGTATAGTCTTGAGATACCCTAACTGGACCATGACTCGCAACAACGGCCCAAATCATCTATTTGATAGATCACATGGACGCAACATTTTGGAGGATGAATGTGCTGCTTAAAGTTTAACTTTCAGTCACCTAGGGTTTCTTTCAGTGTTCATTCTTGTGCTTGTGGAGGGACTGTTAGAAAACGGAGATGCCAATATTTTCCTGTCTGGCAATGTCATGTTCCGATATAGATTCTATAAGTCATGGAAGGAGGGTGTACTAAGACTGAACATCCAATGAGATCCGCGCAACCTGCAGGATGGGCCCAGCTGAGGCCTGGAGCACCTGCAGGTATTCGCCATGAGTCATGGCTGGTCCGGCCTATCATCAACGCGGGCAGCCGTTCTCAACACGACTAGCAAGGAAGATGACGATATCCTTCGCCTGGGCTCCTAAAGGAGGGGGAGAAAAGTACCGTTTCATGGGTGGTGATAATGGTGGCGGTGGTGATCCTTCTGCTGCTGCTGGTGGCGGTCATCCAAGACGACAGAGCGGAATAGAACATTTCCACCATCGCATGCAGCACGATCAGCATAACAGGAAAAGAGCCCATGACATGCAGCATTTGCGGGAGACTTCTATACGTTTCGGTATGTAGGGAAGTGGATTGATCCACACTACTTCAATGACAGTGACGGGCAAGCAGAACATGTCTCTTTGAACCAGACGGACAGACGGCGGCAAAGGGGGGTTTGGCTGCAGAACCGGCGCATCCTTGCGGCCAATCAGGCTTGTGGGAAGTAGAATTTCATTGTTGGGCAACAGCGCTGAATGGCGGTTAGGCTGCAGCGATGTTCGTCCTGGACTGTGAAAGCCTGGGCCTGAACACAGTAGCAAACCCGCTAGTCGGTCGGCCACATGCAGGTAGTGTGCACCATGACGGCGGCCTTGCTTGTTCTTTTCTCTTCATCTTCCATCTGATGGTCTTGCTCGTCCGTCATCGCCCATCCAACATCAGATCAGACTTTTGCTGCCGCCTTGTTACTCCGGGCTGTAGTTGCTGGTCGCCCTGGAAAGATGTTGGGTTTTCTTACTTGCTGCTGCATCGCCCCATACCATTGCGGCTGAGGAAGGCAGCCTGCGATACGAAGCCCGGGCAAACACGCGGCCAGAGAGGCAGTCGCGGGCTCGCGACTACCGATTATCATTCATCGAGAAGAGGGGGGTGGATATAAAAAGACGCAGGCCAAAGGGGCGAATGATAAGGCGCCAAAATTGCCAGGGCAGTTCCCCTTGGCCATGCCCGGGCGATGTCGCGCCCTGCTAATTCCGTCTTGCGCAGCGATGGAGGGACCTGCGCGCTTTTCCCCTGGTCCTTTCATTTCGACGGCGCGTCGTGATTGAACGATTCTCATGGTCACAAGCAAAGACTCCAGTAGCTCCGCGACCATGATATCCCGAATCTTTTGGGGTTGGGTGGTTGCTTCTGCTGGGCATGCAGCTTGCCAAACCTAATGGCAAGGCAGAAAGCACCAGGGATCTTCATCTCCTGAAACAATCTTACACCATGATTATTGCCGGAAGTCCGTCGACATTAAAAGAGGCCAGTTGACCCCTCCATGGCCCTTCCCTTGCGCGTTCGGAGATATAAGGAGGCTATACTTGCTCGCTCTTTGCTCTTGACCCCGCTTCCCCCATTTTCCGTTTTATCCGATTCCCATCCCATCTCCTAGGGTTTCTGCTTCTGCTCGGGCTCTTCTTCTCCTTCTTGTTGCTTATCTTAACAGCTCCCTCCTCCCTGCCTGAGGATTGACATACTTACGAGTCCCCGTGGCCGCATCCTCTCGGTCCCCAACAGGAGCGGAGTCTTACAGTATGGCCGTCATCAACCAAAACAACAACAACAATAACAACCAGGTGCCTCCTGCACCTCCAACCCACCATCCACCTATGCGCCCGAATGAGGGCGTTCGTGTGGCGCAAGCGGGCTCACCACGTCCCATGAACTCGGAGTATTTGGTCCATCAGATGCATCGGCTCAATGTTCAACCGGAGAAGCCCCAGGCTGTCAACAATCCGAAGCCCAAGGAGACCACTGTCGTGGAGGAGATTGATGCTCGTGCTCCCTTCTACTACCTGGGGTACACCTTCTTCAAGGCCGATGCCGTGCCCGGGCACAAGTCCACCTGGAACCACGTGGAGCGGACCAAGATGAACCTCAGCCAGTCCGATCTGATGAAGCTGGTGCACAAGCGAACCAAGAAGATCCCCATTGCGGAGCAATACCAGTCCCTGTCCAAGGTCAAGCGTGCGCATGTGGATCAGCTGATCAGCGAACTTAGGAAGAGTGATCCCCATTTTGAATGGACCTGCGTCTATGTCAAGGAGGACGAGAAGCCATTCAAGGGTAAGAATTCCCGGCGGGGTGACTATGAGACGCTCTCCGTGAACGTCGTCATTATGAGAAAGGCTACAGATCTGGTGTTTCCCAAGATACCTGTCGACGACCATGTGGATGTGGAGGCCCTTCCTAAGCCCCAGGACCGGGTGCCAACAACTCACGTGCACAACAATCCATCCGACTCGGGACCAAAGGGAATGCCTAGGAGCATGCAGCCCAGTGAGCCACTGGTCGGTCCTACTATCCATCAGGGGCCAATGCCACCGGCCTTGAACCATAACCAGCAGCCTCTGCCTACGAGGTTCCATCAATCACCTCCCCATCAGTCACCTTCCCATCAGCCGCCTCCCCAGCTTCCTCAAGGATATCCGGGACCAAGACCACATATGGCCCAAGGGCCTTGGCCGTGGGTGCACGGGATGCCAGCTGCTATGCAGCCCCATCACGCTCAACCAGGCATGCCTGTCTCTACGATGCCTGCGACTGCTATGCCCGATTCTGCAATGCCTGCTCCTGTCATGCCCGGTGCTGCGATGTCTGGCCAAGCCACAGTTCCGCACATGGTGGCTCAACCGAATGGGCTGCGAGGCGTCCACATGGCGGCTGGGATGTTCCACCAACGGCAAGGATTTGATCCCCGCGCCCATTTCTCCGGCCAGCAAGAGACCCATCCTTCTGACAAAGCCCCTGCTCCTACCACTCCCCCCGCTCCTCCGGAGACTAAGCCCGAGAACGTCAGGCCCTCAACCCCAGCGGCAGATCCCGAGCTGGAACTGGGACTAGAGTCGAGTAGTGTGGGGGACGATGAATCCGTGTTCGACTTTGACGACGACAGCTCCATCACCGATAGCTCCGATGAAGAGCCGGAACTGGAAGATAAACCCCAGCCGTGGCGCGGCAGTCTATATCGTCGACACTCTGCTCCACGAGCTAAGCATGCGTACCGCACCCATTATCGGAAGCAGCCCCAGAAGAACGGATCGGACAGCAAGGCCAGCCGGTCAGGGTATCCCAATGGCTGCATTGACGTGGTGCCTGCTGACAGTAAGCATGTCGACCCACGCAACGAGGGTGTAGTTAGTGCTGGCGGTGGTGGTGGTGGAAGTGGTCCCAGTCAAGAAGTGAGCCGGCCGGCGCGGGACCGGCCCAAGATCATCCATGCGCCAGTTAGTACGGACGAGTTGGATTTGGAGCAACTTTTGGCCGAGAGGGCAGAGCGGTTCCGAGGGGGGCGGGCCCGGAACGATATTCGGGCGCGAATACTGGATGATCGTGAGGCCCGATTGGAGCATCGCGAGCGGATGGTGGTATACCGCGCCCGCGTGCTGGAGGAACGGGAACGCTTGGACGATGCATGTTACCTCGGACGACGCATGTCCCTGCGCGAGCCGGGCACCTTCTATGGTCCTCGACGATATTACCTCCCGGAGGGGCTTCAATGATGGTGCAGGGGTCCTTGGGGGTTAGCTACATAGTACTAGTCCGATTAGGGAGGAAAGAGGGGGGGAATGGAAGGGGAATCGCTTCATTGTTTTTCCCTGGGAGAGTCAGTTTACCAGTGGATTTTCGGGTATTTGCATTTTGGGATCGGGTGAAGGAGGGATCGAAGTGGGTATCTCATAACGTCATGGGGGGGAAAGACAAAAGTTCCATCGGAAGCTGCAGTTCAACCGCGCACACACAGACACACACACACACACCCTGAAGATTATTATCTCTCATCCTTGTGCAATAGCAATGTTATAATATAGGGGGTTTGTCACGCGCCAAGTTACCCATTCCCAAAGGACACACCGAGTAGATGCTTCGTTATATAGACTAGTAGAAGATGAGTAGAGAGATGGAGAGAATAAGAAAGAGAAAGAGGGGAGAGAAGAAAGAGTTGCCAGCTCAGCGAGTGACTTATCGATAAGCCCCGCCCGTGCTCTCTTCATAGTAACAACTGGTTACTACGACCAGTTAGTAGTTCACTAGTAACTAGTAAGTAGTAACTGGTAGCAGTGCTGGCAGCTGCCCCTCTCTCGGTTCCCCCAGCGTCATTCATCCTTCCGGTTCTTCTTCTTCCCTCTTTCTTCTTCTTCTTCTCTCTCTCTCTCTTCTCTCCTTTTTCTTCTTCTTCCTTTATACCTAAATTCTTTTACTCACTTTCTTCCACAATTCCCTTCTTCAGACACTCTCCCCGTCTTTTCCAATCACACCAACACATCTTCAAAATGCCTCGTCAATTCTTCGTGGGTGGTAACTTCAAGATGTATGGGAACCCCTCCATCCGCTGCCCCGCCAGCTCTTCCACCAAAAACTGCTTCACCCTCAACGAGCCCGCTGGCTAACGACTGATTTCTACGTTGCTCTCACACAGGAACGGTACTGCGGACAGCATTACCTCCATCATCAAGAACCTCAATGCCGCCAAGTTGGACGAGTCCGCCGAGGTGGTTGTCTCTCCCCCCACCCTCTACCTGCTCCCCGCCCGCCAGGCCGCCGGCGAGAAGATCGGCGTCGCCGCCCAGAACGTCTTCGACAAGCCCAATGGTGCTTTCACCGGTGAGATCAGTGTTGAGCAGCTCCGTGATGTCAAGATCGACTGGACCATCATCGGTCACAGCGAGCGCCGTGTCATCCTGAAGGAGAGCGACGAGGTAGGTCTACCCCGCCAAATATTATGGTTTGGGTTGGGCTAATTTAATGCCCCATCTAGTTCATTGCCCGCAAGGTCAAGGCCGCCATTGACGGTGGCCTCAGCGTTATCTTCTGCATTGGTGAGACTCTTGAGGTATGTGGGCCTGTAGTTTTTTGCTTTTTGTCTCTTTGACTTCTGCGACTACCCCTCTTCGAGCTCGCGGTGACCCGGTGAGATGAACCGAGACTAATGCAACCCCCCAGGAGCGTGAGGCCAACAAGACCATCGACGTTGTCACCAAGCAGCTCAACGCTGTTGCCAAGGAGCTCACCAAGGAGCAGTGGGCTAAGGTTGTTATCGCCTACGAGCCCGTCTGGTAAGTTCACGATCATTTCGTCTGGCCTTGCTCGTCGCACGTGCGCTAACCCCATTCAGGGCTATCGGTACCGGCAAGGTCGCCACGACCGCCCAGGCCCAGGAGGTCCACGCTGCTATCCGCAAGTGGCTCGTCGATGCCATCTCTGCCGAGGCTGCCGACAACACCCGCATCATCTACGGTGGTTCCGTCAGCGAGAAGAACTGCCGTGACCTGGCCAAGGAGGCCGATGTCGACGGTTTCCTGGTTGGCGGTGCCAGCTTGAAGCCTGCTTGTATGTGTAACCTTTCATTTGGCTAATGCGAGATGTACTAATTTCTTTTAACTCCAGTCGTTGACATCATCAACGCTCGTCTGTAAACAATTGAACGATTGATGGACATGTGATATGATATCCGGATCCCAATAGGCGGGGAAGTAAGCCTGGGGACTCTGCAGACTCCATGACCAACTGCAGAGTATCAAAATTTATAAAGGACATAAAAAAACGAATTTATACCTATAAATCCAAATTGAATACCACCATTAACCTTAATTCTCCCAAAGACCTTTCCGTTACTATAACTCGACCATTCTATCAATTAGTACCTAGTAAGTTGCAGTATAATCATAGCACATATCATAGTATCTACATATCCCCCCGCTCTCTCTCTCTCCTCTCATAGAGCCAATCATATAGGTCAATAATATACACAAGGATCACGACGAATACGACACCGAGATCCCCACTCCCCTCCAATACGACTTCCTCAGCCCCCCGGACTCTCCACCCCCATCAGAAACATACGACGAGGAAAACGAACTCGGCCCCAACCCCACCCCAGCACTCACCAACAACTCCTTGACCCGACCTTCCCACAACAACCGCACATTCCACGACTGATCTACCCGGATCTTCAACACAGATTCGTTCTCCTCCTCTTCTCCTTTCCCACTCTTCTCTAATGCATGGCCCGCTAGATCTTTAATATCATTAGGTGTGGATGTAGATAGATGCGGATGCGGATGAGGAAACAAGCTCTCGCGTATCTTCCGTCGCGCCCATTCCACACCATCACCATCATCACGATAGCGGGGCTTACTCTTCCGCCAGAGTTCGCAGCCCGCTACCATCTCGCTCTCCCAACTATAGACATTGAACCCGAAGCGGGAGCTAAATGCTAGGTTCGGGGATGCGCGGAGGGAGTACGTAGTTGAGAGGGACCCCGTTAACGGGGTCAGAGTAAGAGTGAGGGTGTAGGGGAAGGTAGAGATGGGGGTGTTGGCATTAGCACTGCTGGTACTAGCCGTTGGTGATGAGTTTGATAAAGGAACATCCGTAGCAGCAGGCAACGTGCTAAATCTCAGTCCCGTTGACATGCCAATCAGCGACGAAACAGGAGAATAGTAAGCCTCCGCGCCAGCAGAGAGCAACGATAACCTGGGAGAAGACCCCGAAGCAACAGGGTCGCGGGGATCCGGGCCGAAGTTCCACAGTCCACGCCAGCCGAAGAGGGCATTATCCGTGCTGAAGAGGTACTCGTTGTTGTATTTGCCCGTGTTGTGGGAGAGTTGGGCGAGCAGAGAGGCTTGCGGGGCGGATTTGGAGAGCGGCGGGCCTCGGGTTGAACAGACCGCTAGGGAGAGTTGCATGGTTGGGGAGATACGGCGTAGGAAGAGGGCGTTTAGGGTTGTCGGGGGTGGGAGGTGTAGGGTTGCGTGAAAGAGGGTCGCCTTCTTGCCGATGGTAGTGTATGCGGAGGCATCGTTGAGGTCGTCGTTGATGAGGATTGTTTCTGCGATGGGCGCGATGGGTGCTTGCACTTGACGGTAGCCCGGGGAGAGCTTGCGGAGGGGGATCAGGGCACTTCGGCTGGGGAATTTATCGAGAGGGACAGTGCTAAAGAGGTAGGAGACTGAGCCGTCGATGAGGCCGACGGTGCCGAGGGTGTAACTTGTTGCGAAGTGCGGAGTGGATAGGGAGGAGAGATGGACGCGCAGACGTTCGGGAGTGGAGAAGTCGAGGAGGGCTGTGCTTGTGATTAGTAGGGTTTGGATGAAGGTTGAGAGTAAAGAAGGTATGGGCTACATACACTGCGCAGTGGCCGTCAGCGACGAGTATGAATTGTCGCGGTTCCAATTCGTCGCCTCGGCGAAGGCGAGTTGGATGTAATCCATGAAATCGAGCATTGTCAGGGTGGTGCGGAAGCAATGAGGGTAGATCAAGCAGCCTCAATAGTGAGACCCATCCAGCACGAAACAGCCCAGTACCTACGGGCTCGGCATGCAGAAGAATAATCCAGAAGATCGATCGAGAAGATGAAGCCGATTGAAGATGAAGCCGATCAGCTCATTTCCCGAAGCAGACTAGGGCAGATGGGGGCACGGATAAGCCGCGCGACAACAATAATCCGGGCGTTATCGACAGCCGCAAAGAAAAAAAATCATTGGATCTGGAGTCCACAATTTCCCGCGCCGGCTCTTGCAATTATCACCATCTTAACTACTCATCTCTCTCCTTTCTACCTTTCTTTCTCCAATCCTTTTAGTCTCTAGTTTCTGTTTCACAGACCCTAATCAATCACCATGCCTCGTTCCAAGCGTGCCCGCGTCGTGCACGAGTCCAAGACCACCAAAAAGTCCCACAAGGAACAGACCCGTCGCCTGTACGCTAACATCCGGGAATGCATTGAGAAGTACGACCACCTGTTCGTCTTCGGCGTGGACAACATGCGCAACACCTATCTGAAGGATGTCCGTACCGAGTTCGCCGATAGCCGGTTAGTCTTCCCTCTCCCCAGCAACCCCCGCCTATCCCCCATGATGCCCCTCCACTCCAATAACCATGCATGCAAACTAACCACCTGAGCAGTCTCTTCTTCGGCAAAACTAAGGTCATGGCCGTCGCTCTGGGCCACAACCCCGAAAATGAAGCCGCTCCCAACCTCCACAAACTCAACCCCTACCTCACCGGCGCCGTCGGTCTCCTTTTCACCTCCCGCGACCCTCAATCCGTGACCGACTACTTCGAGTCCTTCCGGCCGCTTGACTTCGCCCGCTCCGGGACAGTTAGTACCCGGGCGTTCTCGATCCCTAACGGCCAGGTGTATTCGCGGGCCGGAGAGATCCCCGTCTCCGAGGACGAGCCGCTCAGCCATACCATTGAGCCGGAGTTGCGTAAACTCGGTGTCCCGACTCGGTTGGTTAAGGGCAAGGTCATGCTGGAGTTGACGGAGGGTCAGGAGGGATTCCCCGTTTGCAGGGAGGGAGAGGTGCTGGATTCGAGGCAGACGACGTTGTTGAAGATGTTTGGGGTTGTTATGGCTGAGTTCCATGTTGCGTTGAAGGCTCATTGGACGAGGGAGTCTGGGGAGGTGGAGATTCTGGAGAAGGATGAGGCTGGTATGGAGGTTGAGTAAGTTCGAGGTTGTTGATGCTTTGAAAAAGTTTCGATTCGGTTTTTTAGAGTTGGGGTGCTGGTGGTGGTGTTCCTGTTGGTGTTGGGTCGTGGTAGGTTTTCTTTCCAGAAAAAGGAAACCTGTCTATCTATATTTGGACTTGAAAAAGGCCAGGCCTGATACCCATGGATTCCCACCCTCCCCTTTGATGATGAGATCCCCTGGGCATCTTTGGAGTTGGGTTAAGGCGTTTTCTTTCATTCTCGTTTCAGTTTCGACTCGTGTCTTGTCTGATTCGGTATATATTCTCCTTCAGTTGATGAGCGTATGACGGACATACCGATATGAATAAACCAATCCGAACAGTTACAATAGAATCCATCTCTTCCTAGAACCACTACCATTACCACTACTACAGCCACCTCCCGATGATGGCAATGCCGTGATGAAATATTTACATGACAATGTGATATGATATGATAAGGGCATGGGACCGAGGACAAACCCTGGATATATCATTACCTTCATTTACTGCCTGCCACCTGTGAAGATCCCTGGCAATCAATCGGTCATGACTGATGGTTTTCTTTTTCACAAAAACACCCTACCTGATCTTCTTACCTGAACGAAACCCAGATCCCAACCCATAATAGCTCCGCCTGTGAAGACAAGTTGACTATCTAACGTACATACTTACCCCTGAAGAGAAGTAGCGGCCGCACAAGGGCCAAAGAAAAAAACGACACGAGAAAAAAGGACATGAGTAGTAACAAAGACAAGAAAGAAAAAGAGAGAGCATGACAGGTGTCCGTAACAGCGCGTATCTGTCTGCTGCAACGGCGGAAATCGACCTTCGAGGGGAAATTGCGCCTGCTCCAATGGAAGATGGATATCTCGTAACGTAACCAGGATTACGAAGGAAAGATGCGTACGGAGCACTTCAACTGTTGTGAGTTATACGATGGTTGAAGTCCGATGTAGCACGGAGCTTGAGCCTTATTTGACCTTGCCTTACCCATTGCTGCAACGGGGTATAACAAGAGAAAGACCAAGTTAATGATACCCACCAGCAAACCGTCATTAAACACTGGAATGGGGATATCCTTCGCGGACAGTGGTTCAGTATCTTCTCTTCGCACGGGGGTCATCATACGAATCATCTTCATGGTATCGCTTCCGCCCGTAGTCGTCGCCCCGGCCTCCGTACCTGTCACCACGATCGCGGTCGCGTTCACGGTCGCGGTCACGATAGCGATAACTATCCCTATCACGGTCCCGGTGACGGTCACCGTCGCGGTCCCGATCACGGTCTCGACGATCGCGGTCGCCAAACCCGTCCCGGGGCCTGATGGGTTCTCTGTTGCTGCCAGTGGCGCCCCGGGGTTCACGCTCAAATCTGCCGCCGCCAGGGGGACCACCAAACCCACCGCTGCGTCCGCCTCCCGGACCTGAAGGGGCGTTGGGGGGAGCCTGTCCGCCTCCACCGAATCCGTTGCGACCACCTTGGTATCCAACACCCCCGCGGGGCCCACCAAATCCACGGTCACCGCGGAATCCTCCCTTGAAACCACCTCTGCCACCGAACCCACCCCGGAATCCACCACCATAGCCGCCGGGACCAGAGGGGGCGTTGAAAGAGCCAGGGCCGATAGGTCGAGAGGGCAAAGCCTTGGTGTAACCACGACCTCCAAGACCACCACCAAAGCGACGAGGCTTCCATCCCTTGACTGTACGACCGCGCTCGACGTCTACCAAGACACGGCGGTCCTTGATGCGGATACCATCCGTTTCCTTGTAGGCAGCTGAATTCGTGACAAAAGAAAACTAGGTTAGCATCAATGAAGTACGGGGATTCGATACCAGTGTGAATCCAGAGTGACAGGCGACTAGATCTGTAGCAATACCTTTCATATCCTTTTCGCGCTCATAGACAATAAAAGCATATCCCCTGTGTGGTTTCTTCGAGCCCTTTGGCGTTACGGTGTCTTTCACGATGCGAATCTGGGAGACGTCAGTGATGCGTGTAACCCATCAAGCCCGCTCGGCCTGTGACTGTACCCGTTCAATAGGGCCGAAACGACCAAATTCCCGTTCCAGGTCCGATTCCTTGACATCGTAGCTCAGTCTAGCGACAAACAGCGTCTTGAACGGGTCGCCTCGTGCTTGTTGGTCGTTGGATGGTTCATCTGCAGCAAATCATCAGTATTGACACTGATATAACCCAGAACAGATGCGATGATCATACAGGTCTCGAGGCCTTCCGTCAATTGCTTGTTAATGTTCTCTTTCTTCTCCACTTTCTGGCGCAGTTTGCGCTGGATCCAGCTTTCCGTAGGCGTATATGGGATCTCTTCCTCATACTTCTTCACCTCAGGAAGGAACTGCGCAATACCACCGATGCTACTCTTCTTGCAGTCTTCTGGGGCACGGTTGATGGGGGTGACATAACGCAGAGGCGGGCGAGGTTGGAAGAGCGCCAGAAGCGGAGGGGGGAGCTTGTCCGTCATGTTGTGCCCTCAGCAAGTGCTCTGAATAAACGTGAAAATTAATTCAAAGCCTTCAGAGGCATGAGGATGAAAGGACGAGATGGCGAGAGGAGATATGGCGGTCTTTTGTCACTTGGTCCTAGCAGCGTTGAGGGAGTTTCGCGTTCCTCCCGTCAGGTGCTTGTCTGCATCTGGAACCGCTAGTCGCGGTAGCCGAGCTTGCCGCAGCACCCAATGAAAGCGCCGTATTGGAGGCGGCCCTGAAAAGTCCCCGAAGGTGTCCCTCGAGATTGTTGAAAGCTGTTGACGCCTCCGCTGTGAACAACAATCCAAGATAGCCGCAATGCCTCTACAAGGAATCCGGACGGTGACGGCCGCTAGAGTATGTGTTTTATGGCATCTCATCCGCCTGTGCTCCCCAGACTAACTTGATCATCCAGAACGGTGTCGGTGCCTTTATCCTACAATGCAAGCGGTTGGATTTCCACTACTGTGACTGGGCTGGTAGCTCCCGGGGGATGGTGTATGTTATCGACTGTCCTGAATGATTATCATTGAGTCGGGGATGCTAATACTTGTCTTGTGATAGTGCGTACCTCAAGCACCACCTCCCTGCCTTCGCAAAAGCAAACCCTCAGATCGAAATCCGGGTATCGCCGCGGCCACACAAGCACCCTGTAATCAAGGGACACTACATCAACGGACGGGAGAAGGCGGTTTGCGTGCGGAATCTCGAGCCTGAGCAAATAGGCAAGAAGGCCGATCTGCTGAAGCAGGCCAGCGGAGAAAAGTTGAAGCGCACCAAGAAGCCCGTCACGAGTATCAACGAGAGTGTCAGAGGCATCTGGTCGCCGTACCACGGTGGATACAAGTCGGTGTAAAGATGGGAGATTCTGCGATCATACGGTGGTGTTCTTTTCTGGGTCAAATATCATTTTTCCTATTCGATGTATTATGGGTTACTTTATCTGTTTTGTGTACCTGCCTTTTGCGAACCCGACTCTGTCTTTGTTTGAACGATATGTATCATATGTACAGAATGTCTTCATTTGATATCCTATGAAATGGGACGCCCCCTCCCCGTATGCAGGAAAGTAAATATCAGGAAAGCAAGGTGTCATTATTCACATGGTTGGCCCTGACCAGACCACCACCCTATAACCAAAACGCTCTCTATGCCATCGAGGTAAAAACAAACATAATCCCACCCAACCGAAAGAAATGCAATGAGGGTATCAAAAAAGTTGCTCGTCGTAAAATCCCAAGGTAAAAAGTTCAGACAGGAAGCCCCGCCCTTGCGCCACCATCATCACATGCTATAACAATGCAAACGCCAGAGATGATATGCAGCATCATTATAGATATATTTGAAACATTGACTTGGGCGAGCTCACGGGCTTTCCGCAACCGAATACCTGGCATTTAGAGAAAGGCTTGGCTTTCGAAGCGTTCTTTTTCGCCTTCGACAGCGATCGGTTGGAGGCACAGTCGCCACAATACACCTACGGTCAAGGTTAGAAGATGGTTGAGCAAGTCGTAACTCGGGGGTATCACGTACATGTCCGCATTGCTTGACCACCCATATCTGCTGTTTGGTTTCGTCACCGGTGCCCAGCTCCATATCACAATTCGGGCAAACAACCACATCGTCCTCTGCGACGTTTCGGGTAAACCCCTCCGGTGGCGGACTTGGAGGTTTATAGGCGTTTGCAGGCGTCCTTTGTCGTGTCAGGCCCGTGAGTTGATAGTCTAGTCCTAACGGGCCATCCACATCCAGGTTGATTGTTAGATCTATGGCGCCCGCCGGGCCATCTCCGATCCATAATGACTCCACATCACTCATTGGAGGATGTCTCCGAAACCCACGAAACGATAAGTCTGGCCGGCCATGGTCTCCAAACCGTCCAGGTGGTCTCGGGGATCGGAACTGTAGCATCTGCTGCCACAAGCTGGGCATATAGAAACCTTCATTGTTGCGCGGCGGAGGCGGAGGTGGTGGTTGTGGCGGCGGCGGCAACTGTGGCCGCCTCACGGTGGCTCCGATGAACTCGACTTCGGGGCTGCTTGGGGGTTGTTGCTGGTCATTATCGTCGACCTCTTCCTCTAAATCAACCACTTCGGTAAGGATGTCCCGGGGAAATCGGGGAGGCCGCGGCCGGGATGCTTCAGTCGTTGTACGGGACTCTTGCAAAGAGGAATTTTGATATGGTGTATCGGGCTCATCGGTCAGGTCTATCACATCTTCAGACGGCTGGGATGTGGCCGGTCGGCGGAGGTCGAGGCCGTCCCCGGGGTACCGCCGAAGCGGTGGCAACGAAGGCCCCGGTGTTGCGGAAAGGGATGATGAGGATGGTTCTCCGGATGGACGTCCTGAAGAAACTTCAGATACTTCGGATATTTCGCGATGAGTTCTCTAAAAGTTGGAGGCCGGCGTTAGTTGAACCTTCAATCCCTTGAGCTAGAACGGGAGATACCCCGCCTCCATGAGGAGATTCGAGGGAGGACGGGGAGATCTGATACGAACCTTTCGGGGGCGAGAGCCCACAAACAAGACACCCGAATCGTCACTCATGGCCGGAACCAATCCGCAAGGGAAGACGACGGTGTTGGAGGGAAAGAGAAGGTGGCCGAGGGAAGGGGGACGAGGAGAGGGCGTTTTGATGGCAAGAAGAAGGTGAGGTAGTAGTGAGTGATTAACAGCCGGTGTTAGGCCTCACTTGCGGTTGGTGGAACGCCATGCTTAGTCGTGTTAACGAAGTGGTCTGGGTCCGAGTGCCCTGCGGTCAGGAGTGGCATGTCTCCGGTTCACTTGCTTTTGCCTCACTGAACTCCGTGAGTTTGTCCAGCATGCCACCCTTCAGTGAATGGATGGACCCTCTGGTCAGTAGTACTATTGGTACTAGTGAGAGTTCTGGCACTCGTCGTAGTAGTTCCAGGCTAATCCGTGGAAATTCAGAGCCAGACGGAGTGGTTCAGTTGCGGAGGGGAGACAAATATATTCTAGTCTCATATTTTTAGTATGAGGTTCCCGCCGACTCGTCCGGCACCCCGATCAGTGCGTGAATGACTTGTCACCAATAATCACCAATTGTCACAGCAGTTGTAGGTCTGGTGACAACTCAGATCCTGGTTGTTCTATGCTCATGATAATCCCATTATAATCCGGGTTCGTTATTGTTGCCAGGTGGCTTCTCCTTCCTTTATTCTTTGGGTTTGGTCTGAGAGAGAAAAAAACAAGACGCCGATGACAAAAAAGAAACAACAACAAAAACCAAACAGTAGCACCGGCAGCTAGAAATACAGAACAACGAATGGAATTTCCACTCCGTATCCATAAGTAGGTATCATTATTACTGTGCCGTCAGCTCCGTCACGCCTCCCTCGCTATTCAACGCCACGATAGCCTGGGCGGCAGAGCCCCAAGCCGCTGCAACCGCGGGCACCGCACTCCGCAAGGGCTCGGACCACGACTTGGATGCCTTGGTGTATTGATGCACGGTCAAGCCGCTAGGTCCTGCGGTCAGAAGGAACTGTCCAGTGTAATCCCAGTTAATCGAGTCAACCTGACTGCCCGTCTCCAGGACCTTGCTCTCCTGTGCGCTACGGAGATCCCAAATGGACACAGTGGTCGAGTTCTCGGTAACCGCGGCCAGGAAAACACCGTTCTCGGAAAAGAAAAGAGACTTCACAGGCCCAGACATGGTGAATGTGGCAGCGGACGCGCCAGTCTTAATATCGAAGATCTTGATTTGCCCGTCCACGCCACCAGCAGCAACCAAATGACCATCAGGGTGAATCTTGACCGAGAGAAGAGCTATAGAGGAAGGAAAAGTCAGTCATGTCCGGATATACAATCCATCATCGGGCTACTCACATGCGTCACTGAAAATCTGAGTGATTACCGAGTTCGTCGCAAGGTCATACAGAACATAGCTCTTATCAGCGCCAACCGAGGCAACAATGTCACCGGTAGCATGCACGGCAAGCGCCGTTGCGGCTCCAGCATGAGAGTTGAAGTTGGCGACCTCGTTGCCGTTCTCGAAGACCTTCACGGAGCCCGTAGACGATGCCACAATAGCCTTCTCGCCTGCCCAAGCGGCATCGGTAACTGGTCCGTTTGCCTGCAGATTCTGAACAACCTGCTTCTGGGGAATGGAATAGATGCCAACGGCACCGTCCGCACCGCCGATGAGTGCCAGCTCTCCCGACGAGTTGACGGCGAATGCCTTGCTGCCGGGGTAAAGAGGGTTGGAGCTCTCCGTAGGCTTGAATGTGGAGATGGCATCACCCGTAGCCCAGCCTTCCGGAACCGGACGCTTACGACGTGTCTTAGACAGCCTGTATATTGTTAGATATGCCAAACACAGTGGAATCCTATACATAGCAACTTACGATGCCTGTGTGCTCTCAACACGTGCCAGAACGGCCTCGGGCAGACCGGTCGAATCAACCTGCATAGCTTCACCACCGGAGGCAGCGGCACTCCTGGCACCGACGGTGACCTTGGATAGGGCATCACGGGCCTCGTCTCTCTCCTTTGTCAACCGAGCAATCACGCGAACGGCGGCATCGTGCTGGTAGAGCGCGGAGCTCAATTCCTGGCGGGTCTGCGCCAGGGTCTGTCGCAATGTGTAGGTCTCGAGAGCCAGGGCATCCCATTCTTCTTGGAAAACACTGAGCAACGAAGGAATGGATGTGAGGGTGGGAGGTCTGGGGCGGACGACGCGCTGGGATTTGACATCAATGAGGTCGTCTGTGGAGAGCTCTTCTCCATTCACGGGGTCCTTTCCATTCTCCGCGATGTAGGCTTCGATCAGTCGCTTCTCAAAGACGCTGCCTAGTCGAGCATTAGCCGCATTACGTCGCATTGAGGCTTTCGAGGTTGAGACATACCGCTCTTGGGCGAGACGACGGGCACTTGCGGTGCTTCTCCCGAAACTGTTGCACGTCAGTTATCAGTAATCGGACTGGCAAGAGCGATTGATTGCACGACTTACTTGCGCAGAGCATGGTATCTGATGTATGTTGGTTGATGGAGGACGAAGTTGGTTCGACGCGAAGCTTGCGGCTCCTCTGGACTTTTCGACCTCGCCCGATGCGGATTAGCGCACCGCAGCCCACTGATTCCTTGGCGGGCCAGCCAACTTCTTGCTACAAAGTATACCAAGTCGCTTCTATCCTAGGCTCATATTTATTCTATATATGTGCCTGTAGCTTCCGAGCGAGGCACTCATATTGCGTCACCGTGCTACAGTCGATGAGGAATATCTATATACGAGTACATTGTGCATGGTGTTTTACTTACTAGGGAGCGTCACGTCATACTGCCCACATTCGCTCGCTATTGAGCTGCTGTAACATCAGTCCTACTATTTTCTTGACTGTTATAAAATAGAGATAGGCTGACAGTGAGTCTGCGGCTGGCCAAGCCATGTCATTCAAATCAAAGGATCTCGCATATGGTACGTTGCTTCATCTTCACTCCCCGTTGACATCGAAGTAACTAACCATCTTTCAGAGGCGAAGCAGCCTGCTTTCTTACAGAGACTGAAGAATCAATACGGCGATACCTCTGGACGCCTCGAAAGACCCATTGCGCGGCCACGGAAAGCGAGGGATGACAATGACGACGATGCCCCTACCTACGTTGATGAAGAGAGCAACGAGATCATCTCCAAAGAGGAATACGAAGCTTTAGTTCGTGGCGAAGATAACAAGGATACCGAGGATTCCCATAAGGACACAAAAGAGCCTGCGACGGGTGAAGAAGGTAAAGCGAATACCCAGGCCGAGGCACCCGTCTCCAAACAGAACGTGGCCGAAATAGGAGGGCCACGGAAAAGGAAACAGGCCAAAGTAGTTGGAGAGGACAATCCCAGTGAAGAGACAGAGAAGGTAGAGAAGATAGAATCAGGCACTCGGAAACCAAAACAGAAGAAGAAGATCAAGCTATCCTTTGACGACGATGACTCATAATGACAGTATTTGAGTCACTTTATACTACAATAATGATACCCTATCATGGTCAGAGAATAGTTCTTGGATTGCTTCTTCAGCCTCTTCTTTCTCTCAATTTTGGTAGATACATACTTAGTTAGGATGATACCAGAGAATGATGACGATGATTCAACAGAGAGAGTATAGCACTCGGGTCCGTTGTAGTCATAGTTAGTTAAATGGCAGCAATTAATAATCAAGGACATGAACCTTTGGAGACCATGTAAAAGAATCTTCACATTTACCACATCTCCTATTGTCTTGATCTGGCGTGAGCTTCACTCTCCGGATCCGAGGAATAGGCAAGTTCTTCAAGCTTGACATTTCCCGCGACGAGTTTTTTCTTCCAGATTCCGCAGTTCGCGGCACGGAAACCCAACGAAAGAGCAACTTTCCGGCCTGGCATTTATCTTGGACTCTGGGAGCTGTTTGGCAGCACCAGCAATATCCCAAAATGCCTGTAGTCAACGTGGATGATCTCGTCCGTCTGCAACGGAGGCCCGATGACATCCGGAATGCAAGTTACCCCTCCATCCCACTTCCATCATCTTTGCTCTGTCCGCCATCACTAACAGCCATCCCAGATCTGCATTCTCGCCCACGTCGTATGTACCTCATGCTTGTCTAAGTCTATCAGACTATGTGCCTCTGTGAAATTTTCCTTACTCACATACATTTAGGATCACGGTAAAACGTCTTTGACCGATAGTCTGATCGCCACCAATGGCATTATCTCACCAAAGCTGGCGGGCAAGATCCGCTACCTGGACTCCCGTCCAGACGAGCAGCTCCGAGGAATTACGATGGAATCTTCTGCCATTTCGCTCTTCTTCTCCATGATGCGTCGCCCTGCTCCCGACGCTGCGCCCGTGGCGAAAGAGTACCTGATCAATCTGATCGACTCGCCGGGCCATATCGATTTTAGCAGTGAAGTGTCGACCGCATCCCGTCTTTGCGATGGTGCCGTGGTTCTTGTGGATGCCGTAGAGGGCGTCTGCAGTCAGACAGTCACAGTGCTGCGTCAAACATGGGTGGAGCAATTGAAGCCCATCCTAGTTATCAATAAGATCGATCGACTGATTACGGAGCTGAAGATGAGTCCCAGCGAAGCTTACTCCCATATGAGCAAGCTGCTGGAGCAAGTCAACGCTGTCATTGGTAGTTTCTATCAGGGTGAACGCATGGAAGAGGACCTCCAATGGCGAGAGCGCATGGAGGAGCGTGCTATTGAATCTGCTGCTCGCTCCAAGAAGCAGGAGCAAGATGACGAGCCTACGGCAGAGTATGAGGAAAGAGACGATGAAGACCTCTATTTTGCGCCAGAGAAGAATAACGTCATCTTCTGCAGTGCTGTCGATGGCTGGGCTTTTACGATCCGTCAGTTTGCCGCGATCTATGAAAGAAAGCTCGGAATCAAGCGCACTGTCCTTGAAAAGGTGCTCTGGGGAGATTACTATCTCGATCCCAAAACGAAGCGAGTCCTGGGTTCGAAGCACTTGAAGGGCCGTGCTTTGAAGCCCATGTTTGTTCAGCTTGTTTTGGACAGTATCTGGGCGGCATACGAGGCTACAACAGGCACGGGCACAGGAAAGGGGTATGTTGAACCGGTATATACCTAAAGTACTCCTGCTAATCTTGGAAAGTGACCCGACTTTGTTGGAAAAGATCACCAAGTCCCTGAACATTAATATTCCGGCATACATCCTGCGGTCTCGCGACCCCCGCAATATCATGACCACGCTATTCTCGATGTGGCTGCCTTTGTCTACTGCAGTGCTGGTGTCTGTCATTGAATATCTTCCCAGCCCGCCAGCTGCTCAAGCAGCTCGGTTGCCGGCAATGATTGAAGACTCTCCTGGCTCCCAATTCGTGGATCCCAGAGTGAAGGATGCTATGGTTAACTTTAAGACGCAGAAAGATGAGCCTGTCATCGCCTACGTCAGTAAAATGATGTCCATCCCAGAGAGCGAGCTTGGGTCGAGCAAGAAGAGAGCCGGTGGCACCATGTCGGCCGACGAAGCCCGGGAGATTGCTCGCAAGAAGCGAGAGGAGATTGCCAAAATGCAGGCAGAAGCCAACGGCGACCAGGCCGATGACTTCTCTCGCATAACATCCGCCTTCGAACGGACTACCATATCGGATGACAAACCGGCCGAGAGCGAGGAGAAGGAAGATCCTGAACATCTTGTTGGATTCGCCCGTTTATACTCCGGAACCCTCTCTGTGGGAGACTCTATATACGTCCTGGCACCCAAGTTCTCGCCAGAGAACCCGCACGCCAGCCCGGTACCCCAGAAGGTTACCGTCACCGATCTCTACCTTCTCATGGGCCGCAGTCTCGAACCTCTCCAGTCTGTACCGGCAGGTGTTGTCTTCGGCATCGGCGGTCTTGCAGGCCACGTTCTCAAGACAGGTACTCTGTCTTCGCAGCTCGAGGGCAGCATCAACTTGGCTGGCGTCTCCCTCAACACACCACCCATCGTGCGAGTCGCCCTAGAGCCCGTGAACCCAGCAGACCTGAGCAAGATGGTAACTGGTCTGCGTCTTCTTGAGCAAAGCGATCCTTGCGCACAATACGAGGTTCTCCCCAGCGGCGAGCACGTCATCCTAACTGCCGGTGAACTGCACCTCGAGCGTTGTATCAAGGATCTCCGCGAACGTTTCGCTAAGTGCGAGATCTCAACCGGTCAGACCATCGTACCCTACCGGGAAACCATCATCAGCGCTTCCGAAATGGCACCTCCCAAGAACCCCGAGCTGGGACGAGGTGGTGTGCAGACCACTTCCTCATCCAAGCAACTGACCATGCGTCTCCGCGTGGTGCCGCTCCCTGCAGCCGTCACAGACTTCATCTCCAAGCACGTGGGAACCATCAAACGTCTGCAAACCGAGAAGCGCAGAGCAGCAGAGACCCAATCCAACGAGGAAGAACAACCAAGCAACGGAACCACCACGGTCGAAAGCTCCCAGCAAATGGAAGCCAGCGACGCCACTGGCGAGGCCCGCGAAGCAACCTCCCTCTCCCTGAAGGACTTCAAGCAAGAGCTCGCCAAGCTATTCGAAGACGAAGCAACCGATGACAAGGGACTTTGGAAGGACGTAGTTGAGCGGATCACAGCCTTTGGACCACGACGAGTTGGACCCAACATCCTCGTCGATTCAACAGAGGTCAACACCTGCGAGAAATTGTATGCCTTCCCCCATCCCTCCTTTCCTCGTATCACAACCTTCCCCAACTAACATACACATACACAGCCTCCTTGAACCCCACCAACAACAACCCCAAATCAACTCCGACACCAGCACCCGCGAAGCCCTCATGGTCCGCGACCTAAGCGACAAGATCGCGCACGCCTTCCAACTCGCAACCGGCCAAGGACCTCTCTGCCAAGAGCCCATGCAAGGCATCGCCGTCTTCCTTGAATCCGTCTCCATCAACACCACGACGGACGAAGACCTCGACCTAGGCCGTCTAACCGGCGAAGCCATCCGTCTCGTCCGCGACAGCATCACGCAGGGATTTCTGGACTGGAGTCCTCGAATCATGCTGGCCATGTACAGTTGTGAGATTCAAGCATCGAGTGCGTCATCCCTCCCTCTTACCCTAACCCTCAAAACCTCACCCCAATCAAATACTAACAAAATAAACAGCCGAAGTCCTCGGCCGCGTCTACGGCGTGATAACCCGGCGCCGAGGCCGCATCCTCTCGGAGGTAATGAAAGAAGGCACACCCTTCTTCACTATCTTGGCTCTCCTCCCGGTGGCAGAATCATTCGGATTCGCGGAAGAAATCCGCAAGCGGACTTCGGGCGCGGCGCAACCTCAACTGATCTTTGCGGGCTTTGAGGCGCTAGATGAGGATCCGTTCTGGGTGCCGGCGACGGAGGAGGAATTGGAGGATCTGGGTGAGTTGGCGGATAGGGAGAATGTCGCGAAGAGGTATATGGATAATGTGAGACGGAGGAAGGGATTGGTTGTGCAGGGACGGAAGTTGATTGATGCGGAGAAGCAGAAGACGTTGAAGAAGTAGGCTTCTTCTTTTTTATGTGGATGGTGGGGGAGAGGGGGTATAGATAGTACTATTAAGTTATTGTTGGTTTTTGTGAAAGACGGAAAAGTTAGGATGAATATCATGTTTATATGATTGAAACTACTACGAGAAAGGTATATGTGCCCGTTGTATGTAATACTTCCCAATCCACATGGAATTAGAATCAGGAAGCTCTAAACAGGGGTCGCAAAGTGAGTAAAGACCTTGCGCGGTAACCATCCATCTACCTCACATGACAAACACAGCTTAGCATTGGAAAAGCCAAAGCCATGTATACTAAGGAGGAAACAATAAACAAAGTGATATGATAACGAACGAAAAAGCAAAAGGTGTGAATGTGGTTTTATTTGTATCCTGCACAAGGATCAAAGTTAGGATAGGGTGTCCGCGATGCGGGTTGGCAGTCATGTCATGCAACTAGCCAATGATGTGAGTACATCAACTGTTAAGATATGTACAGTCATGTCGAATGTGGTAAGATGCTTGCGCGTCGGCAGTCATATGTATGTGTTCGCGCGCTTCCGCGACTGTCTTCAGAGCAAGCTGTAAGCAGGAGCTGGCCTGATCATATGCGAGCGCACCGACTTCAGGTGCTGCTGCTGCTGCAAGGGCCTGACTCCTGCGGGATCAGTCAATCAGCCCAATCCGGGTCACCCCTCGAAGTGAGTGCCGTGGCCGATAAGACTGTGGTGTTAATGATGAGCGCCATAGCCAGCCGTCAAAGCTAGGTCAGACCAACGCGTCATCCATAATTGCTGGTATCATCAATTTCCTCTCACCCCAGAAAGGTGACCGATCAAAACGGCCTAGCTACCTTCCTCAACTCCGCAACCCCAGTAACAGGATCTCTCATTTCCTTCCAGCTGACCGGGAACATCATATTACCCGACTCACTGCGGGCCATAACGACGCCCAGATCATTCCTTGCCGTGGTAAGATAGTAGAAGCTTTGATCACCAAGGGAGATAACCGTTCCGCGAACGATATCCCCAACACGGAACATCTCATCCATGACAACGCGGTCTTTCTCAACAGCACGCACGTCCTCCTTGCGGATCAGAGCCTGGAAGCGAAGTTCATCCGAGTTGCTGTGGTTCTCCGGATTAGCCGCGGACGAAAGGATAGCTTCGATGTTGTCATTGTCCGACGCAGTCTGTGAGGGGTTGAGCGGCTGGGAGCTAGCGGATTCGTCGAGCACGACTAGAATAGATACGGTGGCTTGTCGCTTCTGAACGCGAGTTACGCGCGCCAACACGACCGAGTCGACGGCGGGCAGGGTGTTGTATCTCAGCTTCGGCTTTCCAGTGTTGGCGGGGTTGGCGGACGCCTTGGTGCTGGGTGCCGGTGCAGCAGCCTTCTTGGGGCCTGTTCGGGAGACGCTCAAGATGAGCTTTGCTTTGGAGCTGGGTTGCGCTTGATCGACGACCACGGGGCCTGCGATCGAGGCATAGATGGTTGCGTTCTGCACATGTGTACCAGGACCGGCGGCATACGAGGCAATTGAGCCCAGGCGCTGGCCTGGGATGGCCAAAGTGGGTAGTGCAGTGGCCATTCCAGCGCTGCGTCTTACAGACTGGAAATTAAAGGAAAATAAGAGAAGGAACTGAAAGAAGAGGCTCGGAGAAAGTCGAGCTTGGGTTGTTGACACGAGATGCTGGCAAAGCTTTTCTTTTTCGGCGGGACCCGGTCTCGGCCGGAACAACAGTCCTTCCGGACAGCTAGCACGGGCCAATCAAGAGGCCTTGGTATACATTCTCTCGTTCCTACGAGACAGGTCATCTAGACAAAGTATCCTACAACGATAGCAGTTCTGATCATGGTATCAATGTATTGCAAGTATAGACTCGAAATCCTCTAACGGTGAATACAGTATTATGCGCAGACATAAATAAAAGTCGGCACAGCGTCATCTCCCCCTCGGAGAGATGACTATAGACAACAAACGGACAACGATCTCAAGCACACCGAATGCTCGCTGGCACGAATCAAAAGAGACACCGAAGTACATGCCCGCTTAACACCTTGGACAGCTAGATATCAATGGATCAACACATTGGAACACAAGGCGGCTCAACTTATAGATAAGAACGGCAGTGGGAACACACAATAGAGAAGAGGAAAAGAAGTCGGTCGAAGATAGATAGGGAAGTGAAAGGGGTTGGTCCAAAGCCATACACAAGTTGTTAGGTGAGGTGGAGGTTCAAGGTCGAGGGGGGAAGTCGCTTAGGCTTCTACAAGCTTGTGACCATTTCCAAGGAATTCGAGGCATCGCCGAGCCAGCGCAATGACCTCGCCTTCCCCGTCTTCAGCGTCCTCCTCGTCCGATTCAATATTCTTGTCGGAGATGGACTTGACCATCTGAACGATATCGTCGGACTTGGCGATATATCCGATGAGTCTTTGATCCTCCGATTCCAGAAGCTGAAGCAGAGTCCAGATGGCAATATGCTGGAATGTCGGATCGCCACTGGCGAGGAAACGATTGAGATAACCGTGAATGCCTCCGTTCGGATCTGCCCAATCACGCACAAAAATGGAGTAGTCACCCACTGAATTCACACCTGTTAGTATGTGGAGGGCACGATAATACGTTTGCACATGGTGAGGGTCATACCTTTAGAGGAGAGATTTCCCAGCGCCGCAGCGCTGTTCCCTTGCACTTCGATACTTTCTGATTCCGTCAAGGGAATCAGGACATCAAAGACCCCAAGGTTGAGGAGATGCGGTTTCAACTCGTCGCTCAGAGCCAGGACCGCGATTGCAGCAGTCATTTCCGACTGAACGCTGAGGGGCACACGGAGGACGAGGTCCTTGCACTTCTGGACAGCGCCGGCCTGCAGGACCAGCTCCTTGTTCCGATCCGAGCTTGCGGCAAGGTTCCGGAGGGTCGAGATGGCGTGACACTGAATTTCCTCATTATCGGTCGATCCCAGCAGGTCTACCAGGGGCTTGAGGAAGCCCGCATCGATGATCGGCGATTCATTCAAGGGATGGATGGAAATGTTACGGATACAGGCGACGGCGGATAGGATAAGAGGAAGGTAGGACGACTGCAGCAGTCGCAAGAGCGGTGGAAGACCCTTAGCTCGAACAATTTCGAGCTGGTATTTCTCGTCCGAGGCCAGGTTGCGCAGTGCCAACGCCGCTTGGCATTGGACCTTGGGTGTTGACGAATCCATCAGGTGCACCAGCGACTGAACCAGCCTAGATTCGGTTTGGGCAAGGCGCTTGCGATTCGACGAGTCGACAGCGATGTTGCTGAGGGCGGTAGTGCAGTAGTATTGTACATCCACATCGGGGGAGGAGAGCAATTGAACAAGAACGGGGATAGCGCCGGCGTTGACAAGTTGTTGTCGGTTATCATCTACGGATCGCGTTGTTAGCAAAGCCACATCGTCTTGGGATACTCGCAACCTACCCGAGTGTGTCATATTCAACAACGCCCCCGTGGCATTTCGTTGCACACGCATGTCCTTCGACTTCGCTAGACGGATTAACGGGCCCAAGGCACCGGATCGAGCGATCTTAGCCTTGTTATCCTCATGGGTAGCCAGGTTTGTAATGCAACCGACTGCATTGCATTGCACTTCTACATTCGGTGACATCATTTGCCGTATTAGAGGAGCCAGTCCTCCCAGAGCGACGATCAACACCTTATTGTCCGCTGCGACCGGTCAGTAATCGTGCTAGCGCAATAGCAAATGGAAGCGAAACCCACCATTTACAGCCAAGTTGCCTAGTGCTGCACTGGCAGCACGTTGCACTTCGATATCCGAACTCTGCAACAAGAAGAGGATGGGTTCCAGCGTGTCTCGATCGACCTCGCGCACATCTACAGATACCCCGGATGTTAGCCACCACCGAAACGATAGGTCTGTGCGTATCAGCCCGTACCTCTCTCCGTGATTTCAGCGAATGTCAGACTGGCGCTCCGTTGGAGATCGACATTGTCGGAATAGACGAGGGTGCTCAAGGCCCGAAGGGGTTCACCGGCGAAGAAGTCGGTCTCGGTCCTCTATCAAGGAATACTTGTGAGCAAAAGCGACAGCCAGCTGGAGTAGAAGCAGCAGTGGATGGTGCGACAGCAATGAACGTACGTTTTCAAGGTAACCCAGAAGATCGGAAACCGCTTCGCGCTCGTTGTCTGCCAAAGTGGTTTCATAAATCCCATCCCTTGAGCGGCCCCCGATCGGGCCGAGACAAGCTGAGATATGGCACCATCGATCGACTGTCGAGAAGCAGGACAGACAGGCATTCGTAATTCCGCTCATGCCTTCGGAATGGGGAGCCCGCAGGACCAACAGACGGCCCCGCCAGCGTTGAATAGAGAAAGCAAAGAGTAGGCGGAAGATACGCCGAATGGATTGGGAGGGGAGAGGATCAGGTCGGGTTCCTTAATGGGCAGCAAGCTTGTCGCTTTCCCTTATTCCATCCAACAAAGACTTGCAACGGAGGCGGAACCGACGTGGGAATGGGAGGCGGTCGGGGGAAGTGCAGGTAGAGACCGAGGGAAGGATCGAATGGGCGATGAAGAAGGGGACGGGAAGAGAGGCTCTGCCAGAGGGAGCTGCGGGAACACAAGAGCCCGGCGCGTGATAGTCTAAAGAGGGAAGAGGGAAGTAGGAGGGATGATGGGTAGATAGTACGAGAAGTGGTTGTAGGTTCGTAGTCGACGTCGTAGAGGAGGAAGGGGAGATGAGACGAAGTGAGGTTGGTTGGTCAGGTCAGGTCAGGTTAGGTCAGGTTGGGTTAGTAGCTTCCGTTTGCTCCAGGGACCCTTAGCACGTTTCTTTCCCTTTTGGAAACATACAATGGGAAGAGTCAATGGAGGGGAGAGAGAGAGAGAGAGAGATGACAAGGGGAGGGGAGGAAATGGCGGAGAATGAGAGACCCAGGGGATGGAGGTTCATCACCAGAGTGGATTCTGGGATGGGAGATGGAGAGTGAGAGTGAGAGAGATTGTGTAAGTGTCTGGTAGTTAGTAGTGGTCAGTGGTTAAGTGAGAACCCGCGCCAGCACCGTCCACTTTGGAGTCGGGCAAATGATAACACGCAGAAATGGGCAGGGGAGCTCCAATTTCACCAACCACCTCTTTAGTTGAACTAGTAGTAAGAAGTAAGTTAGTAGTTGTTCTTGTTCATTTAGCTTTTAGGTGATGATCTTACTCATTCTTGAACTACATTGTTCATTGCGATCTAACTCTGTCGTCTAAACTACTACAATGTATCTAGATAGATCTGTCACCGCCGTTATCAAAGAGAGGTCCCATCCGACCGGGGACCCGGTTGTTTATCTTTTGCTCGTCATTGCTTTGCTTTTCTGGTGCTCGTTTCTGTCCTCGGCCCCACTGGCAACAGCTCTGGATGGAACCACTCGTCACTAGTTCATGTCTATGCCCGTCATTAGAGCTCTTGCTCGGCCTCACCTTCTTTTCCTCTCCCTCTTCTTTTCCTCTTTCCCCCCCCCTCCCCCCCAATTCCCAGCCACATTCCCGCTGTGCCGTACTAGGATTCTGAAACTAGTCCCATGGAGTGTTCCCACCCCTTATGCAGCAAGCATGTCATCAACTGATCTGAACAATCAGATATTTAAATACCATTCTATACCAATTTCATTTTCGCGTCGTCGTTAGGCATCATGATGGGGGTCAAAAATGCCTCTGGTTCCACTCCGGAAGCTAACCATCACCCCAGAGCACAGTTCCTACACCGTAGATTCAGTTGCTACGGGATAATTTGAACAGAAGTTCTTAGCAAGACCCAGGTAGTAGCAGCTAATTACTATTAGTAGTATTAAGCTTCAGCAACACCAAGGAAAGAAAGAATGTAAAAAGAAAAGCTACCTGCCCGCATGAATGAACCATCAGCTCGCAACACCAGGATCATTTTATCGCTGTATTTTCTAGAAGCCATGGCCACAATTGCCTATTGTCATTTCCACTTTGTATAGTACTAGCAAGTACCATCATCACCGGGAAGCATCCTGAGTGGACGGTGAGGCGACTACTATGATGATCACCGGACAGCATTGGGGGAAGATGATCAACATCAATGCTTGCCCCGAGCGTGGGGAGATGCCTTGAACCAACTAAAACTAACTATTTCGGATCAATCACCTGTCAACCATCCATCATCCTCCTCCTCCACCATCATCATCATCATCATCATCATCACTACAATCCAGACTAGTGCCATACCAATGGATCAATCCCTCAAAAAGTACAGGCACAGAATGGCTGATTTATATTTCGAATTCCAGTCATCGGGATCTGTCACGGGTACAGCCGTGTTGCCCGTGGCACTACTAACTATCTGATTGAGAGTATCTGCTGACAGGGATAGATTAGTTAATGAAACTTGATGGGCGATGAAATTGCATTGAATTCCACGCTGAGACCTGTTGCGACACATTTACCCCTGCGTCTGTCTGTGCGTGCTTTTGAAACCATACCCAACACCACGGGTTTACCTACTGTGCATCTACATACTCAATATATTTCTCAGAGTACTACATGCCACGCCAGGGAGATACCCACAGAAAGAGAGAGAGAGAAAGGGAGAATGTGAGTGAGTGATTGATTGTGTGTGTTGCCACCACATAGACCACGTGAGAGACGATGAGTAAAAAAAGGGAGTCTTCTTATATCCACACCATCGAAAATGGCTTGCATCACATGAAGGCCCGGGCCCATGATCCGGTGCCAATCACTGGCGGGCTGAACCATCCATTCGACAACCTCAGAGAGGCTTACTCAGTAAGCAAATGATGTCTCTCTCTCTTTCTCTCGCTGCCCCGCAAAGCTAAATGTCAATGGGCAGCGCAAAAGTGCGGAGGAGCCCACGAGATCCCCGTCCATAGCATGGCTTGGTATCGAATCATCCTTCCTTTTGAATGGTCCCATGTGGATTGCTCAGGACAGATCTGCCCCCTTCCGTGCGTCAGTTGTGACGCAGTCGTACAGATTCAGATATATACAAAAGTAGTGTATTTCTCTGAGGGATACTTGGAGACTATCCCGGTCTCTACGCAGTATGCAGGCGATGGAATGCTGGGGGAAAGGAGAGGCCGGGGCCTAGGTTGCCACCGTCAGAACAGAGGCTCCTGGAATAGCCTGCAGAAAGGATGTTCCATGTTCCGGACGTTTTATTTGATCTCAGACCGGGAAAAACGGTTGCCAGAGAGCATCGGCATTGCCTTTTTTTGTTTTTTCGCTCTGCGACTCGGGGGGCCAATTTGATACTTGCTCCACTCCCCGGAGTTACTTAAGATGCCTGCAGTCAATCAACCGACCTGCAGTTAGAGAACAACTCCGAACGGGGAAGATTTTTCTATTCCTAGGGGTAGATATAGATACTACTCCGTACTTCGTGACGAACTGACTTGCGATTTTGACGCTAAATGGAAGCCCAGTGGAATCTTCTCAGGCGAGCAACCATGGTAGCCCGTGTTTCGGGGGGCGCAGGCTCACTCGTCCAACTAATAACAGGACCCTCACTGTAATTCGCCGCTACGCCCTGGATGGATGGAGTTTCTGGATAGACATGGTGCGATGCGCGCCCGGCTCCTCTCCTCTCCTCTCATCTCCAAGTATCAAGGCTGGTCCCTCTTCGAATGGGGATTCGGTCGTCTCTAGTTCGTAGAATAGTACGACTTGCTGCAGACCTGCGCATTCCGTTTGCCCCACAGAGAGAGATCTTACCATTTGACTCGCATGGTTGCCATTCTGTTCCGGCATTCCAACCCCAAGGGAGAAAGAAGAGGAAGAAGAGAAATAGCAACACTTTCCCACCAGCCTCGACTTGGATAATTTTCTCCTCCCTCTCTCTATTTTCGGCGCGCAAATTATCTTTTAGTTCCTCCCTTTCCTTTTCCCATCCCTTCTTGTCCCTTAGAACTTGTCAAGGATAATTTTTATTTTTTCCTTTTAATTTTCCATCACCCCCTACATCACTGGCCCTGATCGTCTGCCCTGATTCCCAAAGAGACCCAGATTTGCCTCCGGATCCACCTTGGAACCATTGCAATGCGCCGAAGCGACGAACAACTCTAAAGCTCACTCATCTATCCCCGACTTAACTTGAACGGAAGAATTCGAGGACTGTCAGAAAAATAAGATCCCAATTTAGGGCTGTCGCGTCGATCGCACGAGGTGACAGACAACCAGAAAGTGGACAAGGACAGCCAGCAGCATAGCGCATTCGAGAAGCGATCGTCTCGTGGACTTTCTTCCCCGATCAGCTAACTAACTTAACACCGACCGAGTTGTCACTCTCGCAAAAGTTGATAAGAGAGAGGAGGGAGAGAAAGAGAGAAAGGAAACAAAAAGAAAAGGATCTTAAAAAGACTTGATAAATCCGATCCCTTCCCACTGGTTAAGGAAGTTAATCACGCGAAGCAAACCCCGAACAATTATTCACTATTTCTTTTCATTTTCTTTTCTTTTTTTCCTCCTCCCCATCCCAAACCCATGTCTGTGTCTGCATCCGTTTCCGCCTCCGCCTCCTCCAACCTCCCATCCGATTTTCGCTCCTCAGGACCCCTCCGTCGCCTGAGCCAACTGCGTGCCTATACTCAGCAGCATTTCTCCTCTTCATCCTCTGCTGCCGCCTCCTCCTCGCACCCTTCTGCCTCGTCATCCTCGTCCAACGGTCCCCGCATCTCGCGTCGTCATACCCTCAGCAGTCGAGTTTCCTGGTTTTCTCCCGCCTCCACCGGGACCGAATCTTCGCAACTCTCGCCTGTGGGGTCTCGCTCGTCGGGCCCATGTCCCGAGAGTGAGCAGCCATCCACTCTTGCCCGCTATAGTGCGGTTTTTTTCCCCAGCTACCGCGGCCTTGAGCTCGACTTGCGTTCCTCCCGCCAGTCGGACCTGTCCAGCTCTTCCCCTTCTAACCACTCCGGTGGCCGTGAGACGACAACTCAAGGCACGACCATGGCGCGGCCCAGAGGTGCCTCTCAGGCGCTGGATGCGAGACCTGATCTCGATGGCACCACTCCATCGGCCTCCAATCTCCACGCGGGAGCTTTGGACTCGTCCGACCCGGTGATGTCGGAGAACCCGTCGACTGCGTCCCCGCGACCGAAGCAGAAAGCGACCATTCGCTTCTTCCCCCATCAAGACTCCCACCAAAGCTCCCGCCCTTCCTTACCTTTCATCCCCGTCTCGCGAACGCTTCCGTCCGAAAGTTGCGTCATCCGAGTTGGTCGGTACTCGGAACGCGATGGTCTGCCGGTGGCTAACCCCACGGACCCCTCTGATGCTCCGGTCGGGTTCAAGTCAAAGGTTGTGAGTCGGAAACACTGCGAGTTCTTATACCTGAACGGCCAGTGGCATATCAAGGATGTTGGAAGCTCGTCGGGGACGTTTCTCAATCACATGCGCTTGAGCCAGCCGAACATGCCCTCTCGGCTGTATACTGTGAAGGATGGAGATATTGTGCAGCTGGGGATTGACTTTCGGGGAGGCGAGGAGATGATTTTCCGTTGCGTTCGTATACGGATCGAGTGTAATCGGTCCTGGCAGCAGCAGCCGAATGAATTCAAGTATGACCATCTCTGGCGTCGAAGCTGCTTTGTGTGGAATACCGGCTAATGAGTGATCTAGTAAAAACACCGAGAGTCTGATTCGGAATCTGGGCAAGGGAGATACAGCGGATTATTCTGGATGTCGGGAGTGCTCCATTTGTCTTGGCTCTGTTCTGGTTTGTTCTCCCTCCTCTGGCAGATCGCACAACTGCGGGCAGCATAGCTAATTCTGTTTGAAGCGGCCTTATCAGTGTTTATTCATGGCAGCCTGTGCCCACGTCTGGCATTACAAATGCGTTAGTCGTCTTATCCACACGCCAGACTACCCCATGTTCCAATGTCCCAACTGCCGTGCCTATACCGATTTGAGCGCCGAGGTCGATGATACGAACGACTTTGACGAGGAGGACGAGAAGAAGGACACTCCAGAGGACAAGCAGGATACCACCGATGCATCTCGGTCACAAACGAATTCCCCCCAGTTGGAGGCCCAACCAGCCCCTTCTGGCGACGAACCCCGCCAGGATAATCTGCCGGCCGAGGCAGGCCTCGCTGCCAATATTGAGAGCATGCGTCTGCAAGACACAGATGCATCCGATGATGCGCGGCGTCCCCGCGCTCCCACGTCCAATAATGATGGCGCCCCTGCCAATGCCGATAATGATGTCCCTGGCTGGCAGTCCGTGACCCAGTCACCCAATGCTCTGCAGACCCGTCAGTCCCACTTGCGTGCGGACACCCCTGTCCGGTCGGAGTCGTCTGATGACAATCCTCTGACCCCATTGAATGATTCAGGGCCCCTTGCCCTTGACGGCCGGGCCGCCATGCCTTGAAGCAATGGGGAGCGTGGTCGCGACATGTTTGGATAGATCGCTCCGATCTCCTCCTCGACAGCTGTATCTGGCTTCTAGAATTGGACAACCTCTTGCATCCAGTCTACTGGACTGAGTCATTAGTCTGTGCATTCCTATTGTCGCCTTGGTTTGATGTCTTTTGTCTTTTGCATTCTCGAGCCGTATGTTCATGTTCCATTGTTATTAGCTTCTTCTTTAGTCCCAGCATTGAGCATCGCGATTGTTCTTCCCCTCTGCTTCCCCATTTATTCTCTAACACCCCACCTATTCAACCTATTTTATACCCATTTGCAGCATCCTTTCTCCCTCTCACACACACTCCCCCACTTCATCCCTCTCGGCACTGGCTACTTCACCATCAACGCAGTGGACCACCCTATCATGCCATGCCATGCCATGCCTTTCGAACCAAAACCCGGCTTGGAGTACACAACGGGAGTCATCTTATTTGGAACCCGGAGGATGGCGTTTGCAGTCAGTCAGTCAGTCAGTGGTGGCCACACCCCCTTTCCTTCATTTTGTTTTTGGTTTTTCCGGAACGGTGATTCATTGGCGCGCATGAATGGGTGGTTGTGAGATGTACATACCAGCTATACATATATTCTATCATATTTTTATTTCATAACCTACACCTATACATCATCGTCCTTGTCTCAATTTAGGCAAGCCTACTGCAAGATCAGTTCCCTTGTCCCCATGACACGAGGTGACATGAAAACGCAGCATTCATGATGCTTGGCGGATGGGCTGTTCAACCCACCTAAATCACTAGTAACCAGTTCGTCATGTTCAATGGTATTAGTAGTATCTCATCCAGGTAGATAATATTAGTATTACCATACAGTAGTACCATACCATACCACTCATCCTGAAAGAGTAACTAAAAAGCATTTATTTCCTAAAGTGTTCTATATCACCATGTAAAAATACTTATCTCCGAAATACTGCTACTTAGTTATGGCGTAGTGTCAGTTACACACGTTATGGACCAGGTTACTTACGTACTACTGAGTAGTTCCGATAACAGGTTTTTACCTGCTTTACAAGGCTCTTTACTCTTAATCACATGGTATATATAATTCCCCCCTCCCTTTTGCATTGGATCAGTATCACGTAGTTAACTAGTAGTACTTACTAGTACGTTCCCGCACACATATGCATAATATGGTATAGCAATCACTTAGTACTGAAAACGGCGCTGACGTTTTGAGTGCATAACATGACTTTCGTTGAATTAGTTCAACAACCCATAGTTAGTCCCTACTACTACGAATGACTGTTGTAGATACTAGCAGTAAAAATATTACTTTTAAACCTTGAATCAAGACGTAAGAAAGTCAAAAGCAAGTCCGAAAACATTTCTCTTCATATGATGAATTGATTTATTCCTCACTCATCAATCTGATAATAGTACAACCAGTCATTAAGTCACATAAGAAAAAAACACAAAAAGCAATGAGTAGTTCGCTGGTATCAATCATCTCATCTCATATCATGTCAGGCCCAGTCAAGTCTCTTCTGGCCCACATTCCTTAAATGTCATCATGGGATATTCATCAACGCAAGCATTTATGTTTGCCCGCTTCTCTAATAAACATCATCTCTGAGCTCAACTAAGCCCTCAAAACCCACGCTGGGTGCCCAAGGTCCCGCGGTTATCGAGGTCCGAGTCGACGCGGGGGTCGAGCTTGTTAGCCATGTTCGAGCTGTGAGGACCGGCAGTGGTTTGACCGGGAGCGTTGTAGCTGCTGCTGGCCATACCCTGGTGACGGGCGCGGTTGTCCATGTCTGAGTCGACGCGGGGATCCATCTTGTTGGCCATGTTGGAGCCGTGAGGGCCTGCGTTGCTGCTGCCACCGTAGCCGCTGCTGGTGGTGTAGTCGTTCACGCCGCTGCTGCCGTAGCCTGCACCTGCACCTGCACCGGCACCTCCGTAGCCAGCGCCAGTGGTGTGGGTACCGGAGTAGCCGCCAGCGGCACGGTTGTCTGGGTTGAGTGTTAGTATGGTGTTTGATGGTATAAAGGTGGATGGGTTAGGGGGGTATGTATGTACCTCTGTCACTGTCGACGCGGGGATCCATCTTGTTGGCCATGCTGGAGTCGTGAGGGCCGTGGGCACCACCCATGGCTTGGTGACGGGCACGGTTGTCGCGGTCACTGTCAACACGGGGGTCCATCTTGTTGGCCATGCCGGACTCGTGGGGACCGGAAGAGTAGCCACCGGAGGAGTAGCCGGCACCGGAGCCGCCCAGACCGCCAGAGGGGTTGGCACGGTTGTCACGGTCACTGTCGACGCGGGGGTCCATCTTGTTGGCCATGCTGGAATCGTGGGGGCCGTGAGCGCCACCCATGGCTTCGTGGCGGGCGCGGTTGTCTAGGGAATGTATTAGTATCGTATGGAGGGGAACGATTGGACAGGGGATAGCTTACCGCGGTCACTGTCGACGCGGGGGTCCATCTTGTTGGCCATGTTGGAGGAGTGGGGACCAGCGTTGGAGGAGGTGTTGGAGGAGGTGTTGGTGTTGCTGGACTCCTTGTGGTGGCCAGTCACGGCATCCTTAACCTTGTGCATAAGTCCGGACATGATGGGCAATTGTATGTGTTTGGTTTAGAAATTGAGAATAAAATGGTCGATAAGAGAGTTGGAAAATTTGATAGTTGTAGACAGTAGATGTACTAAGTCAATTGTTATGTTGATGATGAAGATCGAGATTTCTTGGAGATTAGCCAGGTTTAAATAAGGAGTGCTGAGAGTGGTGAGTGAAGAGAGGTCTGGCCATGACGTAGGGATACGTCGAGTGGCCGCGTTCACTCCTGGACGTGCCCTGGTCCGGCAAAGTGACTCGATGGCGGTTGAGTGAATGAATGATCGAGTTCATCTCCCTCACAATTGCGGGCTGGTAGGATGACGTTGGGATGTGCTCATGTCCCTCAGCCCTAAAGCAGCGATGAATGTTGGTCCTTTGTCATTGTCCCCTGTTAAGCAGCATCGAAAGCGGCAGGGAATAGCTTCCACGGATGTCGATCGTTCCTAAGCGGGACGTTGGAGGGATGAGTGGCTCCGCATCTTTTGTGTTAAGGCCAGACTACTTTGGTAAGAAGTTGTCTATTTTTGTCTCCAACCAGGCTGTCTAGCCAGTTACTGCCTCGAGTCCAAGTCTGGGGTTGCTGGAGATGAGCATCCAGTGAAGATGAGTCAGCAAACCATGGCGGATGATGACCTCAGCCAGTGCCGTCGATGTCGTCGGCCAAGCCAAGATGCAGGGTAGTGATTGGCTGCAGCTGTAAAATTGCGGGAATCAGGGGAGAGCCAGACCCACTCACACCGATCCACTGACTGCGGGTCCAGATGGTGCCTCCGATCGAATGGGGATCACTCTTCCCCCTCCATCTGGCATGCCAGATTGAGCTGCACACCTTATTTTTTAGGATTATTTTAGTATCAGCACTAACCAACTGCACTGGAGTACCTCTGCAGTACAAGGGAGTCGTGTCTCGCACAGATATCTGGTGGCGCGGTCTCGTATATGGCTGGCGTAACATGCACATGGTAAAGAATCCTATAGTTCGGACTCCTGCCGGCTTACATCACGGATTGACCCGATCCAAGATGATGACCACCCGTTCCGTGGGCGGAAGCATATCACTGCCGTTTTGATACGATTCGGTCGCCAAGGTCTCAACCAGGCATGATGCAATCTGCGTGAATCAAGCTCCTCATAGTGCTCTGTACGTTGACGATATTCCTACTTTAGCAGTTCGGTCTGTTTTGGACGGAATGTCCAAGAGCTCTTTGTCCTGTTCCTGAAATTGCTTTGCTGGCAACGCTGGGTGATTCCTTGGAAGGCTGGAGACGTAAGCGGCTGTCAGATCTACATCCGCCCGTCCACTGGAGCGCAGAGTTGTGAGTGGCTTGCATCGCTAGCAGGGTTGGCAGAACGGTCTAGTTCGCAACAGCATGTATCTCCGTGTAGACGTTCGTCATTCAATCAGACCTAAAATGAGGACCATCTATTGCAAACAAGCTAAGCCAGTCTGAGCTCTTGGCTATTCTAGCATCAAGCTAGGTCCAGAGCAGTGTGGTTGATGTGTTACGGAATTAGGCCTGGAAAACCTCAGTGCTGCGGGTTCAATGCTGGGTTATTGCGCCATCTTAGTCTTACAATGTCTTTCGGCGACGTCCTGGAGACGAGTTCGCTTGGTGTGGCCTCTACCACAGGTCCCTCATGGACTGGCTGTAGCTCGGGCGTTGCTCTAGTTGCAGCGAAGATCTCAAGTTCTGTAGTGGCTGTTTTTGCAGCTCTAGGGTCACTAGCATCCAAGAGTAGTTTGATGATGTGCTCGTTCCCATACTCAGTGGCGTAAGTGAGTAGTGTAAAACCAACTTGGTCCTCCAGACTTGAGTCCATTTTGCCCGTCTCAAGCCGTGGCAACGATCTTTCATGACCTGCTTTACAGGCAAAGGCCAGCGGTGCCCGCCCATTATTGTCTCATGTGCTAGGATCAATCGCCGGGTACTCGAGCAGTAACCTCACGATTCCATCATGTCCAAAGTGCGATGCGTGCGTGAGCGGCGTCTGACCACCAGCATTCTGACAGTTTGGGTCAGGTATTCCGGTACGGAGGAGTAACTTGACAATCTTGGTGTGCCACATGGATTCAGCATGCAATAGTGGAGTGTGTCCAGACTTGTACCTAGAATTGAGGTCTTTGACGCCGAAGTCGAGCAGTATCCGAATAATACTCTCGTGGCCACGGTGTGCTGCTGGTGAGATCAAATTCATGCCTCGCTTACAAGGGGGTGTTGTTCCTGGGTCTCATCCTTGAAGACCTAGTATCACACCATACTCTTCTCTGAACTCGGCCGGAGCTCGTCTACTAGATAATTAGCCAAGACGGATTTCCCACAGCCAGGATCGGCTGAAACCCAGAGAAGACCCGACGCATGATCTTCTCTCCACTTTTGGAAATAACGGTGATTAGTGAACCACTAGCAGGTCCCATTAATCCGTTGAGGAGTTCTATCCTTAGCGTCTCGACAATTGCGGGTGTGTGGCCGTTTGAGGACGTTGGCTTTCCACTCTGGAAGAAGTTCTTCGTGCAGTCGCGTATCCATAATAAGGTTAACTTATCTCATCTTTAATGGCCTCGCTTCAAATGATTCGGGCTCATACGCAGTGGCTCTATGTACGTCAGAGCTTCCTTTGCTAAAGCTGCAGCCGCGCCTGCGGCATATGCATGCCAGTCATCGTTCTGGTGAGAGTCACAGTAATGCAAAATGCCACGAATGACAATGCATGGAGACTGGTCCATTAGCCCGGCAGCCCCCATTTCACAGCATATAACACCACCATATTCAGTGGCCATCATGCCCCGCTTTCTGTTATTGTTTATCATGCGATTACCCGATGCTATATTACCATAACAGTCGCACGACTCATTAGGCGGCATTCGTGGACGCCATTGAATGGCTTCGGTTTTATCACAAGAAGCACAGTTGCCTCCAGCTTGACCGTGGGTATAGGCCGCTGGATACAAGGTATCTGTTTCCGACGATGGTTGATGATATTCTCTCAGTTCGGGATGCTTGCGCAGTATGTCCGACAGCAACTTTGCGACATGATTCGATCGAACACGGTGAGATATGACTGCAGCATGGTCATCATCCGTCTCCACTCAGTCGGAGGAGGACAAGATATTCCCTTCCTTCTGAATCCGCTTGTAATCTCCTTCCCCATATCATATTCAACATCTCCTCCCACAATGCCATCTGGGGCACTCACAACCACGTCCCCTGGACGAATATCGTTGTTATTGTTGGGAATACCCCGGCCAACGCCCACCAGTAACGAAGCTCGATCGCTGGGAAAGTGCGAGTCAGGTGGATGGCGACAGCTGCTGTGGATGTCGTTCCCTGTGATCCCTTTGGAAGTGACGCGAGCACCACACTGTGCCCACTCAAGGATCCCAGTACATATGTATTCGGGTCATATCAGTCTCTCAGAAGACCTGCATGCTCGTCGTCAAGCATATATCGTGCTGTACTTAGTCCGACCTCGGGGGGGCATATTAATGCGGCCGTGTATGCGCCATGATAGAGACGAAGTTTTGGAATACTAGGCACAATATCTAATTACTTGGATTAAACAACAGATAATTCGAACTTCTCGGCGGCTATGAAACTCTGAGAGGTCTGGAGTTCCTTGTGAAGCGCGGAGAGGAAAGAGATGGTCCAATTCAGCCTCGCAATGGTGGTTTGCGGGCGCTTCCATGCACCAATGAACGGCAAAGCATATTCAATCAATTAGACGAACAACGCACGAACCACTTGGATTATGATCGTATTCGACGTGAAGCTGACCCTGCCGCTTCAGCAAACGTGCTAGCGAGGAGGTCAAACATGGCCGGGTCTCCGCCAAATAGCTTTCCAGGCGGCACCGGCCTTTCAGAAGTGTGAGCCATAGATGCTGAAGAATAGCGAGCGACTTGTTCTTCTCAGATTCGATGGCTGGCTGCCAGGCGGCAAGCCGATGAACTGCAACGAGACGATTGGCTCCCGCTAGTAGATAGTCGCAACAGGAATAAGTCTGTGCTACTCCAAAGGCGCTGAAACACGATTGTTTATAAGTCGAATCATTTGAAGCATAGTATTGGGCTTGGAGATCTTTGAAATCAGTAGTAGCTTCCACGTAATAGTAGTAGTCTTGACTGTACTTTCGATGATGAGTCCAAGCTTGTCCGGAGACTAAATATGTATCCACCCATCATCACTAATAAGCACATTATGCCCTCGTAGCCCCCTTTGAAGGTTACATGGATTTCATCTTTTCGTGCTATCCGAGTTGGAGATCTCATCGTGGTCAAACCAGGTCAAAGTACGTGGAAGTCAACTGGTTGGCGGAGGGATGAGAGAGAATAGAGTTCTGGGCGTGGCAGCCCCGTGAAGATGAATTCACCAACCACAACATCCGGCGGCTGGTTGATCCCCCGCGACTCGTCGCTACTTTCTGCACGATGATGCCACTCCTTATCTCGTACCATTTCCCAAGAGTCTCATATGATATGGCTTTCGGGGACAAGCGCACTAATTCTAGAGAGCCCTTTCAGCACCGCTGTCTCGCCCTATCGTTCCACCTCGACTAAGCAACTAACCCAAGTTTGACAAAGCGGACGGGCTGTTGACCGCTAGACGCAAATTCTTTCACACTGTGTACAAAGACCACCTCATCTATTTCTGTACTCTCCTCCCTCAGTCAGATTGAATTGGAGGCAAAATGCGCTTGAATTTCAGTCAACCCCCAACACCGGCGTTGAGTCGGCAGAACACCACCTTCCTCAACAATGCGCATCACTATCGCGCAGGGACGCATCCGCATCTCCTGACGAGTCGCAGCAAGCCTCGAAGGTAAACCGATATCATCACTCATCAAATTACACCCTACTATAGCACCATGCTAAATACGCGCCATGTTAGATGGCCTTTGGTGTTCCGATTCATCAAAGGCGCTATCCATGCGGCCATTCTGCTGCCCGTCTTCCTGCACGCCGCGTTTACAGCCTTTGTGGTCTATCTCGATGTCTATGTCTTTGATACAGTTGGACTACCGAGCAGTATTGTAGGTCTTGCTCACATGGCATGTCGTTGTGCTTCCCAATCTGATTATGCAACCGTAGATCCCATCCTTATCTATAGTCGTGGGTTTGATGCTCGTTTTCCGCAACCAGACCTCCTACAACCGATTCTGGGATGGGCGGAATGGAATGAACACGATCTATACGTGCATTCGAAACCTAGTCAGGACTATTGTCACCAATGGCTACAGCACCGCGGGTCCTCCCACTGCCGCAGAGAAAGAGGACATCGAGAGGACGATACGTATCCTCATGTCAATTCCCTTTGCAGTCAAGAATCATCTTCGCGCTGAATGGGGAGCAGCCTGGGCTCTTGGAAATGATGTAGCCGAGAACGGTGTCGCAGCTTTCAACCCCGATTATGCAAGTCTCCTTCCAGCTGGACTGGTGGGCCACGAGGATGAGGGGCTGGGATTACCGTTTCAACTAACCTTCTTTGTGGATGGATTTATCAAAAGGGGAGTGGAGCGCGGCTGGTTCAACGCTCCTGGGGCAAGTCAAATGCAGGCTCAGTTGAACTCTTTGATGGATGCCTATGGAAAAATGGAGACCATCAAGCTGACCCCTATTCCGGTTGCGCATTTGTAAGTTCCTTGTCTTAAAACGCCCCTTTGACTATACACGCCAGCTCACATGCGAAAGGATCCACCAAAAGCAAGTTCTCGCTCTCTTTGGCTGCGTCTTACCCTTCGGTATGGTCGACGATATGGGGTGGTGGACCGTTCCTATGGTCAGCCTGGTCATCTTCACCTTGTATGGCATCGAAGGCATCGGCTCGCAATTAGAAGACCCCTTCGGGTACGACCGCAATGACATCAAGATGGATGCCATTGTCGGCGACGCTAAGACCGAAATTGACGTTGTACTGGCCGAATGGCGCAGACTGATGGCGTCGCTCGAGTCAGCGACCGATAATGGCGATCAGCATCTCGGCAACGGTCTGGTTGTGGAGGAGGAGGTTAAGGAGCCGAAATTCATGCCGCCTGATATGTTCCTCAAGCATCGTGCGAGACCATCAGGGCGATAAGTAGACTAGCTAGCTATTTCTGATTGTGATGGTTCCCAGAAACTGGGCGTTGTGGAGATCCAGCATATCTAGCGTTGCTAATAGGGGACTATCACCTTAGACTATGTCGGTTACAAGAGATCGACGCCCCTATCAGCCTGTCAAGCATGCGAGTGATTATCTAGGAGGATATTTTCTTCGGTGCGATCGTCAGGGGATATCTCCATCGAGTAACTCGGATTATTGCTGGACCAATCCGACGTCGTCGAGATATCAAGTCTATAGTTTCTTTTTTTTATCCCGAATAGCTCCACTTTCTTTGCATACCCTCAATATCATGAACATAAACATATAAAAGCCACCATGACACCCCTCAATACCAAGCAACAAAGCCATCAATCAAATTTACCAACTCCAAAAATTTCCACATCACTTCAAACTAGAAACCTCACTCCGCCAAAATGAACCTCCTCCCCCTCCTCCTCACCCTCACCACCTTCCTCCTCCCCATCGCAACAGCCTTCACCTCCACCTTTGAAAACTGCCAAAACCTCAACCGTCTTAACCAAACCGTCCACCGCGTCCACCCTCTCCTCGAAAAATTCTCCTCCATCCACGCCTCCCAATCCCAATCATCGACCACCACAACCACCACCCTCGCCAACGGAACTACCATCACCGTCACCAACACCACCTCCTCCGCCGCAATTGAGAAAATCGAGGGCGTCAAGGCTCTCCTTCTCTCCTCTCAGGAGAAAATCTACGGCCGGTTGAGCAACTGCTCGAGTGATGCGGTGTCACCCCGGAATGTACTGGAGAAGGGCGTGAAGAGAGATGACGACGACGATGGTTCTTGCACTTTGAACGATGTTCTGGATCAGTTGGTGGATACCCTTGAGTGTGTGCTTAGCTTTGCGACGGGATTGTTGGAGACCATTCTCGATGGGCTTTTTGATCTCTTGAAGACTGTTATTGAGGGGGTGGAGAAGTTGTTGTAGGGCAATTCTCCTGTTCTTCTGAATAGGAGGGATTGGAGAGTTGGTGGTGGATAAAATATCTGTATAATAAATTAATTCGTGATATCCTATACTTCGGCTTCGAAGCATATATTGGCAATGATCTATTTTCTTGATCATGTCATGCTGAATTTGGCTATAGAGCTACAGATTAAATACCCATCCATGATATTTCGCACAATCCATCAAGTACGTTGGGGCCAAGCACATGAATATCAATCTTAGCCCACAACATATCCCTCGGCCTATCATACATTCTGGGAGTTTCGTCTTTGCTTCATGTGCTGTGTTGAACTCATAGCTAAGATTATTGATATCGATGACCATATTGGTGCAGTATCCTCGGACGTCAATAGCTAGAATGAGAACTCGTTTAATTTGTTCAGAGTATGTGGATATTTCTTCATAAGGGTTGCATCAGATTATATACATGATTATGTAAATCACAATGGCGCTTCTAATGTAAGCACCCCGTCCAATATTGAATCCGGATTCGCATACTCTAGCACCTGCGATACAGCGTGCAAGTCACTCCCATATTGTAAGCTTCTATCCTCCTCAGGCTTGGCCACGATGATCCGATGCCGGAAGACTTTTCTTGCTGCTAGTGCTACGATTGAGGGCGTGAGGAAGTCGATGCCGTGTAACACGGCGAGGAGCCTATGCTGTTCATCAGCGCTCTCCTGCGACATGCAGGATTTGAATTGAGTAGACTCACTTTGAAAATGACTTGAAGTAGAGGTTTGACCGGGTCGATATGCCTCCCGCTACTGCACGACTGAGTCGAAGGAACACAACTATGTCTTGTTGGTACCGGGCTATGTCGGCACCCATGCTGACCGTGGTGCTTAGTTGTTGTAGTTGTCCGAGAAGCTGATTGTTATTGTCTTGTTAGTGGAGTTTGGATGGGTAGGAAAGAGGAGACAAACTGTGCTGTCTACGTAAGGATGGCCTTTCTTCATTTGAGCTTCTGGTTTGTGGATAACGGATGATGCGGACAACTGGCCATCGGATAGCCAGTCGTTGTTTTCTTCTAGATAGACGTAGCCGTCTTCTGTGTCGTGGAAATGAGAGATGAATAGGTAGTCGTTCTATATTTGGTCAATTATATTGGGTGATAGGCTGAACCCTGTGGACGACATACTAGATGAGGGTTTATTGGATGGGTTTCGTCGCGCACTATGAGAGGTAGGAACAAGAAATTGTTTGGGGCTTCCAAAACTCCTGCCGGTGTGGTGAGTTGCTTTGAGTGCATTAACTATATGAACCAGTCAATATCACATATATCACTTGGATATCCATGTGTTTACCTCAAGAGCTTCGCGCTGAATATTGTCGTTTACATGGTTAAAGTTTTTGGCTATCACAACATTGACGACTTCCTGCTTGTGTTCGATAGGGGCTGACTTGAGGCGTCCTTTATGATCTCGTAAGTCATGATAAGATGATATCATGCCCGCCTTATTATATCAATTTAGTTATACAATCAAGCAAAGTCCAGTAAATTGACATACAGACTCAGTGGTCAGTCGTGAGCGCGAAGGTCGAGCATAACTGCTCCTGTAGACTCCGGGAGGAAGTAATTCAGCGCGAAAGTCATCTAGAGATGTCGCGCTAGAGCAGTCCAGGATGCTATAAGAGAGACCAAATGTATTTGTGCATATCTAGACCAGTGAGGCATTAGCAATCTTGTAGACAATATCACGGGATCCTGAGTTACCAGGGCGAGCTCCTTTGCGACGTCATGGATATTGGCGTCGGTTGTGTCAATGCGGCAGTGTTGGTGTGCCGCAAGACAAAGAAAGAGAGCTACTTCAAGATCAGATAATTCCGGGGCGAGTCTTGAGATTTCCGAGCCATCCTCCATGATAGTACTTTCTTGCATTTGACTGTCATGGTGGCAGCTGGGATAGTCCATGAATAATTACCCGCGCGATACATGGTCCGGCCACCTCAGGCACTATATCCCAATGCGGTTAGTGCCGGAGACCCGTCCGCATGTGAGCTCCAGGAGCTTCCCGATAGACAACAACATCCGGCTGGAGGGTCTTATCCCAGCACTATCTCCATTGGATCTGTATCGCTTCCCATCTATACATGACCTTCCTCGGTGTCAATGGCGCCGTCAAATCCTCTGGCCAACTGGGAGAGACTAGGAGATAGCTTCTACCGCAAAGTCCCCATATACGATGCCATCTTCGACGATGATGTCGAATTAGAGAACTACATCATCGCTGGTGCTCCCTACGGAGGGGCTATTGGTATGTGCAATAGCTGTCACAATTACCTGGTTCCACATGCTGATGTCTCTGTTCAGCGCTGCACCGGGATGAGAGCAAACCGTACAGGTTCCGTGATGCTCAGACCGCCAAGTCGAGCATTGACATCTACTCATGCTCGGGGAAGCATATCAACCGAATCAATGTCAGTCAGTTCTGCCCTTGACGTAAGCGCTTTCTAACATCTGTAGTGGGAGTACGGCACGATTCGTGGTCTCGGCTGGTCCGACAAGGAAGAACTCTTAGTGATCACAGAAGACGGCACCGTCAGACGCTATTTCGGCCTCCACGGCGACTTCACCTCGTTTTCTTTAGGAAATGTAACGCTCTCATCCACTTGTTGCTCTGCTGAAATTGACATTCACTTAGGGAGCTGAAGACTACGGTGTGAGGGCTTGCCGATTCTGGACCTCGGGCTTTGTTGCGCTGCTTTCAAACAACCAACTGGTTGCAGTGTCGAATTACGACGAGCCGCGGCCTAGGCTCCTAGCTCCTTGTCCAGAAGGAGAAGTCTCATCGTGGTCACTAATACCCCCGGCTTATACGCTGTCTCGCTCAGTTGAAGTCCTGCTTGCAGTCGACAAGACGGTCTACTTGGTCGACCCCACGGAAGCCGAAGACAAAGTCCTTCAGAATGGGCCATTTAAACATGCAAGCGTGTCGCCAACTGGAAGATTTGTTGCGCTAATCACCGCTGAGGGGAAGGTATGGGTAGTCAGCAGTGACTTCCAGAGCAAGTACAGCGAATATGACCCGGAATCGCGAGTCACTCCTCGGACAGTCGACTGGTGCGGAGATGATGCCGTCGTCATCGCATGGGAAGACGAGGTCCATCTCATAGGGCCTAATGGCGTTGCGGCAAGATATTACTATGATGGGACTGTCCACGTTGTGCCTGAGTTTGACGGTGTGCGTCTGATCACCAACGACACCTGCGAGTTCTTGCACAAAGTTGTTGGTAAGTAATCCCCGCTTAGTCTAGGAGCAAACCTCTGATAGCCTGCGAGATGTCACCGAGGCGATCTTTCGACTCGGGTCCACGTCGCCTGCCTCAGTCCTCCTGGACTCAATAGATCTTCTGGAGAAGAAGTCGCCCAAAGCCGACGAGAACATTCAACGTATCCGGCCAAGTTTGCCCGAGGCCGTTGACACATGTGTCAAAGCTGCTGGTCACGAGTTTGACACATATTGGCAGAAGCGCTTGTTAAAGGCAGCCTCGTTCGGGAAGTCTGTCCTTGACTTGTACAATAGCGATGAATTTGTCGAAATGACCGAGAAACTCCGGGTGCTGAAAGCAGTGAGAGATTACCAGATAGGGCTGCCACTTTCCTACGAGCAATATATGCGCCTTACGCCTGAAAGGCTCATTGAGCGGTTGGTAAACAGGCATGAATACCTTCTTGCGATCCGCATTTCTGAATACCTCGAGCTGCCTGCCGATAGGATATACGTTCATTGGGCAAGCCAAAAGGTCAAAGTCTCGACGGTGGACGATGATGCCGTTTGCAAGCTCATAGTCCAGCGATTGGAAGGCAAACCGGGCATATCCTTTGAGTTGATCGCGCAAACAGCTTACGACGAAGGGCGTGCTCACTTGGCGACTCAGCTTCTGAACCACGAACCAAGAGCTGGGAAGCAAGTGCCCCTGCTCTTGGACATGGAAGAAGACGAGATTGCCTTGGATAAGGCTATCGAGAGTGGAGACGTTGATCTAGTGAACTACGTCCTTCTGCACCTAAAGACTAAGCTACCCCTCGCCAGTTTCTTCAGAACGATAAATACACGTCCTATGGCGTCCGCTCTGGTGGAAACGACTGCCCGGGGACAGGATACCGAACTGTTGAAGGACCTCTTCTACCAAGACGACCGACCTATTGATGGCTCAAACGTCCTTCTCTCCGAGGCGTTGGACGCAACGGACCTGCCGCGCAAGACTGAAAAGCTCCAGCTCGCATCGCGTCTACTGTCAGACTCAAAAGATCCTTCGGTTGTGTTACAGCAAAAACTACTCAATGAAGCATCCCAGCTGCTGAAGGTCCAGGAGGCCCTCGACAAGGACCTTGCAGATCGTTCAGAGTTCCTTGGCTTGAGCTTGAACGAGACAATCTACAGACTAATACGATCAGGCTACGGCAAAAGAGCACAGAAGATACAGAGCGAATTCCGGATGCCAGAGAAGACTTTCTGGTGGTTGAGATTAAGGGCCTTGGTAGCTAAGCGCGACTGGGGCGAGCTGGAAGAAATCGGGAAAAACAAAAAGTCCCCGATAGGGTGGGAGGTAAGCCGGCCAACAACCCCAGCATATGCGCCCGCATGCTCACGGATAAATAACAGCCATTTTATAACGAGATTTTGGGAGCTGGAAATACAAAGCTCGCTTCGTTATTCGTTCCCAAATGCACCAATTTGCCGGCTGAGGACAAGATGGAAATGTGGGTGAAATGTGGCATGATTGCAAAAGCCGGCGAAGAAGCCTTCAGGGCAAAGAATGTCAACGCCCTTGAGCTCCTCCAGGCGAGGGCTTCAGGACCAGCCGCCGTTGAGATCGAACGGATGATCAACCAGCTTAGACCGCGGAAGTAGATAGCTGGCGCAACCATGGCGGTATTTCCTTTGCAAGGTAGACGTCCACGCATCAGGTGATATCATCGTCCACGTCAATGCCTTCGTGTTCCTCCACCACAGGAGTCTGAGTGACAGGGGCCGGCTTCGAGCGTTTGGCTGGCTTAGAGGCCGCAGCATCGTCCATCATGGCATCATCCATATTATCGTCAGCCTCCTCGTTGAGGGCTTCGAACATTGACTTCGTTTTACGATTCAGATCCTCCCATTCAGCCTAGACACTCATTTCGTCAGCATTATTGACCAATCATGATGGAAAGCCTGGCGTCCTTACCCTACGAGCCTTGACCGATTTGGCGCGGACCTCACTTTTAGTGACCTTCTTCTCCAGCTGGTCCATCACGGCCTCTGCTCTTTCAACACCTTTTTGTTGTCTCAAGCGCTGCGCTCTAGTCTTAGCTTTGCCTTTTGACTGTTTCTTCGAGACGCCTGCATTAGCGCGTTCCGATAGGATCGAATCCCGCTGTACTGTAGTTTCTTCGGCCCGCGGAAGAGATGTCAATGACTTGTCGACGTCGAGACTGGGGGAAGCTGCCCGCCTCGCAGCGCGGGAATGTTTGGACTGGGCTAGACAGGGGTATTATGTTAGCATTGAACGTGCATTTAGAAGCAGACTTCCTGTAAGAATAGCTGTACTCACGCCTTGATTTCGCCATGATTGATGCAGGGGAAATTTGGTTTAGTGTTTTCCTGCATGGGCGCAGGTGAATAATTTGTTGTGGAGCCGGGCATTATCGATAAAACCTTTCCGGGTGGCGGAAGACACCTGGAGCGCACTCGGCCGCTGCTTATTCTGCGTCGCAACACTGGCTGGTCAAAGTCGATCCAGTCGTCACTTCGCCAGACGTGGTCGTCGCCTCTTAACTGCTCTGCTAAGTGATGTCAATGTCCTCGTCCCTATGCCGTGGACTTTGCCTCCTTTTCATCAGCCATGAATGCTCGCAGAGAGGGGATTGACTTCCTCACTCCGAATCCCTTCAACGTGCAGCACAGCAACTATGAATCAGTACTGCAGCAACTGCAGGGCAACCCATCCTTAGTTGCCTCTATTTTAGTGACGGTCATCACTTTGTATTTCGCCATCAGTTATTTGGGCCCAGCTTCGTTGTCGGTGGCTCGGATAGCCTGGAATATACTTGTCTACTTAACGCCTTCGCGATTGATTGCCGCCCTAGATTCCAAGACACCGAAATCCGACGAGAACCCTCTTTCGTTGACCTTCGAGGCCAAGAGTGAAGCGATGCAACGTATACTTGGCCTTGACGATACCTCCTTCTCCTCCCTCTTCCCTCGCGCTCCGGCTTTCTCGAGCTTCGGGACCTCCCTCTTGAGCAGCAAAAGCAACGTACCGCCAGGGCTTGGAAACTGGGATAACTCGTGCTACCAGAATAGCATAATACAAGGACTGGCATCCCTTCAGTCGCTGGAGAGATTCTTGGATCAAAACGTTGAGCAGCTAGGACAGAAAGCTCTTTTGTCCACGCATCAAGCTTTGAAGGATATCATAGAACGACTCAACAGTGCCGACAGCAATGGCCAACGTCTATGGACTCCGGCGGATCTCAAATCTATGAGCAGCTGGCAACAGCAGGATGCACAGGAATATTTCTCGAAGATTGTTGATCAGTTGGATCTGGAAGTCCAACAGGCGACTCGGCGGCACACACGCAACTTGGGCCTGAAGATGGCAGGACCGCAGGAACATGTGATTGGATCTGGTATACCTCAGGAGCTACAGGAAAGCAGTGCAGGGGAGTCACGGTCAACAGGAAATCAGATCTTTCGGAATCCGTTGGAAGGTCTTCTTGCGCAGAGAGTGGGATGCATTCAGTGCGGTTGGACCGAAGGTCTCTCACTAATTCCTTTTAACTGCTTGACTGTGCCGCTCGGCCCGAAATTTGAGTACGACATTCGAGAGTGTCTCCATCATTACATGCACTTGGAACCCATTGAGGGGGTGGAATGTGCAAAATGTACCTTGTTACGTGTACAGTCCCAGCTACTGAACCTGCTGAAGCAAATCGGCGATGATGAGGAGACCCCGAGTGCTACTCCGGAGTCACCAAAGATATCAGATGCGCTTCGAAGCTCGGCACAGGAGCGCCTACAGGCCGTTGAGCAAGCGTTGGAAGAGGAGGATTTTGCAGAGAAAACGCTCTCCCAAAAGTGCCACATTCCCGGAAAGAATCGAGTGTCGTCGACCAAATCCAGACAGGCCGTGGTTGCCAGGCCTCCACAATGCCTAGTCATTCATGTCAATCGAAGCATGTTCGATGAAACTACAGGAATGCTCCGGAAGAACTACGCAGCCGTCAAATTTCCAAACGCCCTCGACTTGAATCCGTGGTGCTTGGGCGGGGTCTCCAAGAACCAGAGTGAACCAAGTCTAGAAGCTTGGGAGACCAATCCCAGCGTATCAATGCTCTCGCATGCAGGAAGAGGCGCGAATGCAGGTGGCCACTATCAGTTGCGTGCTGTGATCACCCACTACGGCCGTCATGAGAATGGCCATTACATATGTTACAGAAAATATCCAACCGACACTTTTCCGGCCCACGTCCCGGACGCGATTATCGAGGCAGATGGAGACAAGGAGAGAGACGAGCGTTGGTACAGGCTAAGCGACGAGGACGTGCAGATGGTCAGCGAAGCGAACGTCATGTCTCAGGGCGGCGCCTTCATGCTCTTCTACGAGGCGGTTGAGGACTACTCCCCGGAGGCCGCAGAGGATGTGGATTCTGGGTTGGCGGAAGAGGAGGGTTCAGCACCTTCTTCTAGCTGCACGCCATCGGAGACCATGTCCACAACATCTGCTGCCACAGGAGACTCCACGTCCGATGTATCGCAAGCGACCAGCGTCTCAACGGCGTTAAATGTTGAACCTCGCGCTGAGAAATCCCTGCTTATGTCCGACGTTGACTGAGCCAGCGCCGTCTCGATTGCCCAACCTTACTCTGCCCGATTGTGTATATCAGCATTATATGATACCCCGAGTACGACTCTTTAGAAGCGCTCATCCATAACTTTTTGACTGTCTGCTTTACGTTTTGTTTTGGAATAACCGACGAGACGTTGAACACGGCTTTGTATAATATTGTATGTACTTGATATCTGATCACCGCTTTATAGCTAAAGTACATTGTTTTTTGACACTCCATAACCGCACCCGTATAATCCCAAGCATGCCGTATGCCCCGACTCCCTGTTCCAGATTGTAAGTAAAGCCCCAGTAACAGCACAAACATATACCCAACGCCCGCTGAAATATCGAACAACCCACCCTATATCCATCAAACGAACCAAGGATGAATCAGAATACACCAGCCCTAGTCATAACATCATGAAACTGCTCCAATGTAACCCCAGCATGTACCCCCGCACCACCATTCGCCTCCAAAATCATATCTTTCAACAGCTCATCCCCCAGCTCCTCCTCCTTCAACTCGCGAGCGATCCTCCTCAGATGATTCAACGTGATCACTCCCCCAGACCCCCTCGTAAACAGCCGATACGCCGCGTCCACCTCCGCCGCCATCGCATCATCAGATCTAGATCGTAGCTTCGCCGCCGCGACAGCCAGAAACGGCTCGTATGGCACATACCCCGTATCCGTGGGGTCGACGGCCTCAATGATGGAGTGAAGTTCTTCGCTGTCGGTGGGGTCGAGGCCGAGGGCTCTATTGTCACTGTGTTAAGGATTCTGTTGTCGCGATATGAATGCGCAAGGGGGGTTACCGTACACTAAAGCTTTGCGGACATCACCGCGGGGTATCACGCCTTCCTTTTGATCTGCGAATTCTTCGACGGTCTCGGAAAAGAGGTGGAAAACTTCTTTAATTTCGTTTTCTTCCGATGCGCTGATGTCGTTTTCTTTGGCGAGTTTGGATTGGCGTGCGCGTTTGGGCGCAGGGCCGCTGCTTGGGGCGCTGCGCTTTTTGGGGGGCTGGTTGTGGTGATGACTGTTAGCGCATTGGTTGAGGGAGAGTAGATAGATGCGATAAGCACGAAGGTGACTTACCATGGCAGCGATTGGCTTGGTATGCTCTTTGTTAGTGTGTAGGTAGAGGGGAAGACTCGTCGCAAACTGCGATGATGTCAAGGGAAAGGGTGGTTGGAGATGAGGCGCGGGGGAGGTTGAGCCATGGACCTTTGGTAGGCTGGGAAGGATCGGGATTTGCCGATTCACATTGCACTGCGGTTCGGAGTCAGGATGGGGATGCCAATGACTCCGAGGAAGATGAGGTGAGAAGACGATGGTTTGCTTCCATTGACTTCGATTGAAGTGAATCTCGTGATGGCCGGCGGGCTGCTGACGTAACCCCGGGATGCCTACGAGGATCTTTCTGGTACTTCAGCTGCGTTTGCGCCGGCGAGGATTGCATTTCCCAGACATCTTGGAGTTGCGAGTCAGTCTTTTTGCGTGGAATCTACCTCGGTGCTCTTCGATACTCCGCAGCTTTAGTTCGAAGACGCCCCGTCTCAGCCATCGTCATGGATGTCGAGCTGTATGTCTATGACCTATCCAAGGTGATTTCCATAGCTTCATGTGTACATGTTCAGTCACGGAGTCATGGGCTAATGCGGAACAGGGTCTTGCGCGAATGGTAAGACACGCGTTGAATGTGGCAGAGTCGCCTCGTGTCTAACTGCGTCTAGTATTCGCTAGCCCTGACGGGTACGCAAATCGATGCCATCTACCACACATCGCTGGTGCTGAACGGCGTCGAGTATTACTTTGGCCAAGGCATCCAAACGGCCATCCCCGGCAGTACTCATCATGGACAGCCCATGGAGAAGCTGCATCTTGGCAAGACCGAGCTTCCCATGGACGTGATCGAAGAATACATCCAGTCGCTTGCGGAAATCTATACCCCTGAGGTAGGAGCTCGTAACTCCAGCCCGGTCATCTCTCTAACCCGGCCATCCAGTCCTACGATCTCTTCCTGCACAATTGCAACAACTTCACCCAGGATCTGGCCATGTTTGCTCTCGGCAAAGGCATCCCTGAGCATATTCAAAACCTGCCGCAGACTTTCCTGAGCACCCCTTTTGGGCAAATGATGAAGCCCCAGATCGAAATGGCCCTGCGCGGTGTAACCCAAGGCACTGGCGCTGGCACGGGCACAGTCGGCACTCAAACGCCCACCACCAGCGCACCAACCGCCCCTGCGCAACCTGCCCCCGTTACTCAAGGTTCTGTGCGCATCGCAAGCAACCTCGCCCAGCTCGAGCACCACCTAGCTGCCGCCGCCGACTCATGCGCCGTCATCTTCTTCACCTCGGCCACCTGTCCGCCCTGCAAAATGGTCTACCCGACGTACGACGAACTCGCCGAGGAAGCAGGCGCCAAAGCCACCCTCATCAAAGTCGACATCAGTACCGCCATGGACGTCAGCATGAAATACAGCGTCCGAGCAACCCCAACCTTCATGACCTTCCTAAAGGGCCAGAAGCTCGATGAATGGTCCGGCGCCAACCCAGCTCAACTACGAGGCAACGTCCGTCTCCTCCTGGAAATGGCCCATCCTCCCCATCGTCACCAGCAACTCCGTCTCCCCAGCCTTCAACGCCCCATCACCAACTATGTCACATACAAGAAAGTGCCCCCTCTCGACAAGCTCGTCCAGAAACTCGACCCTCACCACGAAGACCCTCGCCTCCTCTCTATGATCACCTACCTGAAACACCGCACCTCCTCTTCCACCCCAGCAGCGGACACCCCCTTACCCCAAGACCTCCCATCCTTCGCCACCTACCTGCAAACCACCTGTGGTTTTCTAGCCCTAGACCACCTATTCGCTCTCATCGACCTCACCCGCCTGCTCTTCCTCGACCCCCGTGTATCCGGCTACTTCGCCGAAGAGCCCGGCCACACGACCCTCCTCACCTTGTTATCCCCGTCTGCTGGCCTCTCTGGATGTCCCTACAACCTCCGCATCGTCATGCTCCAACTCTGCTGTACTCTCTTCTCCACCCCTCTCTACCGCGACCAACTTACCACCTCCTCTTCTCTCCTCCCAACCCTCCTCCACCTCACCACCTCCTCCCTCCTCGACTCCCACACTAACCTCCGCGTCGTCGCCGCCTCCCTCGCCTACAACCTCGCCGCACTCAACCACAACGCCCGCTTCGCCGGCCACGCCGACCCCCTGTCCGAGGAAAGCCAGGTCGAGCTGACCGCGTCGCTCGTGGAAGCCATCACCCAGGAAGAAGAGAGCCAGGAGGCCCTGCACGGTCTTCTCTTCGCCTTGGGATTGCTCATCTACGAAGCTAGTCCTGACAGCGCAGTCGTGGATCTCTGCAAGGCCATGGGGATTGCAGAGACGGTAGTCGCGAAGAGGAATGTGGAAAAGGTTGCGAAGGAGCCGTTGATCAAGGAGGTGGGGGAGGAGTTGTTGATGAAGGGGTTGTAGATTAGTAGATTTAGATAGGAATACTCCCTTTTCTTCTTGATTATTATCAGATACAGATGGCTTAGAGGGGTTATATGGATGTTCCATTAATATATGATGTACTTTTTTCTGTGACTGAATTGTCTCACTCCTAAACTACTATTCTACCGGCGTCCTAATTCATAGATTCCCCCACTAACAACACAAGTATATCCCTCATCCAATCCCATCCCATCCCATCATCTCTCATAACATTCCAAATCTCTAACCAGCTGAAACAAATCCCCACAATCAATCAATGAATCAATAATTGCCTAACATCAGCACCACAACCACCAAATGAGGGGTTATGTTATAGTAATCAATAGTCCCAACTACAGTGTCTCGTGATGATGACACCCTCAGCACTGATCAATAATCGACCATAGTCATAAGTACCTTACATAAAAAGAAAAAGGCCAATCTACATAGTAGTAACGTGAGTAGGAGGCATGTGATGGCTGGCTGGCTGGCTGGCTGGCTGGCTGGCTGGTTGAATCAAAAGGAATAATAATGCTGCTACTGCTACTGTCACTACTTACTGCATGTGCTGTTTGCTTTTATCTACCTACCGGAATTATGTGGGCAGTTATCTGGTTGTTACAGGGGTGCACTAATTACTAGTTACTAGTGTGTCTCTACTAAGGTGGAACTAATGGGATTTGCGTCGGGTATATCCGTGCATGTACTTGTGTCAGATAGTATGAAGTAGTTACAGGTAGGATAATAATGTAGTAGTAGTAGGATAGATTATTGTATGATTGACCACTTCATTTTTCGGTGGTTATTATTCATTCATTCAGTCATTCATCATTCACATGGTGAATGTAAATAGGTATTACCATACTAACTAGGAAAATGGAAAGACATCAAGTAGTGTGAAACAAAGCCATCGCTGCATGAATTAATGGGTATGTCGCTGAGCTATGCAAAATGCAATCCATCTAAAGTAACGCGGGAGCTGTTCTGTGTAACACGCTCGGGGTATGAGAAATGAAGGTTGGAAACGAAACAAGGAAGCGCCAGGAAACAACATGATGACATACAAGACGGGGTATCTGAACATCCGACGCTGAAAACAAAAAGAAAAGAAAAGAACAAAAGAAAGGGGCAATAATTAGATCGGAAATCGCGAGTAAGAAAAAGAAAAAAGCAAAACCACTGACGAAAACCCAGCTGAGAGGGGCATCTGGGTCTGGTATCCCGAAATGTTGCTAAATCCATGACCACCAACACCGACGCGACAACGCATGAAACGGAACGATAATTAAGCAAGTAAAGAAATCCCGGTTGACAAGAGGGGAAAGAAAAGAAACCGGAGAGACAAAGAACCACAAGCAAGGAAAGACACAATGCGCAAGAGAAGCCGAGTATCCAAGCGCGTGCCATGACCCTTTGGGCCAGCATGATCGGGGTGAGTCACCATCCGTAGGGAAGGGAAGGGAATGCGATCAGAGCGTGCCCTGACAATGGCGGTGAGGTTGTGAAGAATGATAGGCAGCAGACAGAGCCCTGTCCAGCGTGCATCAGCAGCAGCCAGAGAGGGGAAATGTCCCCCCAATTTCCATCAAATGCGCCGGCTGCGACAGAGAAATTAGGTAATCAGGCAGCCAAGCTCGGGCACCAAATCAGAGGCCGCGGAGACGCAACTCCGGCCTGCCAATTCCGCCCGGCTACAGCGCCTACCAACTATCTCTCCTCGCTTCGTCTCCCATTCCTCCGTCGCACGTGCACCCTCTGTCGTCATATTCCCCCGGTCCCATGCCCGATCATGCTAATTCATGGCCCTGTTCTTGAAAGTCCGAGCCTTGTGATGTCCCAGACTCCCAAGCATCAGTGCCAGAAATGTGTCATTGTGGCGGGGGGTCCATGACTGATTGCTTCTGTCGGCAACCACTCAGGTCGGGGGCCTTCCCAAAAAAGGGGGGATAAGATGTGGTAGTTGGAAAGAAGAAAAAAAAATTGGTGGAAAAAGGAAGCAACCAGATAGACGTGTTGGTCGCATTTCTGGACAGCTGAGCTGGAAACAGATCGGCGTCGATCATTCGACAGCCCTAATCTCCGGCTAAATCGGACCAAAATGTTGGCGTGGGGTGACGAAGTCGTGGGGTATCATGACATGCGCAAGTAGATGGTTTGGCGTATTGGTGTTACAACGAAGAAAAAAGTAATGAGAAGATGACACCCTTTTCGGTGTCTCTTAGGCGCGGCAGACGGTGGCTTTGGAAGCAGATGCGGTCCGCCGCTTCCTCTCGGGGATGGCCTTGCGCTTCTTGCGCTTTGCGTTCTCGCGCTCTGCTGCTGCCATCTGTGCCACCCGCATGGCCTGCTGTGCTCTCGCATGGGCCTGCACCTGAGCAAGGAATCGCGCGCGCTGCGCTTCTTCTTCCGCTGCGGCGCGAATCATCTGGATCTGCTGCTCGGTCGTCAGGTCAACATCTCCCATGGTCGGGTCCTGCGCGGCGGATTCTTCGTCGATCGCACTCTCGCAGGGGGATCCAGAGCCGATGGGGAGGAGATCTTCATCGGAAAGGTAGGCGCTGGCAGTGGAACTGTCCGAGTCTGCACTCAGCAGAGAAGGGCGGTTGGGCCAAGATGGGAAGGCGCAAGAGTTGTTCATCTCATAGCCGCTGGAAAAGGAGCACTTGCGAGGAGTAATGTCGAGCAAGGAATCAGTGGGAGAGGGTGGTGGGGGAGGCGGCATCGAAGTGGGTGAGCAAGAGCTGCCGAAACTAAAGCTGAAGGAGACATTCTGAGTACTAGTGGTGGCCTCGCTCAGAGAAGAGCGAACACTAGACTGGTTCTGACTCCAAGGAAGAAAGGGATACATTGTGAGAAGAGGTGTTGTTATCAGTAGTAGTAGTAGTAGTAGTAGTAGTAAGTGGTGGTGGTAGGTGTGGTAGTAATGGGAGTGAATCTCGGTGTTGTCCAGAGCGATGCAGGAAGTATAAGTAGTAGTATGACTACTACTAGCTCTGTGACAGTAGGTTGATGAGTGGAGGTGAAGAAGATCGACACGTTCTGGGGAGGTCAAGACCCAAGAGTTGAGAAGGGAGGAGTGGGAAGTCAGATAAATAAATAAGCTTGGAGAGGAGATTCTGGGGATTGACGCTGATCAAGGAATACTCCACCGGTGGATCAAATGGCGGAGAGAGGAAAATGAGGTGAATGTATAAATGGAAGAAGGGCCAGATCGATCGGGGGAGGCGTCTGGACTCCCTTGCATCTCCCAACAGATAAGGCGTCGTGGAGAACGAAGAAGGAGGTGTGGAGTCCCTGTTAAAGTCGGAGGGAGGGGGGTTGGCAGCAAATCCGATTTTTCCTCTTCGGATTAATTTGATTATTGATTTATTCAATTTTCTGATTTTCAGAAAATCAAAAACTCGAAAATCGAATTTCTTTTTTTAAAAAAATTCCCTTGTTTGGGTTTGAGAGTGTCGCCCCACTGGGGGAATTACCAGTCACCAGCCCGACAAAGCGGCCAGAATCACTTGGAATTTTCCGCAATGCTGGCCTGAAAGCAAAGCATCCACTGGTAATCCTGCGTGTCAAGCGCGGCGATCAGGCGGAAGGGGCGTTCCGGTCGCTGTACGATGGATGAAGCAGCAATCCAGTTGGATGGACACGAGAGAGTACTACCACTGTAGTAGTAGCGGTAGTGGCAGGTAAACAAGTAGACGTATGTGTGTGTGTATGTGGAAAATGTGTGGAGGTATGTTGATGATGTCGGTGATGTCGCGGCGGTATGTCAATCACAGTAAAAGTACCAAGTGGCTTGGTATAGTATTGATTACTGTGATCAGTAGTAAGTAGTAATGATCAGATGGTACTATTGTCAAAAGTGATAGATGTTCGAGTTGATCAGTCCAGTGCGATGTAGCAGCGAACTCCTGAAATCCATCATCGGACCAGGGACTAAAGGTACATATTTATCTATTATTATGATTTATTCCCATCGGGTGGATTCGACCCTAATCTGACAGCCAGACCCCCGGTCCAGGGCGTGGATCTATCGGCTTTCTTTTGTTCTTCCATTTTAATTTAATTCCTGGGCGGATTTGCTCGCTCCTCCGGTCCGCGGCCCGGGGAGCTTCGGATGGGGGGCGAGAAAAGGGAAAAGGAAAAGGAAAAGCGTGGGGATGGATCAAGTGTCAAAGAATGAGTCAACTTTATCCACTGCTCCCTCCGTTTTCTCCCACATCTCCGAGCTCCCCATCAGTGGCACCTCCGTAATTGTTTCTTTGGTTCGTCCGACCCCAGATTTATTGGCATTTAGCCAAGTGCAGGATAATACCAGATCAGAGAATATTTGTAGAGAATACAACTGGGTGCCCTGTAGGGGCTACATTGTAGATACTTGCAACAACAACACCATAGTAGTATTACTGTACTTAACTAGTAGTCGAAGGCTGACATGATACGGGTCCGGTAAATATTCCCCAATACCCGACCGACAGACTGACAGTGGGGGCTCATCATTCATCCATCCTTTGGTGTTGTTTTGTTTTCCGGCGGCTGACGATATTAATTTAATCAGAAACATCGCCTCAATGCGAATTACTCCGTCTGCCCCCAATTTTGATTATTATTTTTCGGGCGGATGTTTCATACTTCCAACCTGGCAGGCAGGCTGTACACCGTAAGATAATCAACTAATGGATTATTCACAACCCCGCCCTGTTGTCCACCACAAGGACGGAGTAAGTAAGTACAGTAGCAGCCGACAAGAAATCAAAAATCGCTTTGATCCGCGATATCCTCAGCACAAAGCGACAGGCGGTGTTGGGTTCTCGTGCATCTCGCAACGGGATCTTGCGGTCTGTGTAGTTTACCAGGTTTTATCAGCCATCTGTCGGTCAGTCCAACGATTCATTCAAGCCAATCCCCTCCCCTCCCTGCATACATGAACAGCATCATCATCATCATCCCCCGTAATTCCGCGGCCAAATCAGCACGCTCTGACCTCACCGCTTCAGTCAATTGTTTGGCATCTTCGCAGCAACTAACACCACAGCATGCTTCCGATGGATGTCGACATACATCCGCCCGTCTGTATGAGTATGCAAGTATGTATATACATCTGGCGATAACGGTAGTGGGCATGTAGTATGTGGGTAAAAGAAAAATAAAAAGTGATTTAGTTAGTCAGTTACCAACTCGGTCCAAAAGTGACTAAGATGGTTTCAAATGCGTTTAGGCTTTTTGCATCTCGCGTTGGTTTTACAACTCATCCCATTCCCTCCCTCGAGTCCCCTTCAACTCCCTTCTAACATGGGGTTCGCTGGGGGAGTGGTCTGGCGGTCAGGCAGGCAAACACCCGGGCGGGCGCCTCAGAAGTCGGCTGAGACGGACATGGACATGGGATTGTTGGCAGTGCTGAATTCTCGAGGCAAACAAGAGAGCCATTGGGTTTCCTTTTTTTTTGCGACATCTGATTATTGTTATCAGCTCGTGCCGCGATACCAGACTAAATGGAAAAGGCAAAAATAAGCAAGCAAAGAAAAGGAAATAAAGTAATTCGATAGAGGGTCAACTTACTGTCACAAGCAAAAGTAACGTAGGTAATCGGGTACCTAATCCATGCGCGGTATCCGCGGTGGATCCCGGGTATTCCCTTATGCCCTGCTACCTTACTGTACTTCGGCTGTGTATGTCCACATCTCCATCTTAGCCCGATAGGAAAGCTGCTATACTCTACAATACTCTTCACAAATGATAAACTCTCCAGTCAGTATCCTCTCAAACAACAGGCGGCGCACACTTCTTGTTTGTACATCCCAACCATGGAACTTGTCTTGCACGGATCCGACCCCGGATCCGCTACTGTCAAATTGTTCTTGTTCGGGAGAGTTGTGCTGGAACGACCCAGAGTACATAGACGTTTGGTTCCCCGTTCAACAATCCACCCCCCGCGACCCACGCGTATCTACCCAGATAACTATCCATCACTACTTCTTTACCCCGGACGTTGTGTACCTCCGCCAAGCCCTGTTATCCGTTCCGTAATCCTCACTCCTTCGGACCCGCGTAGGACTTTACAGTTCGTAAATGAAAGAGGCATGAATAGACTCAGCTGTGCCTGTCTGCCCCCAATCTGATCTGACGGGCCGCACCACCCCCAGGTTCCATCCACTGTCTGAGTTGTCGCGGTCTGCCCTGCCCTGCCTTGCTCGGCCCTGCCCCCCGTACAGCCAGTAAGTTTCAGTCAAGTTGGGGGAGGCGAAGCAGCAACGGCCCCCCCATTCATCCCTCGAGAGCATCGGCAGTTGTCCGTTTCAGCCCGCGAACTAGTCACGTCCAGTCACCTAAAACTGAAAATGGCCAGACTAGGCAACTCTTCCCACTTTGTGAAAGAAAACAACGAGGACGGGAATATACTTCTTTCGGATAAATACATTTTCCAAATCCAATACTCTTTTAACTACAGTAGGCAATAAAATGAATTACTCTTTGTGTAAGTCCAGCCTAGCTGATGAAGATCACTGCTAGTAGTACTTCTCCGACCGTCGCCAGTGTCGAGAGGCGAAATGCACGGTTAATCTAGGCGGGTAGTTTTTAGCCTTGCCGGGCGGGATGGTGCCTCGGCATCTGGGGGGCTGTTGATTTATCCATTCATCCCTACTATCTCTCTTCCTTTGTTCGGCAGTGGTAGTGGTAGTCTAGTTCTGACAAGGCACACGCAGGGCTGGCTCGCTGGCTGTGTGTCCAGTGATCATCTGAGTGTTTTGTTGTGTGATGACTGACTCACTAGTCGTACAGGGACAGCGTGTTTCAGACTTTGGGGCTGGATGGCATTGTGAATGCAGTGATTACTACTGGTACTATATTTATTGGACAACGAATGAATGAATGACTCGATGCGATGCATAAGTACATACGGAGTACATATGCTGGCATGCAGTATGTGTTTGAAAGATATATATACTATATATATATATATCAAACAAGCGGAGTGTGCTTTATCAATTCTGGGTCGCGATCAATCAATCGATGCAATGCATACAACTAAATTCATACAGTGTACTTTGTACTACTTGGTTCGTTGGGGTGGATCTGAACGAATGACCTAATTCTAGACTTCTTTGCATATGTACCCCTGGAACTAGTCAGTCGCGCCAAAGAACCTGATCCCAGCTAGTCACTAAGTCACTAACAACTTATCTTTGTGAAGTACGTTGGCCGATGGTCTGTTTCAGTTCAGCTCCACCACCAACATGATGCAGTGTGAAAGGCATCAAACTGACACTGATCATCCCAGACAAAGTACGAGTTCAGTATCATCACGAGCACACCAATACCATGCCCAGAACGGCCCAATGACTACTACTCCAATCTAATAATGAAGATGGATGTGATTCATTTCTTTCTTTCTGAGATAGTAAACGCTTTGACCGACCGGGCACCAGCCATCACAAGCCATCACAAGCACACTATTTATTTGACCGTCTTGAATGGCTTCATCTTGTGGTTGCTGCTACTGCTGCTGCTATTACTACCGGAGCTGATTGGCGCTATCAGGTGGACAATGAAACGGCCCAGCGGGACTGAACTGAACCGTGACAAAAAAGCCTGGCCTGTCAGTCAGTCAGTTGACGAGTAACATGGTCCCGACCGGGTGATTGGGAGCAACACACCCGATGCGCCCAGACCTCGGTTGTTAAAGAGGGTTTCCTTTGAACCTGACTGACGGGTAAATGAAAAGGTACTAACCCGTCGACGGCTCTAGACCGTCGGGCCTAATTTGCCCGAGGGCAAATGATCAGATAGAAGTCAATCAATGATAGTCCACGATCAGTCAGTTACTCAGTCAATAGTAGTTCTGTTCATGCACAAATGCTTTTCTTTCACCCGCGGATTGCGGAACCCGCCTCCGATGAATGATCGAACCGCCGTGCTGGATTGGATGGTCTCCACCGCCCCAGCGATCGTCCGTTTTGGGACAGAGTAAATAATGAGAAGTAATTTTCCCTTTTGGGACGAGGATCGTCTCTTCCCAATCCGGTAGCTTTCTGAGCTCCCCGCCAACCCAAAGTACATCCGCATTTCCCCCCCTCGCGGCCCTTTAAGACTCATCAACTGCACTATTTTGGAGAACACGACGCGGGTAGACCCGCGGAACCGCGGTACGAGCTGCCGGACCAGGACTTGGAGAGATCATGGGGAGGATGAGGAACTTTTGCCCCTTTTGCTTTTTGGTGAAAAGTATCGCAGGTTCTTCAGGGTGCACCGTGAGCCGGGCAGCTCCCCCCGGCCCCGGTGGCTGCAGTAGTTCGCTTCGGGTGGAAGTCAAGTAGGAAGTACTGAGTACCTTTCAGCTGGTCCTGAAGATACATCCACTCACTGTGAATGGATCATCATCTTGATTAAGGGAGGAGGATGACGACAATGACGACTATCTGTCCATAGCTCCAGCTCTCTCTGCACATGCGCATTCCACTCAGCTTCAGCTGCACCTTTCCTAGATTGTGTACAGTATACTTACGTATGCACTTGCATACATAAGTTACATTCCCGAATACTTCTGGTCAAGGAGACCAGAAGTACTCCGGATACCCATTCTGGGGTACACCTGTACTTTTACTTATTGACTTACTCCTCCCGGGACTTGCTCACATTTGCCAGTTCTCCACCCAGGCACATCCGCGTATGCAAGCCTAACATTCCAGACTGTCCCCGACTTTGGGTACTGCAGTTCCGATCGAGGCGATCCATGCAACTGATTGGTGCTGACCCCCTTGTCCATCGTCATCCCATGATCCCGGATACCCTCCTGCATTTTCCACCCACCCACAGCTCTTCAATGCAAGGCATGCTTCCCAGCTTACGTGGTGATGCCTCGGTGCTACCCCTCCATGAGCGGCGTTTTGCACTGTTCCCTCCCTGCTGGTGTCCTTCCCTTCCACCACTTGCCAATCTACGGTACTGTGTCTGCAGGGGCTGTCAAAGCTCCCAAACAGCGGTGATTCACCGCTTCCCCCGTTATTGGTTCTCATGATGCCATGCCATCGGTTTCGTTGGTCGGGCGAAACATTCTACTTGTGGTGTTTGTTATCGATCTAGCGCTTTGGGTTGGACTACCTTAGGCATCTAAAGATGATGCATCCACTCATGGTGGTTCCCTCCTAGCCAGGAATTGGGACTTTTGCATCGCCGACCGGGGGAAGGGGTCAAATATGGATGAAACATTGGAAGAGCACTAGAAGCTAGGACTGAAGATCCAGGAGCGCGGTCTTGGACTCCTCACAACGCACACCCTGGCTGCCCCGCCACGGCCTTGCGCGGAGTTTAAAGGTACCACTTGCTGCCCCCGGAGTATCTGGGGATGGAGAAAGCACATACCACACCGTCCGGGGAGGACCGCATTTGCTGCACCACATTCTCGACGGGGAACGGGTCCCGGAGCACGGATCGAGAAATAAGGTGTACTCCTCGCAGCGGATGTAGCAGACGGATGCCTGGATATGGTTCCGTCTGCACTGGGTTCCCGGTTTGGCAATTAGAGCTACCCAGCTGGGGGATCCACGACCCTGCGACGGGTCTTTCTGAGCAGTCCGGAAACAACTTCCCCGGTTGATCCTCGACCTGTGGCTCGCACGGGGGGAGACGCATCATATGTGTGGCGTCGCATTTGGAATGTGTGGTATATTTATCTGGCTACATACAGAGTGAGGCGAGGTATGTGGCGAGGGTGAGCGGGGACAGGTGGCTTGAGTTGACATACACAGTAGTACTACGGTTCTGATCTCCGGATAGGGCCGTCTCCAGAAGTCAAAGGGATGTATTATCGACATGACGGCGCGGAGTCCATGCGCTCTGTCGAGTCGGTCACCAAGCCTTGACGCGTTTCGTTCTATTCCCGCCACCTGCGACATAATCGGCAACTCCGCAGTTTAAACAAGTTTATTGTTGGCGGACGTCGTCATTTACTGCTGTCAACACCATAGTTATCCTTTTCTCGCATGTCCATCTGACCACGACTATCAGGCTTACGATAGCGTTCAATATCGGCATGCGCTCCGTTGTTCCATGCAGTGACCGACCGCTTAGGCTCATACAGGCGTCGTCCTACACGGGCGGGGGTCTGTAGACAAAGGCCATTATACTTATTCTGGGTTACGAAGGTGAGGTTGGACGGTGCAACGTGCGGGCGGGCAGTGCTTGCGCTGACGTTTCACTCTCGATCATCTACACGGACACGCGGAGACGCCGCGGATTGCAGTCCCCAGATGGGGAAGGCCGTACGGGTCAGCAGGTAATCCCTCGCGTTACACTGAGTAGGATGAGTAGGATTCGTATCATTGGAGCCTCATTGCAGAGCCGCGTTGAACCCATCATTCTCTCACTGATTCTGTTTGCTGATACCTCGTAACGCTTTCAGCCTTGTTGGAATGATGCTAGGGTTTCATCGGGTATGATGTCGATGGTGGTGGTCGGGGATTATTGGGGATGATGACGATGATGATGATAGACACGTTGACATGGGTTTATCCACATTTACCCCATGTTCTGGCACGTCGCTTGACACCGATCATCTTTGACAGCCACTACAGCTGCTGCTGCTGCTACTACCTCGGGGTGGCGAATCCGCCGCCAAGGGCGGATAGGATATAGTGACTGTGACTGTAATCTTCATGTTTACTATCTCGGTTATATTCACTAATCGTCCACCATACACAGTAGGATAAATTTAGCCACATAATCAGATTCGACATTTTTACACCGTGAATATACCAAGTAGCCACCTCACTTGGAATTAACAATATCATGCCCCTCGCACAAGATACCTATCCGAACAGCCACAAACTACTCACCGTCCATCGGCCATGTAACCCACTCTAAAATAGGATGGTGACACAGCATTTTGTGTGTATATTTCCTAGAATATTCTTAATTCCTCAAATAGCCATTTCCGGCTCGATCGCATAGTCTACTAACTATGGCAAACAATGAATGACTCACTGATGAAGGATACTAGATAAGCACACTATACACATGTACATACATCGCCTTATCGTACAACCGGACATCCCCGTCATCAACAAACATAACTGAAATCACAATAATAACATCCCACATCACACGGGAGGGGTAATTAGCAATCCAGTAAGTGGTGAGGTAAGTAAGCCCGTTCGTTCTGGAACGTTTCCACACAGAGGGTGGATTAGAAATTATCATTACCCAACTTACTGCTTAACCTGGATAAAAATAATAATAATGATAATTATTATTATTGGTTTATTATTTATCTCTGACACTTGAAAATATGATTTTTGATATTATTATTCAGATTGTCTCGGATATGACACCGCTGCAACACTGCGATGGTGCAATGGTTGGTTGGTTGATTAGTTGGTTGGGTACCCAAGTAAATAAGGAGTAGATAGTAAGTAAGTAAGCGTGGCGCCTAACGAACATTCCATCGTTCCATTATCCATCCATCTCCATCTACTACCCATTCATGATAAGCTATGAGGTACATACCCTTGAAACAAGTGGGGTGTATGTATGTACCTGTCTGTCTGTCTGACCGGGTAGATCGGTTAACACGGGATTTCATGACACATGCTATTTACTTACTTCAAGATCCTGATGGATTATAGGAATGGATGGATGGATGGGTGGATGATAAATATTCAGGAAGCGCTTGTTGCGCCGCGCCGGTCGGTGATTCGGCATAATATATTTTTATCTTACTTGTTGGTAAGTTGTTTTATATGGTGGGATGTCCACGTGTATGTGGGATAGGGATATATTCCCTTAACCTTCATTACGAAGTATCCATAGTAAGGATAATATATCGGAAGATGTCGGTACCACATAATAATAATAATAGTAGTAAGTAGTTCACTACTAAGGGAATGGATTAATAATGAAGGATCAAAGATGAGGAAGAGGATGAAAGCTAACTGACGGACAATATCCGATGATAAATAATCCCACCAATTAGATAGATACCTATCAATCCTCATTCCTCCAGCTTATCTTAGCTAAGGATATATTCACCCTTTTTATCAGGAGAATAGTACAAGGATCCCCTCGTTCCAGAAGGTTTCCTCATTTCATCGGCTAATTGCATGTGAGATTTACTCTGTGTGTGTGTGTGTGTGTGTGTCACGGCAACCGTTTACCGTTTATCCTTCCCTTCCCTGTTCTTTTTCCCTTCCGTTCCGCTACTAACTACCGGAGAGGGGGCCGTGAACTGGCGGTGAGAAAATGATTCCTTGTATGGTTGTACTTGGTGTGATCGGCACGAGGGGAGAGGATTGGTTACTGATTACCCTGTCTAAGGATTATCTCTTTTTCTTTGTGTACAAAGTAATAAATAAAAGTAGTGTGGGTGTGGGGATAAATTCCTATTCGAGTGGGATCTGGAAAATAGCAGGTTTTGGGGAGATATATACCTTAGTGGGATGGCGTTGAGTTACGTAGTACTTAGTTATCTTCCTCAAGTATCCCCGCGCGCGGCGGATAGAATATCCACCACTATTTAGGAAATTATCTTGATATGGCTTCCTTACTTTAGACTTTCCGTGGCCGTTGAATTAACCAAAAAACAGGGAAAAAGAAAAGAATGATTGACAAGTTAGATATCCCACGGGTCGGTGTGTGTAGCCGGTCAACGGCCGGCTACTTACGTAGTTGGCAACTAGAATGGGAATTGATATCCTTACCTAGACTACTTGCTTACTAGCTACTTCTGTATATTGTGTTATCCTTGCTGGAGGATGAGGTTGGGGTTTAGCGGTGAAAGAAGTACTAAGAATTCATTCCTGTTGTGTTTCGTTTCTTGTTTGCTGGTACTTGGTGGATGGTTGCATCGCTTATTGAACTCTTTCTACTTTTCTTTCTTGTTTTGTTTCTTCGTTCCTTTTGATTTCTTTATCGGGATTGATGTTGGTTGATGCGGAGGGACTTATGATTGAGGTATGGGTCTAGATCTAGACTCGGTGGGGGTGGTGGGTGGGTGGGTTTGTTCTTTTGTTCTTTTGTTCTTCGATGCTGGTGGCGGCGGAGCGGTGTGCGATTATCTTTGTGTATGATTTCGGGCTTTGATGGTGTTGCTTGGAGTAGTCTTGTACTTCGTACGGAGGTATATATTAATAGGACTTTGAGGCAGCTAGGGTATTTGAAAGAGTTTTATTGTATACTCTAGTGAAAGCTCTGTTTTAGCTTAGTTTGGGTAGTTACTGTTGGGAGATGTAGTTGTACAGGTCTCAAGGGAAATCAAGGCTGTTACGACGGTATTCGCATTCTATATAGCATCTGTCTCCTTGAAAGGATATAGAGTGCATTCAGAGAGGTTGGGATACTGTCACAATGAGACGGGCATACCTCGAACATTACGGTATGAATTAAGTCTCATATAGTACTGATAGGTCTTCAGATTATGAAGGGAGAGTACTAGATTGGGGCATCAGAGAATCTATATTGATAAACAGATTAATATATTAAGATGCTGCACAGGCACTGATCCACGAAGGTGGAGCATGTCTAGTAATAGTAAGATCTCACTTCTCAACTGTAGTATGGAGCTTCAACGCGATATGCAGCTCCGTGCACATGTGGATCTGACCCGATAACTACCATCTGTTTTGAGAATAGTAGCAATGCGCTAGAGTAGAGCCTCAAGCATGACTAGTGCAGGTGCTAGTTCGTTCATATCTATTGGTATACATTAGTGGATTATGTTTGGTTTATCCTCCGTGCGGACTGTCCTCGTCAAAGGCCTTGAAGTGGTCAGTCCTGTCATGAATCTGATTTCAACATCACTTCCTATCATAATTACACTGTCTGCCCGACACTGCCAGCATGTTGATTGCTGTATGACTGGCATGGTTGATTTCGAGCATATGCGCTGTAATGCCAGGTACCGCAATCAGGAGCTTTGATGCAGGCCACATAGTAGGTTACTTGCCTTAGCATCCCCATTGGTTTGAGATCTCCGGGCTGCTGTAGAGTACGACTGGTGTGACTGGCATGACTGGTAGCCAGTTCCTGCTAAGGCAACTATCTTGAAGCAGTATGGTAATCTTCAAGCATGCCGATCCATGTTTTGAGACTCGATATTTGCTTTGACGCAGCCTAATTTCACTATCCGTTCATAGTGGTATTAATGTTTGAGCAGGCAGCTGTTCAGCTGTCCAGTATTCCAAAATCCTTCAATATTGAACGCGGTGTTATCGGAGTTATGGGCATTCCTGATGGAACGGAGTTAAGGCTCGATATTTCCGAACGGCGCAGTATATAGTGTTGAAGATGGCTGTAGTTGCAACCACTCATAGAGCACCCTCAGCCTGCAGAAACATCTATTAGTCTGTACTTCACTATGGCTGCTGAGCAAAAGCTGGTCCTAATCACTGGTACTCCCCCCACCTTGACAATTAGCTTCATCTAACAACTCCAGGGGCAAACCAGGGCATCGGGTTTGAGACAGCCAAGAACCTGATTCTCTCCGACAATTACCATGTCATCTTAGGCTCGCGAGACCCAGCCAAGGGTGAAGAAGCCGCCAAAACCTTGGGGGCCGTCCCCGGTATCAAAGGCAGCGTCTCGTCGATTCAGATCGACGTGACAGACGACCAGTCTGTGGATGATGCTGCTGCCCAGATAAAAGCCCAGTATGGACGGCTCGATGTCCTGGTCAACAATGCTGCGATGAGCTCGATGAAGCATCCGCCAAGTCGGGAGGCAATGCGCCAGATTCTGGATGTAAATGTGGTCGGAGCACTCAGCACGACAGAAGCATTTCTCGACCTGCTTCGAAACTCCTCTGAGAAGCGTCTCGTATTTGTCTCTTCGAGCACAGGCTCCATTAGTCGTGCGGCAGACCCCTCATCTCCCTTCCACATAGCCAGTGCCACTGAGTATCGAGCCAGCAAGGCTGCACTGAATATGATGATGGTCTTGTACATGTGCCGTCTCAAGGATGAAGGTTTCAAAGTGTTTGGAGCAGATCCAGGGTTGTGTGCCACGAACCTCACCGGTGATCCTGAATCTCTTCGACGACGAAATGCTGCAGAGCCATCTGATGGAGGGGAGAGGGTGGCGACGGTGGTGAAAGGGGAGCGAGATGCGGATGTTGGAAAGGTGTTGGGAGTATATGGAGTATCTCCATTCTGAATGATTTTGATTGTATCACCAGTCCGTGTATCTCAGTCTGTATACCACTGTCATCGAGTATGTTGTATAGATTGATTGCATGCCAAAACAATAGATGGCATCAGACTAAACCAATCATGGCATGTACCTGAATGAGTCATGGCCAGTCACGAGACCCAGCCCCAAAGCGGGGATGACGGCGGTGAAGCCAATCGGTGGCAGACATTCCAGGAAGTCGTATAATTTGCTGAAAAACTGGTGGGTAACCATCCAGACACTTTATGCCACCACCACGATTACCCCTCGTTTGCCGGTCGCTCTTTTCACGCCGGTTCTCTCGTTCGGCCATCATGGAGAGTCGCCAACAGCCTCCCTGGCAGCAACCGCCTGCTCATCCCGACACTCGTCTGCCGCCCCTCAAAGTATGGAACTCCCTCACCAGATCCAAGACGCCCTTTGTGCCATTGGACCCCAAAGGCCGGAAAGTTAAGTGGTACGCTTGCGGTCCGACAGTCTACGACGATGCGCATCTGGGCCACGCCAGGAACTATGTCAGTACCGATATCCTGCGTCGAATTCTCAGGGATTACTTCAAGTTCGACGTGGAGTTTGTCATGAACATCACCGATGTCGATGACAAGGTATGTGTCACTACCCCGCCGGTGACAATAGCTCTCGAGTGTTGACTCTGGCTCCAAGATCATCCTGCGTGGTAGACAACAGCACCTGTTCAACAAGTACATCGCTGAGCACCCCACCGTTACGCCCGACGTTCTCGAAACCGCCCGCAAAGCATACAGCGCCTACATCAAGAAGAACCTTCCCCTGATCGATCCCGATACCGAGCCGGAGAACTTTGTCGCAGAAGCCCAGAAGGTCTATGGGGTTGTGCTTCAGGGAGGGGCTCTGGAGGCAGACAAAAAGCCCGGTGATGCGGAGGTCAAGATCAAGATGCACATCAAGACCGTGACAGCCACGACGTCGGCGATTGCGGAAGCCGCTCAGAAGCTCTCGGGCATCGATGCTGCATCCAGCAAGGCTTTCTACGATGCCGCTCAGGATGTCTTCTGCTTCTATCTTGATGTGACGGAGGGGTCTACAATTCCTGGCGATGCACATGAGATCTTCACGAAATTGACGAAGAAGTACGAAGACCACTTCATGAGGGATATGCGGGATCTGAACGTCCTCGACCCTGATGCTGTGACCAGAGTCACGGAATACGGCCAGCAGATTGCCGACTTCGTCGAAAAGATCGTCGCGAACCAGTTTGGCTATGTCACCTCCGATGGCTCCGTCTACTTCGACATCAAGGCATTCGAAGAAGCTGGTAACCACTATGCGCGACTTGAGCCTTGGAACCGCAACAACCAACCTCTGCTAAGGGACGGTGAGGGTGCGCTGTCGCGGGCAACCGAGAAGAAGTCTTCAGATGATTTTGCCCTCTGGAAGGCATCTCGTCCGGGAGAGCCCAGCTGGTCAAGCAAGTGGGGTCAAGGACGGCCAGGCTGGCACATCGAGTGCTCGGCAATGGCATCGAGCTGCCTTGGTAGTCAGATTGATATCCACTCCGGTGGCATTGACCTTGCATTCCCTCATCACGACAACGAGCTTGCGCAGAGTGAAGCCTACTGGTGCGAGCATAAGCAGCAGTGGGTCAACTACTTCTTGCACATGGGCCATCTGTCCATCCAGGGTTCCAAAATGTCGAAATCCTTGAAGAACTTCACTACCGTCAAGGACGCTCTCGAGCGCGGTGACTACACTCCTCGCAGCTTGAGAATCGTCTTCTTGCTTGGTGGATGGCGTGATGGTGTCGAGATCACCGATGATCTCATCAAGAATGCCTCTTCCTGGGAAGAGAAGCTCAATAACTTCTTCGTCAAGGCGAAGGACCCCTCCAGCTTCCGTTCTTCCGATGAGGCGCCGACTTCTTCATCCGAGACCTTATCACAGGCCCTCAAATCTACACAAGAAAAGGTCCATGAATACTTCTGTGACTCCTTTGATACCCCCAAGGTCATGGCCGCCATCTCTGAGTTGGTCACGACGTTCAACGCCCTTGACAGTCAAACCTTGGATCTCAAGGTGGTTGAATCCATGGGCACATGGGTCACCCAGATTGTCACTATCTTTGGCTTGAATGGCGCTGCCTCTCCTGACAGCTGTGGCATCGGCTGGGAAGGCACTGACATTCCGGAAGCAGCCAAGCGTTTCCTATACCCACTGTCCGCCATGCGTGACACTCTGCGCCAAGCTGCCATGTCCGGAACTCCCATCACCGCCGAGCAGGTGAAGGATATCGTCGCCACCTCTGCCACCAAGGAAGCAACTGTGTCCGATTCTGACAAGCCCTATTCCCAAGTCCTGGACAATTTCACTTCTCAATTGGCCTCGCTCAGCTTGGACGATACCAAGCAGGCATCCAAGGACATACTTTCTCTCTGCGATCGTTTGCGTAATGTCGATCTCTTTAACCTGGGCATTTACTTGGAAGACCGCGAAAACAAGCCCGCACTCGTCCGTCCTGTCACCAAGGATATGCTGCAGGCCCGCGAGGAACAAGCTCGTAAAGCCTTGCTGAAGCAGCAAGAGAAAGAGAAGCAAGAGAAGCTTGCCCAGGAACGGCTCGAGAAAGGAAAGCTTAATCCCGTGGAAATGTTCCGCACCAGCGAATACAGCGCCTGGGACGAAGACGGCATTCCCACGAAAGATGCGGCGGGAGAGCCTCTCGCCAAGAGTAAGAGCAAGAAGCTCCGGAAAGATTGGGAGCGCCAGAAGAAGGCCCACGAAGCCTGGCTTGCAAGCCAGAATGGAAAATGATAGATTATATGAATCAATGAATAATACACCATCCGTCTTGGTTGACCCAGAAGGATCATCATTCTAAATCTGACGTGCATAATCATCTGGAAGTCATCCATTCGTCACCTTGATTTAGGAACTCATCATGAGGTAACCATGCCAGTAGTACTACGCATCGGTTACATACAGCCATGTCCCTTTCCTCTAATTCTGCAGTTCTGTATCCCCTGTGTCACGGCCCAGATTTCCCATGATGCAAACAAGTTTTACCAACCCCCAATTGAGGTATATTATCTGATCGTCTCATACCTCGGTTATCTTGACCTTCGCCCCTTGCGTCTCACCTGCCGAACGCTTTATCGAGTGTGTGCCGTCCAGCTCAACAATATCGACCTTCGTACAATCAGTACGGACCTTTCCCGGCGCCATGTGCAGCAGTTGATGAGGCTCACCGCAAAACAAGCCTCGGGTATCAGAGAATTGGCAATTTGCAGTTCTTCCGAAGGACCTCTGGGTCTTGGTTATCGCGTTCTCCCGTCGTCCCCTCTGAAGTCACAAGCCTCAAAAGACTTGCGAGAAGCCCTCAAAAAACTCAAAAAATGCCGCACTCTCCGAATTTCTGCAGTGGAAATTAAGCATACTGACTATGAACTAGCATGGATGGGGGCTATTGACTTGACTCACTCAGTGCTATCCGCATTCTGTGAGACTCAAAACTCTTTGGAATCGCTCACCTTAGATTTCAGGACAGATAACGTAGCCTCACTTCTACGTGGTGGTCTCGAGAGAATACCGTCCTATGGCCCCGCTGAGCTGTCTCGTTTTAAATTTGGATGTTCAAGAATTAACCACATATCACTCAATCTTAACGCAAACATAGCAAGTAGTCGTCGCTTGTGTGAGAGACTACTACATCCGCTATATACACCCGATGGAGTAAATGAGGTCTCACTTGACCTTGAAAAGCCTATGCAGAAAATGTCGTTCTTGATGTCTTCTGGGGTAGGTATTTTAACACAGGAGAACCTGAGGTGATCAGACTACGCAATGTTACAGGCATGGGCCATCGCATGCTTGAGCCAAAGTTAAAGCAGTATTGCCATTCTTTGCGGGTCCTGACTATGGAGAACATTATCTTCAGATATAACTATTGGCTGAGATTTTTGCGCAACTTAAAGCGTGAATTGCATCGTCTTCAAGAGGTAAATCTGTTTTGGGAGGTGAACACAGGTTCGAAAGTGAGTTTGCCCCTTCAGTCCTTCGGTATTCTCGCTAAATGACTCTAGAGCACCTCGCTCATCACTCAATGGAATCACAATACAATCTATGACAACACTCAAACTAGGGTGACCTACACTGGACCTGAAGAACACGGTGCCCTTACTGCTCTTGAGAAGATAGCCAGTGAAGACCCTCTCTCCGTTCATCTGTGATTCCGCCAGGATGAAGAATGATCTGATACATCCGCTCTGTCTGCTTGTCATGATGCAGTATAGTTTGTCACCGTTCTTCAACACTGCTCTTGTGAACCAGCGAAGCTGCTCTCGTATGGATGGAAGCCTGCAATTCCATCCCATAGAGTATGAATTGTACGACTTTGACAAAGTCAAGTGTTTATCAGATTCAACATTATAGTACGGCGTAGGTGATATCACCGCATGGTATGCTTGATTGACGCACGCACTCTCTTACCACCTCTTCAACGCTGCAGTACCTGGCCGATCAAATCGTGGCCAAGCGATTTTATACCTTTAATGTAGTGTATCCTCCGCTGAAGCGCTCTATCAAAAGAGTGTTATGAAGTATATGCCGTTTTACAAGTCAAGCTTTGAAGTCACACCACTATCAAAGCGAAGAACTGGGCCTGAAAATAGAGTCATCAAGCCGTACAGTAGAATTGTGTAGACCGGAATCTAAACTAGCAGAGACACTATACAGATATCTGGATTCGAAAAAATGTGAGTAGACAAAAGTTGTTTCAGGAGTGAAGCAACCCATCAAAGCTCACCTGAGGAGCGGTGGTGGTTCTACTCCGGTCACCTGCTCCTTGGGGAAGATACTTACTTCCCCTGGATCTGCCCACCAAGCAGCAGCTCTGCCTTGACACCGCATCACACAACCAGTCTCGAAAAGAGTTTCGCAGCTTTGCTATGGTGGAACCATACAGAAGTCAAAACCCGTCTTTATACTCTTCCGTCTTTCTGCTTGATGTGTTTCTTTGTTGAGTTCCTACATACCAGCATCCCCGAGTAATTCGCTGCGGCTACGCGACAAATATCACACCACTCCCATAATCCTCTTCCATGAGCTCATTTCCCATCATCTGTCAGCAACAGCTGAAACAGAATACAACATGGTGCGCTGGTCCACAGGATTATTGCCCAACCTCACTCAGGGGAGATAAAGTTGCTAGACTTACAGTAGGAGAGACTTCACTACATCTTGCCGGCGATTCCTATATTGCCATCAAGCGAAGTTTCAGAGTGTCGTGAACATCCAAGAACTGGAAGGCTCATGACTGCACCTTCAGACCTGGAAGTGCTGACATTGTTATCGTAATGGTGGCGTAGTGCCAGCTTCACTAAAGGACACCGGCCATACATCATACCACTTGATTAGTCCCGTCCGACTTCCTACAACTCGTAAGTTCCAATCTCATTCTCCACTATTCCAATATCGGACACATTATAACACTTGATTCGTTCATTTCAGCCTCCTGCAATATGCATCAACGGACTCGTTCTCCACTTGAAAGCCTCAACCTCTCCCTCTCCAGACTGTCAAGGGACAAGAAGATGCATGCATTCCACTTTCACCTCTCACAAGAAGCGAAGCGTCAGAGAACGCAAGACAAGATTCTCGCAACCCACGCTAGGATCGAAGAATACTCGGCTGGATATTTAAGGCCATGGCAATTACTGAAGCTGAAGATCGACGCGTCTGAAGTCAACATAAGCAGCAAAGATATAATCAAGTTTAGACCGTGCTTTTTCTCTCCCTTACCCACTGACACAATACGGACGTGCCTATCGAAGCAGTCAAACAAGAATACCCCACATGAAAATAGTTTAGGCTATGCAGGACGTGCAATGCCATGCCCAAGCACAGTCGCTCTTATGCATTATCCACTTATCCTCGATCTCTTTCGAGAGAAATATGCAACCTCCGTACGCAAAGGTTTCTGCTTGGACAGCCTGACCACTCTTCGAGAGTGCGGGTAAGTCCGTATGAATCTTCCAAATATCCATTTGTTCAACTAACATGCAGAATACAGAGCCACTAGCAAGGGCAAGTGGAAGCAGCAACCAGGCCTCGAACTCGCCGAGAAGCTATCTACCGAGCGCTGGCAAATCCTGCGCATTTTAGAGGATCTGGAGCATGAAGTACCCCACGCCGTCTGCGATATCCGTCAGAACATCCAAGTTGACAGAAAGAAAGGTCTCACGGTAGCGGAAGTGAAAGCCATTATGAGAGTTATGGCTGTCCGCATAGGGCTGGACTGCTACCGGCCGCATTCCCTAATGCCAGTGAGTCATTTGCAACCCTTTTGTTCTCAGTCCGGTCGAATGTCTGACTGACGAGTCAGATCCTGGCTATATCATACTTGAATCGAAAGCAAGGACGAATCTTACAAGTACACCATGATGGAAAACGGGTCGTTATCCAGTACACGAAAGTGCTAGACTTTGATGGACTTGAACATCACCCTATCGAGCTCTTCCTTCGCTACTACTGCAGCCAGCCAGTCGGAAAGACCGCCAATAAGCAGAAGGATTCATCGTCAAGATAGGGCTAGAGAATTGGCTCCACTGACGCCCCACGGTGGTAAGGAAGGGCATCACTTCCAATGGTCAAGAAGAATCTAGGCTCTAGATTACCAGCCGTCTTGCATTCACACTATCGCGGTTTCGCCCCCGCCAAACTTGGCATCGCAAATGCGATAACGCTATCGGCTTGGCTCCCCAATCGGAAGCAATGCACGCCTTATCTAAATCATCGACTCTAAACTGCTCAGAATATAGCAAAGCAAGGGATTCCTTAAAGAAATCAACTGTTCGATGTGACAGAAATTCATCACATTAGACGATTCGCATATTCTGAAGATGTCTCGGATTCTTCAGAGGTCGCCTTACCTGTGTAACATTACGATTCACGAGGCCAGCTTCTCCGCATCCCGGGGGTTTGATTGCAGGGTACCTCGGCCGTTATCAAGATAGGCCTGGCCGACATGCTTCTTATCGGCCTTGTTACAGCTGCCCAGACGCTAACGACGCTCAGGTGCTCCAAGTCACCACGCGTGGCGATAAGCACTCAAGCTTTCTCTTGATCGGCCTCCTCTTAAAAGGAGGGGTTATGGCCTCCTGCGATGTCGGCGGTATCCCGCCCTCAATCACTGGGCTTCACAGTCATTGTGACACTCGTCTACCGCGGAGATGGCTGCCAAAGAGATGAATGAGAAATCATTCAAATCCCCGCAAGTTAGCGCGGATGTCGAGATTCAACAAGGCAGATTCGACGAAATACAACCGGAATTTGACCTTTCTGAACAAGAGAAGGAGCAAAATGACTTTGACTATGAATCAGAGCATTCGCCTTTCCCAGAAGGTATGCGGCCTTTCATATACACACTGACCCCTCTAATGGGTGACACGCCTAGTACGCGCGGTCGTCCCTGAGACGGACGACCCAGGTCTGCCCGTCAACACATTCCGCATGTGGGTGCTTGGGTTCATCTTCACCATTGTTGGATCGGGAATCAATCAATTCTTCTCGCTTCGATATCCGTCGGTTCATATCGTGTCATTGGTAGCAGAGCTACTGGCCTATCCGTGTGGCGTCTTCCTGGCTAAGGTCTTGCCTCTATGGACTATAAGCCTTGGACGGCTTGGATCGTTCACCCTCAACCCAGATCGCCATTTCAATATCAAAGAGCATGCTCTCATAGTCATCATGAGCAACGTATCTTTCGGCTATGGAAGCGCAGATTCCACCAATATCATCCAGGCGTCGAGCGCCAGGTTCTACAATTTCGGTCTCTCAGCCGGCTTTTCTGTCCTCGTGGTCCTTTGCGCACAATTGTTGGGATTTGGAGTCGCTGGCCTGGCTGCACCGTGGCTAGTTGAGCCAGCAAGGATCATCTGGCCCCAAGTCCTTTCTAACTGTGCCATGCTGGAGACGCTCCATTCACGCGCAAACACCGTCGCCAATGGCTGGAAGATTTCCCGTCTGCGGTTCTTCCTTTACGTCACTGCAGGTGGTTTTGTGTGGTATTTCTTCCCAGGGTTGATGTTCACTGCCCTCTCGTACTTTACGTGGATTTGCTGGATCGCTCCCCGCAATGTTGTCGTAAATCAGTTGTTCGGAATGCAGACTGGCTTGGGACTAAGTCCTATCACATTCGATTGGAGTCAGGTTGCCTACAACACGAACCCCCTGCTGTCACCTTCATGGGCCGCGATCAACGTCTTTGCCGGATTCGCCCTGTTCTTCTGGATTGTCGTTCCAGGAATCTACTACTCCAACACATGGTTCACAGCCTATCTCCCCCTTATGACTGCCGACGTCTATGACCGGACCGGCACGGTCTACGACACAGCCCGTGTCATCAGTGCCGACAACACCCTGGACGTCGATGCCTACAGACAATATTCGCCCCCATACTTACCAGCTACATACGCATTCGTCTACGGCCTGTCCTTCGCCTCAATCACCGCCGTTCTAACCCACATCGGCGTCTGGCACGGCAAAGAAGTCTGGGCCGCACTAAAAGGCAAAAACAAGCTCGACATTCATGCCCGTCTCATGAGATCCTACAAAAAGACCCCATGGTACTGGTACGCCGCCATCATCGCCATCATCACCGCCATCGCCATCGTCATGGTCGAGGTCTACCACACCAAGCTCCCTGTCTACGGCGTCTTCCTTGGCCTCATCATCCCCGCCATCTACATGGTCCCCTGCGGTATCATCCAAGGCATCACCAACGTCGACGCCAACCAACTCAACGTCCTGGCCGAATTCATTGGCGGCTACATGTTCGAAGGCAAGCCCCTGGCCAACATGATCTTCAAGATCCTCAGCACCGACGTCGTCGGCCAAGGCGTCTACTTCGCCATGGACATGAAACTAGGCCACTACCTCAAAATCCCCCCTCGCACCCTCTTCATGGCCCAAGGCCTCGCCACCATCCTCGGCGCCCTCACCCAAGCCGGCGTCACCATCTGGATGCTGGGCCACATCCAAGACATCTGCTCCTCGGACCAATCCGACGGCTTCACCTGTCCCAACGGCCGAACCGTCTACTCCTCCTCCGTCATCTGGGGCCTCGTGGGCCCCCGTCGTCTCTACTCCGTCGGCCGCATCTACTCCTCCCTCCTACACTTCTTCTGGATCGGCGCCATCGCCCCCATCATCACCTACTTCCTCTACAAGTACACCCGCAAACAATTCTGGAAATACATCAACTGGCCGCTCATCTTCGTCGGAACATACAATGTCCCCCCCGCCACCGGCATCAATTACTCCAGCTGGGCCCTCGTGAACTTCGCCTTTAACCACTTCATCAAAAAGCGCTTCTTCGCTTGGTGGAAGAAATACAACTATATCCTTGCTGCCGCGCTGGACACGGGTCTTGCGCTTAGTGGTATAGTTATCTTCTTCTGTATTTCGTACCCCGGGGCTGTGTTCCCCGATTGGTGGGGAAATACGGTCTATGTCAATACGGCGGATGGGGAGGGCGTCGCGTATAAGTCTATGCCTGAGGTTGGGTATTTCGGGCCAGCGAATGGGACGTGGAGTTGATGTGGTTGTACTAGTCATGATTGTTTCGTTGCTCGTGGGCGGGAATTGTATGTATTTATGAATTGAAGATTGCCGTGGTGATCGCCATGGTATGAACCATTACTATCCAATAAATGATTTTTCATCCTTACATATCAAGTGATAGAGCTGGACTGTTAGTAATTGCGGTAAGTGGTTGATGTGTTGGTTGGGAAACAATTTTACGAGAGGTTCCTGACATAGTGATGCAGTCATGTTTATATGTTACCGTGATGTTGTAGCAAATGGGCGGTAATTTATCTTCAGGGAGCAAACATACACAATTTATGATTAACCTGCCCAATACGTCTGCAACAATCGCCTACTATTACAATGAACACATGTGCTTGCTGTTTTTGATTGAGCAAGTATATTAGTTACATGGCTTTCCCCATCCCACCAACGATATCCGAGTAGCACTGACAACATTATGAGAGAAAAAAGAAAAAAAGGAACCGGGCACACTAGAAAGACATATCCGAAGAGCAATGATGAAATAACGAAAGCTTGAAACTCGAATCCAACCGGCAGACCCAGAGTGCGTAAAGATTGGCCGAGTGGCCGGTCAAAGCCTGGCCCTTCGCAGTCGATACAATTGACTCACGCGGTCGTGTAGAGTCAAACGTAAGATGGGACATTTACTAAATAGTTTATTAGCTCTGGTTCGCACAACAACTCGTTGACAAAACTTACGGAGATCTCCGCCATTCCGAGGTCTTCGCCGCCGGTAGCGGCAGGCTGCTGGGGGGCAGCACCGTTTGCTTGGGCATTGCCCTCCGCAGGGCCAGCATTCTCGTTAGTGGTAGAGAAGTAATCAACCATCTCAGCATCAAGCTCCTCCACAGTCTTGGGCTTAGGTCGGTTACCACGGCCGTTAGGGCGACGAGCACGGCCCTTGCGGCCCTTGGCACCAGCAGCAGCCTTGGTAGCGGTAGCGGGCTTCGGTTGGGGCTTGGTTTGTCTTCATCGCGGTTAGTCATGATTCCCCAGTATAAGACAATGGAAGAGGACACTTACGCAACGCGCTCGCCCAGAGGCTTGGGGGCAGAGACCTCAGGAGCGTGGGAGGCGTCGACGACAACCTCAATCTAGTATTTGTTAGTGTCCATACGTAAGAATAGTGTTTGGTTAGTGAAAAGCTCACCTTCATGGGTCTGCCATCAACAAGGAGTCCATTCAAGTCCTTAGCAGCCTTGGCAGCTGTATCGGGCTTGCTGAACACGATCGAGGCGATACCACGGCTCGTGCCGTTTTGGTTGTAGGTGAGCATGACTCGCTTGACAGGACCTGCTGACTTTGTGAAGTATTCCTATACCAGGAGACCAAATTAGTATGTCGAGCCAACAGAATGCAGAAGGCGCAAGGAATTCCGAAGAGCCAAAACATCGAAGAACGCGTGACACCGGCTTCAAACGCGATACCAAAGAGCACCAGCGAGCACACAGCGGCGGTTAGTAGTAATCAGTGCATGGCGGTTCATTCCAGAACACCGAGACACTGTCATATCTAGAGCACAGAGCTGCTAGCATTTATCCCAAGAACCACAACGATGAACTCCCTCAAAAGCCTTCACAGTATCGTGTGTCCCCCCTCCAACTAACCCACTCAGCAATCGTCATCGACCTTTTCGCAACCAGACAAGGAGCTGGCCTCAAAAGCTACGGGCTGTGTATGCCAGCGACCTTCGCCCGGGGACAGACAACACGAAGACTACGTGTGCGGCAAATCCATGGTTCTGTTTCCCTAGAACCTCTCTAGCAGCCCATGATAGGGAGAACAAGACACGATTTGTCTTACGGAGGTGATATGGGAAGATGCGTCTTTCCTGCCCGACACTGAAACATTTCCCATACCGACCGCCGGTAGCATAATGCTTGACAGTTGATCACCTGCCGAACTAGTCGGTCACTGCTGGTAGGCTGATGCGCTCGCTGATGCCCGACACCTCGAAACGTGGGACTTTGTACGGGTGTAGCCAATCGGATTGGTTTCAAAGATGGTATGTTTCAACAATCATCTGTGGCACAGTCTGCTGCGTGGCTTCAAAGGCGGATGGCTGGAAGATCCGCCCGAGCTAACACGCCTTTCGCAAGACTACGGCAGAACTCCAACTTCGGCGGACTCGCAGGGTGCCAGCGTGCAATTACCGCATGCGAAGATTTCAATGGAGTTTGCTGCCTATGCTGAAGACCAAGAATCCATGACGGTGATATAAAATATATATAGATAACGTGGCAAGGATCGAAACGCGCGCGAAAGCCGTTGCGCCTCGAAGGTTTCGAGAAGAAAAAATGGCGATAGAAACCCAAGGCCAAGGCCTTTCGATCAACATACCTTGATATTGGCCTCATTCACATCGGAAGGCTGAAAACGTTAGTAACGGTTCATTTATCATAGAGCAGAGATAACGGGTACTCACCAAGCCGCTGACCATGATTTTGCTCTCCGTAGAGACCGGGTGTCCATTCTGAACAGCCTTTCCGGGCGCCTTGGCAGCCTTGGTGGTCTTCTTCACACCTCCGACTGGGACAGGAGCGTTGGCAGCCTTGTTGGGAGCCGAGCGGCGAGCGCGACGGCGAGCGCCCTGGCGACGGCTGACGAGGATCTCGTCGAGAGACTTGTCCAACTTGGCAGACATAGTGAGAAGCGGAGTATAGAACGTGGAGGAGTTGGGTGTCGGTAGTTGATGAAGGTTTCACGAGAGTGTTGAGTGTTACAGGTGTTGCGCCACGGAGAATCGCGACGCTGGAACGGGGTTGTTTCTGGAGGTAACGGTGTCCAGAAGCTGGCAGATTAATCTGGACGACGGGCAGGAAGCGAAAATGTCGTGCTAGATATGGATTGCAGCGTGTGGAGATAAAAGCTGCAACGTGGGTTGATGGAAATGTTGGGAATAGAGAGGATGGATGGAGGATGAAAGGAAGGGAAACGGAAGAGGGATGGAGAAGATAAGCAAAAGGGAAAGGCGGGAGGTTCAGTTCCCTCTCAGTTCGTCAGCCGGATCTTCTTCCCAAAAAGGCTGAGCCACCCTGCCCACCGCGCTAGTCCCCATCGGGCCCATCGGGCCAACACTGCAAACAATACAGCCTGGTTCCTTTCAGGCCGGTGCCCAAGCAGATCATGGCTTCAACTACAGTCCAGCTTACTTCAAGCTAATGTAACAACGCTACCTAGCTATGCAATCTAATCTCGTATATTCATTTCGACACATGAGTCCAGACTCAATAAGCTCGCGGTGATCTGTAACCTTCCGCTGCGCCAAGAGTCCCTGCTGCCCAAAGACTCAACTGAAGCAATCAAGCCCAGTGCCAGCCCAAAATTGCGTAGAAGGAAACATGATCATATATATTTACGAGCAGGGATATTATCGGGGAAATTCTTTAAATCAACAGAAACAGCTCAATCCGCTCAAGGTTTCCAGTTAAGGCCAGTCCCGTAGTCAACATTAGGACGAAATGAGCTCATTCGATACTTAAGATCATCCCAAAGACGCCCGCCATCCTACCCAAACGCCGTTCACAACATGAAAGGAAAGCAACCCATATTCAACGGCATATTGTGACTCATTATCCATTGTCACATAGGCCCGAAGATGCAGATGCACGCAAACGTCTTCATTGTTCCTCAGCTCTTCAAGGCTTCGAGCCGTCCTCGCATCTGCTCTAGTGTCGCTTCTTGATCCGCGAACTCGTCCTCTGGCTCCGGAGCCTCTTCCAATGGCTTCTCGGGCTGGACCCCTTCGACCTGAGACAACTTGCCATGGAGGATCTCCTGCAGGACCTTGTCGACCTCCTCCTCTGCTTCCTCTTCCTCTTCCTCCAGTAACTCGTTGTTAGGAATGGCGTCATCGACCATCTCCTCGATGATCCCGGCCCGCACCAGTTCCGTCGAAAGCTGACGCATCGTGGCATTCAGCTCGGGCATCCGGACCAATGTATTGACGTCCTTCATAATCCCCGTCGATTTCTTCAAGCTGCCCTGAATCTTCCGAACCGAAAAGGCCTCATTGACCTGCATCTGAACGCTCTGCAGTTGCGCACGACTGGTATGTAACCGGGTAGACTGCTTGCGAATGCGAACAAGCTCTCGTGCAAAGGTCTTGGCCTCCATGTTGGCCTGCTTGGCCTGGGAGGGATTGCGTTGGGCCCGCTTCGACGAATTCATAATGTATTGCCGTGTCTTGCTTTCCAGAGTCTTCAGTTGTGCGATGTCACGATCCAACTGTCGGGTATTGGCGCGGATGAGCTGGTTACATTTTCTCATCTAGAGACAGCAATCACGGTCAGAAGCGCCAGACATTGTGGCTGGACAAAATCGGCACTTGCCTGTGTTTGAGGATCCGGGCCGAAAAAGACTGCTTTGAGGGTCTCCATGGTGAATGGCGCAAGAGAAATACGATTTCACAGTTCGATATCTATAGCTGTAAAAGTCTACTTTGGCTTGAAGCGGGAACGGTCGAGTGAGATGTTGTCAGGGTGCTGGATCGGTCAAATCTGGAGTGACTTTGGTAATACGGTGGGGTGTGGATTGGAGGTGGTCAAAGGTCTTTCCCCCACACTTCTGCGTTGAGGAGCGTGATAGTTGATCTTCTGACAATATAAAAAAATACAGCAAATAAGACCAGCTGCCAGAGAACGTGTCGAAGAGGCGCACCAACCAGGATGTGGACTATTGCATGGCTGCTGGCTGCTGCGGTGCCTGGGCTCCAAGATGGACGGATGGAGTGGATGTCTGGCTGTTCCACTCGGCGGCTGAGTCAGCCAGATACGGACGCGGGCAGTGACGTCGCTGGGCGGTTTTGAGCCTCAGGCACTGAGAGGTCGCAAACAGAACAAACTGGCGGCGGGAGAGTTCCAGTACTTTCTAGCATTCATCACTAGTGACTCGCCGGCGATCAGCAGCTAAGAGCAACCCGCCTGCTGCTGCAACTTCACTGTCCGCCTAGCCCTCCCGACATCATCCTTTCCCCATTACCTCCCTTATTTCGTTTTTGACGAGATTGCTACCTCCCCGTCTCTCTACTCAAATCCATCCTATCTGCTGTCTACCATCATCATGCCCGAACTCCCCCAGGTCCACCCCGAAGGTGAGTTTACTCCCCCCTCTTGTCCCTCATTTCCTTCCCCGCTCTGGGTTTTCGTGCTGGGAGGTTTCGGCTACCGGGGAGTTGTCATGCCATACCATGGCCTTATTGTTCCCAATATTATCGCCCTGCCTATATTTCCATGCACACATTCATCTCTCCCGGCATGAGATACTGACAAGGGTATTTCACTAGTCACATGGGCTCAGCGCTCTTCGGACTCGGATGCCGAACGCAACTACCTCTACGTTAGCATCAAGGCTGCCGATGTTGCCCGTCCTGCCGCAACTATCGACATCAAGCCTACCAGTGTCACTTTCACAGGCGACTCCAAGAAGGGCGTAAAATACCACGTCTCCTTGGATCTGTTTGCCGAGATCGACCCCGAGAACAGCAAGGTCAACCACACTGACCGTGAGGTCGAGCTGGTGCTGCGCAAGAAGGAGCTCAAGGCAGAGTACTGGCCCCGTCTGCTGAAGACCACCCAGAAGATTCACTTCTTGAAGACCGACTTCGACAAGGTACGATACCGGTTCTAGTTTGCATATTCTTAGGAAACAGAGTGAGCTGACTACGAGGCAGTGGGTTGATGAGGATGAGCAAGACGAGGTGAACGAGGACGACTACGCAAACAACTTCGGTGGTTTCGAAGGCCTTGGAGGAGAGGGTGGTCTCTCTAACATTGACTTCTCCAAGCTTGGTGCCGGTCTCGGCGGTGATGCCGGTGCTGCTGGAGAGGAAGAAGAGGTACGTTGTCCACCAAAACCAACCGATTAATCAAGACATTCAGTCACTGACACCCTTACCAGGAGGAGGAAATGCCCGAGCTTGAGGAGGGCGAGGCCGAGGGTGCCAAGTCTTCCAAGATCCAGGAGGTTTCCTAAATGCTATGCCCTTCTACTGAGATAGGCAACGACTACTACGCAAGCAAGTAATCAAAAAAAGCAAATAATGCCGAGCGACGAATCCTGTAACCTTTGAGCTTTTCTTTGCTCATTGTTTTTCTTTCACCTATACTATACCGCTGATGATCACGGTTCATGGTTTGGAGCGACCTGGCGCACTTGGACAGGTTTCTGGCCTGCCTCGAGAGGCGAAGGGAAACGGAAAAGGAATTCTTAACTATTTCCTCTTATTGGTACTGAAATGACGAAATGACTAGCAAGGATTTCTCTTTTCCTCAAATGGCCCATTCCTGGACTGCGATCCATGCGTAGAAGAGATGCTGAGAGTCCGACCGAGAAACGAAGACTTGCGACCGGACAGTGTAGTAACACCACCACCATCTGTACAGAGTAGTTTGCAGTGCGTGTCTGTCGCGTGATTAAAAGCCCAGAAATTAGCGCCAATTGAACCAGACTATCGAGTTCACGTCTGGCGAACAGAATATGCGCAAAGGACAAGAACCTGTCTGGTGAGGAGTTTGGTCGGGACGGCGAGAGGAGAGGAACGAGGAGAATCCAACTCGATTGGCGGAGAGGCCGATTATGTGAAGTTGTTCCGCCACACTGGCAAACCCACACCGTGAAAAGTGTGGAGGAAACCTTGCACCTCCTCACGGATTGACCTCTCTCTCTCCCTTCCTCCTCATCTAGACAATCTTTAATATTCCCCCATCTTCTTTCCCCTCCCCATCAGAAAGACAGCCGAGGTGTCGTCAGAGTTCTTGACCTACTCCGTCGGGACGTCAGGTCGACCCCTCCTTTGGTGATTTTTCGTTGCGGTTTTCTTCCCTTTTGCGGCGCATCTTTTCTTCTTCCCTTTCTTTCCCCCTCCCTCGACTTTGGATTTCTGTGGGAGGCTTTCCCTCATCGTATCGGCGCGCAAAAGTTATATATCCGGCATAGAATTTCATCGCTATCTTTTGAAACTTCATTTCTTTATACATATTAGAGGAGTGCAAATCTACAGAAATCCGCCAAGATGCCTCCCAAGAAGCAGCAGAATGAGCCTAAGAAGAAGAAGGCCACGGTCGAGGATAAGGTTCGAATGCCACTCTATCAATCGATATTGTCGACTAAATGCTAATCTACGATTTTGTACAGACCTTTGGCATGAAGAACGTATGTAACGAGCCCTTCTAGACCCGCATACCACTCCCTCAACCATCCATCATCGACTCCCGAGAAAAAAGTACAAGCCCACTGACCGGTATTTCTCTATACAGAAAAAGGGTGGCTCGGCCAAGAAACAGATTGCTCAGCTACAGGCCCAAGCGGCATCCAACAAGAACGCCGATGCAAAGAAGAAGGAAGCCGAGAAGGCCCGCAGAGAGGCCGAGAAGAAGGCCGCCGAGCAGGCCAAGAAGGAGGCCTTGGAGCTGTTCAAGCCCGTGCAGGTTCAGAAGGTTCCCTTCGGTGTGGATCCGAAGACTGTGCTTTGCGTTTTCTACAAGCAGGGTAACTGTGAGAAGGGTCGCAAGTGCAAGTTCAGTCACGACGCGAGTGTTGAGCGCAAGGCGGCCAAGAAGGATCTGTACACCGATTCCCGAGACGTGAAGGCGGCCGAGGAAGAGGCCAAGAAGAAGGATACGATTGACGACTGGGATGAGGAGAAGCTGCGCAAGGTCATCCTCAGCAAGCACGGTAACCCGCGTACGACTACGGATAAGGTCTGCAAGTACTTCATCGAGGCTGTCGAGAACCAGAAGTACGGTTGGTTCTGGACTTGTCCTAATGGAGGTGACAAGTGCATGTACAAGCACAGTTTGCCCCCTGGGTATGTTTTGCTCGTTAAGCTCTTGACCCATGTTTACTACAGTTGCTGATGGACTACAGATTCGTTCTGAAGACGAAGGAACAGAAGGCCGCCGAGAAGGCTCTCATGGACAAGTCGCCACTGAACACCTTGACCCTCGAAGACTGGCTGGAAAGTGAGCGACACAAGCTGACCGGCAACCTGACGCCCGTAACGCCCGAGACCTTCGCCAAGTGGAAGAAGGAGCGTCTTGACAAGAAGGCTGCCGAAGAGCAGGCCCGCAAGGCCAAGGAAACCACTGGACGGACACTGTTCGAGGAGGGCAACTGGCGTGCTGACGACGAGAGCAGTGACGAGGAAGAGGACGATGGCGCATGGAACCTGGAAGCTCTGCGGCGCGAGACGGAGAGGATCCGCGAGAGGAAGGAAGAGGAACGCCTGGCAGCGCTGCATGGCACACCGGTGCCGGTTTCGAACGACGAGACGATTGCACAGGAAGGAGCTGGCTGAGTTCTGTGCGATACTTCCCCAAGGACGCAAAAGGCACTTGGGCGAAAGGGGTTGCGGACCTCCCCCACACTGGGAACGGTGTCCCAAGCCGTTGTCCGGACCTGGGATGCCAATCGGGTTGATGGATGGTAGATACAATGCTGATTCTCTTTGGGTTCTTTGCATTGTGACGAAGATATACCAAACTAGATCGCCTTGTATCGATGTCTGCGACTGGGTTGGATGGCTCTTGCGGTTAAACGTGAACGGTTGGTCGTGTCGCCTGGATTCCTGGTTCAGCCACCGTTGGATCGGTGTAAGCTGAACAGAATCCAAATAGGCATGGATTGGGGCGGAGTGAAATATCAATGGGAGAGAAGATACCAGATTGATTGATTGAGAGACATCGACAGGGTCTGGAGGTTCGTTATCCAGGGGATGAACTGATTCATGATATGATTTGCTATGCCCGATCTGTACGTAGAACGTTTGTTTTTTGGTTGAAATGAGCCAGCATTGCCCTGAACGTGCAAATGAAAAGTGCAATTGATCCAAACTATCTTGTAACACATTGACGCCGAATTGGACGGTCTGGCTTGTACCTTGCTGCTGCTGGAAACCCTCAGCTTACATTCCACGTCAGGGGAGGGTTGGAAGCTGTCTGTCTCACCCATGAATGTTGTCACTCGTCGGCTGCTGCTGCACGATCTCCCCAACTGATGCTCACCGATCTGTCCATGCAATCTCCACCATCCCTTTCTTCCCGATCGAACTATCCAGGAACGCCCGCCCATCCTCTCCCTCCGCGGATCTCACTATTCCCTCCTCATTCCCGAAGTCTCTTATCCCTCTCCACCATGGCGCACCCCAGTCCCCTCGACAAACTGAATACATAAGGTTAAGACGATGGCAGCTCAACAGTACTGCCACAGTCCCCTCGTTCCCAGTGGTCCCATCCCCACGCCGCCATGACCCAGTCCTTCGTCTCCTTCACCGCCGTCCTGTTGACGGGATTGCTGTCGCATTCCCAGCCTGCCGCGGCGGTGGGAATCAGCTGCGATCCAAACACCCGTCCATACTCGGCCTGGATGACAGATAGCGTCATTGCCCGACGAGATGCCATTCTAGGTGACTTTGCAGCAGGAGATGATATCTACCCGAATATCTCTCGGATCGGGCTGTTTGAGTCAACCGTCATCCGGTTGAAGGATTACTACGATGCCGATTCTTGCGGCCAGGTGGATTGGCACAGTTACACGCTGCAGGGCGCGGAAAGCCTTCTTCCGGCAGTGTTGAATGTTTCGTTTGATGTGAATGCTCCGCTCACTGTGTTTGCGGCGGGAGATCCTATGTATCACCAGTAAGTCATTCAATCTCATCACTTAACTGGCTGGCCTCAGAGACAATCAAACCGACATCCATATTGTTAGATACGATCGCGCGCCAAATGAAACTTACAAACAAGCCCTTGATACCCTTCACGATGCTTTCAACGCAAGAACCCGCGACTCAGAAGGTCGGACAACACCCGCGTCAATACCAACAACTCAATCCCATACTCAAAATCCGAAGCATACTAATTTTATGAATATCCAGGCGCCTTCTGGTACTTCAACGCCTACCCCAACTGGGGCGTCCTTGAGGGCCTCTACCCTCTCGGCTCCTTCATTTCCATGTGGAAAACCTACTTCGAGCCCACTAACACCACCCTGTCCGACTCCCTAATGCTCAGCCTCGATCTATTCAAAGACCACTGCCACGACGACTCCAGCGGCCTCCTCTTCCACGGCTACGACTCCAGCAAGACCGCCTCCTGGGCCGACCCCACCACCGGCGCGAGTTCCTACGTCTGGAACCGCGCTCTCGGAAACTGGTTCATGACGCTGGTGGATCTACTTGAACGATCGGGCAAAAACAGCGCCATCCTCAACGAGACGCAGCGCGACGACGTCTACACGAAATACTGGAATGTCGCTAACACGATCATCAACGATGCCGATGAGGAGACTGGATGCTGGTGGCAGGTTATGTTGCATGGTGGGGAAGAGGGCAACTATATCGAGTCTAGTGGATCAGCTCAGTTTGTGTATGGATTGTTGAAAGGTGCCAGATTGGGCTATTTGCAGGGGAAGACACCCAATGGAGTGGGATATACTGATGCGGCCGATAAGTGCTATAACTATCTGGTGAGCGAGTTTGTCAAGGAGGAGGCGGATGGCTCGTTGGGGTACAATGGGACTGTTGGGGATTGTGGATTGTATGATCCCACCTTTGAGGTATGCATTCCTTCTTCTTCTTCTTCTTCTTCTTCTTCTTGTTCTTCTTCTTCTTCTTCTCCAATCTTTTGTGATTCGGATGAATGCTAACGCAATTGTATTCTCAAAGTACTACACCACCAGACCCATCGAATACAACAACCTCTTCGGCACTTCGTCTTTCATCCTGGCAAGTTGGGAACATGAGATGTTTGAGACGGGGTATTATGATTAGCTAGCTAGCTGAGGTAAATCTTCTACTAATACTACTAATAATATTACTATTCGTCCTTGCCATGTCTGGTAAATCCTATGACAGCCCTTATAAAATACAATACCATCTAACAGCATTACTAAGGCCGATGATAAAATAGAACGACTTCACAGATAACCACAAGTATTCAACAAATCAGTGCACTTATTCTTACCCCAGAATAAATGCTACTATCTAGATAGTAGATGGGAAGTCGGAGACAAAAAAAAAAGTGGAGAGGGGCGGGAAGGGGGAGGGGAGGAGTCATTGAGTTTGAAACCATGTCTGAGCGTAGGTTACAACTTGAGACATGAAGATATAGTATCTGCAAGGGGGGGAAGAGGGGTAGTGGTATTGGGAAGTGGGAAGGGGAGATAAAAGTGAAGTTTAGTGCTGGTCCTGGAGACTTAGGCAAGTTAGTTTTTAAAGCAGGGTCTTGAGACAACTGAGATTCGTGACTATTGATTTAGGTCTCGAATCTTTGGACGACCTTGGGTGACAGTTGCAGTGCTCAGCTGACCCTCTTGAGAAAGGTGGGTTAGGGTCTTGAGGTGACCTAAATCTTCTTTTACAACTTGCATAGCAGAGTACGGAAAGTCAATTTGCCTATGGGATGTTCAAGGAAACAATAAACAAATTCCGGTCAAGACATTGCAATTACGCAGACAGACAGAGAGTCAGTCAAAATCTGGCTTTAGCACTAAAGTGATATGTTAAGATTGTGTGGACCAAGTAAGAGATATCCCATGTTCTCATCTCATTGCAGTCATCACTGTCATCATTGTCGATCATTCCGTTGAAACTGGCCGTTCACATAAATATCTATTTATATATGTACGGCGCACCGATAATAGCCCTCGTTTTCAGTTCTTGAGAGGCTCTTGGGGCGAGCGCAGAACGTCCTCGAACCACTTGTACGACGGGACCAGACTGTGGGGGTATCCCATGTGGGGTAGTCCATGGAAGAATCTAAAGGGCGATCATGGTTAAGTACTAGGCAAATGCAGAATTGGAGGGAGCTGACTGACCTTCCCTCTTTGGGGCTTCCGTGATTGAAGAGCATCAGGCAGTCTTCGATGGGGGTGACGCCATCATCCACACCCTGCATAGCATGGGTCAGTATTATACGGAAGATCGCGGCTGTATCGGTCTTACGTTGAGCAGCAACAGTCTGCAGCTGGGCTGATCCAAGATGCCCGTCTCTAGAAGAGAGAACTTCTTCTGGCCATGCTTCTTGAAATCCTCCGGGTTGGAGTAGCCGTACTTCTTGGCCCAGGCAGGGGTGAGCCTACGGAATGTCCCATTAGTGTCGCTGGAAATGACACACGTGGTCACAGTACTTACAGGAATGGGTACTCGTGGTCATCAACACGGCTCAACCACTCGGGGTCCAGGAAGTAATGGCAGCCCGGTCCGTGGGCGAGGGTTCCCACGAAGCGATCACGGTGGGTATGTGCAGCCCGGATGGCGTAGAACCCACCAGCACTTAGACCCCAGGCAGCAACCCGGGACATGTCGAACTCCGGACGAGTCGCCATGTAGTCGAGAACGGTAGTCCACTGACGGTCCGCCGATTCGGGGTCGCTGGGATCGGCAGGCGAGTCCGCGGTACCGGGGATCTCACAGATAACTGTTGCCCAACCCCGGTTGATGATCTCATGCGTACGCTGACTGTTGTCGGGACGGTATCCATCCAGACCAGTCATTAGAACTACAACTGGGACGGGGTTCTCCGCCGTCGCATGTTCCGGGACACGAACAAAAAGGGGAACATAGGCTCCGTCGGTGGCCGACTTATGCTTGTGCGGGATGATGACCTCCTGGATGGTGGGCTTCCAGAAGGATGCTGCCTTCAGATAGACCTTCTTCTGGCGGTTGAAGGCCTCTTTTTTGATGTCTTCTCTGGTCGGGTCGACATATGGGAAGCGGGAGATACGGTAGACCACAGCAGCTCTTCGGAGCAAGTCAGATGCCATCTCCACATTGTTGTTGTTCAAAGCAGCCGACGCCTTATTTTCGAGTGCCTCAGCAACCGGGAAGAAAGCCTGCGTGTAGGCATCGGTGTAGGCATCGTTGATATTTTCCTATCTAGAAGTGAGTATTTTACCCTTGCGCTCGTAAGGCGCACATGGCAAGAGTATGATAACCTACATCGATAAGCTTTTGGAAGATAGGTCGAAAGTCTTCGATGGCACCGTCGTGAAACGGATAGACTGATTTTTCACACTGCATGCTACGTTAGATAAGACCTGGCTGAGCGGTTGGCCAACCACTGAGCAAGGGGTGGTGATGCCGACCACCAGTGAAAACTTACTGCAAACTTCCACTTCGTTTCCCAAAGAGCTTTGATAGAGCCCTTGTGGGGGTAAACGGTGTTGAACTTCTCGCCGAGGATCCAAGGAGCCATTGTGTTTGCTTGCTTGTTCGCGTCGTCCAGTCTGTGAGTAGACAATGTGAAGATTTACAGTTCAGGCGGGAGACAGCATTGAAGGACCCTTTTTAAACGTAGCCCATTCAATGTAAGGTACTCACGGCGAAACTTGCCGACTGGGTTGCACATGAACTCTCCTCTAAACCTTGTGACATCACAACCACCATTGAGAGTACTTAGGGCTACAAACGCAGGGGGGCTGACCAATCCACGGCCGCTGAGGGAACAAGGGGCGTCACTGTCTGTCTCGGGTCTCGGACAATCGGTAAGGCTTGACAAACTGTTCCGCTGACAGAGGTTGGGGTGAGAGTTTGCTTTGGGTGGCAGTAGTTGAAACTCCCTTGCCTGCGTTGTGCCATGTTGACGACTTTCCGCTATACCAGATCATGCTTTGAGTCCCAGGCATCCATGTTCGAGCCCAACCAAGAGCTTCTACTTGGAAGGGAAGAGACCGCTAATCCGGGAGCCTAAACTTCTTGGAGTATGTGTTGCTGCACAATTAAACTAGATCGAAGCGGTCGATTGCCGAGGATAGACGTGATTGGTTGGCGTACATATTATACTCATTGCAGCTTAACTAGAGTCAGAAATACTTCATGTAAGTGCTCGATGTTGAGAACATCGTGGTAGCCACCTGGTGGACCCAAATATGTACTGCCTACGGGTGAACAGGGCATGTTCACAACGGTAGTTCTTTCATCGAGTGAATGCCTTGCATCCCCCCGATTCCAAGGCGGAAGGCGCATTCCAATGCCTGCTGTCGCGGTCTGGATGAGGAAGGATTGTTCTCTGCTTCAAGGTCTCGGTCGCGGAGCAGTGGTATGGCCAGTTTCGACCAAGCAAATATGCTTTCCCAAAAGAGGCCAAGTATTCCAAGGCCGGAGACTTCCAGAGGCCTATTGGCACAAGAAGAGGAACACAAAGCATGGAGACTTACTCTACTCCGTAGAGAAGGCATCAAGGGCTAGCGTGCAGATAACGACATTGAAGCGAGTTACTGTTGCAACAGTAGTACTCGGACATCTATCGCACAGTGCCTTGAGATTTGGCCCCCTTCATAGCTGAAGTAACCGCCATTAGGCGTCAATGTATCCAGCTATCCAGAACCAGACAAGTGTGCCAATACCTCAGGAATTTTCTTGCTGGGGCATCCTGCATCTCTGAACTGGGAAGGTATCTGCATGTAGGAGAAGCTGGCCGACTCCCTACTTCTCCTTCCCCATCCCTTGAAGCAAGGACAGGTTACATGCTTGCATTCCATGTCTATGCTGGAATGATTTCCCCCGGGCGGCGACTGAAAGCACGACTCGCATCGGATCGGCTCATTTGTAGGCTTGCGCTCCGGCCATGCGAGAAATGTTTGTTTGGATCTGATGCCGAGGCGGCGACACCGGCGAGGCATCCAAGTCGCCAAGGGTTCCTTTCCTTGTTGCTCCGCGGGCTGAACTAACTTTTTGTTCATAATTTAGCAGCCCGAGCAGTTGTCTGTACATACTTATTTTCGACTTCCCTTCAGGAATTGCTCCGAAAGTCTGCGCCCGCGTCCGGTGAATGCTATACTTGAAGCCGCGGCAATGATCCGAACCCTCATCACGCTCGGCCTGTACGGGTTCGTCCAACAGGTATCGAGCAAAGATGTGTACCTGGATTGGAATATAACTTGGGTGACTGCAGCACCGGATGGGTATGCGAGGCCTGTGATCGGCATCAATGGACACTGGCCTTGTCCTCAGATCGACGTCGATGTTGGCGATAACCTCATCGTCGACGTGTACAACGGGCTGGGTAACGAGTCCACCGGAATCCATTGGCATGGTCTCCATCAGAACTACAATGGGTACATGGACGGTGTCCCAGGAGTCACTCAATGCGAGCTCCACCCCAACCAGCGGATGCGCTACATTGTTCCGGTAAGCTGACCCTGCTTGCTGGATCAGTACCTGAACTGCGCCTTCTGACCCATGGATCTAGATCAACCAAACCGGCACATATTGGTACCACTCCCACGAGCCTGGTCAATATCCTGATGGGTTGCGCGGACCCATCATCGTGCACGATAATGTTCCTGCACCGTATCACTATGACGAGGAAATGACTCTCACCTTATCAGACTGGTATCATGTACAAATACCCGTCTTGCTCGATGAATTCATTGTTCCATCGGACCATGCCCCCTATGGCGGTCAAGAGCCACTGCCTGATGCGGTTTTGTTCAATGACATGCATAACACCAAGATCAGCGTCAAGCCCGGCACGACCTACCTGATCCACGTTGTTTGCATGGGTAATTTTCCCGGCCATGCACTCGTCATTGACGACCACGACATGACCATTGTTGGTATGGATGGCATTGCAGTGGAACCGCATTTTCTTCCACCCCAGTATCTGCGTGTGGCCGTTGGGCAACGAGTCGACATCCTCCTCACCACCAAAAACGATACTAGCAAAAACTATGCGATCTGGGACGGTCTCGATATTGACGAAATGTTTGTTCAAGAGGGAAGGAGCCCTCCTCAAGGGTACAATCCCAACGGCACCGCATGGCTCATGTACAATGAAGATGCTCCTTTGCCTCCTCCACCAGTGATTCACGTCAACAATGCAAGTCTGGACTTCCTCGACGATGTGACCTTGACACCGAGAGACAATCTTCCGTTGATCGACCCAATACAACACCAATTCATCTTCGATGTCTACCCAACCACAGTGGATGGAAAGCCCGCCTACAGCATCAACAATATGACATATAACGCTCCCGACTCGCCCACGCTGTATACTGCCATTTATTCTGACCCTGAGGCTTGCATGGACCCGGACCTTTATGGGGATGTGAACCCTTTTGTTGTTAATTATGGTGATGTGGTTGAGATTGTTCTCAACAACCACCATGACAACCTCCACCCGTGGCATCTCCACGGTCATGATTTCCAGGTGCTGCAGCGCACCTACCCGTACGGTGGCTTCTTTGATGGCTACCGTAACGTTTCGGCCACTCCCATGCGCAGAGATACGCTCATGGTGGAGCCTCTGGGACATTTCGTGATTAGATTCCGTGCAATGAATCCTGATAAGTATTCCCTCGCTGCAGATTAGATGTCTCCAAACTGACGTTGATCGGTCAATTACGCATCTGGATGTTCCATTGCCATATTGAGTGGCACGTTGAGATCCGCCTCATGGCGATCATTATCGAAGCACCGGACCAGCTGCAGAACATGACTATACCGGATGATCACCTCAAGATTTGCGGAAATACCCAACCCAGCAATTGGGCCCCATTGGCTCCTTCGCCATAGTCAGCTCGACCCGGCATCAGGTATGAGTGCCGTTGATGTGTTCTAAAAGTTACTGACCTAGTCCAGAAGGAGCTAATTGGCCACGCACACAACATCTCTACCTGTTGACAATGCTGGTTTTGAAGCCACTATACTTTGTCAATGTGAGCGTTACAAGGATCTGAGACACATACACGAGACCCGCTGGCGATCGGGAGACTCGACCTGTGTGAATGGGCCCTTCCGATGTTTGGATATGCTTCAATGTCCGTGGCGACCATATTCCGTGATAAGTAGTGTTACGAACAATAGACGAAAAGTTGTATCATCTTCCTTCTACCGAAGTTGCAGCTGCCATGCAGTTTTCACTCATAGCTTTGTATGCCGCATGTACTTGCTGTAGCGCAATAGCCGAGCAACTTTCTGTAGTCAGGCGGATCTCTCAGGTGGGCGACTCTATAGCGAGGCTTTTGCCTTTATTAATCCGTTTTGTCGCATCAAGTCGTAAACATCCTCTGCCACACCCCAGGACAATTCAAAACCACGACCCCCAGCTCCGTATGCATGAACTATCACTTCCTGACCTTGATTTATATTCTCCACCTCAATCCTCATGCCCCCCTCTCGTGCTGGTCGACGGCCAACAATATCACGAATCACATCGAACTCTTCTTTACTTCCCTCCTTGAAGGGAAACCACTTGGCAGCATTCGCCAATAGCTGGGCCCGTGTTTCCATTGACGGATTAGGATCCCAATTATGCGGCTGCTTCGTGCCCCCAATAATTGTCCCACCACCCAATGGGCGTGGAATACAGAAGGACCACGAGCCATCGCTATTCTGTCGAGTGATAGTAGCCGAGCAAGGATTCCTCACCAGACACGTTTGCCCTGGTTAGTCAGTCAGCAACATCAAGGTCCTCCAAGAGAAAACAACCACTCACCCCGAATAATATAACTCTTCTCATCCCCAAACCCCAACCCAGAACAATTAACCACAGCCCTCACCCTCTCCGCGAGATAAAACCCCTCCCTCAAATCTACGAATGTGTACTCCTTCACCTCCCCACCCCTCAACACAAACTCCCTCAACAACCACGCACAATACACGGGAGAATTCACCACAAACGTCTTATACTTCACAGCCCAATTCACATCCCCCGGCATCTGCCCGGGCTGTAAGTACTCAAACCCATCCAAATGCCCATACGCAGCCTGGATGTTCTTCTCGTCGAGGTACTCCGCCGGCGGGTTCTCGAGGTATTCAATGCCAGTGGTGGACTGGACACCTGCGCCCGGCTCCTGAGCCGCGAGTGTCTTGAAGTGTGCATAGGTGCGGCGGGCTTGTGCTTCTTCTCGGGTGTGTTGGGCGTTGGAGCCAGGGACGGGACGGTAGTGGGCGCCTGCCCAGGGTGAGGCGTAGTTTAGGGATGTGCTGTGAGGGAAATCTCGGGCTGCAATGAGGACGCGTTGGGATGGGGAGAGGCGTTGTTGGATGTAGAGGGCTGTTGTGAGGCCGATTATGCCGGCTCTGTTTGGTTGGAATGGGTGGGGGTGGTTAGTGGTGCTGTTGTTGTGGTTGAGGGGGTGGCATTGGGATACGACGTACCCTATTACGACAATGGTTTCTTTTTCGGCCATTATGCTGTGATTGTGATTGTCTTTGCAGACTGGTTGGATTGTGTGTATGTGTGTATGCAAGTGGTGTGATGATAATGTTGGCGGGGATTGAGGGGATGATAAGCGTTTCTGGAACCGGTTCCCCGCACGCGGAGGAATTGAGTCACACTTTGCGCCGGCCGGTGTGCATTGCGTCTTTCATAGCCATCAATCGTTCCTCTTTTGGTAAATGGCTTAGTACTACTGCAAATGGCTACGCAACAGGTGATTAGTGATGTGGCCATGGCCTGATTGCGTGCAGAATCACCCGGACAACTATCTTGTTCGGGGATAGATACGAACTATAGCTAGTATTCCGAAGTAAGCGTGGAGATTAAACAGAATACGATTAAGCTGCTATTCGATTCTAGCTGCAATTGGCAAGGCTAGAACAGCCGGCACTGACCATTTATCTATCTGTTATCTAAGCTCTCCGAGTATCGGCTTCCGCCTGTCTTGCTTCGTCACGTCCACCGTGTGCATAACATGATGGCGGTCGTCAGAACTATCTGGTCATCAAGTTGGACCAGCCCATTATGCATGTCGCAAGCCAATATGCAGCTCGACCTGGCCTGCCAGGTAGCGTTGCCATCGCATGGACTTGCATAACATCAGACAGGATGATCGTGCTCGGACGCAGTGGGACCAGACGAGCTCCTCGTTTGTAAGATGAAGACGAACTGAATCCGCATCCGCTAGTAAGCGGTGCTTGGGGTATATCTTCGTGAAACGTCGTGCTGTGGCGTGGTATCAAACACACATCTTCTTTCTTTTTCTTTTGTTGCCTTGCTTTTTTACCAGGCTTAATCCAAAGCATCGGGCAACTTCTCGATGGTGAATTTGCCCCTAGCAACCTTCATGATCGGAACACCAGGAATCTTGCGCAGGCGGCGACACAGATCTTGATCGTTGGTCGCCACAATGTAAATTCTATGCTTGGTCACCTACAAGAGTCGTTAGCGCGCTGTGCTACCCAAGAAAAATTTGAGTAACCACTCACCCGATCCACGATACAGTCATCTGCATAGGTACCCTTGTGAGAGCACTTAACCCTAGACCACCGAGGGTCTTTGGCAACCCGGAGTGCGAGGCGGTACTTGTCACCCAGCTTTTCCAATTCCGCAATAGTGCAGTCTGAGAAGGTCGGAATACACTTCGCGTACAGCCTGCAGCCAGTCTTAGCATATATCCAAAGTCCAAACAGTGTTCCGACTCACAAGTCCATCATCGAAGTAAGTAGGTCCTGCTTGGCTCGAATGGCGTGGGAAACAAAGTTGGTATCGACCAGCACGTGGTAGGGAGGGCCAAGGGCAGTGTTCGCGGCAAAGAACATGTTCGAAGGAGCTTGGGTGACTTGTCGAGTCAGCTGATCCTCCTTGGGCGTCTCCTTTTTCGCTTCCGGCTTTTTCAGTCGCTCATCACGGGCCTTGATGGCGCGCTTCATCTATAGATTCAGTAGGATCAGTTTCCGTTCCGTATCTGCTGCGAAACCCACAGGAACATACCTGCGCGAACTTGCGAGTCTTCTTTTGCACACCCATTTTGTGATAATTAACCTTGGCCGCTAGATAGAAAGAAAAAGTACACCAGCGGGGAACGGGATCGGTATTCGTTGCTATCGATATCGTTGAGCCCAGAAGATTTTGGAGAAGGCGGAAAATCAGATCACGGGCCGATGTTTTGCCGCGATAGCCAGAGTCAAGTAGTTCCGCTATCATGTGATCTACCCGTGACCGCTTGTTGCGTTGCACGGCATCCCCGTCCGGCTAACTGGAAATAGTAGTTCCCTGTCGCGAAGTCTAGAGCTTCTTGTTACTCTCGTTGGCATCATCGGAAGGAACGTAAAGGCCCAAGTGTATGTACAGTTGCACTCTGGCTCTAGCTGAAGAGTATTCGTCTAAATATTAGATGACCATAATGCCATTGTCCCGAGCGTGACACAGACTGAATCCTACCGTGCACGAGGCATCTTGTTGGATGATGAATTTCAGTCAGTCTCCGTCCGCCGTTATGGGCCGAATGCCTGCCTCTCCCGATGTCTTTCTTATCACATCCAGGGAAGAGGCAAAATCTCATCACCGTCCGAGCTCCTCAACCACCCCCGCAATGTCTAAGCCCCGGGACCTCCCACTAGTCCCGAAGGACGCCAGTCACAGCGCAGCTTCTAGTTGATCTCATCACATTGCATGCACAGGCCGTGCCCATCTGTGGAAGGGCTATTTTGGACTCCATACTCCGTATACTAGTCCAGCCATGTATGTCTTAGCTGGATGTGCATAGAATTGTTGTCTCACCAGCTCCGACTGTGACCGACCGTTCAGATCGTTAGCTCCTGTCAGTGTCAAATAAATCGCCGATGAAGGTACACCATATTGCGGCCATCTGAAGTATTCGGCCTTCCCAAAGAAAAATAATAAGGTCGTGTAGACGGTGATGGTTTTCGCATTCATAATCCTAGCGTATTTCAGTCTGGAAATTGTTGTGGTAGAGTAGTACCATCGGTTACTACACCGCCATAGTTTATACTAACCATGTAGCGCCACTATCCATCTCGAGAAGGGTGAGCGCAATTCAGATGGTATCGGTAATAGGCGGCCTTACAGCACTTGCAATGATGGCTTTTTTTCGGTTTATCTTCAAGGTCTAAGGATAGCACCTGCGTGCGCCATCTTATTTCCACATTTTCAAGGCAAGATTGTAGTATGTCTCCTGTTTATTTCGGTCCTTCTACGTACTATTTCAGTGTTCCATTCCACGTAAGTACCCAAGTATATCACGTACCTCAGTAGTTCCGTCCCCAGCACGTCGAGGGATGTGATTCAAAGTCCCACAGCACATCACCCAAGATTAGCCACAATCCTGCTGGCCACACGGGTTGAGCAGTCGAGGGGAGGGTTTGGCGATACCAGTCAGAGCGCTCATTTACGCGCCGAGCAGGTCACTTGAGGGCGACTCCAGGGCGGGTGCCGGCGCTGATTGGCACAACCGAGTGATGAGGCCTGCAGCGTGAAGAAACGCCCTCTGCAGTCCGCAAGCCAATCAGGCCTGAGGAGCCGGCGGGAAAGGTCCCTGACAGCAGCCGCTGGCCATGCAGAACTCCCCTTGGGTAAGGTATTGTATACCTCTGCCTCCCATACCAAATCTTAGTACTAACTAAGTCACTGGTACTACTCCAGCCCCGCCTGGGAAAAACGGACGCATGCAATAGGATTGAACTAACCACCACCCACAACTCCGTACTAACTACTAACTCACCTCACTAGTATGGCCCCCGTCCGATTCTCTCTCTCACTCTCTCACCCCCCCCATTTCCCGCCCACCTTTGACCGGTGCAACAATTGGCGCTCATCTCATCTCCTTCATTTTTAGTCTCAAACTCTTTCCTATCCACCGATTGCGCTTCATGTTGATTGTGGGCGGCATCGTTCGATGATTAGCCCGCTTGATCTTCCTATAGCTCCTGGTTAGCCCGCCAACGGCGTAACACGAAGATGACTGAACTCCTCTCGCAGCCCCCCCCTGGTCAGACGCGGCAGGATCGACTGGCAGTCTGCTTTGCACTCCGGTTTCCACGTCTCGCTGCTGCATGCTTGTTGGTGTGCCGCTGATGGAGCCACCGACAGCTCCTCATGTCGCTCGACGGGTCTTATTTGCCCTCGTCCGCTAATTAAGTCGTTGAACGCCCTGCTCGTCCCATATCGATGATATCCTGATCCATGGAAGCGCCGCCCACTCCCCTTGGCGCTAGCTCGTGTTGCTTGATGGCTGGAGATTTCGATCGACTCTCTCCGCTGCCTTCGGAGACGTCTCAGATTTCACAGGAAACTCTCCTTGATGACCACACAACGGACTCTCAAGGCTGGCGCCTTCAGGAGAATAATAAGGATTAAGAGTCCACAGGGCCAGAGCACGACTATCAGTCCATGCTCCGCGTGAATCCTGTGTTTTGTGTTAGTGCAATCGTTCCTCATTTTACTTTTTGCTCCCCTCCCCGCCTCTGCCCTGGTCTTCCTTATTATCTTTCTCCCCTCCACAATTCGTGCCAGCAACGTGGTAGCCTGCCTAGTGCGTTGTATCCCTGGTCGTTCCACTGCATCATTCTTTGTCTTTCAGTTGCATTTTTGTGCGTCTGCCTTTTTGTTCGGTTCGGATTTAGCGCGCTATCACCATCGTCTGTCGCTGTACCCTGCTATAACCTCGCTTCTTCCTCGCCACCCCCAAACCCCAAGCCTGTTGAGACGAAAGGCCGTCATTCGAATCATTCCTCTTACTCGTATATCAGCACTCTAACTGTGGTCTCAATTCTCTAGTCAAATGTCTGTTGAGATCACGTTGAAAATTGTGTTCTCGAGTCGGTAGGCATCTGAAGCAGTGACGTTCCGTTGGCTGTCCTGAGCGGGACTGCACTCATTTGGTGCTCGTATCGTTCTCGTCTTGTCCTACGTGCCAATGGGAGGTTTATAATTACCATTGCTCGTTTTGGACGGATAGCGTCTCTGCCCTTGTCACGCCGTCATCGTTGATTATTTAACTGTTCCAGAAGTGATCTGTGCCTGGACCGAGCACTTGACACTTGCTTGTCTGGAGACGGAGCTTGGGATTGGGACAGGGAACAGGAAATAAACACATCCAGCATCCCGTCCAGGGACCTCTCTGCGGCGCTTTCGAAACGATGGTTGAACTATCATGGAACAGAAATCCAGTTCAAGTCCCAGATCCTCGACCTTCGAGAATGAAGCCTGCCGCACCCCCGGTATCAACACAGCCACAGACACCTCCTGCCCGGCTTGAGCCATGTGCGTCTACTGCGTCTTTACTTCTTTATGCTCAGGGCTCGGTGATTGTATGTCTCCACCATGATACTTTGGCGCTCGAACGACGCTTCGAAAATCACCAAGACGATATCGGATTCATATATGTGGATAATGTTAGCGAGCGTGGTGCGGGAAGGCTGGTGGTCAGTTACGATGTCAGCCAGACTGCAATTGTATGGGACCTGTTCACAGGAAGCGTACTCGCTAGGTTCGCCTCCTTCGAGCAGCTAAAGGTTGCCGCCTGGATGCGGAACGGCAATGTGGCCTTTGGTAACACCCCTCCCATCCACAAAGTTCTCTTATAAACAAGCGCTCACAACCATCCGCAGGTAATGAAAAAGGAGACGTGATCATATTTGAGCCTTCTACCTCGGAGCATATTTCGTGTCGCACCATCTTTGATCCCATTACCGCTCTAGCCCCCGCTACGGATTGTCGAACCTATGCCATTGGGTAGGTAAACTGCGCCTAGTCCTCACAAGAGTCGAATGGTCTAACAGTTCGGCTTAGTTATCAAAATGGTTCCATTATGCTCGCGACACTGCACCCAACATTCAGCATCTTACATACCATGTCCACTTCACGAGGACCATCGGCGATAATCTCGTTAGCGTGGCATGCATCCTCGTCTAAGCAGAAGTCAGATATGCTAGCCACTTTGGCAGCCAATGGTGATTTGAGAGTTTGGAGTGTAGCGAAACCACCGCAGAAAGAGGCCCCACGCGTGATCAGAGTGCTCAAGAGGTCTGATGGCTCCCCGGCCACTGAACCAAAGTGGATGGCTTGGTCTAAGAATGGCAGGATCGTGCAGTTTCTTGAAGGGTAAGCAGGAGTCGTCATCTTCCCCCGGGTTATGAAGCTAAAACCCGTCAACAGCGAAACGTGGGCTTGGGATGTCAGGACAAAACATGTCACGTATGAGCCCATCCCCACCATAGACAATCCTCGTGGCTTCGCCAACTATGGGCCGACCGCCACACTATTTACCCTCGGTCCTCAATACACTGTTCAGCAGTACGATATAGACAGTCCTGCCATGGTCGCGAATGTGCAGCATGCCCCCGCTGGAGCTTTGCCGGCGCCTATGGAGCAACCGAGACTACGCACCTTGCAGGAACCGCCAACAATGAGGGAGTCTGGTGCGATGTTTGGCTCTCGAAGGACCCCATTTGACACGAACGGAATTGAGGCTGTTCGGCAACAGCGTGCAGATGTCGCAAGCCCTGTGAATAGGAGCCATGCCAATTCGGTCACGAATTCCGTTAGCTCGAAGGCTTCCTCGGGCATGCACAAGATACCATTCTCACCACCCAGTAGGTCCGGTCAGACGACCACCTCATTCTCGTTAACCTCAGCATCCGGGAGAGAAACGCCCCAACCATCCGGAGCTTCCTATGCCTACGCATCGTCCGTGTCAATGTCGTCAACCAAAAGCTCTCGCGCCGGTTCACGGCTGAGGAACGAGGTACAGCTTAGTCCTGCCGAAAAGCCAGTGGATCTATTCCCATTTACGCGCGCACGCCTCAATGATGTACCTTATGGACACCATCAGCCCCTTGACGAGTCTCGCCTCACGCCAGACGATCTGCGTCAACAGATGCTGAGCGTCGTATTTGGCTTCGATGGGGATATTGAAGAATTGATTAGGGATGAACGTATGTTAGAACCTGTGCTTACTAGATATGTTTCTAAACATTCGCTAATTCTGTGACCAGTGAGCAACCATCCCGAAGCTAGCCAAAGCGCCGTTCTACTTGCTCAGTGGATTGGAGAATCCGATACAGACAATATGCTTTCCATGATCAGTTCGGGGCCAGCCTCAATCACAGACTGGATGCTCCTTGCATTTAGCCAGATGTCTGGAGAATCGCAGTCGAACAAGATCGGACAAGCATTGGTCCAGAAGCTGCTAGAAATTGGAGATGTCCACACGGCAGCCACCATACTCCTAGGACTGGGAGACAGAAACGATGCCATCGAAGTCTATGTCTCTCAGAACTATTACATGGAAGCCATACTGATGACATGCCTTGTGATGCCTACAGACTGGCAGCGACAATCGTATTTGGTCCGTCGGTGGGGAGAGCATGTTGTGTCTCACTCTCAGCAACAGCTCGCAATTAGATGTTTCATGTGCACAGGTGTAGAGCCCTCCGAGCCATGGACTTCTCCTGCTGCGCAACAGGCTACATCCTTCACGGAAGCTATCACCAGAAGGTCTCCAATGACATCTCCGGAACCTTATCCGAACCCAGCAAGTCTTATGGTGCCAAACTCTCACCCAAGTCCAGCTGTCAATGGCAGACCGGTATCGAAGACACCAGCGCTGAAGCTTATTACTTCATTTGACTCTCAACCAAACAATCGATTCAAGTTCCCTGGACTAAAGTCAGATGACAGAACGCCAACAAATGCCCCCGGGGTTACTCCGATCGCAGAATCTGCAGTCGTCGAATCTGCCTTGTCTCCGGGTGGGTTTGGATCGTACAAGCTGAATAATATTCAGAGCATAAATAACGCGATGAATACGCGCACAACAACGCCTGCCTTCAACAGACGGCGTCTTCCATCTATCGGGGAGACCCCAATTGACGTACACCCTCCTACATTCCCCTCCACGGGATACAATAAACAAGCGCTAGACTATGGATCAACGTCAGAGAATGACGAGAGCCAGCCGCTAGAGCAGAAAGGGGGGGAAGCAGATGACGAACAGCTTGGTTTGCTATCATCTGCCCGTTATGACCCAGAAGAGTACAAGCCCAGTCCTCAGACCGCAGTCCAAGCGACAGCAGATACATTCTCTACCATCAAGGGTCTTCCTTCTCCGGCTGCTGGAGTTTTTGAAGCCTTGAAGGAGCGTTCAGACAGCCGAAACGGAACTAGAGACCGTAAACCAGATGGCTTGCAGCTAAATCTTCATCACCGCAACGCATCGGAAAATGACATGCACGCCCAATCCGAGATGCTGGCCAACTTCCGCAGTCCAGCGTCAACGTTGAATAGTATCAGTTCCGCAAGGAGCCCCAGCGTTAGCGGCCGCAGCATTGACCCGTATATCAGTAGCCTTGGCGAGGCGAACTATCACGCGAAGAAGTATCAAGGAAATCATCATAACGGTAGAGGAAGACGGAATACGGACGACTCGGCCAGTCAGACCTCGGCTCGGAGGTACCGTTCCAGGAACGCTTCACAGGAGACGCGTGGGCGAAATGAAAAGAGATACATTCCACCCGCCAAACGTTCTCCCTCATCTCCTGTCCCAATGTCGCCAGAGGAACTGGCTCGTATGAACGTCAATGCCGCCAACAAGCCATCGTCTCGAACACGCAGCGCTAGCAGGGTCCGCAAACCACGTTCGCGCAACTCCTCTGAACGCCGCCAAAACCGTTCTGCAAGTCGAAACACAGCCAACCATCTTGGTACGGAAAATCAAGATCCTTCCAGTCGAGGACGCAGCATGGACCGTCAAGAATCAGGCACCCGGTCTCCCTCGTCTCCATTGCCAGGATCCAGTGCAGAAGACGCATTGAGACTAGTTGCGAGTGATAGAGAACGGTTGCGAACCCGCCAACGGAGCGGCAGTCGTCGACCTGAAAAGGGTGCAGGTGGGAGGGGTGAGACGCCATCTGAGTCGAAGTGGGCGAGAGCGAGGTCTCGTAGCCGTCACGATACCGAGCCGACAGAGAGCGCGCAACAAGGTGTCATAGAATTTGTCAATGGCAGTACCGCTCATGATGACATCTACATCGTCGATAACAGTCATAGTGACAATAACATGCTGGCACAGGCATCTCACGCGGAGCACACTGCTGTCCTCCAGGATAAACTTGTGGAACAGCGGAGGAAGGAACTTGCCGCTGCAGAGCTTGAAGCTCGGCGCCTGTCGCTGGCACGCAATCCATCGGCGCCTAACATCCCATTTCCAGGGGAGTTGCAGCCGAGTCGTTCTGCTTTGGAGAATGCAACATTTTCCATCAATGCTTTTGCGCCGCGTACCCCCGGCCGGAACCGGACTGCTACAAACAAGGGCTCTCCAGAGTATCCAAGCAGCTCTGATTCAAACTCTTCGAGGTCTGGTGTGCCTTTGGGACTGCCCGCAACCCCGAAAGCCATGAAGCACCCCAAATATAACGGCTATGAAGAAACAGCACCGACGCCCCCGGTACCTTCTGACGCCGGTATCCTACTTAGTGATGCCAAGTACCAGGGTGATGCTGAGCGGATCGGTCGTTCGATGTCCGTTCCAGTCCCCGAAAGCCACCAGTTTGGCGCTGTACCAACGGATCTCCCAATGCACCCAAGATACAACCCTCATCTCCCGAGAAGTCGGTCCACGAGCCGAACGCGAAGTATGGCTCCCCGTCGAGACAGTGGTGGACATAGCTACGGCGGCTCCCCTGTGACGGTTAGCATAGAGGAGACCATTGAAAATGCAATGGCAAACCAGCAGACCGAGAATCCTCCTATTCTGCCGGAGCTCCAACATTTGAGTCCTCCTCCACCGCCACCTCCTCCAACTGCACCTTTGGCCTCTCCACGCGAGTCTTCGGGGACGATAGACATCGCCATCGACAATGAAGACTTCGGTCGACTGCTGCCTCGCGCGATGACCACAGGACCTACGCTTCACATGGATGGCCGTCCGGGTCTGGAACAACGCCGTATGTCTTTTGAGCACCGTCGGGGCCGCAGTGTCAACGAGAGCCTGAGTAGCAAGATTCGCAACTTAGCCCGAATGGGCAGCACCAAGAGCACAGACTCGTGGGTTGCTACTGATATTTCGATCCCGTATGAGAGCGTTATCGTCGACGGGCGCATATAAGCATACCTTTGAGGCATTGCATCTAATGTGTCGACACTTGCGGTTGGACATTCATGATTGATGACATTTTTTTCTTTTTCATTTTTCCAATTATTTCTACATTTGCTTATTTTTCTCCATTTTCCCCTTAAGCCAAGGCATATCTCCAATATTGGTCATTGTGATAGTTGAACTGTATACCCTGGCAGTACTCTTCCCTGATAATGATGAACAAGCAAGAACTTACTCAGCTACCAGAAGATGCACTATAATGGGCTTTCTTTTCTATTCTTACCCTTCCTCGTCTCTAAAAGTGGCCCTCGGGGGCACGAGAAAAGTCGCTCCTTCACCTATTTACCTAAGTGTTGCCACAATATGTAGGCATTTAGTGATTAATCAAGCTATTCCAAACTGAATCGGTTAACTACACGGGAGCATTAGGCCTTACGAAAGCATTACTTGTAGGAGACATGCAGCTCTATCCGGCTGGGACCGGACAAGTATAGGTCAAAAGCAAGGAATCAACTGTCAGAGGGGAAAGTCGTCATTGTAGTTTACCGGTCCATGCCGTGGACAATAAAAGTCAGCGCTATGAATACAGGCCGCTATACAAACAATCAGTCCCATTTCGCCCACCACCCAGAACGGTTCTGCTGTGGAGTGTTCAGACTGTCCGTCGACATCTTCCGCTCCGCCTCCAACATTCTGTCAAACTCCGCCTGCGCCAGCTCACGCTCACTCGGTTTGTCGTAGGCCGGAGCCGGAGCAGAGGCAGTCGAACTCGACGCAGGCCTAGACACCGTACTCCGGGTCTCCCGCTGAGCCGAGACATTATTTTGCCTCCGGATGCGCTCCCAGGCACTTTCACCAGACATCGACTGGTCCTTGCCCCGGTACTCGGCAGCCACAGGACTAGCATCATCCCAGAAGTCACCATTCCCATCCTTCGACGGACTCGGTGCCTCATCTGCCGGCGTAGCTACTTTCTTCGTCTCACTTCCCCACGACGTCGTACTCGACCCGAACCTCGCCGCCTCCTCATCCGACCCCGACTGCATCCCATACCCATCCCCCAGCTGCTGCGGCAGATTCTGCTCCTCACTCTTGGGCACCTCCTGCCCCGTCGGCCTCGGCGCCGGTGTCGTCGGCACCGGCGGCGGCATCTTCCCCGTCGTAACATGACCTCTCAATTCATCCCTCCTCTTCCTCGCCTCGGCCCAAAGCCCCTTCAACCTCGAATCACTCATCATATGATTAATATCATTTGCGCCCGCAATGCCATCTCCCAGCATCAGCCCCACAAATGCAAAAAGCGCCGTCTTCAACCCTGCCCGAATAGCTTCTTTCCTCCACGTATCGGGATTCGCCCTCGCCCACTTCTGAATCCCCTCAAGCAGCAAATCGACCCGCCGCAGGCCCGCTTCCGACGAGAAATTTTTCTTCCACGCCTCCGTGTTCTGCGCCGCCTTGTAGGTCACGATCGCGCCGGCGAGCACACCAACCGGCTGGCCGATTCGGCTGTGGTAGAGCCGCGCCGTGGAGTGCTCGATTGTGGCGTCCGCTTCGGCTTGTGTCAAGGGACGGTTTGCGATGCGTTGGTGTTGGTCGAGTGTCCGGATCACGTTCATGGTTGCTACTGCGTTCCAGACGCTTTGGCCGCCGAAGCCCAGGTACATCGTTATCGGGTCCGGGCGTTTGAAGAGCTCCGGTTTGACCTTTAGCGGGTAGAAGCGGGAGAATGGGTCGTTCGGGTCTTTCAGGACCGGGGAGGTATCCCCTGTTGATGGGGGGTCGGAGGTGAATGACATTGTGGAGGGTGGGCTCCTGTGGTGTGGTGTTTTGGTTGGTGTTGTGGTGGTGGTGATGGATGGGGGGAGCTTGGATGATGATGGAATTGATGATGCGGAGTGGTTGTGCTGTGCTGGTTAGTCAGCTGCATAGTGGGTTGTGCGGGACTTGTTGCTTGGGTCTGATGGACTATCTACAGTAGGCGTCGCTTCAAGTTAGACTCGTCTAAAATAATTCTACCAGATTCAGTTAACAGCTTTATTTATATTGGTAGCAGCCAGGACATTTGTGGAAGTTAATTTTTTCTTTGGGACTGTAAAACCGATATTGTAGTCCATTTAGATACTACGTAGTACCCTGTACAATTTCCTGTCCTTGAACAATTTAACTTGGAATACTACTCCCAATGATACTACTCTCCCTATTTTCCAATCTTCTCAATCACCACCTCTCAACATACGGCCTCAAATCCAACTCAAATCCAAACGTCGTCCTGGGCTGTGTATGTAAATGCCAATACGAATCGGCAATCTATGCACATCAGCATCTCACCCCCAAAACAAGCAACCAAACAGCGAAAGGAAAACGAAATAACTTACAGCCTCAGGATCCAACTTGGCATCCTCCTTCTCGAACACCCACCCCTTCGTCCTCGGGATATCAATAACCCCATCAATAATAACATGGGAGACATGAATGCCCTTAGGTCCGAATTCTCTCGCCAGCGACTGCGCCAACGCCCTAAGCGCGAACTTGCCCGCGGCGAAGGAAGCGAATTGCGCCGAGCCCTTCACGCTGGCTGTAGCGCCGGTGAAAATGAGAGTAGGTGGGTATTTCAAACCTCCTTGCGACTCAGCCGGAAAGAGTGGGAGGACATTCTGGGCGAAGTTGAATGCTCCTTTCCTATATCACCACATTAGCATACCATACCCAGTTTAAATATTAGAGAGGGGAATGAAGGTAGCATCATACCCCTGCCCCTCAAACCCGGAACTAAACTCCGTCTCCGTTAACTCAAGAAACGGCTTCCTCACGAATCCACCGCCCGAGTTGAACACTGCGGCGGCTAGTGATGAACCCTGGAACTGCGATTTGATCTGCTCAAAGGCGGAGCGGACACCAGTCGAGTCGGATAGATCGGTGCTGATGCCGGTGGCTTGACCGCCGGAGGAGTTGATCTCGTCCACGACGGGCTGGTAGTTTGCTGGGTTGCGGGCTAGGACTACGATGGGGTAGGATTTGGCGAAGCGGCGGGCGATGGAGGCGCCCTTTTCAATTATTAGTTTTTTGTTTGGGGGTATGTTTCAAGGGATGGATAATGTTGATATAGTATGGGAGTTGGTGGTGGGAAGGGGGGGAAGATGTACGTACAGTGCCTGGGCCGACGCCGGCGATGATAGCGAAGGGTTTGGAGGCCATTTTGGTTATTGGAGAGTTTGCTTTGAAGCAAGAGAAGAACAAATTTTGGGATGTTTATGGAAAATGAGGGGTTGAAATGGGACTATATAGTAAATGAGGAGGTTTTCATGGCGTCATTCCAGTCGGGGTTCTTGTCATGCCGAGATTAGAAATCCGCGATGCGATCAGTAATCAAGGGATGGGGGTGTAGCCGTGGTTGGATTTGAAGTCTAGACTTTAGAATTAGGAAGTATATAGCTTGTAAGAGAAAAGAAGAGTGAAGTCGATTGCCTTATGGGGTATTAGGAGCTATTGTAACTATGTGGCATATGGTTAAAGTCTGACAGGTACAAGTAGCACATGGGGCAACTATACCCAAATTGGTCGCTACTGTTCGGATAGCTCTGTCTACAGATTGCTATCCTTTCCCCCTCAAACAGTCATGGCAAGCCGTTTACCACTCTCAATATATGATGTATATCATCACCATCCATGCTTCCTTTTGTATTACATCTTTACTAGACCAGGTACACATAGCTTATCAGCGTGAATGGGAAAGCAACGCTAACCCCAGTTTGTCGATGGGGAACGTCACGTGCATGTATATAGAGTGACTGCGATGTATACAACAAGTTCTTTTTGTTTGAGAAATTTACACACTCTCATAATGTGTCTCATTGCAAGCCAGTGGATAATAGAGTCAGAAATTATCCCAACCTATCCCGCCATGTCAGTGGTTGAGCCTATGTGACATTGACTGTCCCGGATCGTGCAGCATCGACAGTCTTTATACTGCGAAGCGTTCAATATGGATACCGACAAAGCAGCAGCAACAACAACGCTTCTTCACGAGGAAAACGAAGATCCAGCTGTCAAGGACGTCATCCGCGTCGCCTCATATCATCGACTCGACTACGACCTAGCAGTCGTCAGAACATTCCCTAGACCTCACCACCTCATACGTGACTTGCTGACCCCGAAAACCCTTATCATCGACCTGAATTCAAGACTTGGTGTCCTGGATATCTTCCCACTAGAATTCATTCACGAGATATGTCTCATGCTTGATATTCAATCCTTGTTTCGCTTCCACCGAGTCAACTGTCGTGCTCGACAAATCGCTAGCGCCAGTGGATACTACAAAGCGGTTGTCAAACATGCCATCGGGGCTCTGTTCGTTATTTTAAGAACAGGCATGGCATCTTGGTACACATTATCAGACTTATATGACGTCCTCTGCACAAAGAACTGTGCGATCTGCAATGACTTTGGCGGCTTTATCTTCCTTCCATCGTTTATGAGATGTTGTTTCTTCTGCATTGAGGACGACGAACTTCCTCCCGTTCTGCCTGCTTCTCAAGTCAGACCATACCTGAACCGGCGTTCAGCTCCTCCTCTCTCCAGTCGGATCCCTATGATAAAGACGCTGCCTGGAATATACTCGTTGGATGAATCAAAGCGAACCAGACGATTCGAACTTGTACTGGAACAATCAGCCATCTCGCTCTTCTCGTCTGACCGGGTTCCAACTTTCCCGAAGAAGTACTCTAGGGACACAGAGCTACAGCGTTACATGGTCAGTACGGCCCTACCTTATCTCGACAATAAGAACGATGTCATCGAGAAGGGTGTCTCCTGCAGTGGCTGCCAGATTTCTCTGGAGAAGGCCTTGCAATCGTCAGGGGCCGAATATGATGTCTGGGATGACCGAGATAAAATTTATTCGCATGATCAATTCATGGAGCATTTTAAAACTTGTCCAGAGGCTCGCAAGCTATGGGAATTAAGCGAGGGGGGCACCCTCGAGCCTGATATCCCGGCGTTTGTTAAGAATGGAGGCTGCGCTAGGAAGAGGGAGATGAAAAATGTCTTCTATCATTGAATAGCATGTACAGGGGATTGGCTGTTGGATGATGTGGGGTTTTGAGTATTTATGAGGCAATATTCAGGGAAGTAATGGAATCCAGGATCGTAATGCAATTGAAATAGTTCTCCTTCAATATGATGCCCGACCAGACATTGATGATAGGCACATATGCAGATGATCATAGCGCACCTTTCCAATGGGAGAGTCCCAACCCCCGCTTCTCTCACTTGCAAAGTATTGTCCCAGTGCTTAGTCCATACTCGAGATGCTAATCAAGTCTTCCCATTAGAGATAGTTTCTCTTGAAGATTACCTCTTTCCATGAAGACAACTGACTTTCTGGAATCACCCCACCACTATCTCCTACAAAGCCTCTACCGCACTAACTCAATGAGCCCAACCCATCCCTGCCCCATGATACTCTCAATGGATGTCTCCAGTATGGATGACAGCGACTACCGAATATTATTACAAAACCGGGTCAGATACTTGACAATTCGTCCCGGTACATTCGACCGCGCAACCCTTTCCATGCCTCTCAGTTCATTGCCTGACCTTCCGAAAGACTGCACCTGGAATTCTGCGCATCTCAGCCGAGATAATTCCAGCGGTGAACTCGTGGTAGAACTACAAAAACGAGATCTTGTTGGCATAGCGGATGTCTGGCATCCTTCGCAGGTTGACTGTCTCAAGCTTAGAAGGACAAGGCAGCTTACAGCTACTACATTCGAAGCAACTTACTGCGGTAGTGAGCCAATAAGCTCTCCTCCTCTAAACGAGGACACTACAGTAATTGCCAAAGTTGCCCGGTTTGAGTGGGAAATACCTCGTTTATCGCAAGAGACTTCCATATACAAACAGCTACAGGGCACCGGTCTTGCTCCACGCTTTCTTGGCCATGTCCATGAGCACGGGCGTGTGATTGGCTTCATACTTGAAAGGCTCAAAGGGCGGGAAGCGGGCATTAAAGATCTTCCGCTATGTCAATCCGTGCTCAAACGCCTGCACGATATCGGTATCCTTCATGGCGATGTCAACCGATACAACTTTATCGTTCGAGGTGATGCAGTTCGCTTGATTGACTTTGAGAAAAGTCAGCAATCCAAGGGCGCGAATACGCTGATGCATGCTGAAATGGAGAGTCTATATGAACAACTAGTGGAGGATACAGGACGTGGTGCAGGTTTCACTCGGTCGAATCAGCAAATTGAGTAACAGGGTATTGTGTTCCATCTCAGTGCAATGCAAATGGCTTTTCCCAGTCAATTGCTTGAGACCCTCTGGTAGCGGCATGTTGATGGATGAATAGAAATTGTTCCTGCTGGAGATGACTCTCTAGATGGCCAAAGTACTCGCTCTAGGTTTCAAAAGTGGTACAACAGTCAGTGCAGGAATATGCTAGTACTAACTTGGTCAATCAGCCTTACATCCCACATTTTCCCTCGCTCCTCTAGAACCAGTAGCACCCAAAGTGTCTTACATTTTCTCGTTGGCTGACCCTGAAATCCTAGAAAATGTGCATACCGTGTTCAAAGAGCAAAGACCGTCTCTATATCCTTGCAATACTAAGTACTTGTTAGCGCTGGGGTGGCACATCCCATGCTCCGACCAGTAAGATGGGTAGTAGGAACTTTCCTCCTTTGCTTCACTCTTTTTGTTCAGTAGGAAACACCTTCATCATAACATCTCTTTATCTACAGGCAACCCGTCCGTGTACTTGGTTATCCCGTTTCGACAGTATTCATCCAATCCAGCGGGCAATAATATAAGGGATATATGGCACCCGTATTGGAGCAGCAGGCAGCAGATAAGAAGATACACTAGGAACTTCCATTTGGAACCAGCCCGTGCATCCAGGAGATCCACTACGAGGGAACCCGAACAACGAGTGTGATCAAAAGCCCAGGTGGCCCTCTTCGGATATGTGACGCTCACAATGTATTTGGTAGTACTCGCACTGAGAACACGTTATTCCCTCAGTAGGGTTTCATGAGTAGTATCCCAAACATCGCCTTTGAAATAAGACTTGTTCCTATCTCTTTGGGAAGAATCAAGGCTTGGTTGGATGCCTAGCCACATGAAAACTATTTAAGGGGTCATCGAAAGTATGATTGATACTATAGTTCAGGATGAGCCTGTGGAGGTAGTTGAATTACTGTGAAGACTAGACATAGATAACTAAATTATATTACTAAGGCTCAACCCACCATCTTCATGTCACTCACTTATGACCTCGACACCTAAAACGGAATCATCTTTTTCTGCCCCAGGCACCAACACCTCAAAGCTCCCTCCCTTATCGATAAGCCAATCTCCGATACGAAAACCCATCCATGCTATCATTTTTTCTCCGCATGCGACAGACAACATCCACCTCTTCCTCCTCAATAAATAACCCTCAAACCCTCCACCACACCTCAACCTAATACTTTGGTCTCTCATACCACAGAAGAAAGAAAAGCAATGTCCACCTCAACCCCCGACTCCCCCCTCTCCGACCTCTGCTCAATCTGGTCCGTCCAACATCCTCCCATCCCATCCCAAACCATTCTCCCAATCCACACCAACTAACCACAAACCTCTTGTTGTCAAAAAATAACAGCCACCTCCAACCCCCCAAATACCGCTGTCCGCGCTGCTCGACCCGCACATGCTCCCTCCCATGCACGCGGCGCCACAAACTCTGGTCCCAATGCTCCGGGGTCCGCGACCCAGCTGCCTACCTACGACGATCTGAACTAGCAACGGAATCCGCCTTTGACCGGGACTTTAACTTCATTACGGGGATTGAGCGCTCGATTGAGCGGGCGGGACGGGATGCCGAGAATAGAGGGATTGATGTTGCTTCGGAGGTAAGGGATTTGGAGGCGGTGGGGTTGGATAGTGAGGATACGGATAGGGGTGTCGCTATGGGGAAGAAGGGTGGTGCTGGTGCTGGTGCTGGGGGGAAGAGGAAGAGGGGAGATGGCGGTGCTGGTGGTGGGACGAGGGCTGAGATGGAGTTCCTGAGACGCGCGGAGGAGAGAGGGGTTAGGGTTGTTAGGGCGCCGAAGGGGATGAGTAGGAATAAGGGGAATGGGAGTCGGTGGTTGGGAAGGTATGTGTATCTCTATTTCTTTGCTTGATTTGGGGTGATTGTTTGGTGGGATTGGGATGAACGCTAACTGGGTGGTATGTAGGAATCAGTGTTTGGTCTGGACGGTCGAGTGGATTCTGAGTGATGGGGAGAAGAGGATGAGGAATTGTTCGGAGACGGCTCCTGTTGCGGACTCTTATGACCGCGTGGTTCCTGTTCCCAAGGAGGAGGGGAGTGATGAGCAGGATCAGAAACAGACTGGGGATGAGAAGCCGGAAGAGACGTCCGAGTTGAAGACGGAGGAGCAACAACCACAGGATGCTCCCTCGACTACAGCCCTCGACCCAGCCTCGACTACGGAACCTACACAGCCGACAGACGCACCAACTGCTCAACCGGAAGCTTCTAAATCAGACTCGCTGCCACTTACCCCCCACCGTGACCTCTACTTCTACCTTCATCGTCCGCGGACAGCCACGAAACAGCCGGTTCTGGCCCCCCTGCCCCCAAAGATCTCACTTGCTGCTGCTCTACGTGGTCACATAGTCTTGGAGTTCCCTACTATCTACGTACTGCCGGACTCACCTGATACTATACGAGCCCAGGAAGATGCCAAGTACATCCTAGAGGAAGAGTACCTCCGCACGCATCAGTCGCCGGAGGAGAGCAGCGAGGATACGGGGGATGCAGACGACGCTCAATTGCCTCCGGGAGCCATTGACCTCCGAGGCGTCGACGAGTCCAAGGTTCTGGAAGTCCTCCAGAAGGATCTGTTCGAGCCTTCGGCAGCAGCGTAGGGCCATCTAGACTTGGCTGGAGCATCATGACAGAGAAGGAGGAGGGGATCATTCACTTGTACCTAATACTTGTTCATATCATAGCGACAACTGGAGAGCCGGGTGGAACCGTGCTTTACTTTGGCATCTGTACTAGGAAGAAATCATCTATGATCGGCTGATGCACTTCAAGGCAGTCTGAAGCGGCGAAGTCAGCGAACTCGATGCGCATACGTAGTTACTCGAAGTCCCGACCCGTTCGTCCCGGATCGAGCTATGCTTGGTCAATAATCACTGGTTAATTGTGCACTCAAAATCCCAAGTATGTACGCTAAATCCAATATCCAAACATGGGGTATCACATGAACCAAAATCAAACTTAGGACGCCATTTATGCTTTGTCGGGTATCAACGTCCGTGACGGCTTTAGATAGCCAGGATATGACAGATTGTCGATATATGTCAAACGCTCACCTTTGGCGAGCAACTGTCGTCTCTGCCTTTCAGGTATTTCATCGGAAGTTCCAGCAGGCTCCGCAGCCTCGATCAATCGATGGCGCGACATAAGCCTAGCGCGGAACGGCGTTCCAAGAATACCCGAGCGTCTGCTATGCAGCGGCAAGGCGGTTTAGACGACGTGACTGACGTATCGACGTATTGAGAGATATCACAACTGCAGTGTGTATCCCATGGGGCTCAAGTCAGCGGACTCGAAGCATCAGACGCGGTGTCTGGAAGCTCGTGATCTCCGATTTTCTCGGCATGATCAGAGGAAATAGATAATACTTCAGTAGGAATCGTATTCGGCAGAGTTGGTTCATCCTCAGGTGCAGCCTTGCTGTTGCGAGAGCCAGCTTTCGACTCGGCGGCTCTAGACTCAGTGGGCGACAAATTTGTCCGCTCCGATCTGTTGGATCGAAGTCGGATTCGGCCTTTCTCCAAGGCTCGAAGCAATGTGCCAACTTCGTCCGATACGATCCCACGAAGCTTGCTCATTGTGTCGTCTGACACATCAGAGTAGGCATTCCAGCCAAGCTTATCAGACTCTTCAGAGGTCAAAGACTTAGACTCCACAGAGGGTCCAGTGATGAGCCTTTTCAAAGTCGTAGGTGACACGGTTGGCCGGCGTGCCATTTTGACCGGCTTCTCCTTGCTCGAAGTAGCCGAAATAGCCTCTTCCTGCTGGCGTTTAGGTGGGCGAGTAATAGAAGCATTCGGGCCTTCGCCCACTTCGTTTCGAATCTTATAATATACCAACCCCAAGGTCGCGGCCAGCGCCTGGTGTGCGGCCTCGGGGTACAGGCGTACGGCTTCTGCGCGACTTAGGTTGGACGGATAATCACTGGAATCACTGGAATCGCTATCACTGGCAAAGAGCGTCTGCTCTTGATGCATGCGGCCCCAATACTCGTATCCTCCGAGCTGATAGAACTCGGCCAGTTGCGCCAATCGATTGACTGATTGATGTTAGATGCTTGTTGTTGTGAGGCACATGCTTTCTGCACTTACTCCTGCTTCGCTTCTTCAAACACCAGAACCTCCAAACAGTGCGAGGGAAGTATTCGGGCCATTGCAAGGACCCGTCTTCCTCGACTACAGGAACAGGCGTGATCGGGGCGTGTGTCGTGTGGGCCAACGAGTTGAAACGGACTCGTTCAGAATGCTTCATCCGAGCTTCGATGAGAGAGAATCGATTGAACACAGAAGTCAAATGCCGCGATGTCTCATGTTGCAGAGTAATCAGATCAGTTCGAAGTTGGCTGATGGTCGCATGTAGTTTGCTGATCTCCACGCGGCATCCGCATACGTCAGTCTGCAGGTGCTCAACATCTGACTGGATCTGTTCCACGTTCTTCGACAAGCGGTCGACATCACTGCGAAGGAAGACGGTCTCATTGCCGCTTTGGCCGATACTGGACTTGAGTTGGGATATCCCTGACTTCAACTGGTCGACGTCTGTCTTCAACGCAACGACATTGAGATCGATTCGGCTGGAAATTGACCGGTGTGCTTCGAATTCACGGCGAATGTGTTCGTCTTCGCGGTTTCGTCGGTCAACGTAGCCATCTTTGGTCAGAACGCTGGAGCGTAGCTCGAGTAGGCGGGAGTCCAGAAAAGTCAGGCGGTCATGGATGTGTGATAGGGACGGATCTGCTAGGGCTGGAGGTGTGTTTTCGTGGATGAGAGATAATCGGGGGCTTGAGACAGGGATGGACATGCTCGACGTGCGAGAGAGGCTGCGTTCGAGTGTTGTGGTCATGATGGGCGAAAGGGGGAGACGAAGAAATGGTATAACTGCGTGGGTTGATATACAAAAGCACGCATAGAACGCTTTAGGCGGGTATCAGCAACATTTTGCCTGAGTTTTGAGATGACAGCGAGATGGTTGTGGTGGAGTTCGATGACGGTTGTTGGCGGTTGAAAAGCGATGGCTGGGGCGTTGCAAGAGGGAAAAGAGACGAGCGACCGACGAGAGAGAAGGGGATCCAGGCAGATCCCGCCCCTCGCTGGCTGCCTTCCTTCGTGGCACCCGCTTCACCCAACCGAATTCATCCCAGCGCCTGACCATTAACATCTACACTTGCATACATAGGGAATCGCCATCGTAGCAGCGTTTCTATTATTGTATCTCTCAATCTAAGCAGGTATAGTTATGGCATACTTTTCTATTCCGTTGTATCTCCCTTATAGTATGGTTAATCGCAGAGGATGTTATCGCGAGCCAGTCATGACAATACATGGTACACTCCATGACAATACTGATCACAACATATCGGCGGCTTGGCAGACACACTGCATTCAGCTGACCCAAATTAACCAATCACCATTGTTTCTACTCATCTCGCCACCCGAATTGGAGAGTTGCATCACCCGTTGATTGGACAAGATAAATAACTACGGACAGGGTTTCAGCGTCATGGTCGTCAGCTTCGTATCAATGACCGTATTGGTCATATTGTATACGCGATGAAAACGGTTGCTCCGAAGGCCTCATTCCTTCAGCCAGACGGGCGGGGCTCGCTTACCATAGATTAAATGCATCGCTGACTTGAGATTCGGCAGTAATACAGATCATCCGAGCAGCAATCTCAGATATATCGAGCTCAGCCGATGCTCCTCCGGGGAAAATGCCATTAGGAATGAGGCATCTTGCCCAGATAAAGCGTCTCAGGCGGATAAAGAGAGATACTAATCAGCGCCATTGTCCTCATAAGTGCTAATGAGGGAGTCTATACTGATGGATGTCTGGATTTGCTTCGTCGCAAGAAGGAAGTGTGCACGTCGCTAACCAAAGAACGTCTGTAGTTTCTCCTCCCTCATCACATCCAACCAACTAACCGGGGAGCAAGCCCCAGTGCTTCTTGAGCTTATACTATCCGCGCGCATCCATACTCCTTCACACTAATCTTCTCGCATGGTCCACCGATTCAAGACCAAGTAGCCGCGGTCGACGACGGAATAAGGGCCGAAAGCCAATGCCACGAGTCGCCGCCAGTGGGCCACATGACAACGCCATAGAGTGACATGCAAACAGCTCGCAAAGACATGACTTCTAGAGCGAGGGCCCGAGAATAGGCGAGATAAGCTAACTTGGACAGAGAATAATGGTACCTTTGTAAGCCGAAGTCATTGGCAAACAGGTCCATTCTCTCCATCTCAGTGGGCTATAGTGGATACAAACTCCAGTAGTATACATTGGAGTTCTTGCGGAGTTCTAAGCGGCAGCGCTAAACCCGTTTCGTTTAAGATAATTATATTATAATTATAGTAGGATCTTCTGAGATTGTATAATTATAATATAATTATACACGAGATCGTTAGCGGTCGCACTTAAGGAGGTTGCAATGAGAATTCATTCCGTTTCCCTCTTCCACAATGACCATCTATCGAGTCAAGACTGGACCCTCAATTAAACAATAATATACCGCATCGCCTACTATTCAATACGTCTGTGCATCCTTAATCACGGAGTCACAATGCCAGCGTCTGACAAAAAGAAGAGAGCTCTAAAGATTGCCTTTCTGACGCTCCTGTGGGTTCACTTTGCCGGAAAATTAGACGAAATAAGTGAGGAGGCGGACGATTCAGATGCAGACGAAGATGAAACAATCGCTCTGACCGATGCAAGCGACGAGATGATGATCAAGGCCATGAAGGCTGCGACGCGATTACTGGATTGTCCTTGATCACTTCAAATGAATAACACTTGGATTAGGGACTTAGGGACTGGTTTGCTGAAGATACTGTCGCCTATACCAGGTAAGAGATTGTGAATATAGTCCGAATTATTTCAACGCGCGTCTCGCGACGCGATGTTGACAATTCTGCTCATTGACACGAACAATAGGTTTCCCGTTACGAAGTCAATGAGATCGGACCATTATGATTTAGACCATTCGAGCATATTGAGAGGCTTTATGAAGCTTGGACCTTGTGGGCATTGGTTGGTTGTTAGGGGGCGGCAATTGTGGATGGTTCGCGATAACTGCAGGCAGTGTGTGTTTAGCAGAGTTCCAATTAATGAGCAAGGAATGGAAATCTGCTGATCGCCTGGTTATATGGCTACCCATGCCACAAACATCCTCTACCCCAGATAATAAACCCACATTGACCAACAAGAAGAATCCTCAAGCAAGATTTCCGGTCGACCTTGCGGTTTATGATCCCCATGTTCCCACCGGCCTCTCCAGGATGAGGGTTGTGCGAGCAAACGGTGGTGTGGCAGAAAGTGATTGCCGGGGGCACGCATCTCCATACAAAGTGGGCCACTTTGTATACTTCTCGTACCCAGCAGCATAGTTCCCTCCACAAATGAACCCATCAAGGATCAACTCACTCCCAACGGTGTGGTAAAATACCAGACTACATTTATTTCATTATCCAGACCCCAACAACTCTCAATCTGATGGAAGTGACCGCCATGACGCACCTTCCATGTCAACATATCCTATCATCAAATCACCAACATCATCATTCTCTCAACCATCCTCATCATACAACTACTACCACTATCCTTAACAACCCCCTCCTACATCTATCCTCACACCTATTCCTACTATTCATACCACCACTTCTCAAAATGAAACTCCTTCTCACCACTCTCATCCTCCCATACCTCCTCTCCACCCACTTCCTCTTCGCAACCGCAATATCCATACCATCACCCCAAGAAACCCACCCCCACGCCAACTGCGACTGCTACATCACTTCCAGCTTCACCTCCAACTCCAACCTCACAGCCCCAACCTACTTCACGCACTACAAATTCTGGGACTTCCGCAACGCCCCCCTTCCCCAAAGCGGCCCCGAAACAACCCAAACCAACCCGTCCAACCCGCACGACACCTCCACGTTGGAAATCTACCCCCTAACCAAAACCCTCTTCTCGCACGACTGGCGCGCCCAAACCTGGGACCGCGAAGCAACAGACATCAGCCCGGTGCCGATGAAAAACACCGACGGGAATGTCTTCCTGCTCAAGCACCCATCCAGCACACCCAGGGACCCTCGCTCATCGTCCCTAGTGCTCCGCACCACTCGATTCCAGGACCACGCATCAACAGCCGAAATGGAAGGTCTATTCGGGTACATATACCACTGTTCGTTACGACTACGAATGAGACTGATGTCTCGAGACGATATCGTAACGACTGCAGCATCCACACACCCTAATAACCAACCAGGTTCACAACCCGGATCACAATCCAAAATCCCCCAAGGGAGCTGCGCCGGCATCTTCACCTACCGGTCGTCGATCTGCGAATCGGACATCGAGATCCTGACCACCGAAGACAGCCACACAATCCACTACGCCAATCAACCAGACTACGATCCTATCTCGGATACCTTGATCCCAGGGGCAAGTTCGATCGTGAATCTGAGCAAGCCGTGGACGTCGTGGACGACGCATCGACTGGACTGGGTGGCTGATATGTCGGCCTGGTATGCGGATGGGCAGTTACAGAGTAAGAGTAACTATTCGGTGCCGGATCGGCCGAGTATCGTGGCGATGAATCTGTGGAGTAATGGGGGCAACTGGTCGGGGGATATGAAGGTCGGAGAGAGTGTGTATATGGGGATTGAGTGGATTGAGTTGGTGTATAATGTTACTAAGGCTGATCAGGATCTTCCTATTAAAGATCATCCGGGGCATAGGGATCGGTATCATCGGGTTGGAGGGCTTGGTTCTGCTTCTGCTTCTTTTTCTTCTTCGGCTTCTGCTTCTTCTGCGGGTGGGGATTTGGTGGATGTGGAAGATGTCGAGCCGCAGATGGGGAAGGCTAAGGAGAGGAGCGATGGGTGTCAGAGACCGTGCTGGATTGATCCGTGGCATCCTGTGTAGGGGTTGTTGTGTCGTGTTGTGTTGCGTTGTGTTTCTATTCTTTGATTCAGTGTCATAGATTCCTATCCTAATTCTACACCTGGAATCGTGCGTCATTCACAGATCGATCGTAGCTGCGTATGTAGCTAAAGTGTTTCTTGAGTATGTGCCTTCGTAAGTACAAATGGTCGAACCGAAGGGGCTGTACAGTATATTGGAGGCATGACTGAATACATAACCATCCGCTGTTCCTCAAAGTCTTCAAATCTCATGCGCCGTGCTTGATGCCCAATGCCTATGCCAAACGTCCAATCCCAAGACAAATTCCAAAACACGCACCAAAACAAAGCCGAAAACATGCATGCCAGGAGCTGTGGCTCGACTGACGGGGTATCCATACAAGACAATGCGAAACGCTTATAAGCAAACCCAAAAAAATTGCAAACGATGTCCTTTCCTCCTCTTCCTCCTCTTCCTCCTCTTCCTCTTCCTCCTTGCCTAGAAACCTGAACCTGTTTGTGGTTAGAACGCCCAAGCCAACAAGCAGAGACCAAACACCAACGTCCAGGAAACAAAACAAGCGCAAAGTGAGTACCTGCAGAGCAAGCACCGAAACATGTAGATACAAGATCAAGGAAAGAGGAAACAAAGAAACTGACGCTTCGTACCTTTGCCATGAAATGCCCTCCTCTTTTCGCTTTTTCTTTTCTTTTTCTTTTTTGTTTTGACCCTCCCCCCCTCTTGGGGGGAGGGCCGCCGTCCCCGTCCCCGATCATAGCAAGACATGGTCTTGCTGGGCGGGGTCAAATTCCCCCTCCAGGCCGCCGGCCATCAGCTCGGCCACTATCTTACGGCGCAAGAGCGGAGTGTCTTGCGCGCCGTAAGATAGTGGCTCGAGGCCGATGGCCACAGCCTTGGCCGTGGTGAGGAGGAAGACCCCGCAATCTGAACCATTGTCTTGCTGGGGGGACAGGGACGGCAACACGCGCCACTCCTCCTCGACGTACTTGGGGCCCAGCTCGCCGCGGAGCCAAGTTTGGACTACCGCGATGTGGCGGCGAGACCGGGCCCCAAGAGAATCGAAATGCTCGATTGAGCGTTCCCCCGGTCGCACAACAACCAGCGTCCAGTGCTGGCTGTTGTGGACCGGGATGTAGACGGTGTCTACGTCGAGGAGGAGTGAGCCGCCGATCTTGGCCCGTTTGGCCCACCGGGCCACGGACTCGTAGCCTTTGTCTCTGAGATTCGAAAAGAAAAACGAATTGAAGGCATGGAATCGGGGCTTGTCGTTGCGGCCGGCGTTGTGGTTCTTGCGACGGAGGTAATCAACGATGAGGGCAAGGTATCCGTTGATCACCTCGTCGTTAAGCCACTCGCCGCGCGTGTAACAGGTGGCGAGGCTCCTCTTCGTTAGAGGGTCACCGGAGAGGGTGGTCGCGACGGTTTTTCCTCCGGATACGCGCCCATCTTGAAGTTCTTTGATTCGAGCTTCCCATTCGGGAGACAGGGGCCGTACAGCTGGACCATCCGGTTTGATACGTGATGGGAGCTCCTTCTGCCTCTCTTCTTCTTGGATCTGTCTCCAACGGTCGGCGTACACAGACTCGGTTCGGCCCTCTGGAATGGGTTTTGGCTCGGGATAAAATAGACTGACAGCTGATACTGCTCGACCCAGCGGGAACTCAAAGGTTGGTTGGGACCAGGGGTCAACGATGGGCTCATTCTCTTCCTCGTTCTCCGGGGCTGGGGGCACGTTTTCCTTTTCTGTGTATTCAGCTTTCGTGCCAACACTGGTTTCGGTAGTTCTCTCATTGACATCAAGCGTATCTCCGAGATGGGGTGCCAGGTTGTCCTCCACCTCACCCCAATCTCGCGTGTCGTCAATGAACTCGGCTACCACAGGCTCGCGGAAGCGAACCCTGCGCGGAGTCGCGCGGCGAGATCTAGTTCTATTCCCAGAAATGCTGGGCCTTCCTCTTATCTTGAGAATTGTCTTGGGTGCAACAGTGATTGATGATGAGAGAACCTTTTCAGTTGCACCCAGTTGATCAACTGCAGTAAACGAGCGAGACTGAACATTCGCCAACATGTTCAAGTCTTGAGCTCTGTCTAGTTCATAGCTGCTTCTCATCAAGTTTAGTTCAACCGGACGGCGACCTGCGGCGGAGGCTTGACGGTCACGCGCGGCCTGAGCCTCCATAGCTTTCTTCATGCCGGCGATGTCCCCAACGAAGAGGGCTCTGAACGCAGCAGATCGCTCACGGTTCTCGGCGCGCTCAGCACGCGTAATGTGCTTTTGCTTGCGAATACCCGGGCTTCCTTGCCGACGGAGAGGCTTTTGGGCTGTGTCTTGAGTTGAACGTTGAGCTGAACGCTGAGCCAAGCGTGGAGGGGATCTCCGAGCTGGCTGTTTAACTGGCGGCATCCCAGGGTGTTTGCGAGTTCCCACGTTCTTTGACTCACGAGCACGTCGCTGAACAGATACAGAGTCTCTGAGTGCCTGGGGCATCTGCTCCTGAGACACAAGGTCCTGCAAAATCTGAGAAGACTCGACTGTAGGAGCCGTGTTCTTGTTATGGGAGAAATTAGGAACGTTGGAGAAGTCGGGGTAAGATTTGTCGGTACGGGGGCTGGATTGTCCGCTTCGGATTCTCCTATCACGATCCACACGCTCCTGCTGTTCCGGAGAAAGGTTGCGAAGGTTGAGGCGCGTGGGTGATCCAGGAGGCGAAGGAAGACGACGTCCACCGCGGCGATTCCAAAGTGCGCACACGCGTCGCCTAGCAGCACCAACCGCATTCGCAGCGGACCTTGCCGCATAGGAAAAGTTCTGAGTAATTCCAGTGGGAATGGAGACAACTGTCTGCAAGTAGCTATGCCACGTCCCCCAGTAAGCATACCAAGGTGAGGAAGGCTGTGGTTCGGCGTCCGAATTCACAGGAATAGTCGGCTCTCCAGCGTCGGCCATGTCCGTATTGTTGGATAGGATCTCTTCATCGGAAGTCATAGGGCTATCTTCGATATCGGTGGCGGCATCGGTGGACCAGTGAGACGGCACTGATTCGGGCCACGCTCCAGGCATCATATGGTTCTCTGGAGTGCTAGGGGTGGTCGAGACCGCAAGAGCGGTGACAGGCTTGACTTCGGAAGCGTCCAGTCGACGCGACTTAGGAGATGTTTCAGGAAGAGCGAGATGAGATTCAACTGCCGCAAGGGCTGTAACCATGTTTGGTTCGTTATTGTGTTCAGGAGTGTCGATGTCCATGGGGGAGCCAGGGTACCAATCATCTTCGTTGGTAGTGGCCTCAAGTTCAGCAGCAGCACTGCGTGCAAAGCTACCAGCCCTCACACGACGGAATTTAGCAGAAGGTGAAGTGATGGGTTGAGCTTGCTCATAGCCATCACCTTCCATTGATCTCTTGCGAGAAGGCGTAGTAAAGCCAGAATGTTTATTGACATTCATATGAAAAGCTTTCTTGTCTATACCAATAGACTTGCCTCCAAGAAGGTAACCGGTTTCATTTGACCTGTCTGGACCAAAAGGGAGGCTGAGAGGTTTGTTATTCGACCAGGAGACGTGATTCAGGCCGGCAGATAGATATTTGCTGGTACCAAGATGGCTTAAAAGATGAGATGAATGCGCATTACGACCGCTCTTCTGGAGGGCATCAACGCCAAGGAATGAGGCCGCGCGACTATTCGGGGAGAAACGATGATCGGGTCTGATGAGCGGGGTGCGGAGGGGGAAGGAGGGCTTGACTTCATGTTTTCCATTGAGTCTCACAGCCTTTGGATTGCCGGGAACATGCACGGATCGGAGCTGATACTTTGGACTCTCTGCGGAGGGGGCTTTGGCAGTTTCCTGAGGGATGTTAGATGCGGGGGAATCGGGAGCACAATCCATGGGGTCATGGGCGGTATTATCGACGGCCTCCTCGTGGGGCGCCGAATCTGAGGGCATATAGCATACGTCAGGCATTGGGTGGTCCTCCACGCTGGGTCTCATAGTCGAGAAAACCCCAGACATGGTGAGAAGTAATCTAGAAACAAGTTCTTTGGGTGAAAGAAGTGGTGAAAGAAGCGGTACGAGTTCGATCGCGAGGAATAGAAAGTTGCTGTATTCGCTAAGCTCGTAAACGCGTCTGAAGGTAATGGGAAGATGGGTGATAGGAGAGAAGGGAAAGAAGAAGAAGAAGAAGAAGAAGAGAAGGAAGAGCAGGGTGAAGAAGAAAACAAGAGCGGCGCCGGGGTGAAGGAAAGGGAAGGAAGAATCAAAACAAATGTATTCACAGAGGGCAGCCATGGGCGACTGCCATAGTGATGGTGGAAGTCGCGCGCGTCGCCGCAGTGAATTGGAGCTCCATAGGAACGCGCGGGGGGAGCGCGGGGTGGGCGAGGGGCGAGGAAGGCGCAAAGACGGAGGGGAGGCGATGAAGCCGCGAGAAGTTGAGGAAGAGACGAAGCAAGTAATGGAGCAGCAGCAGATCAGTTCAACTTCCGAGGGAGCTTGGCGGCCACTTTTCCTCATCCAGCATGTCACGTGGTGTGTGCCGGCTGGCGGATGGACTATGCATTTGCTGTTCACTTTCTGCGGGTATTCCCACCAAACAGTGAACATGCGACCCATGGTTCCTCCTCAACTCGTCATATCTTCATTCTCTAGGACTCGGTATAGGATATCAGTACAGTGCTTAGGCTGTTGACTACTCTTCCTGTTCTGCCTATACACATATATCACACTATTCATCCACATCCACATCCACATACATCGGCAACTTGGCTCAACTTCCACAATTAGCTACCAGTAGATCGCTACTAGTCCGTTCTCGTTCCTTATCAAGGATCAATAATAGCCAACTAGAATAAACCACCACCTTAAAATTTTAGACTCCCTACTAGAAATACTACTACTAGTATCAACTCTCATTCGCCTCCACTAATGGCTAAATATCCCACCTTTTAAGAACAAATAGAAAAGAGATCATCAACGGTCTATGTACAAGAACGGCAGCTATGTTATACACCAAGGACTTTGGTTAGTCCAGCCCGCTGAACCGTAGAGAATATAGCAAAAGGTTTACAAATTTGGAAATGGGTGATGGCCGTCGGACCCACCCAGCGACTACTAAGCTACTATGGCGCCAGCCCTATCCGATCGAAGAACCAAGGCGCTCCCTCCATCACAATCCAGGCAATGCCTAGTCAAACACAGTCAGCATCCGCAACTTTATAACTCGACGCACAGGGGTTGACCTACCGGAATATACAACAAGTTTCGTTACAACCTCTACATCATAGCGCACCCGGGGCTGTTTGATCTGCGAAAACACTTCCTTCTCGTCGGCTTCAATTTCCGACTCAAACGGAGGAAAGGGCACGGTCGAAGAAGCTTCTTGTGAGCTAACATCGACAGAACTCGCCACAGCAGGGGCACCTGTGCCCATCATATTCTCATACTCGTGCAACTTAGACGGCTTTCGCGACAGTTTCCGGGGCTCGGACTCCGAAACCGGACCACCTTCTTCCGGCACTGGAGATGCTTGGTTGGCTGTTGAAAGACTTTCCCGTCTCCGTTTCTCGCGATAGGCCAGTGTCTCATACGCATCAGCTTCTGACTGCGGACCGATCGAAATAGCGCGTCGTCGGGGATGCCGTATCGTGGTTATAATTGAAGGTATCTCCGAAAAGCCCGGCAGCACTTCGTGGTCCCGGAGCTGGGATGGGACTTTCGTGTATTGCCTGTTTTGCTCGTTACGTTAGCTGTGCTTCTATTTTGGCAGACACTCTTCGTCTTTTTTTTTCTGTCCAAGGGCGCGCAAGTAGACTTACGAGGCATTCCTGAAGAATCTCCGGGGAAGTATGAGGCCCAGCTTTTCCAGGCCCCGGAAGACGGGAGGCAAAGCCCGGAGCAAAAGAGGTTTGGTGACGGCTCGCCACGTGAAGAGCATAAGAACACCAATGACGAGGCGGAGAGACGTCTTGACCAGTCCTACTTGCCGAAATTCAAACGGAACAGTGGCCGGCACAGGTTCATCCCACACTAGGCTTAACCTGGCTATATGCCAATAGGCCACTTGTGCTCCAAGCATGACTCCTGCAAAGGCCACACTATCGTCGAAGCACGGGCAGTCATCGGCAGGCTCTGGGTGTATACGAACCAACCCCAAAATCAAGAGAATCACTAGTGTAACCCCCCTTCCGGTAGCAGAAAGGACATACTCATCAATGGTCGGTCCAAGCGTATACTGTAGGAAGGCGAGGAGGAACCCGAGCAAACATCCAATGACAACATCGAAGAAGCCATGCATACCACAGTACAGACGACCCAGAACAATGGAACAGACGTAGAGGTATGTTATGGCTTGGAGAGCGATGTTTACCTGGGGGCTCAGGGTGGATTCGGAAGAGTTCAATAGTGCGAGAGCGTACGCCGCGACCGAGACCGCATTGGTGGAATGAGTCGAAGGAAATCCGTATTCCAACGCCGCAGAGCCGGACATCGTTATCCGTTGGAGAGGAGGGGATAGAGGTCGCGGTAGGCATAGCAAGTCCTTGATGAAACCACTGAAAAACACACCGGAAGCCAAAAGATGCACCATTCTGAGAAAATGAGAGTGGTCAGCTCGATTGCAGGCCAGATAATAGTTTTCCCTCTGTTTAAGGGCTCGTCATGGGCACCTACCCGCGCCCCAAGCTCGTATACCCGCACCAGAACAAGATCGGCAGGAAAACCATGAAAAAGGTATGGGTGCCCAGGTTGGCCGTGAAGGCAAAGTAGGAGTCCAGGGCCGGAGTACGAACCCGCTCCTGGACCCAAGCCAGATACGGTGTCTCATACCGAATCAGCGGGAGGAGCTTCTGTCGTGGCCAGTAACGCCAATAAGGAAGCTGGTTTCGATCTGATACCAATTGACGAGCAGTCGCGGTTAGTCCTCTGAAGACAATTGCTATTCCACAATCGGCACCACATACAATGATCGAGGCTTCTCAGCCCAGCGTCCGGCTGGCCATTCTTCCCATTGACCATGCTGTCGTAGTTGTTCGGGTCAAGGCAGCCGATGCAATTTAGCGTGATGGTATGTTTGCGACAACCAACCACCCATAAGGTTCCCGACAGATAGCAGTCTCAACACCCACAACGGGCTGATAAGATCATTGAGGACTGGAGTGGTTGGAGAGGAAGCCCGTGCTGTTCGGGGGGCCACTTGCTATCAGGGGGAGAAAAGGAGAGCAGCAGATCGCGGTAGGCTAAGTCATGCTCATCCGGCGTTATCGCAGAAAAGGTCGTGTTCTTGGCGGTCGATGCGGCCGTGATTTGTTCAACCACTCAACACTCGGTCCTTACGTTTCCCCCGGCTGAGCTAAGGTGTTAGTCACCCAAACACGGCAGCGAACATGATCACTCTCGAAAAATAAGGTGATCTATCTAGAATTGGATCTACTTACAGCCACCACGGGGCTGTCACCTTTGGAGCTGCGAGGTTAATTAGAATAGTCTGGTTACAGCATGAGAAAATCTGGTTTTGGTATGCTATCCTGTATAGTTTTCATGGTGGCTTACGATTTGGCTCAGTCTTCTAGCCGTTAAAAGTATCTAGTGGTTCGAATATAGTAAATTTGCAACCAGAAACCGCGTCGAGTCATCAGTACTACGAAGCATACTAATTATTTGTAAGGGAGCAGCTTTGCGATTAAAAACAATACTCCCTTGGCCGAAAATAGTAATGCAGAGTTTGCGTGCATGCGACGGATCCCAGGCGTTCCTGTCGGGACGGTGTTTCTAGTCGGTGCTTATGCAGTCACTCGACCGCAGATCAATGCAGCAATATATATATAGTAGTAAGTAGTTAAGTACTACTACTAAACTGCGCTGTGGTAACTTCCGGACCAAACACGATTTCTTTTATTCATGATATACTCTTTCAAGTCTGTAGGATACAACTAGTAGAGACTAACTAATAGCTAGGAAATGCTAGAGCATTGACAATTGACGTCGTGTCCTAGTAACTACTACTACCCGGACTGACACGTCCCATCCGTAGTGTACGATATCTGCGACTCTGATCTAGACTTATGTTGTAGCCTAGCCCGTACCCATAGTGTTGAGGGGCACTGCACTAGATTGTTGCCCCCTCCCCCCAACTCTCCTCTTCAGCACAGCTTGGCATGGTCCAGAGCTAGACCGTTTGGACGTCTAAAAGTCTTTCCATGTGGCTCAGTATTGGTTTCCTTGTGTGCCAATGGAAAGCTGACAATGACAGCGACGCGTGGAATGAGTTCAGCCGGGATAGGAATTTGCAGGCATCGGTGGCGGAGGCTAGAAGGCCGTCAGAAATGGAGATACTATGATGGCTATAATTTTGGCACCATAAGGAGTGAAATTCCTAGCGGATAGAGGAATTCGCTCCATAGAGCCGGAGACATGGAACAGCCTAGCCAACATGTCTGAGTAAACAGAGGAGTATCTAACTACGCAGTAATGGAAATACTAAACGGGTAGGAATAATTGACCACCAAAACAATTGCCTGTAGTGATTAACCTCGGCAGGAACAAGAATTAATCAGTTCCTTGGGGCCAAATTCAAGGCTGAACGTGACATCGGAAGATATTACGTCAACCGGGTCTTCTGTCGTTTCTACTCCGGATTGCTGGGTCAAAAGCTGTTTCAGGGACCTGGACCGTAGACGAAGACAGTGTAGCACGGGCCTGCAAGGGATCGCACCAGAAGGAAACCTTGATCAATGTTATCGATAATCGGGCCCAACCCTGCCACTAAACCCCGAATGTGATTCGAGGATCGGGAACGATTCCAAGGAGGACGGCGATAGAGTGGTGGTAGCCCGGCTCGGGGGCCCGGCCATCGTCGAGGAATTCCTGGTGAGCAACTCCAGGTAAACAACCAAGGAACCGACTGAACATCGGCTGAACCTGCTAAAAATAACAAGAGCGGACGAGGCAGAAGACGAATGGAATTAATGGATATGCGTCCAGCTGAAGTTGCGTGGAGTGACAAGCGGAGCTCGTGCGTCATTTGTCCCGCGGCGTTGCCATGGCAGCCCATCGGCCGGTAAACATCGGTCTTCGCGGTTTCATGTCAGCCACGACGGCCTCGTTGTTGGAGCAGCCGTGGGAGGAGGCTGGCTGGCTGGCTGGCTGGCTGGGCTCATCGTGGAGAAACTAGCAGGAGCATCTCGAGCCTGACATCCCTTTCTTCCCTTCAGAACCTCTTCGTGCTGGTTTCGCGTCTTGTTTTCCTAAATCCACCAACCTCCTCCCCCTCCTCACCTCCCAAATAACCACCCACCACCCCCCTCCATTAACCTTTTGTACAGAAAGCCACTTTACTTCGACATTCCTAACAACGCAGGGGAATTGCTCAACACACACCGACCCAGAAAACTTTCCGCTGTGCTTTTGACAAGACAGTGGATCGTTGAGCAGCAATTATTACCGAGCCGCATTTCCTGACCGACAATTCCCACCCCTTCCGGAACGGCACTGTATACTCACATTCCTCGAAATTCTCCTACTCCGCCATCATGTCAGGTACAATGTACGACGAGCACGTTTATGCACCCTCACGGCGCCATTCAGTTGCTACTCCTCCCCCATCCATGACTCCACGACATAGTCGGACCCGCAGTCAAAGTGTCAGAGTTAGCAACGGCACCGTGAGCACAAATACAAGCGTTTCGAGTGGGAGGATGTCGGAAGCTACAAACATTACACATCCACCTGCGTATTCCAAGAAGTTTGTTGTGGTTGGTGATGGTGGATGTGGAAAGACGTGCCTTTTGATCAGTTATTCCCAAGGTTATTTCCCAGAGGTAGGCTCTAATCATGTCTGAGAACTTCCCGTATCGTTGTCAAACTAAGCACTGTGTATTCAGAAATACGTTCCTACTGTGTTCGAGAACTACATCACACAAACCACGCACCGAGCCTCAGGCAAGACGGTTGAACTAGCCCTCTGGGATACTGCTGGACAGGAAGAATATGACCGGCTGCGTCCACTTTCATATCCGGAGACGGACCTGTTGTTTGTTTGCTTTGCGATAGATTGCCCTGCATCTTTGGAAAACGTTATGGACAAGGTAATTCCCAAATTCCCAGCCGTTCCGCGACCAGTTATAGTAGCTAATACCGGCCGCAGTGGTATCCCGAAGTTTTGCACTTTTGTCCCACTACCCCGCTCATTCTGGTTGGGCTGAAGTCAGATTTGCGCTCGAAGAGAACGTGTATTGAACTTCTAAAGACCCAGGGTCTAACGCCTGTGACGCCGGAACAAGGTGAGGCGGTGGCGCGCAGGATGAATGCCTCTTACATTGAGTGTAGTAGCAAAGAAATGCGCGGCGTCGATGGCGTCTTCTCCCTGGCAGTCGATACCGTTGTCTCCGCCGAGGAACAAGACTGGAATGACCGCCAGACGTCTACTACTCCCGGAAGCAAACCCAAAGTCGGTGGTGGTGGCGGAGGAAAGAAGGTCAAAAAGCGTTCCTGCAAGATTCTGTAGACTTTGGTCTTCTTTTTGATGTTTGTCTGGTCATGATCATCTGCCCCTTTTGGTTTCGCCTATTCTTCCTCTTGCGATGTCTGTTTTTCTGCCCTTCCTGTTGTACCGAATGAGAAGCCTGGCTGCTTCGACGGTTTCCCACGCTTTTTGTATGTGACATGACATGACATGACCAAGAGGCCATGAAGATGAAAGACACTGCCATGATGCACCTGTGTCTCCTACTATGCCCTCTACCTACCCTCTTCACCTGCTATACATGCCGGCGGCTTCTTGAATTTTTGCTCCCTCCATGTTGCTATACCTGTTCGACCCTGATTCCCGTTTCCCTCAATTACCATTACACTTATCATCATATCCTTCCCCACCCCTTCGACTTGGCGATTGTTTTTCTCTCCCTGTGTCTGAATGCTTTATGTTGTCACGAATTTGGTCCGATGGCCGCTCTTTTGCCATGCATGGGATGGGTGTTTACTGGCGCAAGCGAAAATCCCGTGTACTTGAATTGTTGAACTTGTTTTGTTGTCAAACTCATAAACTCTGTTATTGCCCCCATATGGTATCCGTATTTCGATATTTCCGATAGCAACCAGAGAAAAGCAGAAATGGAAAAACGTAACAAAAATAGCTACTACAACAGTAAAAGCAGAAGTAAAAACAAAACAACTCCTCTACCATACGCCACCAATCAACCAATCGAATCCGTACCCACAAAAACAACCCGAACCTCAAACTAAATCATAGACCCGTCTATCCGTCTTCACCGTTCACCGGTCCTCCTCCTGGAGCTGACTCTGCTCCTCATCCAGATGATGCCCACCCCCACTACCACTAGCACCAGCCTTCTGCTTCCCACCATCCCCAGCCTCATTCTCCTCCCCAGGCCGACCCATAAAGTTCTCGAACTGGGACCAGAGCGCTTCCACAGAGCCAAACTCATTCCCAACCTGCAGATATAATATCAGCTTAGTACATAATAAGCGGGACCTGATCGGATCTGATCTGAGCTGATCGGCATGCGCGGAATGGATCGGAGAAAGAATAAGTGGGGATGGGCGAGTGATTACCCGTCTGTTTGGGTCATGCACTTACGGAAATAATGCTCTCTAGGTTCCGGTTCAGCCGGTTGATGTTTTGAAGGACTTGTTCCATGCCCTGGAGGTTTGATTATTGATTAGATGGGAATTGGGAAGTATTTTGCAAGGAGTGCATAGTATAGATAATAGAGAGGTGAGGGAAATACTTACCACTGCGATCTCCCTAACCAATTCTGCCCGCTGCTGCTCGAAGACTGTTGGGCTGGAGGATCTGTTTTGAGGAATTGGTGTTGTTGACATTGTCGATGGGTGTATGTGGGCGTGTAGTTTAGGTTCTGGATTGGGTGGAAGGAATCAGTGACAAGAGAGAGAGGCAATTGGTAGGTGTTGCTAAAAGTCTTAGCGTCTGATGACTTTAGTCTTCCTCGTCCTTGTATGATATTGCTTGATAGCACGCGTGTTGATTGCTTTCGATTGTGATTGTCGGTTGTGGCTCGAGGCGGGGCGGTTCCTGTCTGGAATTGCCTGATTCGGTTTGGTCTTGTCTATTTTGCCCGCGGTGGCAATTTACCGCCTTGGTGGCCGCCTTGGGGCTTATCGATAAGGGATTAATGGCGTGGTTTGTTGTTAGTATGGATATGAGTGGAGGAGTGCATTGGCAATGCGTTGGGCGAAGGTTTGGGATTTTAGGTAATATTTGATATTTATTCATATGCATTGATATAATTGTCAGGGTTCATGACTCTACTGTATTCGAGCGTACTTACTCATCGGAGCTAATCTATGACATGAAACAGAGTTGCCGCAACAGCAGCACGCAAATGCCATCTTGCTCGAGCATTACAACTAACGATGGTACGTGGGAGCGCACTCAGGCTCGTATGTGATCTTCTCACTGGCACCATAATATTTATTCCAATCTGAACCAGATAAATTCAGATAGAATGGCGCAGATGTTCCACAGTCCACTCCCAAACCTTCATCGACTTGACGTTCCTCTGACGTAACGCGTCGCCAAGTGTCTATTTAACATGGAAAGGATATCAGACAATATCATTAAATACATATGAACTTACTCGTCCCATCCGATCACAATATAAAGATGAAGGCAATCGGCGTGGAGAACTACGGTCCTGTTGACCGTCTTGAAGCTCGGGAAGTCCCGAAGCCGACAGATCTTCAACCTCGGGATCTTCTGGTTCGGTAGGATAGCTTCATTTTTCTAATTCCTATGTAGTAGTCACTGACATTTATGGACAGGATCAAAGGTGTTGCTGTGAACCCTGTGGATACGAAGGTACGGAATGGTACATATGACGACTATCCTGGTAAGATCTAGACCACATTGGCCGAAACACAGGAGGTGTCGGTTGTTTAATGTCTCGACAGATTACTACGACCGCGTCCCTCGTCCATTTCAGATCACCGGGTATGATGCCTCAGGCATTGTTGAGGCTACCGGATCACAATGCTCGCTTTTCAATGTTGGCGATGAAGTATACTATTCGGGAAGCCCCATCAGACAGGGATCGAACGCCGAGTATCAATTAGTAGACGAGAGGAGTGTTGGCCGCAAGCCGAAAAGTCTCGATTCCGTGGAATCAGCGGCTATGCCGTTGACGTATATCACGGCGTACGAAGCTCTTGTCGAACGACTGGAGATTGAGAAGGGAGAAGAAGCAGCCCTCCTCATCATTAACGGCGCCGGCGGAGTGGGTGCTATGGCTACACAGATCGCACGTGTTGTGTTGGATCTCCCTGTGGTCGTTACGACAGCGTCACGACCGGAGACAATCCAATTTACGAAAGACATGGGTGCGACTCACGTCGTCAATCACAGAGAGGATGTCGCCAGTCAGATCGAGAAGCTCAACCTCGAAGTGCCTTTGAAGTAAGACGTGTCTGTGAGAGTCGAAAATAATCGCTAACAACAACCAAGGTATATCTTCATTACACACTCGACAGACCAGTACATGGATACGTGTGCTCGGGTTTGCGCGCCGTTCGGCAAGGTCTGCTCGATCGTCCAAGGCCAAGCCAAGATGTATGGAACCGAGTTCATGTCGAAGTCGTTGACGTTCGTCTGGTGTCTGCTTGGAACCAAGCCATACCATAAGGTGGATGTAGAATCGCACCATCGCATTCTGGAAGAGCTTACAGATTTGATTGATGCGGGCAAGATCAAGTGCCATCTCACGAAGCGACTGAAATTGACGCTTGACGGCGTGAAGAAGGGACATGAGCTATTGCAGTCTGGAGGAAGCATAGGCAAAGTCGGGCTAGGTGTAGATGAGCCAGGTCCTGGAGAGATCTTTACATAGCAATGTGACATGTAGCCTCACTTGGCAGTTGGATACACGGAGATATGAACTACAGCAGTACAGGAATAATGAATAGCTATTATTGTTTCTTTCGTCTTCTCCACCTCACCGCCAATGAGATATACTAATGTGCGAAGATCGGCGCTTCAGATATTCGAGGTCAATTTCTTCATCCACAAACCACCGCGACCACCATTTTCTTTCCCAACTACCTATATGGAATTGAGCTGCGAGAGAGCTCAAGGTACCCCGCAGCATCCAGAATTGACCTCCCGGTTTGCAAGGATGTAATGAACAGGACTTTATGATCCTCGTGGTATCACATATGATTTCGCCATAAGGTTCTTAACCAGCTACATACGAAACAAAGGCCTCAACATGCAAGTCAACTCCTTAACTAGTCATATTATACGCTAATTTACCGACTCCACAAACCCTCGTCACAATCTCGACACCATGATCTCGACGAAAAGCTTACCCTTTGCTCGCAACACGTCCGAGACTTGCGCCTCTCGCCACGGAATCAGAGTAACCCTGCACCAACCTCCACCAATAATCCCACCAAACAATATACCCAACCCAAACTACATGCCACGCGTACAGATGAAACCAAGCGAACAGTGCTATCAAGCGTGGAAGATAATGAGCAGTGGCACAGACACCCGTTACGTCTTATCAGACGTGTTCCAGTGCGTCGCCACTGAGAAAAAAACCAGTAGGCTAGTTAAATATACTGATCAGATGTAGTTCATAACTTCCAGCCATACAATATTCAGCAAGACGTGCTAGGCTTGATAATCAATCACACTGACCAATGCTCAGGGGTCTCCATCACGCCACCGTCACCCCATACTCTTCCAATAGAAGGATCCGCTACACCCACGTTAAGTACTAGATAACTACAGAGACACGTGTATTTAGCCGAAGATAACGGTGATAACTGGACCCTTGAGCGGATCTCGTGAACAAGTGAGGGCCCTCGATGTGGCAAAGAAAGCGCTCTTAATTTAGTGCCCAGGGCCTTACAGAAGAGGAGGTCATACTCCATGATTATGGTATTGTGGCAATGAATTTGAGACTTGCAGTCTCAACAAGGACCCTCTAGTAAAATTCTACAAAGTGCTGGATGGGATTAAAGTGGCTGTACGCGTGTGTGTGAATTCTAAAAATTGAGTTGAGCAAGGAATCGATCAAGCAGGTAAGTGAGATGAGATAAACACGAATCACAGTGACGAAGAAGTTGATTGCGCACTACAAAAGATAGAAACAAGTCAACTTATAGCCAAACTAACTATACATGACACTATAGTAAAAACTCGAATCAATCAAGCTATTACCGGTAGGCAAAGTGGATACCATCATCAACAATTGATCATAACCCACCGGGCCCAGTTGCGTACCCGTGGAGAGAAAACAAGTTCAGACCCACAATCATAGATAGCATCATAAAACTAATTTCTCTGCCTAACTAACTAACTCCAACTATTTACTTTTTCTAGCTAGCTAGCTTTCTAGAATACAAACACCGAATAGCAGCCATTTGACCCCCCCCCATAACATAGTGATTTACCCCACCCCCTCATGCTATGACAATCAGCACAAATATCCTACTACTAGCTAGATAGCCAGCTAAATGGCTAGTGAGGTTACGCCATCACTTGCGTAAGCACTCAATCCAGAGCGAGAGAACCAATCAAGATGATTACCACCACGTAGCCACTGCTCTACACTGCACGGTAGGAGATAATTGTAAGATAGAAGATGGGAGTGGAGGCCACTAATCGTTAGTAGTTCCAGTCGATGGAGCGATGATGTCAATGCACTTAAGCTAGCTAGCTAGCTAGGCAGGTAGGGCTTCAGGCATCAAAGTTCTCGTCATCACGGATGATATCAGTTCCGTGCGGTCATAGATCAGGATAGACAGCTAAGTGGAGGATGACGACGACGACAACGACGATGATGGTGATGGTTATTGGGTATCAATCAGAGAGCTTTATCATAAACGTGGTTATTGTGGTAGGTCATGGGAATTTTTGGAACGACAGTTCTAGGAAGCGCTCTCGAGTGCAAGATCTGGAAGTGAAAAAGATGTAGTAAGAATAGAAAGAATATCAAAATCCAAATCCGGTCAAATTGATTCTGCCTACTCCGTCGCTAAAGGACGAATAAAATAAATCCAACCAAATTCAGTCCAGGCCAGCTCAACTCAATCAATATGTTTGTAACTCTTTATCCGGATCTATCGAACTCCCGAGTCATGTCCGTGTCTTCGTATCGTTTCGTCTTGGCTTTTATCGTTTCTTTGTGTATATATCGTGTCGTAGCGTAGCGCATCATCTGCGTAATTGACGGTCACCAGGACCGTGAGGCTTTTAGGCATAGAGTGGAAGAATGGGGAGGAGAGGAGGAAAAGATGAAGTGTATCATGTCGAACCTCTTCTAACTGGAACGAGGATGGTGCTGAGTCGCTTCCAACGCTGTGTAGGTGAAGTGGGTGCATCGCGATCTAGACGGTTGTCTAGACTGGGCTTCGAAGAGGATTGAGTGGAGGATCGGGGTCTTGTGACAAGCGCTTCGTGGTCGGCTAGGACATCCTCGAGCCGGACATCGCAATCGGACATGCGCGGCCGAGTATCGTTGGGGTCGAGAATCTCGATAAATTTGGACGACATGTCGCGCATCTTTCGATTGATAAGTGACTTGGTAGAGGGAAGCTTGTGGTGGTTGTCGATTCTTTTTTCTTGTTGGGTGGAATGCGGCTTTAACGTTTTCTTTTTCTTGTTTCCTTTGCTACGGCGGCGATCACGAGGTGGATCGGGGAACTTTGTTCGTGAAATAGTCGGCGGTGGAAAAAGTAAACCCAACCGGGTCGGAGAAGTAGGTTCGTGATGGAAGTTAAGGGAATAACTAGGAGCACTGTCGACCGTGAAGCGAAGAAGATCCGGATAACCGCTGGCGGATATATCTTCCGTGCGGACAGAGAGTGGACAGGGAGTTGGAGATGAGCAGAGGGGTAAACGACTGGGACATGAAGGACAAAGGAGGAGAAGGACGAGAATGAAGATGAAAAAGGCACAGACAGTGCAGTAGCGGGTGATGCCGATTCGCTGAGCACGGTTTCAAGTATGCGCCAGGCAGGGATGTCGAGCGGTCTTCTGCGTCTGAGCGGATGAGCTGACAGAGAATGGCCCTGAAAGAAATACTCGTTGTTGGAGAGAAATCTAGGCGCCGTTGACGTCCGGGGAAGATGGGTAGTATTTATTATTGCAGACGAAAAATTCTACTTTTGAGTTCCTCTATGATGAGGGTGTACCCATTGACCCGCCCAGTCAAAGTGCCGCGAGTTCCGCATCACAGAGGAAAAGGAAAAAAGCCAAATTATTTGCCAGAACACGCGGGGGTTGGGGGATGTGGGAAGGGATCAACTGAGGGACTGGGACGGTGGCGCATCCGCCAGGGTACGAGTGAGCAAGGGCATCAGCGGCCATATACGCCGTGTGCCCGGGTAGAGCATGTTGTGATGGGCTACCGGACCCTCTGATTGACGGGGCTGGCGGGGGTCCATCCTCAGGAAGGAGGGAGGAGTTCCGACGATGGTTCGTCCGTCATACCGAAGGGTGTGAGTGTGATTGCCGGTGCTGATGAAGCGGATGATGCGGTGGATGCGTGGCGTTGGGTTGGGTTTCTGGTCGTAGCTCGCCCGATCAGTCGTCAATCGTCAATAGTCATTGCGATCATGTCTGTAAGCGCGTTCGGATGGAGCTCCTGTTCCCTTAATTCCTGATCCAGTAAGACGCGATATCGACTCGACTCGACTCCACTGCCCTGCGGACCCTCCCGCCCGTCCCGGAGAGTGAGACTGAGAGTGAGAGCATGACGTCGCGCCGAATGCGATCCATGGGTCGTTTTCTGCAGAGCTATCCAGTGATTCTAGACGTAAGCAAGAGATACTGGTTGTCCTCAACCACTCTATCCATTGTTGTGGTGGGGTTGGGAGTCATCGCAAAGGGGGCTGAGGTGTCCAGCTCCATCGTTGCAGAGGCTGTCCATACAAATCGCGGGGATGACGGCAGATCGGCTTATCAAATGGATACGGCCCTCAGACGATCCATGTGCAACGCAACGAGTCCATCGATCAGCGGAGTTATTAATAGAATGATAATGGAGAGGAGTGGTATGCGTATTGGATGAGTCTCGCGGAGGAATTAAAAATTGAGCCACGAAAAACTCCACGAGAAAGTCACTCCAGAGTCACGGGATACTTCCCCCAAAGCATGTGCTCGCCGTGACGTCATGGCATCGTTGCTTTCGCCTGTGCTTCGCCTCCATTCTTCGCCAGTCGCAACGATTACTGTCTTACTGTTGGCTGTCTGTCGCTGGCACAATGCCACTTCATCATCGCAATGCCTACTAAACGTGCAAGGAAAAATCCATCGGTGGCACAGAAACCGCCTTCCCCTCCGCTGTCCGAGAAGAATGCCGTCATCACGCAAGATATCCCAGAGGAAGAGGGAGCAAAGCGAGAATCTACCCTTCGAGATGAGTCGTACACACCTGAGCTATTCGACGAAGACGAGGAGATGCCCGAAGAAACGGAGAATACTATCGATCCCGACACTGGGAAAGCAGCCAAAAGAACGGCGGAATACGCACTAGGAGGGGGAGGGTACAATGCACTCAAGTCGTACAAAGGACAGATGTACTCCGGAATGGCTGTTGGAGGATCGCACACCTGGACATACGACCAAGGGACGTGGAAGGAAACCAAGGAAGAACCCGATCTCTGGAGAATCGACTACCAGACGAACAAAAGACGAGCGAGGAAAGCGCCTACAGGGAGTGGTGCGCCAGTGGGAACCGAGTATCACTGGCTGATTGTAGGCCATCAGGTAGGCTACGCCACTTCATCAGACGACGGCTGGCTCACCCCCACAGCATGTGAAGAAAATCGATGCCAATACGTACGAGACGCACCTCACAGGCTCGAAGTATAAACTGGCGTACAAGTCCGCGTCATCGAACGCTTGGTCGATTCCGACAGTCAAGAAGCAACGGGAGCGGGAAGTCGAATTGCTGGATGACGCCAAACAACGCGTCCAGGGACTGCCGCCTGTGCTGGCATCAGAGAAGGTCAAGGTTGAGAAACGCGAAAAGGGCCAGCAAAGACTCGACAGCATGTTTGGAAAGGCTGCAGGCGTAAAACGAAAGGCGGATGAAAATGCCTGATACGCGTTGCTTCCGACAAATGCTACGTGACTAGGCCATGTCACGTCTGCTTCGGCATACAATCTACGGCAATCATTCGGATTTACGGTTCGAAAAATGAGATATGATAATCGATCCATGAAGATATTATGGACATAAGCTAAAACTGGCTCGGGCGTATTCCGGGCCATATTTTGCAAAAGTTTTTACTGTGAGGCTATTCAGCAGGGTCAAAGCAACAATCTAGATCCTGCACTGATGAAACTGCAAGACCGACGCTATGTAGCATAGCAACGGAGTCGAGAACGTAAGACAATTGGATAGGGCATGCCCACTCCGTGTACTCTATTACCCGAAAGCATAAACCAACCCAAGTATAGAGCCAGATCTAGACTCACCCGCGAACAAACAAATCTCAACCCTCATGGCACGATCTAGAACACCAAGAAGAAGTCAATCTCCGACCCACAATCTCATCCTATTCCTTGGAACCGTGACATCATCCACCCCAAACCCAATATAAGCTTAACTTTGGCCTCATTCCAGACCTCCCCTAGACCATCTACCCGCCGGTCTACCTTCCCCGTTCAACTCAACTTCACATCCGCCACCCAACCACCCGCATTTCCACCGCATCATGTCCAAACGCATCAGCACCTTCTTCCAACCTCTTCCGTCTAAGAAACTCAAACCGGATGCAACTACGACAGCACAATCATCATCATCATCATCATCAACAACAACAACAGTCCCACCAAAACCGTCCACCTACACCCATCACCCAAGTTATCCCATCCCGATTCGCGACCCGCCCAGCACCATTGCCACGCCTCTCCTCTCCAATCCAGCACCTCGACCTCCCAAAGCCTTAACCAACCACCCGCACCTGGATCTACTCTACTTTCAACCCTTTCTCCCCTCCCCACTGGCCCGAGACCTATTCCAGTTCCTGCGAAACGAACTCCCCTTCTACCGCGTTCGATATACCATCCGGCGCGGTGGAACAGAAACATCCATCAACACGCCAAGATACACGACTGTTTTTGGGGTTGACGATACATCGACATTCATTATTGAAAACTCCGAATCTACTAGTTCCAATTCTGAGACCAGTGTCCAAGACGAAACTACAAATAATCTACTAGATCCTCCTCCAGCCAACTCACCAATATTGGTCGACAGTAGTACACGCACTCCCCTCACCGAATCCAAATCCAGATACCGATGCAGGCCTCGACCCATCCCGCCGTGTCTGGACATTCTGCGCCAAGCAGTGGAGAAGGCCACGGACGATGGGACCAGATATAATTTCGTCCTGGTGAATTACTACGCCACAGGGGACGATAGTATCTCGTACCATTCGGATGATGAGCGGTTCTTGGGCCAGAATCCCACCATTGCGTCCTTATCGCTTGGCGCGGGGAGAGATTTCCTGTTGAAGCATAAACCAGGTGCTGCTGGTGGTACTACTGATACTGATCGTGCGATTGCAAATGCAGCTGCGAAACCGCTCAAGTTTCCCCTCAAGTCCGGCGATATGCTAATAATGAGGGGCGAGACTCAGTCAAATTGGTTGCACAGTGTGCCTAAGCGCAAGGGGTTGCAGGGAAGTGCTGGTGCTTTGGGCCGGATCAATATCACGTTTCGGAGAGCGGTGGTGCCTGGTGGTACGGAGAATTACTATCGATATAATGTGGGCGATGGAGAGGTGTATCGGTGGAGAGATGAGGAGGGGAAAATGGTTGCTACTACTGAATAGTTTACGATTATGTTGTAGCTTCATGCATATATAGATACACCCGGATTGGAGGGATGGGGGAAGGGAGACACTCAGTGCGAAGCAAACGGGTTGCTGTAAGCTCGGAAGCGATCAAGTGGCTGCGCACTGCTGAGGATCTTGTGCAACAACGCCCCGTAGTCCCATCCGATAGCTGCGGCCGCAAGAGCAGTTAGACTGGCCTGGTCCTCGCGACCAGGTCGTCCAGGCCCGGTCATATTCTATTGTTATCAGCGACGGTTCAGCAATGGACAGGGAAGGACATACAGGCTTCATGTTGATATCGAAGATGGCAAACTGTGACCCCTCGCTAAAGCGTCTAATGTCAATTCGAATTGGTGCCGTCGCGCCAATTAATTTGGCGACTTGCTCGCACTGCCGCATTGCGCTTCTGTACGACTCATCCTGCATTTCGCTTTCTGTGACAGCGCGCGAGTTCGCAGTCACTGCCACTGTACCATTGTATGGCGCAATGCCATCGACATGGTTGAAACGCGTGATCGGAGGCAGGCTCCAGTATTCTGGGCTCTCTCTCGATGGTGGCATAACAGTGATCGTTGCCTCTTCGCCCGTGAGGAACTCTTCCACCATGACAATGGGCGACTCAAGCAGCAGAGCGCTGATATGTTCCTCGAGCTCTGCTCGATCATGACATACCTTTACACCGTGGCTGCCGCGACCACGGACGGGTTTGCCAACCACGGGATAACGGGGAATGGAGTCTAGTATAGGGGAGACGTTATCCGAATTGCTGATCAGCCATGAGCGGGGGAGCGTAAATGAGCCATGGATACGGAGCTGATCATTGAGATAGGCTTTGTCATCGAAAGATTCGACTAGGGTTGGTGGTTGTCCGACAACAGAGATAGGGACCGAAGCAAGAGACCGTGAGGTTTGCAGTGGGTGTGAGGAGAAAAGGATCGTGTTGGCCCAAAGGTGCGTTGCCCCTTGGCGCACGGCAGAGAGGATCCCGTTTTCCGTATCCGGGAAGCACCAGCCTTCTTGCTCTTTGGGACTTGGGGAAGAAACCGGTGTCACGACTTGTACGCCACGGTTTCTAAGGGTGTAAGCGATGTCGGATCCCGAGTCTTGGTATCCTAGCATTTATGTTAGGATGAGTCTTTGGGATAGCAGGAGGGGATGTGATACCGCCAGGCTTTCGGGGCTTCCGAGCGCCGTTGATGATGGGCGGCTCGATGGCCTGGTAGAGGACTGCGACTACCGGAGGGGCAGTCGCATTAAGCAAAGACCTGCTTATCTGTGTCATGGGTAGACTCATCGTGTTGTTTAGGTGGTTAGTTGCCTCGAAGCTGGAAATGACGAAGTGTGTTTTATAGATGTGGAGCAACCCGAGAAAAGTGCCGGCATCGGACAAATCCAGCTGATCCTCGGATAGATCCGAAAACACGGAGTAACCCGCTTATGCCGATTGCACTCCTGATAGCTTCATTGTGTTATGGAATCAAGCGACGATTGACTGTTCAGCTGCGTAGAAAGATCTGGCGGGAGTTCTTATGATGATTAGCGATGCATCGTAAGTAGAAGTTGGACGACAAATGTTTCACTTACCGGACCCTTGAAAATCGCATGCCCCGTGGCAAATTGGCAAAGTGGGTGATGAATCATAAAGTAGAAAGCGTAGTCGTTCCTTCCAGTATCAAAGACCTCAAACCGATGCCTTGATAGTTGAGGTTTTAGGCATTTTATCCCGCTTCGTCGGATGCTGTCTGCTGGTGTACGTTCATCGTTCTGGAGGAGTGACTGATGTGATGTCTGAAATGAAGAGCATGGATTCTTCGTCGATAAGAGTTCCGTAATCTCAATGAATTGGTCTTCCTGTAAACAACTATGTTAGCTTAAATCTTGACAGTGAAAGCGGGACATCGTACTTCAAAGGTCTGGCGACAGCTGTCTGGCAATGCCGAGTGGTTCTCGATGCAGCCTCGACCTGAAAAGGACTCGAAACCAAACATTGAGACAAAGACGGACTTGTGATATGCCCAGAGGGGCACTGCTACAGAAAGAAACTGACGGCTTGAAACAGGATCAGAGCGATTTGGTGTGATTAGAGTCTGCTGGGAGTGGGCAGAGTGGGCCTCCATAACGAGCATGAACGCACTAGACAAACCAAGCAAACGCCGGTGACTGGATCCATACTCTCAGGAGTACACCCCATCCTTCAGGTATCACACCAATTCATGGCATATCAGTCTCGCTCGCAGCTCTAACTACGCTAAGACATAAGCAGAGTGGCAGAGATATCCATTTCTTCATGGCCGCGAAGGGAGTTGTCTGTATCGGAACTTGCTAGGGAGCATTTTGACCTTGTCAAGCGGAGAATCCAGCCACTCCCTGAGACTAATATAGCCATCTGAACCTGAGATCGTCTTACCACAGGGTTTGTTGCAAATTTGTGTACTCATTATGGATTGGAAACTTCAAGACTAATGTTTCGTTTAGCATAGATGCTTTCGAAAGCTGCCTAACGACAATCACCCCATTCAGCTTCCTTGATCAGATCACATACCCAGAAATCATAAGGTGGTGGCACACTTGTTGCATGTTTCGAGGCCATTTCTGGCTTGACTCAAGTTATGCCAGCATCATGTTTTGCACGGTATACTAACAAACCGTCAAGAATATGACTCTCAGCTGGGATACTCGGTTACCTCGGAGCTAGCGATATGATCGAAAGTATATCAGGCACCAGAAATTCTGGGATGAGGCTAAACACAGATCTATTTGGAGCAAGCATGATGACATGAGCAATGACAGCGTGTTTATGACGTATCACATCGCTGTAATGGCTTCAGTGGCTCCCACCGTATGTGTCTGACTCGATTTACTGTGTATAGGACGACCGATCCCTGATGGGGCTCAGTCGGGGTTAAGTTTCCTTCGCGCTGACTATACCGTTTGAATCAAGTCGACTACCAGCCAAGAGAAACCATTGTCTAGGCCCTTTGATCGTCAGACACCCATGAAGACGGACTTCGCTTCTGCGGAAATCCGGGTAGGGATATAACAATCCCGGTCTTTGAAAAAAATTTGTTCTGACATATCACATCCGCCGGACCGACCGAGACATTCTCAATGGATGCAGCCATGACACGGTGCTTTTGTATCCGCATGTCTTGAGGATGAAGCGCCTTCGGATATGTCCGAATGTATGACGGTAAATGATTGATACATCACCTCACGGATTTGCCGATGGCAGACATGGCTAACCTAAGGTGGCCGCACTTTCTCCAGGCAGAAGAAAAAATGCGCTGGGAGCTATCCTGGGCTAACCTCTCAGCGCTTACTCTAGATAATGCCGATCTCTGGACTGTTAAGGCTGATGGAACACGAAGGCCGAGTGCACTAGCCCACGGACAATCCGGAATCTCTACAAGTTGTTAAAAATCTGACACGGGTTGCTCAAAAAGTCACAACGGAAACGAAGATTTGGGAGCCTCGAGTCTCACTCAGCCTAGTGCTGCTGACTGGCGCTTCAAACAGTAGTAGCGGGGCTGTTGGCTCAGCTGGAAAAAGTCAGCCTTGCCCCTAAGAATTCCAAGGTACACCGTCAGCCAGACATCCCTGTTTTTGAATAACCCCAGAGAAAGCCTCCAAATCAGTCCAATACGTCTATTTTTGGTACTTCTTAAACACGGCTATGGAACACCCGATCTCACTTTGCCAGCGTTGCAGGGTTGTCCAGTTCAACGACCAAGACTATGGCACCGTCGAAAACGAGTCATCGGGGAACTGCACTGTTGTGTTTGACCATCTTGATGATGAAGATCATTACGAGGACGATCCATTCTAGACCAGGATATCAGAAGACAGAAAATCTCCCTTAACTACCACCTCCTTGACAAGTTTCCGGACCTTCCGGTTCTTACGGCATCCACTGCATCTGGATGTGGTATGTGTACTGCCATGCGCGAGAAGATACTATGACTGAGGGCGACTTATCTTTCATCGGATGGCGATGCATGGTGAAAAAAATATTCCTGTCAGTCGTTCTCCATTTATCAAGACAGATTGCCAGCATTGTCTGCAATGGCTCAAAAGCTTGCATTAGAGACAAAGGGAACACAGTTAGCAGAAATTTGGATAGAGGAATTTTATATCAACCTTCTCTGGGCACCTCAAGGCATGAGATGATTGGAAGCCATTCGAACCCCGCTTGATGAAGAGTCTATAGCACCATCATGGAGCTGGGTTAGTAACCCAAACCCGGTGAAGTGGGGTGGAGAAACCAATAATTTCGATCCTCTGTTCATGTGCCAATCCAAGATTGCATCGATGAATATGAAGACTGGATTGGATCTATATGGACAAGTGCAAAAGGGTTCTAATATCTCACTGCTCACTAAGTTTCACCCTCCAATTGCTTCAACCATAGTACGCAGTAGAGGGTTTCGTCTTGGTAATGTCGACTTCCCCTGTGGGCTGTGTTCAGCTGATGGGGGAGTATGTTGCCGATGTTCGTTTCGAATGGACCCATGACTCATCCGAGGCTCAGACACACTCCACAGAAAAAGAGAAAGACATCCTGGATATGCTGTCAATGGTCCTGATATTGAGATATGATGGTGAAGAGGATGACTTCATGATGGGTTTGCTTGTGCTGCCTATGAACACGCCTAGTGTATATCGCAGAGAAGGTCTCTTTTCTTGCGAAAATGGTCGAGAATTCTGGGATAGCATTGATACTTCAATTGTCGCATTGGTTTGATTCTTTGAGTTGTAATTTTAAGTTTTCTTTTTTTAGTTCGGTATTATTTTGTTTGGTTTCTTTCCCCCACAAGAACAGTGAAATGGAGTCGAGTGGAACGCCCAGATCTGTTTATCATGGGTACTAAAGGAGGTGAGTAATGTCCATTAGCCATTGAGAAGGCCGGAATAGGGAGATCGAGTATGTACTGGCGACCGACACTAGATACAAAAAGAAGAGAAACAAAGCCATCGAGCCTAACGCAACAGAGCAACCGAACAGTAAACAAAGAGAACTATAACCTCGGTCTCCATCCACTCTCCTTGACTTCCCTGCGACTCTCTTCTCTCAACACTCGCTTGAGAATCTTGCCACTTGCCGTTTTGGGTATGCTCGGTACAAATTTGACTCCCCCGGTGAGCGCTTTATATCCCGCCAGCCTCTCTAGTAACCAGCTCTTGACCATATCCTCTGTCAACTTGCTCTCGTCGGTCTCAGGTCGGCGGACCACGTACGCTCGCGGCAGCTCCGTCCCCGGGACCACATCCCGCCACCCAATCACGGCGGCATCCACAATGAGCGGATGCGCCAACAACACGGCTTCCAGTTCCGGTGGAGCAACTTGAAATCCTCGGACCTTGATGAGCTCCTTCTTGCGATCAACTATGTACCATTTCTGTGTAGCACGATCGCAATACGCGATGTCCCCGGTGTGGAACCAGCCCTGCTCATCGAAAGATTCCGCATTGGCGACCGGATTGTTGAAGTACCCAGGTGTGACGGCAGGACCGCGGACACACAGCTCGCCTCGCACTCCATAGTCGGAGATATCGGTGCCATTGTCGTCTACTAATCTACATCATTATGTTAGCCTCGACCTGATGGAAGAAAGAGAGAAGAACATACTTAGCCTCCATGTTCGGCACCAACCTCCCCACCGACCCTGTCTCATCCCCTTCATCCCACCGGAACATTGTCGCGATACAACATGTCTCTGTCATACCCCAAACCTGCGTACAATTGGCCCCTGGGCCGAGTAGCCTTTGGAACCGTTTTTGGGCGTCTTTGTCCATTGGTGCCGCGCCAAGATTACTCGCCCGGATCGAACGCAGATAGCCCCGTTCGTAAGACATCGGATGCATGATGATGGCAATGGCAATGGGCGGAACAATGGCCATCTCGGTAACTTGGTATTTTTCAACCGTCTGCAAAAAGAGGGGTAGGTCGAAGCGCCGCATGACGTAGTTGATATGGCCGGCTTTTAGGCTGCCGAAATGGCTGCTGGGAGCAGCGGCAGCGTGGAAGAGAGGAACGGCGATGACTCTGCTTACCTTAACACATTGAATTGTCAGCACTTACGACGTGGAGGTTATGAGATACGGCTTTTTGAGCTGAAGGGGAAGGTACACACCCTCCATGGCCTCGGATTAAACTCAAACACGAACTCGTGCTGGGCGACAAGATTCATATGCGTGATCTCAGCCGCCTTGGGAAGCCCTGTCGTCCCACTACTAAACAGCCTGGCTGCAGTAGTTGTCCTGGAAAGATTCTCGTCATCAAACCGTACCCAGTCTTGTTCACCATGTTCGAGCAGCTCCGTCCAGGACACCGCTCCATCTGGTACTGACTGCCCAAGAACATCGAATACCCGAATCCGATGCTCTGGGATTGATGCCGCTTTCGCCGCCGTAGTTACTGCATCTAAATGTTCTGGCTCTGTGATGACGAAGTTCGTAGCCGCGGAGCGGAAATGATGGCCTAATTCAAAAGCTGTGTAGGCTGGATTCGATCCTGTAAAAATCCCTCCTGCGCCAACGATCGCCAGGACCAGCATGGTATAGTAGATCTGTCATCTGTGAGTAATCAACTAGCATTGGAGATGGAGTTAAATGAAAGTCGTACATCATTGAAAGAATGAATGGCGACACAGTCGCCTTTTTGCACGCCCCAGGCGCGCAGCCCAGAGACCAGTTGACGAACAATGGTCCGGGCTTGGTTGTAGGAGATGGAGCGAGAGGGATTGTGGACATCGACGTAGATCTATACCGGTTAGCGGTGTTCTGTAGGCGAGTAGGAAGGAGTTTGAGAAGGGGAAAATGTATCCCCCATCGGAATATTACCGGTTCATCATGATCGTATGGCGGGTCAGAAAAGACATAGGAGATCACATCGGTGCAGGGCACCGGGGCCCTGGCTGCAGGTTCAAAAATCATGCTAAGTGGAAAATAGTGAAGGACCAGGGGGGATGCGAGGATGCAAGGATGCAGGGACCAGGAAGACACATGATGACCGATTTATAACTTCAGCTGAATGAATCCAGCCCCGATGCTGAAATAGGGTTTATCGTTTTGTCTGGAAGGCCAGCACGGCACGTCACCCGGAGCGGGCAATGGCACTGACTCGAGTGCTGGACACATGGCTGGCATGGTGTGACTGGGACCCCCGCCTGCGACAAAGGCATTGTTGTTCAACGGCTTTACGGGAGACCATTCATGGAACGCCAGACCTGCAGGCCGGAGAATATTGAGGAATTAGCGTGCACTGGCCTGGCCGGGGGTGCTCGGGTTTTAGTGTTGCGCGTCGTTGGGAAAGGGTCAGAGAGACCAATGGCTGCGAGGCGAGCTGATAAACCACCCCCAGCAGGCAACCCACCGACCCGCCACGCTGCATTTGGCAGCTGCCTTCAAGCCAATAATTAGGCTCTCCTGCGCCCGAGAAGCTCGCCAACGGCCGTGGCGTGGCAGTTTGGGTCCTCGGCCCATGCTTATCACCGATCACCGCCGAACCTGCAACCTCGGATCCCCCTTCGTTCTCCGCACCGCTACAATGGTCCCGAGCAAAAGAACATCGTCAAGGCGATCAATCTCCCGCCAATTTGACTCAACCCAGTACGAGACTCTCATACTTTGTCGGCCGACTCAGTGGCAGCACAAGACCTGATAGCGACCGCAGCACTGGGCTGATTGTTCTCACCGGAGTCGAATCTTCCAGATCCGCTCTTATCCGGTCTGCAATGACCGCGATGGAACAAACCTGAGTGTCGCAGACTATGCGCTTATCAGCAATTCGATCAGCCTAATACATGATGGGCTAGCCGTTGTTGTCCTCGAGCGTTATGGCCAGATTATGACAAACAGCCAACCTGAAGGATTAGTTAGCGGTTAGTTGATGACTGTGAATATCGCCATGACGGGGATAACAGAGGAAGCACCAGGGAATACAGGGACCTGGTTGATTTGTTCAAACATGCCTACCTCTTGAATGGTCATCTTCATTGCTGAAGGAGGCTCTCGCCTCCCCTTTCCAAACAATCCACGCGCATTTTGAGAAAGCATTCGTGGTCTTCACAACTTCCTAATCGATCTGATGAGCTGCTGTATCTCAGACGAGATGGATCATTGTTGAACGGAATCTGGCCATACTGAAACCGGCGCTACCGCCATTTAGCGACCCTGGGGCCCATCCGAGACTTAATGAGATGTGTCATGTGCCTGCATAGAAATGTACAACGATTCGCTGCCATTCGACGGGTTCTGTTTCAGCTCCAAATTTCAACCCCACAAAGGACATAACCTGGAATTTATATCAATATGATTAGCAAGGCAATCCCAGAGCGAACCAAAGCGACGTGATGATACGTTAAGAGCGTTCAACGCAAACTTTTTCTCACCAAAAGAAAGCCTCGGACGGAGCTGCCTACAGGATCTTGGATTACCTCACGTACCCAAGCAGCCACAATGACCATTCACTTCTTAGACGGCAAGATAATTTTGACGGCGCCTGATTCGAGGATGAATCTAAAAAACAGCCGCGACAGTCATGACGACGTGGACAGTCTCTGCGCAATGTCACAGGTTTTTGAAGAAAAGTTTTAGATCACTACAGACCTAGAAGCTCATGACCCGACCGTGTGTACATGCCAGTAGCACACAGGTGGCCGCGCTGGATAAAGGTTGGATCGGGTGTGGTGTAGCACCCGTGGTGTAGATATCGACCATGGAGTCCCCTGGGTCTCGGGCATAATCTTGACGGTGCCATAGAAGTGCTGAGTTAGCTGACCCAGATAGCATTTGACAGGTATTTGTGACCCACCTAAGTTGTAGATTCTACGGTACCGATATTTCCTCGCTGGAGGAGAACAAGTTCGAGGATATTCTTTGAAATGGCAAGGCCGCACCAACCTACAGCAAAGCCATCTGGCGCTCTTCATAGTGCGGCTGATAGGCTCGTACCTTTCTGTACCTGCCTTCTCTTTGCCTACAATCTGACGTGAGTTGTACTCAAATTCAGAGTCATCTTAGGCTGCGACGGCAACATTAAGTCTACCCTAGGGCTTCGAGCCAGAATGCAATAGCCGGGGCCGGAAGCCTCTGTGACGTGGGAGCGTCCTTTATGATAGAATGGGCAAACATAGCCGAGTACCACATCGGCTTTGGTAAGCAATGAATGGCCATGTATCTGAGATCTTTGTCTCGGGTGGTGGTTGCTTTTCCTGGCTCTCAATACGCGGCTGGGGTTGTGGTTACACGAAAGTTTATCCAATCCATGGAGGAAATTCTGCATCGCCTCATATATCACGCGGAAGAGGCGTCCCCTTGGCAGGCGCATCTGCATCTCATTAACCGGCTTGGCTGGTCTCATTTGGCACATAGCCTGGTGACAATGATGGCTTCAATCTAGACCATGTTCGGATCCGGAGTTTCTGTTGCTCGATAATTCAACTCTCTTTTCCTTTATTCCGATCGATGAGCATATTTGCTCTGTTTTTCTTCCATTGCCCCGAACATCAAGGCCACAAAGATATTGACGTATCCCTTACGGTCTAATCCGAGTCATTCGTGAACGTGCAGAGTAGAGGGCCTTGCAGCAGGGAGCATGAGTGGATTTTTGCGGCAGTCCCGATAAGCAATATTCAGGGTGTACGTAGTGTCTTGCAGGGATCCCCGCAGCAGAGAGAAAATGAAATGCTCATGTCTGAGGTTCCGAATCCCAAGGTCCTCTGGCTGAACCCTGCTCGACGCAGGGTCTTCCACACGTTCAACCTTAAGTGTCAGAGCGCTATTTGTTGTCGACCTTTGCTCGTATGACATGATAATACGTTTGAGCCAGGTGAGCAGTATACCAGCTTTAGAAAGAGGACGTATGTAGCGAGGTAGCACAGGCCAGCAGAATGCCAAGAGTCTTCTGCGTGGATTAGCGTTGTACATGCTTGGAGTTGCAAAATTCGCCGGGGTTCTTCCGAATGACGATCTCCAAACCGTCAAACAGAAAGCTATGCCTCTCCTGACGGTCGCGATCCAGCAAAAAAGCTAGACTTGCATCGAAGGAGATAAGTTCCAAATCTTTAGCTCTGGAGTGTTCTTGTTCGTAGTCAGCCGAATGAGAGAATCTAGCGGCAATATCGATGTTCTCGCCCTCAAGAAGCCGCCTCGCGATTGAAATCCAGACCTAAAATGTCTTCACGGGCAGCACGAGGGGCGCTGAATAACATATGCCTAATCGCCCATGTATTTAGCGCATGTCTGGGATGTTTGCCAAAACGCCACCAACTTCTTGGGTCGGGATGACTGGTCAACGCTGCTGTGGTCATCTTTTAGCCGGTGGGTCTGAATTAGGGGGAAAGACGGTGCGGTAATTTGCAGCAAGGTTGACGATTTTGACAGAAAAGGTAATGCCAACTCGATTTAGACGGCTGTCTGGATGAGAGGATCGCCTGTAAGCCGGATGTTAGTCTCGCTCCGTTCTTTCATTTCGTAGCCACCCGGCGGGTAATCCTTGCAGATGGCTCAGCAAGGTCTGGATACTTCTGCTATTCCAGTCGTGTCAGGTTGGTGGGAACACGAAAACCAGCACTATAAGCTCTGGCAAAAGGCAGAGTATGTTCGCATAGTTATATGATCTTCACTTAGGTAAGATACGACTCGGGCGCTCAGACGCCCGTTGTGGAAGTGAAGTTGGTCAGCTCCTTAATATGAAGACAGGTATTTTACTTCGATGGGCAACAAGAGCCGTAATGTACCTCTAGCACTATTCCCTCTGTCACACTCGAAGTCAGATTCTTAAAAGACGGAGTATAGTATGGCTAGCCTGTTGGGTGGCTCCCGGGCCGGTGAGGGCTCAAAGGGGAAGCGTAGGAGGAACGTCACTAATTGGAACCAGTCAACACTATCCCTCGCTTGTCCAGAACAAGTAAATCAAGCGGTACGATTGTTCCGAGATCCGGTTACGGAGACTGTATTGCTGTCTTCTTGAGGTATGCTCCTAGAGAGGGGAAAACTTACAGTAGCGTGATAACCAGGAAATGGCATGTGCATGTGTTAACATGATCAGGTTGACAGCGATGGTTGGTTATTTCTCTCTTGTGAGAGTATCTGTGTTGCAGAAAGACAGCAGACGAGTGCTTTGTGTGTTCGCATGAACCTTCTTCTGGGCATGGCTGCTCCACTCCCCTTCACAACACTCGGATAAGCCGAGCATCGAACACCTGCAGAGATCAACCTCTGTGGCGTCTCATGGTAAGGGGGCGGCCTCATCTGCTTTTCTAGTCAAATCGACACTCGCTTTGTAGAGGCTTAAGGTTGCCTTGCTGTAGCCACGCAAAACACCCTCAATGTATCTGTTTATGTAATTCAGAAGGCTGTTAAAGCAGGGGGTAATAGAAAACTACCCTAGGCCATTAATCTTGACGGCCTAACAGATGGAATTGGACGCAGATTGGAGGAATTATGGTCTCCGATAGATCAGAAGTGATCATCTTAACTGATAACATTCTGCTCGGCGGATAAGTGCATGCGGCACTACAACTGTGCTACTGCATGACACGCATGGCTCTGGCTCCGCACGCAGTTCAAGTTATTTTAAATTATTGTTTTCCTTCGACATAGATCCTCTGTATAAGAGCATTTTTGGCTTGTTGCACGGGGGTTTGGAATTAGAATATGGGAGATCAAGTCATAAGGCTGAACGGTTGGTGGCATGGGCGCCCTATAACACACAAGTGGAAGATCAGCACAGTTCGAGAAGTCGGAAACGGGACGATCGACAGAGGTGGTAGGTATAGTACTGGAAAGCATCACAAAGAGATCTAAATCTAGAACAGAAGATTGGCTAATTCCAGGGCCACTGAAATCATAATGGTTTCGATGAGCTTCGATCACTTCCATCCTGGGTGTCTCACATGCAAGTCGAGAGTGAAGGCTTGCAGGTGTGGCAGCCTCTTCAGCAAGTTGCAGTAGGTTGAGGCGTTTGGCTGGTTTGCAGCAGCCAATCAGCGTGATCAGATGACTTCTTTATAGAGAGCTGTACTTGGAGGTCACTTGGTAGTGACTCTTAGTGACTTCCGAGGCGCTTTCCAACTTCCAATTTCGCACTACTACATCACAACATCCTCTTACATTGCGCAAGAGCCAATCCCACCCCCTGCACTTCCACTTCTCCTACATCCAGTTCTTCTAGCGCTACCTTCACTTCCGAATATGGTAGCATTGTCAACTCTATACAATACACAGTATCTCGGGCACTCCACTCATTATCATTCCCTGTTTTCTCCCTCTCATTCCCGACCCGCTACCACATGGCGTGTCAGCTTATCCTACGGAAGCTCGTATTACCCTCCGACTATTGAGTCTAGCTGTGGCCCCTAGAATCAGAATCCGTTGGCAATCCACTAACCAGATCGAGTCGGAAGATCGACGTCGCGTGAGTGAGCGTCATATCCTATTTTTCACTGCCGGGTTTCCGAGCTTCTTAGCTGACGGTGTACATGACTCGTGGTTATATTCTCCTGAGGCTCCCGGTACAAAAACCGGGAGTTGGCCGCCGCTAACCCAAGTCACGGAGGTTGTAGTTTAACGCGTGGAGACTCCGCCGGGGTCCCAGAATGGACGGGTGTTGGCGCCTTTGGCTGGCGGCCTGTGGCCTATGCTGGCCTATGCGTCTCGGGGCTCAGCGGAGTGCGTCGCATTTCCCCATCTCAATCCCCTTATCGGCTGGTAATTCCCCCCTTTCCTTTATCTTCCACGAGACCCCAGTCCTAGAATATATCTGCAGAAAAGCCCACCAACAAGAAGACTAGTACATATTCGCACCAAGTCCGATGCAGCTGTCCCCTGCTATTGCGACGGGGGAAAGATAGCAGTTGTCTAGCCACTCCACGGATAACATCAGAGACCCCGGAAGAATACGTGATCAAATCAGGAAATTGGCTAATTCGTATTCAATGGTTCAGGATCTACCTCGTATCTGTGGATGACGCTGGATTCGGGTCAGACCTAGACGGAAGCATCGCGCAATATCCGCACCGTCGACTCAGAATCTATTTCCAGGAGGCCCGGTCCACTGTGGCACAAGCGATACTCGCGTGAATTAACCGGCCCCAGGAACCACGTTTCCTTCAGAAATTGATGGACCGTGGAGTCTGGATTCATAATTGCAGAATGTCTGAGTGGGCGGGTGGGGGGGAAGCGTTTCCTACGGCTAGCGTGGACATCCTGCGACAGCGCTAACTTGCGGGCCATTCCGCTGCCAACGTGCTAGACACCTCCCCCCTCCCCCCCCTCTTGTTGTGCAATTACTGTGCATAGAAGAGGCCTCCTGATACGCCGAGCTGACCAACGACATGTGTGAAACGATGGTCGGCCTAACAGATGCCTAGAGAATTAGGGTGTGGCGAGGTATACGGGATGGGGGACATGCCAACCGTCAGACAGCCAGATGGGATCCGGGTGGGAGCGCTAAGCCCGTTAATAAGCGGAATGGCAATCAGGGTTGGTGGCCGTGGAATTATGTCCACTGGCAAAAGGACGTGTGGCTTTCTGCGGTTACATCCGAATAATGTTGAAAAAAAAAAAATAAATAAATAAATAAAAAATAAAAAATAAATCCGCTGCAATGTGATGATCAATCCGCACTAGCTGACGACCATTGCGGTTCCATGAATGGGCGGATTATATTATTTTATTTATCTTGCCTAACGCGGATGGCTTGGACTTGGTCGATCGCCGCCTGGCGTGGCGTTGCGTTCTGGATTCTCAAACGGGAGATCGAATCCAAGACATTCATCCTATCGAGGGACTATGGAGCCGAGAGGGAGGCACGCGCTCCGTGGTTGGTGGAGCAGCCTCCGCGGGCTGAAAAATATCAGGGATGCAGGGCAACTTCAGATTAAGCCATGCAGGAGCTCATACAGCCCCCCATTTGTCGAGCAATTATCTCAGCAGGAACTAGAGTTACCTTCGTTAGGCCGGGTGAATCTTATTAAATCCATCCCATGCTAATATTACGCAGACTAAGCTACAAGCTACGGTTTCGGGGGGGTTCCGCAGTCTGCAGGCCGAACGGGGGATATTCACCCCCCTCGAGTCGGGTCAGATGTACCAAAACAAAAGGATCAGGATCCTTCCATTTGCTTCCCGATCGGTCGATAGGGCAGCTTGAGCGAGCCTTGACTAATCTGGCCTATTGCTTCCCCTCAACATTCGCCCCGGATCCGAGATGGGTGGCCCGGAGGTTGTACTTATCGACGGCGTCCCCTCGGTGCCTTTCCCTCTTCTCTGGTCCTACTATTCATACTGCCTCAATACAGTTATATCTAATACAGCTTCCTCCCAAACACCACTCTTTTCCATTCTGCTTCTTCTCTGATTCATCCTCGAACCACTGTGCTGCTTGCTTTTACTGAGTGCGGCTAGTCGAGCTATGCCCGCTATGACCATTACACTGAGTGACCAGGCACATACTGTGTCTGAGACCTCATCGACGAACAATGGCATCTCAGGGACAGAATCCAAGAAGTCAGGCACTCGGAATGGCCATCCCCAGAGCAACTGCCACCAGCTGCCGCCTCCCCCATCGCAACCCACTGCGGAGGGGGAATACCGGTGCGGAATCTGCAACAAGACATACAGTCGACGTAGGCTACTCTTTTCTTATGGTTGCACAGTGTTGACACCTTTTCTCTATGACTACTGGCTCCCTTGACCATCCTCAGAGACACGGCCACTTATGCACACACATGTGGTTAACAAGATAATAGGTGATCTGCGGGACCGGCACCGTCGCCGTTGTATTAAGAACATTGGCCAGGAACGCCAGTCCAAGCGCAAATCCTGCGACGCCTGTGCGCAGAAGAAGCTGCGGTGTTCCATGACCCGGCCCTCCTGTAGCCGATGTATCCAAAGCCGACGGCCTTGCGTGTATCCGCAGTCTTCTATTCCTGTTCAAGCTCCCAATCTTGATGATGCTCAAGATAATATTGTTACGTCTTCCGGCTCCCTTCACTCAGTTTCGGTCTGCACCGGTATAATACCTGGTGGCACGACATGGGCCCTTCCCACATATCCGTTCGACACCCCGTCTACTGCCGACGAAGTAAATGATGTTTCGGGCTCCTCCTGGAGTCCCGAAACTCCAACAAATGCCGAACTTGCGTTCCAAACCGTTAACGAGAGTACTATGTTTCCCATGCAAGATGTCTCGTTGATGAACTCCCCGCCCTGGCAAGAGGATCTCCATGAACGGCCCGAAACCCTTGGGCTGGAGGAGTTCTTTTCCGGGTCGCTTGACAGTTGTTCGCCAGCTATGTATATACCACCGACGATGGGGTCCTCTCCAGTGACCATGGTGCCTCCTACCCCGGCTACTCTCCCGGGTGACTCTTATGCTACGGGAGGCGGACTGAATATGTCATCGGTATCTCCTGGCTATTTCGATAATTTCTGGCCCGATAACATGGCGTCCACCGATGAAGACCACGAAACTTGGCGATTCAGCACGTACACAGATAGCCGGTCCGGATCGGGGTTCGGCCAAAACTTCCTGCCCAAAACAAGTCATCATAGTCCGGGTGACACCGGTGATCTCTATCAAGAGCTGTTCAGCTTGTTACGTGAGTACCCTGGGCTGGCTCTGCAGAGACAGTTCTACTCGCCTTTCCTACACCACGAGCTACAAGGGTATGCGATGCAATCGTTGGGCCAGCCAATTAGCACTACTCTGAGTTCGATATCATCCTATGCTAGTTATCTGGAGGCTTGTGATACATTTGATTTGTCAATGCACGATGGGGAGCGGCTCGCAGCAGCAGAAGGCTGCGTGGTAGCGCTTCATGCTGTCTGTGTTCAACAGATCCTGAGCATTTTCGGCGATAACTTCGCCACCACCGGCTTCAGCAAGCTCCCAAACTTTGCAGGCGATCAAGGGCACACCGAGACTCCTGTTGACATTCTCTTGAGGGTATGTTCCCCCCCACTCCGATTGCCCTACGCCCCACCCTATGATTTGAGCTGAACTGAGTGGCCCTAGATGACGCAGCGGGTCTACAAACTTCATGAGGACGTTCTTCGCACCCCCCATGAAGATGAAACGGATTGGCGCCGATGGAAATTCGCCGAATCCCTGCGACGTAATATTTTCTTCGCCAATATAATCCGAACATTAGCAGGACGGGCCCGCCGTTACAACGGGATCAACATTGACCCGCTAGATAGCGCGATCCTTCTTCAGCTGCCGTTGCCGGCGCCGGAGGAAATGTGGCGAGCACGCAGCGAGGGGGAGTGGATGATAGCCCGCGCACAGACGCAGCGGTCGTGGGCGCGGGGCGTGGATGGCAGCATGCTGCCAGCCCTGCGGACCCTACAACAACTGCTGGTGCTGGAAGAGGTTGGCAGTGTAAGTGTTACGTTATTGCTTCCCATCACACGCATGATTCTGGCGTGTGCCAAGCTCAATGGAGCTTCATATGGCTGAGGTGGACCGGTGGGCCCCGCGATAGGGCGATTATGATCGTCACGGATGAATTTCTTTTTGCATGATTTTCTTGTTTCCAAAATACCCTGTTCTTCTCACGAAGACTACGATCATCGTGGGATGTATTAGTTTTGTATCCGCTAGAGAGTAGACTAGATCCTGATTGCAAGGCTTTATGATTATGATTCTCAGTGTTCTTTCTTGTTCTGTTGTTGAACCCGTCCCGAAATCGGAACCCAATTCCGTGGGGGATCTCGACATTGATAGATCGCATCACGTCTTTAGCCGTCGCCGGATTTTGACGATAGCCCCATTGTGGCCAAACTAACGGTGACTGCAGAGCCCGTGCCGACATGCACGGATCAAAAAGGGATAGATTGAAATCAGCCAAACAAAAAAAAAAAAAAAATAAATAAAAAAAAAATCACAATCCAGGGCTGCTGCTGGGCGCATGTATGAGTGAGAACTGGACCTGGGGCTGGGCTTGGCTGGCTGAGACGCCAAAATCCGGACACACGGCGATGCCGAGGCCTCGACTCACGACGAACATGCAGGCCGTCAGGCAGGCAGGCAGACAGGCTGGAAGACGAGGAATCGCGACCGGACGGCGAACAGGGTCCAGGCAGGTTAGTGAGGATAGGTTCAGCGAGCCGATACGGTACCTCGTTAGTGCTCCTTAGTTCTGACCAGCTTGCTAGCCTTCCCGCGGATGGTAACCTCCGGCGGGGGTCCGGCATCCACCCGTGGGATTTACTTGGGGGTTTTTTTGTACCTCTCGTGTCGATCGCAGCTATCTCCTCCGAGGTTCGTGACCAATCGTTTGTATGCAGGAGATGCAGTAGTGTCGACGGGCTAGGACGAGTTGGTTAACATCTCCTGGGTGGTGGATTGGTCTCGCCGAGTAGTAAGTAGTATCTAGTAGTAGTAAGTATCTTTCTAGTACTAGCCGTTGTTTTCATACTAACGAGTTGTTGGCGATGAGGATAGGAGTGGGGGAGGGGATTATCCCACTGTGTGCTATTTTTTTTTATTTTCTCTTGTTCATCGCCAAGTACCACCTTGATGGTGTACACCATCGCAACAGCTATAATGATGTTCTTTTGGGGGTGGTTATTTCCACAACCCCCACTCATACGCATACACCCATCAATCTATTCACTAAATCAACAGCCGCGCAAAAAAGAGGATAGAAGACAATAATCAAAGACAGAAGAGGGGTAGAAAGGATGAAACCTAATCTCGATAAGCGCCGCCAAGCCCTGCAGGTCAATCTAACTTGCCCTCCTCCGTCAGTCTTTTATCCCGACCAAGAAAGGAAAAGCAGCAAAGCGAAGGCGAATCCGGCCCCCTCCGTGCCTCGCTCCTCCAAGATGGGAATATGCTGCGCTTGGCTGCGAGTTTGCCGATATTACACTGACCTTTCCACCCCCGCCGCTCGTCTCCTGTGCCGAGTACTTGGCTATACGCTGAGTGACCATTGTTTGATGGTGTGCTGCCGTGCTGGGTGCTTTTCTTGGGTTACAGAGAGGGAAGTCTTGGGAGAGGTCTTGGTGAAGAGGAGATGGTCTGGGCATAGTCCGTCCACTAGGTAAGTAGAGGATTACTATAAGATCGCTAAGTTAAGAGTGGAGCATGTGTATACGTATGTATTCCTCTTTTGAATGCTGATGCCAAGACGTTGGCAGGAGAGGAGACAGACAAAGGAGGGGGGGAGGAGGAGGAGGAGGAGGAGGGGAGGGTGTGTTTCGCCCCTTAGGCACTGACAGACTACACTTGGCTTTTAATCTATATTATCTTCACTACTTGGTGAGATACTACTTCCTGTTTATGCAGTTGGGTCTCGGCGAAGTGGGGTGGGGATGAATGATACTAGCACTAGGCAGTAGGATCCAGTTCTCGTCACTGCTCTCTCTCTCTCCCACCCACTCAGCTTATGGACTGCTAGCTAACACTTTGCCCAGAATCATTTCTACCTATTTGGATCGGATTCGGGAGTCTCGGGACTCCGGTGGTTAACCAGATGATGGTGACGACTAACGATGGTCACGACGATGATCATATCCCAGTTAGAAGAGACGGTTTGACGAGACCCAGTCCAACCGATCCAACCGAACTGAAATGCAATGAACCCTCACTGAACCGGGAATGATCATATGCCGATGAAACAATGATCGCTGATGCCAAGCTCTTCTGCAGTGGAAAAGGGAGATCCACGCGGACGGAGGATTATGCAGTGCCAGTTACTAGTAGTTAGTCCTACCTACCAAACTTGCACCGTAAGTAGTAGGACTACTACTAGTAGGATGGATATAATTTCTCCGTCTTGGTGAACTTTCTGCGCCTGCAGTCTGCAGTACATCCTTCATTTACTCTTTCCTTCGCTAGTTGTTACTATCGCTATCTCGCCTAAATTTCCTGCACCCATCTTATCAAATCAATTACCATCATCTGTCTGCATGCATCTAATAAATTAATCCCGTGTCTGGGTTTTATCTATCAGTTGCTTATATGCCGAGAAAAATAAATGGCAAACAGACAAGGTCCGCGGAGCTAGGCATTCATCATCTGGGTCAACTAGTACGAGGTAGGGAAGTGAATGGAGGACTATGACTAGGTAGGTACCCTTGGGGAATAATTGACTCTACTATTGTCATGCCATTGTCTTTCCTTAGGCTTTATGTATAATCTGTCTCATTAATTGACTACTACGGAACCGATGCCTCGATCTGTAATGTGCAGAACGAGGCTGGCAAGTCAGCGAGGATAGAATAAGCCGCGTGTTAAGCCAAGCCGGTAAAGAGACCGGCAAGGAGCGGGCCGGGATGAGTGAGACATTCTCTGAAGAAGAGGAATAGCGAGAGGGGGGAATTGTCGGAGGAATCGAGGATTTTCCTCGTGTATAGCATGATCTTCTTTCACTCTTGCTGGAGCCTGGCCCACACGGAAAGGAAGAAAAAGAGGGAAAAAAAGAAAAGAAAAAAATAATAAAAAAGGCCAACGTACCGAGTATCATAAGAGTCCTCACTAATGTCATGCGCTTTGATGGATCTTGTTAGATAATTTCATTGTTTATCATGAGTAAGAGGATGAAGGAAGAGTAAGACGAATAAACTTTTGGATGTCTCTCACGAGGTAGATTAATTGGGGGTCTACGTTATCGGGGATTGGGATTGTTGATCTTCATGTGGTTGGACCCTGTTTCATTCCTTCTATTTCTGCTTCTGCTCTTTGTAATTACATTCTTAACGTATACTACTACTCTAGCTCACACAGACAACAACATCCGTATAGTACTTCCTCCCCATCCACCTCATCAAAGGAGCAGGATCTCACCAAAAGGATCTAATCACGCACGATCAAAAATAACAGTCCACCCTCCCTCTTCTTCTGCAACTACCAAAAGTCCTGCATAACTTATACCCCCATCCATCATCATAACCCATCACAAACCCCCACCCGTACCAAAAGCACTGGGAGGATCCGATATTATCCTAACGAGCCATGGATATGAATCCTGTCGGCTCCAACTTCTCCCGAGGGTAAGAAATCCAGCCTTGTCGTCAGAGAGCCCAAAACAAAGTACGCAACCCTCGTCTATATCTGATCCAATTATTTAAACTTTTCGTTTCTCATTTGACATTTTTCAATATAGCAAACAATATAGCCACTAGGCTAGACTCCGGAGTGTGGGAACGGAGTCGGAATCGGAAGGATATGGTCATCTTCACATACTTTTGTTACTGGATTACTAGATCTTCGGGGGATATTCCGCGCTTAGGTTACCGTGTGGGTGCCTTCAAGGCTCAGAAATAATCTTTTGATTGCTGATCAAGACGTTTCCAGTGGAAGTGCTTACCTAATTACGTTGCATCTAGCGTAACGTCTTCAGCATGTCTCCATTCTGGACACTTATTTGTCGCATAGGTGAGGCTATACTACTCGTAAGTAGTAGGGATGAGTATATCTGCACCTGCGATTATTTACCTGAAAGAGCAAGCGCCAGCCATGGATATTTATTACTGGTCAATACAGTCTATCTGCCACTCACAGGGCGGGAAACAACAAGGCTGCATTTTCCTGGTGTGGTAAAATCAATCCACCCGACCATTTACTACGAAGATCTTCCCAACGTTGCCGATGATTACCTCGAAGGTGCATCCTTCCCACACCATAAACCTTCCCATGTCTGCCCAGAAAGCTTCTATAATCTTTTTGTCCAATACAAACTCGATGAAACCGGAAGAAAAGAGGGGTGGCGGCCAATGGACAGGGACAAGAACCAGATACGTGCCGTGTCTAGCTAGTGATGATACCATCTGCGGCTACCACTCGTTTTGTGACCTCCCTTGGCTTTACTGTGGGCGCTTGTCGCCACTTGTTACTCATTGCCAATGGAGAGTTTAGGACGGCAGTGCTACTTGCTACGAGTGTGTGAGGGACAACCGCGGATATGACTCTCTCGGAAAGATAAGTAACTCACTGAGTTTGATGGAGAAAAGGATAGTTGATCCATTTGACCGAAACACTCCCAGAGGCGTTGAAGTAATCATCGAAGGAAAGGCAATGCTATTCATTGGTACGTTCATCTCTCTTTTCTACATCCTTATCACACTGTATGACAGTACATTCGCCTCGTGAACTAACTCCCCAGATTAATCAAGAAAGATACGGACGAAATCACCCAACATGTGATAATCCCCTTCATACACCATCCCTCACCACAACAATTCTGAGTCCTCCTTCAAACACACATTATACTACCCCGGAATGCCGTCCTCGTCATTCCAATTTGCTCTATCCTCAAATGCTACTAAAGTGCATCCAGACAACACTCCCAACCCGGTCATTACGCCACTATCGTCCTCAGTGGCGCTCCAAGAGGGATAACGCTGATAAGCAAACTCATTAACAACTATCGTTGTTCATGCCTGCATGCAACATTATCCAGCTGCGTCCCCGAGGTGGACTCAATGCCGAAGTATGGATATCAGGTATAATCCATGAACCTTCGATGCAGGAAAGACCACTGTCCAATCCTTTTTGCCTTCTTGGACAGAAAGAATATTGGGTATAAGTTACAATTCGTGTCTAGTCCTTGAATATCTAGTGGCAATGTGACTTTTCATCTCTCGGATATTATATGATATTTCAACGTCCTATTGTTGACAGAAGCTAGAGCAGTTGGTTTTCAATCAGTAGAACAGCGAACATATACTTCCAGCCCACTTGTGAACCAGCTGCCCCAAGCAAACACGCAGAACGCTCGCCGAAAGGCTACTTGTTCCCTGAATGCAGTCGTTTGTTATACACCTTGCAATATGCACCCATCTCGTTTGCCCCTTAACAAAGGGAGAGTCTGCCCACCCTGCAGAGCCTGGCAAAATTAGATCCTTATGTTTCTCCCAGATCTTATGATATGGCAGAACCATAGTAATAACAACGACCTTGTTATGTCGGCTTGCCGATGCAACTGAGCGTTTGCTACTTCATATAGAGCGCCCTAGTTAGTAGTATCCGGGTCGAAGTAGGACTGGAAGGCTGTCCACATTTTTCTTGTCAAGTGTAACACGGTCGTGTTATGGGTAAAGTAGAATGTGACATTCCAACAAGACTATCTTGCTTAACGCTTGACCATCGTACATTGTGCAAGCAACTCCTTCGCATTCTCCATCCTCGCATCCATAAAATCATATGCATCTGTGCAACCGCTGCACTTGCTACCAGATTTCCTGTCCCTAGCGGGACAGCTTCTCTCAATGCCATAGAGGTAATTTTGCACGAGGTACCTCTGCAAACATAGTGTAAGCGTATATATACCTGCAATTGGCAGTACAACCACATGCTGAGCATGGGTAAGTTCGTGAATTAGGCCAATGGGTAGGTTGAGTGATATTGCATCGAGGCTTAGTACCACTGGGAACAATGGGCTTCCTCCTTGTGAGAGTGTCAGATAGTATATCCCAGCCTTCGGGAACAAGAAAGATCGGTATTCTGCTGAAAGAGACCCGAAATTCCAATTGCATTCTAATCCGATGATTTTAATCGACATGTAAGTTGCCGTGAATCTTTCATTGGTATATAGTGTTGTTCGGGATATCCACGGAGATTGGTCGGTTTTTCTCAGGGTTAGTACACCCATATCCGTTCTTTGTTATTTCTCCCTCTTGATCAACATCATAATCAGAATACCCTTGCATAACCCCATAGCTGGCGACGATTTGTTTTCGCTTTCAGTCTTTCTCCCTTCTTGTGGTATTCCCGCTGCTTTTCTTGCATCGTGCCAGCTGCAGATGGTCTTTCGGGTTCATTTCTGGACATCATTCATGCTCCTCAATTAGCGGTAGGTTTTTTGTTTTGGTTATAGCCGGAAGTTCATGTGTGTATTGGTCGATTGTCTCTCTCTCCTTGGTAGATATGCCAATAATATGTCCGGTGTGTCATGCTTAGTCTTTCGTTCGTGGTCAAGAAGACGGTTCCATCTGGGAAACAACAAGTCAATTTGCGAAGGTGAGCCTGTCAAGCGACGCGCAAGCATAGACAACGAGACAGTAGGCGACGCCGCACATGCGTAGCATGAAAAGTCTCTCTATGCCAAGGAGCGAACGACTAATTGAGACCAGCGATAGGCCTTTCCAGGAGCTGCTCGAGGCAGACTGATATAGTCCTTTTCGAGAAGCCCTGGCAGATTGGCCACTCTTATATATAGGATTACCAGTGCCCTTCGACGGTACTCGGTAAATCATGAGAAAGCATAGCATGGCCGCCACTTTTGCATGAAATCAATGTAACATGACCTGAACTTCACGACCGTAGAGCTGGGAAGCGGCATCGTGCGTGGATCTCATGTACAAGTATCTCCGCATAGCGCGCGAGATAACCTCGATGAAGGTTAGGCTTGTGAATTGCATGCATGTAAAAGGGAACCATCACCCTGATGGCTAGATAGACGCAGTATAGCCTTCTGTCCCTCTATGTTGAGAATTCGATAACTGTGATTGATGAGGAACCACCTCAAAGGTGGATGTCCGTATAGTATATATCTTGTAAAGCTGGCTATCTCTTGCAGAGACAACGAAGTAGGTACATGTGATGATCGTACCCTCCGTGGACTCTGAATGGCCCTTCCCATAGTCTTGTCGCCCATTGTAAGTGGAAATGCTCACATGTCTGGAGACTTTCAAATTGTTCGTGCGACGGTAAGATGTGCTTGCTGTATGCTGTGTCTCATGACATGTAGACCGCCATGATCTGTCCATTCACAATGTGTCATCAACAGGCCCCAGTCGCGCTCTGAAAGACTTTCAGCTCCACCAAGCTGTATCTAACATCATAAAACCCTGGGTAAGACGCAGCCTGTCGGATACTCCTGTGGAGAGTAGGTAGATCCAGTTAACAGGTAAGTGGCAGCCAAAGAGTCTCAGATGGCGATTGCAACATGATGTTCAATCCAGATGTGTCAGATCAAGGCGGTTCATTTTTGATAATGTTCTTCGGCTTTGCTGTTCATTTCTGTCTCCATTTACCTGCGCCCAGATGTTCACATTGTCTAGGCCAAGAACCTGTGTGCCATGATCCCAGTAACATGGCAATTATCTTGTAAAAGTCGTATATGGCCATAGTTTCCTTCCACTTATCCAGACCGGAATCGTAAGCGTAGCTTTATCTGATGTACGAAATTTCCTCTTCATATACAGTGTCATACTCAGTCATGTGTATGTTGACCCTTCATCTGATAGAAGATAGTGGAACTGACGGGACCACATCTCCCACTGATCCGGTAAACATCACGATTGATTCTGCACGCTGTGTGGCTTTTGCTCGACCTGTTATATACACCGACCGATGGGTTGATAGGCATGATCGATCGCGGCGAATGGCGCGGGATTGTGGTGTAGGCTTTCGAGAACCACAAGGAATGCGCGATTCTTCTAGCCACATGGGCGTAGGATATCTGGAGTATCTCTTGAGCTGATATCGAACCATCTTAGTTCCACTGAGGTAGTACTGCAAACCCGAGTGACAGAGTTGTCGAATTAGTGCCCATTCCTTCTCTCATATGTCCAAGCACTCTCTCATTGTACATCTCGACATCCGTAACCAGACACCCGGTTACGGATGTCATTGACGCTCCACAGATTGTGCCAATAGGGACCTGACATTAAGATAGGACGTTCCTGTTTGACCGAGAGCATAGTATCTATACAACATGCCATATTTCGCTGTAAAGGGTGAAGGTGATAGCTTCGTCAATGAGTCTCGGGGGTAGCTCCGTCCCATCGATATATCGTTCTGATAAATGTGAAATGATGCACGCCATTCTGGATCTAAACCAACGGTTTCTATCCTCGGCGCAATATATATAGAAGTACGAGTTTCTTCCTTTTGGTTGTTCTCTTCCGATGGACTCCCAGCTCCACAGGAGTACTTGTAGTATTCAGCAACCCAGACCACGCACACGGGCTACCAGGATTTCATCATGGTTCCACAGAACATCCCATAAGGCCGTGGTTTAATTTGACAATGTCTGAGTTCTTTCATGCTTTGTCTCCATTGTCGGATTGGTATTGTTCGGCGTCGAGCCATTATTCGTCATTTGCGATGTGCTTATGTTCTTCGACCGTTCGACTGGATTGAAGTTTAAACTTGCCCCCTATGCCAAAGATCCATTGGAGATTTTCAGCTGCGTGGTATATGCTTGAGCCGAACATATATTGTCTCCGAATCTTCGGCTAGGAATATAATAAAACGGTAACAGCCGCGACAAGCACGGTATCTGGGAGTTTCCGAAGCCTAGAGGCCCGCCCTTGTCTGGTTTTCCGGGAATATGATGCGCTGCAGGTGCATATACTATATGACACTTCGTGTTAGTAACCTCCTAAAAATCAATTAGATATCAGGAGTATCTGGCCAACTCACCAGCATGCAGGCATGTTACAGCAGAGCCCGGAGACATCCCACTTCCCCAATCGACAACCTCCATCACCACCACCACAGGGAAGAGGAAGGCAATATCACTCTACCCATAGATGACATATTCAATTACCAGAATACGTAGTTTCGTCTCCGAGCTTAAATTCTGGCTGTGACGTAGAGAAAGGCTATACTTGCATCCTCTAACCCTAGTCCAGTGGCTAGGCAATTATGGCGAGAATTCTGGGCAGGTTTTCTTGCGGAGACATTTCCATAGGGCACGCAAAGAAAGATATATAATGGATGTGTCAAGTCATGATGCCCTTGAGTGGGATTTTGTGCGTGATTGTCTCTTATATATAGGAAATGGGATGATGGAGAGAAGAGCAGAGAGATGGGGATGGATGTGGGAGGAAGGTCGGGTTTATATAAGGGCTATTTCTACGGGGGTGAATTAGTTGAGTAAATCAATGTGCGAGCAAGATGTTAATTATCTGTGGTTGAATATCACAGTTGAATTGGTGGCTTGGCGGAATGGAATGGAAGGATTCAGGGGTGAATCTGCCAAGTCAGTGGATGCACTAGCGAGATGGATCATTAGGCTTCATCGTTTCATGGCTCGGCATCTATATTAGTTCTTTCGTTGTTGGCGATAAAGGCGGGAAGCATTCACAGACAGTCATTGTTGCATGAATAGGAATTCATTAGAAAAGGAAATATTAAAGAGTGTAGTCTATCGCTAAACCATAGTTCGGGCGAAGTCATTAACCGAACACCATACAGCCAGAAAAACACAAAGCCGCCCACCCAGGGTATACAATCATTAATGAAAACTGCCATGATGGTGGCTTTCATGACTATCACCATCGGCCACCATCTCTATCGTCTGTGACACGTCCACCGTCTTGTGAATGCCTCCACCGTCATTACCACCTGCCATATCGACCGTCCCTGCAAATGTAATCAGATGTGACTGGTCGGAGGCGGACTCGGTGCCATCGGCGCGACGGGAATTACCGAGGGAGAATCGCTTGTTGCTTCCTTTGAGTTTGCTAAGGTTGACAGAGGACTCCGGTTCGTAATAGCGTTGAGAGCTGTACTCCTTCTTGCGGAGTTTGTTGATGAGGATGTTGACCGTGGGCAGACAAGCGCAGATCATGGCCACGCCTCCTTCGGCGTTTCTAGTTGGGGTGGTTAGTCTGTGACGTTGATTATTCCCAAACAACAACTTACCCTGACAGAATCACGATCATAAAGACAATAGTCTGGTCTCTGGAACTACCGTCACGCAAGACCAGAACCAACCGGTACAAACTGAAGGCCGTGGCCAGACCACCCGCAGACAACATGCCGATGACCCGCAACTTCTTATTCCGGGACATCTGCAGCGACCAGGTGAGGGGAAGAGGTAAAATCAAGATGATAAAGTCGGTCACCACACTGATGACAGAGTCGGCGATCAGGGCGGCCCGTTGATTGAGACAACGTGCCTTTGGATCCTGCGTCCAGTATGCCGGAACCGGGTCGCACATGCGAATCTTGACGATCTCGGCGACAATGTAGTATATGCAGAGACAGCCAAGAAGGCCGTAGATGAAGTAAATTTTGGAACGGTAAGGATTGAAGATGCGAATGAGGATAGAAAGGAGTGCGATCTTGACGAAGAGTGCCATGGGGCAGTAAAGAACGGTGGCGATGTAACAGAACTGGTTTGATCCTCAATTAGCTGATGCTACTTATCTCCCTTCTGGTAACTGAGCTTTCATACCTTGCGAAAGAGAACCTGGTGTGCTTCAGAGACATCATCGATGTGGTAACCCCCGCCATAGTGACCCACTAGAGTCAAGTTAGTTGGAGCTGCTGGAGAGGTAAAAGCGATACATACCGGCAATGGCAATGCCACAGTATCCCATAAACAGAACCTGCAATAGTCAGTAAATCGCCCTATGAAGGGACCTGCAGTCTCAAACGCACCCATGCTGTAAGACATGACCCTGGGAGAGTTAGCAGTGTTTTCTAGAAGAGAAGTCAAGCAGACATACAGTCTTCCACGCCTACGAACTGTTTGTAGTAAATACGGATAGAGAAACGCAAGAGAACGAAGATAGTAATGATCGGTATACACAAACATTGTGTGACGAAATTGATGGTGTTCAAAACATCTTTGGGATGACTGACAGTCATGGCGTGCCAGTGGTCAATGCAGCCTCTTCAAGCAGGAAGAAACAACATGGAGCAAGACACTGACCCCGACGACCGTGGGGAGTCCACAAACATTTATAAATAGGTTCAAGTTAGAGGCGCTTGGTCTGTCAATGCGCACAGTGTCGTCGCCCGGGGTCAAGCTGGCGCTGCGCCGTCTATGATAGGCCCATGAAGTCGCCTAGAGAGGCTCTCAACTTTGGGTCGGAAGCTGGGAGTAACAATCCGAGAAATGACTTCAATGGCACTGGGTCACGATCGTCCCGCCCAGGTGTAGATAGAAAAACCTTAAAGGGATACAGCAACTCCCCGATGCAGTCGGACTGGGAGGCGACCATGGAGTATCCGAGCGGATCGATCGTGATAGGCCCCAGAGGTCATAACGTCTACCTGTTTTGGGAGATGATGGACAGGGAGAAGCAAAGATGCACCTTGCATTGGATCGGCGTGGCTGCTTGCCACTGGGGCGTCGCACGCGATCGTGGTCTAGTCTAGATATGTAGTATCGTGCCAAATACACTCGGTGGTGTTGCGGCGGCGGCGTCCGTGGACCATGGTTCTGAAAAATTGACACCCGTAGGCGGATCCCAGTAGCTAAGAGTGTCTCATTTCGACGCCGAAACTGGGGTTCGACGGGGGTGTCCATCTGCAATGCCAATATTTTTTCATAATTACTATTGGATAATTGATTCTCAAATCCCTCCTCCCCTCCGGGCTAGCCGCGGAGACATGGCTGCAGGGCGTCGGAAATATCTCGAACGAACAATGGAGATAACCAGGAGTAAAAACCATCGCCGATTATTGCTTCCTCCCCGGGCGCTCGTTCCAATAGCTCCTCGCACTACCTATGCATTAGATCCTGGCTGCATATAGGCTGTGGCGACCACGCACTATCTGTCATGGTGCTGCAGAACCACCCGCCAAGGACCCGAGTGAGGGATTAGTGATCGCCGTGTCCGAGCCAAACCACAATAGGGTATTCGGCATAAAGGAGAACGCTGGAATGTGGGTTGGGAAGCAGCGTCTGTGAAAAGCCTGTGATGCCGCGGGCTCCGGCAAACTGTCATGGAGCCAGTCAACCCTGGCAGAATGGATCCCCTTAATTCACAAGCTTGACCGGCTCGTCGTTGGCCTTGACGGGGGTTGTTCTTCCGGTAGACCGACTTGCGAGACCGACCCGTTGTTTAGCGTGTGCCCTAAAAGTCTCTAAAGTCTCTAACGTAAACGCCAAGCGCCGCGATGAAGAATTTTGACTTTCGCTTGCTGTGTGTCGAGTGGAGCGTCGGATGGCTTCCATCCCTATTATTTCCTGGCCGATATGATGGCTCACATTGACCTCGCATTGTTCCCCTCCCCCGTGTGATCTGAGAAGAAGAAATTGCCCCCAGGTTGTTGTTACCTTTGACGAAGGTGGCTGCTATTGAAACTCTCCTGAGCTTCTAGAAGACGCCTTCCCTGCGCCCGATCAGCAAGGCTGCAGAAAGGCTTGAAACCCACGCGGTTTGCCACGCGCTGCATGTGTACAAGGGGTCAGTTCAACAGGGAAAAAGGAAGCCCGAGGTAACCGATGACTAAACTGGAGTTGGGTGCAATCTGTGGTTCTGTGTAGGCTTCGTGGATACACCTCCACTTCCCAAGGTTCAGCCCGTCCCTCCCATCCAATTTCTCGTGTCCTCGACACTCTGGTTGGGTTCCAGCAACCTGTCAGGCTCCATCTGTCACCCTCATTTGGCAATGGGTCTGCTGCTCTCCGTTCCAGTCCACTGAGAAGAGGGAGGAGGCAATGAAGCGAGCAATAGTGAGAAGTAGCCCTCCTGGTGAACACCGGTTTGCTGTCGCACCACGGCCCGTGTCAAGCCAGAAAGTTCCTCCTCCATTGTCCACTTGTGGCTCCCTCGTTTGTCTTTACCTTCCCAGGTAGCTTTCCCATAAATTGCACCTTTACGAGAATCCTCACAATGACCATTGTCCAGGCCCAAGGAGCGGATTCTAAGCTCTTTCAGCCGCTTGCCATTGCCAATGGCAAGCTCACTCTGAGCCACCGGGTGGTACACGCCCCCCTGACGCGCAACCGGGGCGAACCGTTGAACTCAAACAGTACTCCCGAGAATCCCAATCGGATTTGGTACCCTGGGGATCTGGTTGTCGAATATTATCGTCAACGGGCAACCCCTGGCGGGCTGATTATCTCGGAAGGCATCCCTCCATCGCTGGAGGTAAATACTCCCCAAATATTAGCTCCAATGGGTCATTCGTCTGTTCTTTAACACCAAAGCAGAGCAATGGAATGCCAGGAGTCTCCGGTCTCTTCACGGAAGAGCAGGCCGCCGGATGGAAGCGTGTCGTCGATACAGTACACGCCCAAGGAGGCTACATCTACTGTCAGCTCTGGCACGCCGGCCGTGCTACAGTGCCCCAGATGACCGGCTACCCTCCCGTCTCAGCCTCCGCCAGCGTCTGGGACGACCCCGAAGAGCGCTACACCCATCCTGCTGTGGGAGACTCGGAGCCCGTTCGCTACTCAGACCACCCGCCGATTGAATTGACGGTCGCGCACATCAAGCAAACCATCCAGGACTATTGTAAAGCCGCCAAGACTGCCATGGATATTGGCTTCGACGGCGTTGAACTACATTCCGGTAACGGATACCTTCCGGAGCAGTTCTTGAGCTCAAATATCAACCGACGGACGGACGACTATGGTGGCACCCCCGAGAAGCGCTGCCGGTTCGTGCTGGAGTTGATGGACGAACTGGCTCAGACGGTTGGCCAGGAGAATCTGGCGATCCGACTCACGCCGTTTGGACTGTACAACCAAGCGCGTGGTGAACAGCGCGTGGAGACCTGGACGTATCTGTGCGAGTCGCTGAAACAGGCGCACCCGCATCTGTCCTACGTCAGCTTTGTAGAGCCCGTAAGCATAAGATTTATAACCGGCTGAATCCCACTTACTAATGTGTCCAGCGCTACGAGCAAATTCACAGTTACGAAGAAAAGGATGCCTTCCTCCGCAGCTGGGGCCTTTCGAGTGTCGACCTCTCCTCCTTCCGCAAGATCTTCGGCTCCACTCCCTTCTTTTCGGCTGGCGGCTGGGACCAGACCAACTCCTGGGGTGTCCTGGAGGCTGGCAAGTACGATGCTTTGCTATATGGGCGATACTTCACGAGCAACCCGGACTTGGTGGAAAGGCTGCGCAAGGGCATTCCCTTTGCGCCTTATGATCGCACCCGATTCTATGGACCCTTTGAGGATAGCGCATTCCACTATGTGGACTACGAGCCTGCTCCGCAGAACTCGACCGGACAGGAGTCCGTAGAGGTCTCGGTCCGACTATGATTGATGATTTGTATATGCACATAATTGCGATGCTTGTTTAGCTTGATGAATTTAGTTTGCACTTGGCCCATCCGTCAAGAGGGCCGATCTACGTCGGTATTAATTCAGTGCTGTACGCAGGTAGATCAAGAAGCCTCAGAGCTCAAGGCGCTCAAGCCGTGTAACCGCCATCCACGACCAAGGCGGAGCCTACCATGTAGCTGCTCATCGGGGAGGCCAGAAACAGGACTGCATCGGCGATCTCCTCCGGTTGTGCCCTACGGCCAATGGCGACTCGCTGTGAATCTGGCTCCATGTATCCCGCATCCCAATATGTGCGGATCATATCGGTGTCCGTGTATCTGGGTCGTTAGCTAACTAGTGGATCTTATGCTGACCAACGGGTCACCTACCCAGGACAGATAGCGTTGATGCGTATCTCCTGTTGAATATACGCTTTGGCATCCTAATCCGGCTTAGTCTCGCAGTCTGGGGGAATCATCATGAACAACAGACCATTTTTGAGAAAGCAACCACAGCTGCAACCATTAGCCATCTAGGTACATTCATCCACCAATCCGAGGCATCCACTTACCATGCTTGGAGGCTGTATATGCCGACAGTCCTGACCAACCTCCTGGAGCCACTACCCCAAACATAGAAGCCACATTCACGATCGTCCCCCGACCGAGACGCAAACCGCGCGATCTGCAATACGCTTAGCCGGCTATCTTCCCCTCAAGTGGACCAGTGAAACATACTCCTGTGTCAGCATCTGGCGTATCACTGCCTTTTGGCAGAGCAGCACCCCGGTCTGGTTAATATCGATCACCCTCTGCCATTCTGCTGCCGTCAGCTCATGGGTCGCGGACGGCTGCCCCACAATTCCGGCGCAGTGAACCGAGATATCGATACGGCCGAATCGCTCGACAGTGCGACGCACGGCTTCATCCACGCAGGCCTCCTTGGAGACGTCTCCAACCGTGAGTTCCACTGCAACTTGGGGATGTGAGGTAGCGAGCTCGTCTTTAGTGCGTTGGAGGAGTGACTCGTTTACATCCAGAAGAGATACTGCTTCGATTCCATTTTGAGCAAGCGCGAAGGCGGTGGTCTTGCCAATGCCTGAAGCCTCTGAGCACATTTTCCCGATCGGGCTAGGTCATTATACTATTTGAGGAAACTTTTACTTACCATTTCCACCCCCGGTGATAAACGCCGTTCCTGATACTTTGCAGGCCATGATGGATGTTTGCGGTATTTAATACTCCCTATTAAATGAGATGTGAAAGGAGTTAGGATTCGTTTGGCGCTGGTGAGTGCTGGACGACCATATAACTAGCCTTCGCCCCTGTCAGTATTCGAGCGGGGTCAAGGCATTGTCTGTCTGGCTGGCTGCCTCGGTTATTCAGGATCCAGGCCAATGGACCAGCACTAGTATTATTATTTATGGCATGGGTATGTCAAGTCTCTGCATTGTACCTTTATTTTGGTGTATTCACATCTCTACATGCTGTTGGCTGTAGTCTCTCTCGTCGATGAAGCGCTATTTGCTACTAGTATGACTACTAGTATTTTTCGCCTCATTAGCTTCCCATTTGACCGGCTATGACTTTGCGGGGAAACTGCCTGAGCATGTTAGCTTATGCATCTCTTGAATATGATCATCTTTCTTCACGCAAACTTACCGATTTGCTTAGATGTACACAGGACTGCTTACACAAAAGGTCCGAGAACAGTAAAGCCCATTGTTTCAGCAAGTCAGATCAAGTGCACGAGAGGCTATGCCAGCAGATCATTAATAAGGAAACGCAAATTGTATTCCATGCATACATCATAACTCATAAAATGATTTATAAACAATCCATATCCAAAGCCAATCAACAAAATATACCCAACAAAAACAATACAGGTATCAAGTCACTTAGAAGCATATCCAACGAACAACTAAATAAACAAGTACAACACCTATAAGCCCCTAACCAACATTAGCACTTCCATCCATACATAAAGACCCTTATTCAATGGACAATAAACTTACATCAAACCCAAGACAATCCTAACTAAACCACCTCCGATCCCGGATGCTGCTGCTGCACCGGATAAACCACCGGCTCCGGCTTCTTCATCATCGATTCCGAGTATCCATACTCTCCTTCGTTCATCGCCACAGGCTGCTGCCCCACAGCATAAGCATGATTATAGTAAGGCGGGGCCGGCGTGCCCGGCTGTTGCTGTTGTTGTTGCGGTTGCATCTGTGTATGTGGATACATGTACTGCTGCTGGAACTGTTGCCGGTAGTATTGGGCACGGAGATTATCTTCGCGGCGTTCGCGCTTGCGGTCGCGACGATGCTTGATGAGGAAGTAGATGCAGACGCAGATGAAGATAATGACGAGGATGGGGATAATGATGATCTTTCCAATTATCTTGCCGATACTCATTTTTGGGAGATTGGTATGGAGCTAGTTGAGGTGGAAATGGAGGAGATGGGGCGATGGTATGGAACTGTGATGGGAATTGTCTGTGCGGGGAGATATAATAGCAGAGAAAGGCTGGTATGGAGGTAGTTAAATGACAGTAGACAGTATGAGATTTTCAATAGATAGATGGATGGATAGATATTAGGCAGGTAGTAGCCAGGCAGGCATAGGACAGAGCTAGACAAAGTCAGAAACAAATCCAGAAAGCCAAGATCTTCCCCCACAAGCTTATATATCTCTATCTGCCTAGCAAAGACAGACTGGACCCTCCAGCCCTACCATAGGTAGGCAGATAGGCAGGCGCGTTAGGAAAAAATCAATCCCCAGCACGGGGGTGATGAGCTACACTCCCAAGGGGAGGACGTTGCTGCCGAGCGCTTCATGGAGAGTGCTGATTCGGTGGGTAGAACCAGGACGGCAGCGTGAATATGCAGGCAGGTTCACCTCTGTCACACGCAGCCTTACGCGTTAGGTTAGCTCTTGGTGCATCCTTGATAAAAGCTTGGTTGATGAACATGACACTGATGGTTGGAGGAGAGTTGATGATCGGGGCTTGGGAGGGAGCCAATCACGGAGGCGGGTTTGGCGCCGCGGGTGACGGTCGCGCATCAGCCTGGTATCTGTCGAATCCTGGTAGGGCTGGAGGGGAGGAGAAATAGTAGATGAGTGCTAAACGCTACAGTGGATTGTGTGATTTGAATCTATTTTTATTTGAGTTCGCATGAGGGTTTTGAGGAGTTTAGATACTGCTACTATAGCTTAAGAGACCGCAGTAGAAGCGATCCGCCCCCGAAATATACAATGAGGAACCCAAGGTCATTGCGCAGTTGTATTGAAATAGGGACGGCAAAAAAAAACGACAAAAGGAGCCTTGGGCACTTGAATAGCCCTACATGGCCAAAGAGATGCTTCAAGAGACATATTTTACCATCATCACCGTATTCGAAATGATTGATCTTTCCCCCTAGGCTCTTTCACCCCACTTTCATTCTTGCAGTTACTAACACATCCTCACGGCCGCCCGGACCTAGTAGCTGACTCTTACAGTGACAGCAAAGCAGGAAACGTCTCTGATCACCATAGACATCCTAATCCTAAAAATTACTTTTTGGAACTTGTCTCATCAAGGGCTTCGGTTAGATCAAAATGGATCGTAATTGTCAGGGGTCTTCACCACAAATGTTGGCCTGGAAGAACCAATCCCGAGATTGCCGGGCTCGCCGCGGAGTCCGCGGAGAGCACGGCGGGCGCGGGCTTCACGGAAACGAAGGAGGTATACAACATGAACAGCATTGGGGGACTGATAAAAATCCGCGATCGCCCGATCAATGAAGAACTCACAAGCTCCATCCAAGGAGAATAATGTCTGCTATGAGCACAGCTACAAGGTAGGACAGATATCTATCGAGATATGCCATGCACTGAATACTAAAACAACTAGCCACCAATCCAGCATGAAGCAATCCAAGGATCGCAGCCCAGAGGGGACATCCAACGCCCACGAGGATGAGAAACTGACATTCGAGTTTGGAGGCGCCCCTGGGGTTACCCTGCTGATGCTTGGATTTCCCCTTCTCATGTACTACATGTTCATAGGCGCGACCCTGTACGACGGCCACCTCCCCTTACCCGATGAGAACCAGTCTATCACCGACTTCCTCTCCCACCTCGTTGACCTCGCCCACACGCATGCCTACCCGAACCGCAGGGCATGGATAATATACTGGACCTTCCTTGTTCTCGAAGGACTCGGGTACTTGTACCTCCCGGGCGTATACGGAAAGGGAAAATGCCTCCCTCATCTGAATGGGAAGCAGCTGGATTATTACTGCTCCGCGGCGTCGTCGTGGTATGTTACCATCGCTGCTGCGTTGGTCTTCCACTTCTCTGGTATTTTCCGTCTGAGTACGCTCGTTGAAGAATTCGGTCCGTTGATGTCCGTGGCTATTTGCTCCGGCTTTCTGGTCTCAATTATTGCGTACGCGTCTGCCTTGCTAAGAGGTGCTCAGCATCGGATGACGGGGTCCCATGTTTATGATTTCTTTATGGGTGCGGAGCTCAACCCTCGTTTGTTTCAGTGGCTTGATATGAAGATGTTCTTCGAGGTTCGCATACCCTGGTATATTCTGTTTTTGTTGACGCTCGGAACTGCGTTGAAGCAGTGGGAAGACTATGGGTTCGTCTCTGGGGAAGTGTCCTTTCTGCTTTTGGCACACTTCTTGTATGCGAATGCCTGCGCTAAGGGGGAAGAACTGATCATCACTAGCTGGTATGTTCCTATATGCGGCGAACGAATCGACGGTACTGATTTTGCCACAGGGATATGTACTATGAGAAATGGGGATTCATGCTCATTTTCTGGAATCTTGCTGGTGTTCCCATGAGTTACTGCCATTGCACCCTGTACCTGGCGAGCCACGATCCGTCAACTTATAAGTGGAACCCTATAGCACTGGGCGTGCTATTTGTGATGTATATTTTCGCATACTGGGTGTGGGATACGTGCAACAGTCAAAAGAACCTCTTCCGAGCTCAGGAGAGAGGAAAGCCTGTGAACCGCAAGACATTCCCTCAGCTACCGTGGAAATCAGTTAAGAACCCTGTCTGCATCAAGACAAAAACAGGAGATTCCATCCTGTGCAGCGGGTGGTGTAGGTTTTACTCTTTCCTGTATTGCGAATCAGGGCTGATGAAGTATAGATGGAATGGCGCGTAAGGTCCATTACAGCTGTGACTGGTTCTTCGCTTTCTCCTGGGGCCTCATTACTGGCTTTAACTCGCCATTTCCCTGGTTCTACTCGTGCTTCTTCACTGTCATGATAATCCATCGTGCCCTGCGGGACATTGAACGTTGTCGCGAAAGATATGGAGAAGCTTGGCGCGAGTATGAGCGGAGGGTCCCGTACTTGTTCATTCCGGTAAGTCGCCTCGAGTTGGTGTTGTGATCCAGCTAACATCAGAAAAGTATGTCTTCTAAGCCATTGGAATAAGGGTTTCGTCTTTCGGTTGGGCGTCCTAGTTTAGTTTGCATTGGCCAAACCAAGTCTCACTTTTATTAGCTAATTATCCTGTTGACCTGCGTTTGCTATGCTTTACCAGACTGTATATAGGATTATAATCTTGGATAAATATAACTAGTCACATGTCCCAGTGTACCTGCCTTCTTGGTCGACGATAGACAGAATTAGCATATCGCAGACAGGTGAAAAATTGTCCAGACCGGTCTTCCATTCTTTATGAGCACTTCAAAGAATGAAAGGTATGAAATTTAGAAACCACAGCTAGCAATTAGCAATGAAATGAAGATGTAGTGTATTCATTAAATCGAATCGCTATTGGGATCGAAGCTTAGAATATCCATGACCGATCGACTTGTGCCAATAAAGCCATTCAGGAACATGGATATGTCTGCCTGGTTCATGGTGGAATCAAATGTATCTTCAGGCCATGGAACATCTGGTAGGGCAATATTTCCGGGCCCATCAGTTGTGGGAATAACAAGGGATCCATCTTGATGTTGCTCCAACCCGGTTAGTGTCTGTTGTGAGTTCACGAGGATCTGGGCAGCCCGGACAAAAGCGTCACAGATAGTGTATAAGTGCATTGACCCTCGTGAAAGGCCTTTAATTAGTTCTAGGGAGCTGGCCGTATCCTGTAGCAGAGCGAGATCTGCTGTACTGGCGGTCGTGATGGCGTGAGTAAAGACGATGACGAAGGGTGTAAATGAAGGATAAAGAAGTATCCTGTCCCTTTAGTGTACTATATCAATGCAGATTATCAGTTTGTCTTACCAATTTACATATTCTGTTTGCTTATGTGTCTGGCGACCGCGGAAGTAGGTGAAGCACTTGAGATGACTCTGTAAAGCAGCAGTCGCAGATGCATAGCACTGGGAAGAAACCGCCATCACGTCGCGTGGATGGGTCTGCGCGCGGTAGATGACGGTCAATACTGAGTATGCTATAAAGTCTGCACAGGCTGCCATCCCATGTAGTGAGTCGGCATAGAGACCCCGACTAACATCAATCTTGTAAAAGCATTAGCTGACTTGAATGCCTCATCAGAAGGAATGCGTACCGCAAGGAGCTTGTCCCGCACTGTCATTAGGTCGGAAGACAGCCGCTCAATTGATGCTGATCGTTGCTCGTCACCTGCTCGACAAGCAGAGGTGGAGTACAGCTGGTCATAGACTCTACCTTGAACATTCGCGAATTCGACGATCACAAGCCCCATTAAGTCCCACGGGCGATACTTGGGATCGTTTGAAGGAGCATAAAGATCTGCATCGATGTCGTGATCTTGAAAGTGAGATGTCACGCCAATATTGAGAGAGATATTCTTGTCAATGGTGTAAAGGGCCCAGAACGCATGGCGTTTTGCCTCAGCAATAGCAAACTCATCCTTCTCTAAAGTGGAACGTCGGTGTAACCCGATGCTCTGGCACATATTAAATGCCAGAGAAAGGAAAGTCCAGCACCTCTGGACGTCGGTTTCCTCTTGTGCTTTCAGAACCTGAATCTGTCAGAATGTGTATCACCTGGAAAGCTCAAACATACCCCAAGCAACAGTGCCTGTATCTTCTCCAAAGTTGGCTCGAACATGATCTCAGGTTTACTCAAGCCAGCGACAAAGTGTCGCTCACAGAGCTCAAGGCTTAATTGAAGGTCAAAGTGTGCCAGGTCGGGATCTCCTGCATGAAGATAATCGCGGATCACATAAAAAAGGATACCATAAAAGAGTGTGAGCGAGCCAGGTGGCACAGGATCTAGCGGGAAATATATCGACTGGCATAGATGTTCCACGCGGGTGGAGTCTAACCAAGATTGACTGACCAGGAAGAAAGGAGGTCGAGCTATATTGCGTCAGTGATAGCAACGAAGGGAATGGAGATGTATACATTTAACCTTCTTCACCACTGCTATGACCAGATCTACAGGAAGCAATGTCTGGTTTAGTTGCGCAGGTGATTGTGCTCCACTCCGATTCATGGCGTGATTGTGCCTATCGAGGCTACTTTTTAGAGAGGAGAGCGCAGCAGAGACATAATCCCCAACCTGTCCATCTCGAGCAGTATTAGCAGCAGAATATGCTGCGTCCCTGGCTACAAGGGTCTCATGATGGAAAGATGACTGTCCCTCAAACGGAGGAGCTGTTGGGCCGGTGGCTATGGGGTGAGGATCTGGCTGTACTGAAGTTGATGGCTTCGTTATCTGATGGAGTGCTTGCTGAATGGTTGCTAATTGTTCTTGGATTGCCGAGAATCTTTGCTCACTAACTTCAGTCAGCCCTGTAAGCAGTGATGAGTTAAATAAACCCACTAATCGTCGGAATCGGCTCTGCGTGTTTCCGAAGACCTGACAGGCGTACCTGTCGGACCACAGGCGATTCCAAGAGCGCTACAGCTGGAGCAAGGGACTACTTTATCACACTTAATCTAAAGAAATTTCCATGAGCATCAATATAATACAAAATTGGCCCTCAGGGTATGATACCTTCCGAAGCCGACAATTGTCGCACTGGTGGGATTTAGTACTTGCTATAGATCAAATGGTGGCGGACGAAGAAGCCGTACCGCGCGGGCCCGGAACGAGTTGCGGGCGATGGAAGGAGTTCGGGCAGCCATTGTAGGTGAAGCCGCTAGTTATGAGCGATAATTCGCATAATATATCGATACTTCTTGCCTGGAACGTGACAACAGTGGCTGTACCCCGGCAAAAGGCTTGCGAGTAATAAAGTGCCAAATGACAGGCAAGGGAGCGAGTAAGGCCTCCAGTCATCTTGTGAAGGCGCCATTCCCGTTCAGGCTAGATCGCACCCGCCTGGGTTAGCGAGTCCCGTGACGCCCACTCATCTCACCATGACCAGGCCTTTCCCGATCGGGAGGGTCTTGACGCTTCACAAACAAACCTGGATTCGATGGGCACGGAGATTCTCCGAGGCTAAACTACTAACACGGGAACTATCAATAGAAATCCAGGAAAGAACTTTCCGGCAAAAGTCGCCCTTGCTATGATGATGTCAAACCATACAATTTACCCCGAGCGGCAACAATAGCCTGAATACAAAGTTTAGCATGAAGTCCTCCCCCGCGTTCGTAGCCCGACAATGCGGGGAGATCTTGCAGACAGGCCATGACGCGTGTATATATGAATGAAGAAGAGGGCTGGTAGTCTAGGTGTCTTTGCGATGGCATAGTCAGAAGGAACCCGCCACCATGAGAGGCTTGAATCTCTTTCAATTAATACTGGCTCTTCTGCTGTCCATGGTAGCAGCCGAGGATGGGTACGATGGCTGGCTCCGATATGCTCCCGTGTCCTGCGATCTGCATTGTCAACAGGCTTTACCGTCTCATGTTGTGTTGTTGAACAGCACCAAAGGAAGCCCAATTGAGACCGCCGGACGAGAACTGAAAGCGGGATTCCAATCGATTCTTTCGACGAACTTGACATCTCGTCCATTTCAATGCAATAGCTCCGCATCAATTCTGGTGGCTACTCTGGATGAGTACCGCCAAAGTTGCCGGGACATTAATGTGCCTGAGCTCGATCCCGATGGCTTCTGGTTACAATCCGAAGGGGACACAGTTCGGATCTTAGGCAAGGATGCCAGAGGAGCCTTGTACGGAGCATACGAATATCTAGCTATGGTGGCACAGCGAAATTTTTCTCGTGTCGCGTATGCCACGAGCCCACATGCGCCGATCCGTTGGGTGAATCAATGGGACAACATGGACGGAAGCATTGAACGAGGATACGGTGGTGCGTCGATATTCTTCAAAGATGGCACGGTGGTGGAAGACATGGCTCCTGTTGAGCAATATGCTAGACTGCTTGCATCCATCCGGATAAATGCAATTGTCGTCAATAATGTCAATGCGAACGCAACATTACTGCTACCCGAGAATATGAAAGGCCTGGGTCGTATAGCAGATGCATGTCGACCATACGGCGTTCAAATTGGCATATCGCTGAACTTTGCTTCACCCGAAGACTTGGGTGGTTTAAATACTTATGATCCACTCGATCCTGGTGTCATTGCATGGTGGCAGAATATCACTGATAGTCTCTATACCTATGTACCAGACATGGCTGGGTACCTCGTCAAAGCCGACTCAGAGGGCCAGCCAGGTCCAGATACATACAATCGCACACTCTCACAAGGGGCAAATCTGTTCGCTCGTGCCCTGCAACCGTATGGGGGTGTGCTTATGTACCGTGCTTTCGTCTATGATGACAACTTGAACGAATCAGACTGGAAGGCTGATCGTGCTAAGGCAGCAGTGGAGTATTTCAAGGACCTGGACGGTCAATTCGAGGAGAACGTCGTGATCCAAATAAAGTACGGCCCGATCGACTTCCAAGTGCGCGAGCCTACCTCTCCACTTTTTGCCAACCTCTACCACACCAACACAGCCATAGAGTTGGAGGTTAGTCAGGAGTACCTGGGGCAGCAATGCCATTTGGTGTACTTACCTCCGCTCTGGAAGACGGTCCTGGATTTCGACTTACGCGTAGACCACAAGCCATCGATGGTCCGCGATATCATATCCGGTCAGCGCTTCAACAGAACGCTCGGAGGCTGGGCAGCTGTCGTTAATGTGGGCACCAACAGAACATGGCTGGGTAGCCACCTTGCTATGTCCAATCTGTACGCTTACGGTCGTTTGGCGTGGAGTCCGACAGACGAATCTGAGCAGATCCTCGAAGACTGGACTCGCCTCACATTTGGACAAAATCACCATGTCATTAACACTATCTCCGATATGTCAATGACCTCCTGGCCTGCCTATGAAAACTATACCGGCAACCTGGGCATACAGACACTGACAGACATCTTGTATACCCACTATGGTCCAAATCCAGCTACACAGGATAACAATGGCTGGGGTCAATGGACACGTGCTGATCATGATTCTGTCGGTATGGATCGCACAATACGGAACGGCACCGGCTATACCGGTCAATACCCGGAGGAGGTTGCTCGCGTATACGAATCACTAGAAAGCACGCCAGATGACCTAGTATTGTGGTTTCACCATGTACCATGGACGCACCGTCTGCACTCCGGACTGACTGTTATCCAGCATTTCTACAACGCTCACTATGCGGGCGCAGAAGCTGCACACGGATTCGTCAGACAATGGGAGTCTTTGGAAGGGCTCATTGACCGGGAGCGATACGAAGCCATGCGGTCGCGACTGGTCTACCAGGCGGGACACTCCATTGTCTGGCGAGATGCTATCAATAATTTCTACTACAACATGACCGGAATCCCAGATGTGGCTGGACGTGTGGGTCACCATCCGTGGCGCATTGAAGCCGAGAGTATGAGATTAGATGGATACCAGACGTATACGGTCAGTCCGTTCGAGGCTGCTTCTAATACTACAGCAATTATTACCACTTCTAATTCAACGACTGGGACGGCGAGAACTAGCATCAAGGCCCCATCAGGAGTATACGACATAGGGGTGAACTACTACGATCTCTATGGCGGTCAATCGAAGTGGACACTATCTGTGGGTGATAAGGTAGTGGGCCAATGGCTTGGGGATATGGAGCATAATTCCCTAGGCCATACACCATCTATATACTTGGATGGTCACTCCGCCACTCGGATTACGTTTCATGGGGTCGGCATTCGGCAGGGTGATCAGCTGAAGATTGTTGGTGAGGCGAATGGGGTCGAGCCCGCTCCCCTGGATTATATAGTGCTACTGCCCCCAGGCGTAGTTGACTGATATCTGTAGGGCTCTATGTAGTACCATCATGTGATACAATGTATTCGCAGATGTAACACTCACTGAGTCTACATATATTTGGTGTTCTTGGCAGGACTTACAATGCTTGGTTCTCGTGACGCTGCAAGCTATCCGACTTCACAATTTTCTGCTCTTCAAACAAAAATGAAAGGATAATTTGTCTTTCCATGTCCAAAATTGCTCAAAGTGCAAGAGTGTCTTCATTGCGAACTGCATAGAGTAGATGTGGCCAGCATGCATCCTTAACCGCCTTTATCCTAGCGGTTGACAGGCGAACACTATCCGCACTCTACAAGAGAAACAACGACTAGCGCAGGAATCTGATTTTTTGATATTACACCACAACAAAACGCCCTAGAGGTGTCATCTTCGGATAAGTTTCTTATAAAAGCTTTTGCTATTCTTTGTTCTTTAGTTTTATTGAATTATCGCGATAATAGTAATAAACATATCTAACTAGCCCAGTTTAGCCCGATCGCGTGTAAGGTCTCGGGGTCTCCCAAGTACTTACTGAGACAAGCCAACGGAAACGTAAATATCACATGACCCTATCACGAGGACCTGTGTCAGAACGCGAAGGGCTGTGTAATCACGCAGGACATCCAACAGCTCATACATCATTACGTTATTCGAAGGCCAAACCCTGCAATTACCCGCTAATTCTATATATTTATTTTGACCGTCTACGTTCGTTGGCACCTCTAACAAAGATGGACGGAGCAGAGTTGCAATCACCCTTACTCGATAATGGACAACCCCCCCTTGTCGCGAAGCGCACAACACCTGAAGAGCCGAATGCTGCCTTCGATGCCAAAAGACTCAAAACCTCTGATGATAGGGAGGCACCGCCGCAGATAAGCCTTCCCGCGGTAACCCGGATTGTTCCCTTTCCAGAGAAAGTATGCTCGGTCCTTGACTTGTCTTGAAATTGTCTGAACGTCTTGAAGCCTGCAGTTGTAGAAGAACGGAACTGTGAAATAGAATTTCGGGTTGTCAACAACGATGGTTCCACGGAGAGTACCGTCATTCTAACAGGTCTCAAGAATCTGTTTCAAAACAGCTACCAAAGATGCCCAAAGATTACATCGCCCGTCTCGTCTATGATCACACTCACTTGTCTTTGGCCATCTGCAAAATGCCCCTGGAAATTATTGGCGGAATCACATTCAAAGAGGTCCGACATCGCAGGTTCGCTGAAATTGTGTTCTGTGCGGTTTCATCGGACCAGCAGGTGAAGGGATACGGGGCGCATCTCATGGCCCACTTGAAGGACTACGTCAGAGCCACATCCCCAGTGATGCAATTTCTAACTTACGCTGACAACTACGCAACGGGTTATTTCCAAAAACAAGGCTTCACGAAAGAGATCACGCTTGACAAGTCCATCTGGACGGGTTATATTAAGGATTATGAAGGCGGTACACTCATGCAATGTTCTATGCTCCCCCGGATACGGTATCTCGAAGTTGGTCGTATGCTTCTCAAGCAGAAGGCATGTGTTCTAGCTAAATTACGCCCTTTGAGCAGAAATCATATTGTACATCCCCCGCCTCCACAATGGGCTAACGGCATCGTCACTCTGATCGATCCACTCTCTATTCCTGCTATTCGGGCTACTGGATGGTCTCCGGACATGGACGAGCTATCACGGCAACCGCGCCATGGACCTCATTTTAACGAGCTTCGACGTTTTCTTAGCAAAATCCAAGCCCACAAACAAGCGTGGCCCTTTCTCTCTTCTGTCAACAAAGATGAGGTCCCGGATTACTACAACTTCATCGAATCTCCAATGGATCTATCAACAATGGAGGAAAGATTGGAGAATGACGCATATTCTACCCCGAATCGCAATTGTCGGCAGTATAATGATGCAACGACGGTTTTGCCAAGTGCGGGACAAAGCTGGAGAAATATATGTATTCTCTAATCAAGGAGGTACCAGAGTGGTTTGACTTGGTGGAAGAGTGACACCAGTGCATTAGGTTCGGCTCGAGCTGGGGCAAAGCTTCCTTGACACCTCATCTGCTTAGTTGCATCACGGGTTAGCACTCTCCCAATCAGGCAAACTATTCGGCTACAGTGCTTCGTCCCGTATCCAGGAACTTTCAGGTCATACTTCTCTTTCGAGATATTTGTTTCTTGGACGGCCTTCCGGTACTTGTCCTAACAGCCCACCGGGCTCGACTTCTCAGCTGTGTCCCATGTCGCCAGCTCTTTTTCACCAGTGTTGCCAAAGGCTTGTGTGTTCGATTGGCCAAATCGTCATTTTAACTACTAGGTGAAGGATTGCCACGAGGAATAAATTAATATCTCTAAGACAGAAGCAATAACCACACTCTGCTGCGAAAACGAATTGTGACGGGCGCGTAGTGGACGCTGCCGCTCTTCTGGATGGGGGGTGAAACAGGCCACAACTTGCCCAGCGGAACACTCCAATCAGCTGGAGGACTGCCGATATCTTCATTGAACTCGACCCATCCAACACTAACTGCTTATCCTTTAACTATGATAAAGCTGACTTATATCACTGATATATACTTACTTCTGTATAAATATACTTCACTTTTATTACTTATTTTCCTTATAATTTACTACAGTAATAATCTTTCTATATCATGGTATACGTTGCTTTGTGATGACATATTTTACTAAATAATAATCAGAACCATATTCTTGTTTCAGGCAGTGAAGTTAGTACCTATATAGCCCATATCTTATACAGCAGGATTGATCAAGCATCATAATAATTAATTAGAATTAAATTGAAAGAAAAAAAAACACTGCACTCCACAATACCAGTGCTCGGTTATCTATTATGCCGATGAAATTATTAAGTCTCCCCCGCATCAAACATCAGCCCATTTGCGATGCCAACAACCGGTTAAATTGGCGTCTGATCGCAGGTCCTCCGCATTCCCCGCCCTGGGAGTTGCGGATCAACAATGTGGCGAGCTGTCAACCTCATAGCCGACTGCCCGCTTTATCTTCAATCGGTAATGTCAAGGACAGCGAGGTATAAGAATGTGCTAAGGTGGAGTAGCTCTGGGGGAATTTCGAAGCTCCATTGAGCTATCAGGCTGCATCTTTCTCTACAATGAAGACCTCATTTTTGCTTGCTATAGGTCTGGCTGTGGAGGCTTGCCTAGGCCTGGTTTCCGCCCCGAATTATGTTCGTCAAATTAATGCCACAGACTCTTCCCTCCAAGACATCGTGACGTGGGATGAATACTCCATCTGGGTACGCGGTGAGCGCATTCTTCTCCTATCGGGAGAGTTCCATCCCTTCCGTCTCCCATCTCCGGGGCTCTGGCTCGATGTCTTCCAGAAAGTCCGCGCGCTTGGGTTCTCGGCTGTGTCCTTTTACGTCGACTGGGCTCTTCTTGAGGGTGAGCGAGGATCCATCCGGGCGGAGGGAGTTTTCGCGCTCGAAGAATTCTTTCAGGCCGCTACAGAAGCCGGTCTGTATTTAACTGCTCGTCCTGGTCCTTATATCAATGCTGAAGTTTCTGGGGGCGGATTTCCCGGCTGGCTGAAACGGGTGCAAGGCCGGCTCAAGACTACGGATCAAGGCTACTTGGATGCCATCACTCCCTATATGCAGGCAATAGGGCGCATTATTGCGAAGGCACAGATCACAAATGGTGGCCCGGTGATCCTATTTCAACCCGAGAATGAGTATACGGCTTGCGTACAGGACGAAGGCTACACGCAAGTCAACAACTACAGCATGCCCGACATTAACAGTTCATGTCTTCAGAAGGAGTATATGGCATACGTGGAAGAGCAATATCGAAAGGCTGGGATAGTCGTGCCGTTTATCGTCAATGATGCCGATCCTATGGGCAACTTCGCTCCCGGCACGGGAGTTGGCGCTGTTGACATCTACAGCTTCGATGATTATCCTTTACAATGGAGCACAGCACGTATGTATTCGATTATATTGAATGGACACTGTTAATCATCTACGTCTAGCATCCAATCCGTCAAACTGGTCATCCCTGATGAGCCCATTGCTCTCCTACAATGAAACCGTCCATGAGGAACAGAGCCCGACCACGCCGTTTTCCATATCTGAATTTCAAGGTGGAGTGCCTGATGCTTGGTATGATATGAGTTTGATCTGTCCTACTATGGGAAGCCTCATCAACTCACAATGTTCTCTAGGGGCGGTGTTGGCATCGAGACATCTGCTGCATACATCGGTCCAGAATTCGAACGCATCTTCTACAAGATAAATTACGGGTTTCGCACTGCCATCCAGAATCTCTACATGGTGAGTTGGTTACTATGTATGCTTATGGACCTTTCTCCCTCCTTGCTAATGAAATGTCTGTGCTGAAGATCTTTGGGGGAACAAATTGGGGCAACTTGGGCCATTCTGGTGGTTACACCTCGTACGATGTGGGTGCGGCCATCACCGAAGATCGGCAAGTCATCCGCGAGAAATACAGTGAATTGAAGTTACAATCCAACTTCCTACAAGCATCGTCTGCTTATCTCGAGACACACACAGATAATGGGAGCTATGGGATCTACACAGACGCCACCTCCCTGGCGGTAACCCGGTTAGCTGGGAATCCTACCAATTTCTATGTGGTACGCCATGGAGAGTTAACCTCGCGAGAGTCGACTTCATATAAGCTACGCGTGAATACTAGCGCAGGGAACCTGGCAATTCCTCAGCTAGGTGGATCACTAAGTCTACATGGTCGAGATTCGAAGATCCACTTGGTTGACTACAACGTCGGAAATGTCAGTCTGATCTATTCCACGGCCGAGCTCTTCACATGGAAGCAGGCAGGCTCAAAGTCAGTGGTTGTTCTCTATGGAGGTGAAGATGAGCTCCATGAATTTGCTGTCCCTGCAAATATAGGCAGACCAATCTCTATTGAAGGCGACGGTTTGCAGATTCAGCAGATCAACTCGGCCACTGTCATACACTGGTCAGTCCAACCGTCACGCCGAGTCGTGCATTTCAGCGATACTCTCGAGGTGCATCTCCTTTGGCGCAACGCTGCATACAACTACTGGGTCCTTGATCTACCCGTTCCAGGAGCCATAGGCCGACACGTCTCCCAATCACATACCAACCGATCTGTCATTGTCAAGGCCGGGTATCTGCTACGAACTGCCGAAAAAATTGGCACATCCCTCTATCTGACAGGTGACATCAACACGACCACTACCCTCGAGCTCATTTCCGCCCCTCAGCCAGTAACTAGCATTTTCTTCAACAAAAACCGTATCCCGACTACCGTCACATCACAAGGCCGCCTCACCGGCACCCTCGCCTACCACAAGCCCAACATCAGCCTACCAGACCTCACAACGCTCGACTGGTACTACCTCAACACCCTCCCAGAGGTCCACGATCCCAAATACAACGACCACCTCTGGACTCCTTGCACACACACCACAACCGCAAATCCACGCAACCTAACGACCCCAACATCCCTCTACGCCAGTGACTATGGCTACAACGGCGGCACCCTCCTCTACAGAGGCACCTTCACTGCAACCGGCAATGAGACCTCCCTCTACCTCCTCACTGAAGGCGGCTACGCCTACGGCCACTCCATCTGGCTCAACAACACATTCCTCGCCTCCTGGCCAGGAAACCCAGCGTCCCTCTTCTCTAACCAAACAATCACATTCCCGTCCCCCCTCGCCCCCGGAACCACCTACACTCTAACAATCCTAGTCGACCACCTCGGCAACGACGAGAACTTCCCAGCGAACGGCGAATTCATGAAAGATCCGCGCGGAATTCTAGATTACACTATTCACGGCCGCGACGACAAATCAGCTATATCGTGGAAAATGACGGGTAACTTTGGTGGAGAGGGTTACGCTGATCTGAGTCGCGGTCCACTCAATGAGGGGGCGTTGTTCGCTAAACGAAAGGGATATCATCTCCCCGGTGCGCCGACGGAGCAGTGGACGAAGAGGTCGCCGTTTGATGGACTCCCGGAGGATGAGAGGCCCGGGGTGGGGTTCTTCGCCACGAAATTCAATTTGCAAATCCCGGATGGGTATGATGTGCCTATTAGTGTTGTGTTTGAGAATAGTACTATGGCTGGTGATGGGTCGGGGCCTGCAAGATTCCGGTCTGAGCTCTTTGTGAATGGATGGCAGTTTGGGAAGTACGGTATGTTGGCCTCCCCTACCGGTTTCTCTTTCTTTTTGTTGTGATTCTCATTCTTCCTACTTTGGTCTCTGTGAGCTAACGGGTTGTGTTTATCTTAGTCAATCACATCGGCCCACAGCTTAGCTATCCCGTCCCTGAGGGCATTCTAAACTACAATGGGAGCAACTACCTTGCTCTGACCATCTGGGCTATGGATGAGAAGTCGTTCAAGTTGGATGGATTGCGGCTGCAGGCTAACGCAGTGGTGCAGAGTGGGTATCGCAAGCCAAGTCTTGTGACGGGAGAGGTGTACAGGGAGCGGGTTGATAGCTATTGATTCTGTAGGCTGCTTTGATACTTGTTAGATTCTACCCTAGGAATAAGGTCTGATCTGGCACATATACTGGGAATCATTTCCAGCAGATACTGATGAATTACACATGCGCTCGAATCTCTTCCTATAACCTTTCTTACATCCCGTCATAGGACTCAAGATCCACTAGTTGCTAATCTGTAGACATACTTGGTCGCAAATCCTTTTCCTTTGACGGCGTTTCTGCATTTTTCGAGGGCTTCGGAGTCGCGCCAAAGACACGACGCAACGTACAAGGCGCATACTGATTAGCGACAGTGACGTTTATAAGCGTCTCTGAGCCATTCCCACTGACAAAAGTGTTGGTCCCAACCATGTGATGCCTTCGGCTTAAGGTAAGGGTACAAGATCCATGGTTGCCGTATTCGTAAGCTGAAGCCGAGGCGCAGCCACGGATGACCTGATCGACTACTTGCGAAAGATTCATTTCGGGTTTCATCGTCTGCATGTAGATCCAACCATGTACATTGAAGGTTGGTGTGCTTTCAGGCCTTCTATGTGGTGAGATGTGGAATACAACTCCGATGGCTCTCCCGGAAGAATCCTGCAATCTAACAGCAGCCCATGTTTCCAGAGAAGTCGAATCATTGGAGCTTAGTCGCAGTCTGTGATTTTCAGCTTCCCAGATTCGCGATGGGTAGTACTCCGTTATGCTCAGAGTCGCTGCTCTGGACTCGTCTTGGTCGATGTTGAATTGACATGTCAGTTGTGGTCCTCGGTCGGGGACGTTTGGTTGTGATCGGATATAGAGATCTCGAGTCGTGGCTCTCGTTTCTAGCCCCAAGTCAACTCTCACTACCCGCCCGCGCGAGATATCATAATCGATATCGAAAGTGTTGTCTGAGCGGGGCGTAAGAGGAAGGGCCAAGGCGCCTGTGACATCATCCTCATAGTGGCAATCCAGGAGCGCGAGGCAGCTATCCTTAGACCCGGATCGATATATGACGGGGAGCTGGATGTGGAGGCCTCGGTTTGTCATTGTGTATGGCCCACTGTTACGCGGACAAGTCCACTGGACGACGTTTTTGAGAAAGCAGGTTGAGGACGGAGCAAGGACTGTATACCGGCTCTCTTGCTCAATGTCACAATAGTTCCACGCGAAGATCGTGTGATCATCGGAACTCTTGATGATCTCCTCCTGAAGTCTGACAAATGCAGCTTTGCCTTCGCCATAGAGAATAGGCATATGAACATCGAACAGACCGAGGAGACAATACGCTTCATCCTCTATCTTCGAAGTTTGCCTCCTAGCTGCCCATGACATCTTCTGTGCGATACACACTGATCTCAGTGACTCTTTGGTGTCTGTCGAGTCTCTAAGAACACGCTGGTCTATGCCAGTGATCGTAGAGATGAGGGCTGTCATTGATGCTTTTGTACCAAGAACGTTCCAGCCGGACCCGTAAAAGGTCAAGTCTTTAGGCGCGATCAACTCCTGCAATGTCCATCCTCGAGTGAACCAGCGACATCTTGCAAAGGGGCCATTGATCGTACCATCATATTTACTAGGCCTGCGCCTTCTGGCGGGCTCGACGGAACTTCCGGCTTGCTCATCGAGCGGAACCTCCCCGTAGCCGCTAGGAATGTCAGACAAGTAAACGTAGCACTTTCTTGATCGCTTGTACCATTGGAACATGGAGTTGATCGCTTCAGATATTTCCGCACTGCTGCTTTTGTTGATGCAACATGTATCGACCCAAGCGTAGTCCAGGCCGTCCCTGATAGCTTGCTGACAGACATACTTGATCTTGAGGAATCCCTCCCTTCCTACAACACGATCCCAGTACCTGGAGCCTGTTGATAGTGCCTGAAGATCCTGAAAAGAAATCTCATCCTTTCCCCATGTATGTGATAGGATTGCATATTCGGGGATTTCACTGTCGAGGTATTCTTCCAACTGGTATGTTTTCGCGTTGATGAGTCTCATCTTTGCGCTCAAGTTCAGGCCAAGAAAAATACTTACAAAGCTAAGTTTGCATGGTCTGTCCTTCGCTATTTAGGTGGCGTGGTGATGTGTTCTTGGCCTACCAGTTGGCTGCTACGTGGCAGGCAACACATTAAGAACCAATATGTCCAGCTTTACTGCATTGTTGGATACTTTCCCACACTTCTTCAATGCCAAAGGCTGTATCCTTTTCTTATGATATGCCGCGTTTCGAGTTGCCTCGTCGCTCGCGTCATCAGCTGGACAGCAAATGGCCAGGTTGCCGCTGGGAAGGTGTCTTCTTTGCCTCTGAGTTGTCTATGGAGCCTCTCTACCTTCTTTTGAGGTTCGAGCAGTCTCGCCAATCCTGGTTAGTATTCCATATGTGAAGGGTATTACAAGACCTGGGGTCTCGTATTTTTTTCTCAATAGCTGACGACGAGGATACTTTATATCGTTCTCACTCAGCGCACGAACACCGAAGTCAGTGACGACAATAAGGAAGCCACTATATCGTTGCTAGGTTCGAATATCGCAACGGAACTATTAGTTGTTCTCAGAAGCAGGGATGGGACTAATGTTGTGGAAGCATCAAAAAGCAGCTCACAAGTACAGGTACCCTGTCCATTACATGTAGACGCAAGAGCTCACTCACGTTGCAAAGCCGTTCGATGAGTTGGTCAGTTTTGAAAATAGTTTTGACAAGATGGTGATGAGATGACATGGATGGATCAGCTGACCGGCGCGTGGTAGTCACTACTGGACCACGTGTCTCCGCTTCTCAAGTGAGGACTATGAGTTCAGCCCATCTCAATCATCTTATTCTTATACCAACCCACATCTGTGCTGGCAGTTACTCACCAAGACTCAGTTATCCTTAATATGTCCGGCCACGTTGCGATTGTTGATGTGGAATTAGAAATGACAGAGTGACTGAAACTGATGGATAATGTCGAGAAACTAGTATATACTGAGCATACTACTGCATCAGTCTATGGCCAGTTATATATGGCTTGACAGGGCTAATCTACTACTCTCAGGTTCAGCAGGCTCTTTCAACTCGGCCTCGATGATGCTCTGTCCATCCCCGGGTGGTGCCCAGAATTTCACAACCCTGAAGCCAGCCGAATCCAGAACCTTCGTCCACTGGCTAGCTGTTCGCTCCATGCTGTTACAGAAGATCAACATCTCCCAGTCCCACATTGCTGGCAGCATCGCGCAGTCTTTGTCTGCCAATACGAATTCCTCTATGATTAACTTGGAGTATCCCGTTTTCATGGCTGCTGCGAGATGACTCAGGATCTGACGACTCTCCTCGTCTGACCAGTCGTGAAGAATGAATTTCATGTAATAGGTACGCGCACCTGGGAAGTTTCCGGTTAGTTATGGGATGAGTCTCGTCTCTGGAAATATGCCCAATGCTTACCTTGGATTGGCTGCGCCTGGAATAGGTCAAATGATACATGTTCGATCTTTGGATGCTGGGTAGCCTCAGCCACAACGTGAGGCAGATCTTCCAAGATGAGCCGCCCTTGTACTTCGGAGAACTTGGACTCGAAAGCGACCAAATCATGGCCGCGTCCACCTGCTACGTCTACCAGGAGGACATTACTTTCACCCTGATGAAATCCGTCTATAATCCTCTCCTTGACAGGAAACCATTCAAGCCAGCTAGGGCGGCTCCCGCGGTCCGCTTCCATGAAAGTATTGCAAGCGTCCAAGAAACCTGGTTTTGTCGGCACCCAGTCCCACAGCGACATTTCTGTCTTCTCCGCATACTGCAATGCGCCTTTCACGGCACCTGATGGGTTTTGGAAGTTGGTCATGCGCAAAAACTCGGGTACCTTAGCCAAGGTAGGCATACCAATATCAAAGCTATCGTTCTGTCAGTGGTGCAGCCACGCCACTTGAGTGACTGACTTACATAAATCTCACCACGGCCCCACTAAGCCTGTCTGTCATTTGTCTTGTCATTGTTGTGGGGGTATAAACCCGTACATCATGCTCTGCAACGTACCCAATCCCTGCAAGGATACGCAGCACTCTTTCTGTTCCCGAAATAACTTAGAAGCTTATTCATTGATGGTATTAGGACAACATTACCAGTCAGTACTAGATCTGCCCCTTTTGTGGCTGCTAGGTCCTCCAGCGTGACTGGACCATTCCGCTCACTGAGCGTGGAGAATATACCAAGGTCCATTGCGATGCGAACACACATTACATGAGTGGGCTGGTACGGGTCAGTCTTTCATGCTCATTAATTTTGCGGAAGCTTATTACCGAGTAAGCTAGATTATACACTGCATCTTGCGGCTTCTGATACGCCTCCACCAGCTTCTGCGCCGCCTGGAGGGCAGCCAAGCGATCCGCTTCATCATGACTATTATGAAATGAATCTGCAGCCTGCGCGACCTGTCGAATAAGACCGTCGACCGGCTTCTGAGAGGCGCCATTCGCGTGAGAACTATTCGTAAACATGATGAAGATATGCACGGGTAGCAGCACTACAGGGAACAGGGGAGAAGGGATGCCCTGCCCTTTTACAATAGTTGGGATCCTTATGTCTCTAGTTCAGCTGAGTAGAGCTATAAGACGGCTTTTTCCTCGATATGGAAGGAGGCGCACGACAGTGCGCACCGGAGTGGATCTGTCACCTCGATCAGCGTAGGGGGTGAGCGTCTACCTAATCCAAGATGCGGTACTTTTGGTTGTCAACGGCGGCCCGCAAGACCAGGCTAGACCAACTAGCAGCACTATCATAAAATTAGGGTTGGAGGGCCCCTGTAAAGGCCCGCCCCCGGCTGTCAGTTCCGTCACCTAGAGGCCGTCTTCCCACGCGCCACACGCTCTGGCTGCATTAGCGCCGCGCCGGTGCCTCGCGGAACCGCGATGGATATTCCGAGCCTTGACTCGGGCTCTGCTTTCACTCCTTCAATATAACTGAAGGTGACACTACGCCGCGGCATAAGTCCTGAACGTTGTCGAGGGTCTCTGGAGGTCATTGCGCGCATGGATGCAATACTATAGGCTGCCCAAAATTTGGTCCGCATACACAGGCACGTCGATCTATTGGCTGGACGGGAGATGCCTGTTGAGGGCTGTTATGGCCCGGTTACTTAGCAAAAGCACAGGCCTAAGGGGCTTACAAGTGGGTCTTTTTGACATATGGCAGTCGAACCCTTTCCTATGCTCCGACGGCCAAATCACGGCAAATCCCGAGACATGGCCACCCCGGACGCCATTTGTTGATAGTCGATGTGTCGCTCGACGGCTGAACAAGGAATCTCTTTGTTCCCGTCGACTAGTCTAGTGAATTATCAAATATCGACCATATCGCTCGATCGGGAACATGCCTGATCAATACACCTTTATATTTCAAGAATCCTGTAAAGAGTGCTCGTATCCTCCGAGCAGAAATGAATGATTGACCCCGGCCATCATGCCTGTCGACAAAGGCCCTCAGATAACTGCTGTGTCATGGAGCTTTGGGGGCGTGGCAATCATAGTCGTCACCATCCGACTGTATACCCGGCTGATACTGACTCGCAAAGCAGGCTGGGACGACTTCTTCATTGTTCTTTCCCTGGTAAGCTAACCCTGTAAGAGCCTCCTGTATAATACATCGGCTAACCCAGACGGTGCATGGATGCAGTTGAGCGCTATTGTATGTTCAGGGCTAGCCCAAACCGGCGTGCATTATGGGTTGGGGAAACACATGGCCGACATCTCCAATGCCGAATGGAAAATCGAGGCTTTTAAGTACACCGTCATCGCACCAAACTTCTCCATGGTCAGCACCACAACAGGAAAGCTATCCGTGGCCGTCTTCCTTCTACGCCTGATGGGTCAGACGGCTTCTCCGGCAAAACGATGGTTCCTCTACATCTTCAGTGTAATATCTGTCGCCTGGAATGTGCTGGCTATTGTTGCCATCATGGGGTATTGTCGGCCTGCGGAGAAGATCTGGCGGCCTGAGGTTCCTGGATCCTGCTTCAGCTTGAAATTCCAGCTGATCGCTGGTATATCGCAAGCCTGTGAGTGTCAACACTGCCTATTGACGACACATTGAGCTAAGACTACCGCACAGCATTCAACGCATTCGCCGACCTTACCTTAGCCTTGTTTCCAATCATCATCTTCTGGTCCGTCCAGCTGCCCTGGAAAATGAAGCTAGGTGTTATAGCCGTTATGGGCGCGGGAATCTTGTAAGCACCTCCAATACAGCCAAAGAAACTCTACTCATTCCAAAAAGGGCGGCGGCAGCAACCTTGGTTAAGGCCATTCTGCTAAAAAGTCTTCCGGCCCATTCAGACATAACTTGTGAGCACCAAAATTCCGGGCGGGCCCAGACACTTAAGAAAAAGCTTAACATAGAACTCTAGGGTCTTGGGCCGATATTACAACATGGTACTCGTAAGCCACCCACATCTCCATGGTTCGTTATTAATAAACCAAAACAAAACAAGCTAACACCATCCTCTCCGCACCACTAGAATCGAGGTAAGCAGGAACCTTCATCTCAGCAAAGCTTACCTATACTTTTATCATGCGCTAAGTGGCGCCCATCCGGTTCATCGACAGATGTATGTGATCATCATCTGCGCCACTCTCCCTACCCTCCGACAATCATACAACTTTGCCTTGCATCGAACACGCTATCTGGGTTCATACTACAAAGGCTCCCACTCCGAAGAAGCAGCAGCAGCACGACAGAAGCCTATCCCTCTTGTTCGGCGCCAACCCGATCAGTCGCTTTTCGAGACATTCGCTGACGAAACCGGTCTGGTGAATGTAGCTTCTCACGAAGATAGCCACGTCTCGCCTGAAAGGGGTTCAAATCATACGTCCATCACAAAGACTACGGAGATTGAGGTCCACGAGGAGAGCAAGTCCAAAGGGGATATCGAGAATCCTCACTTCCCGCGAGCGAACCCCTTTAGGACAGATCATCAGTAGAATTGGACGGAGGAGTGACCCGGGGACGACGGTTCGTATGTTAGCTAGATCGATATTTCGTCAATAGAAACGGGTTTTTGAATGTACGACTGTGCTAGTGACTGAATTATTGCTTTTTAGCTGGGATCGGAAATAAATCTCCACGGGAGATTAGGAGGGAGAAGCAGGAGCCAACGCAATCACAAGTCTGAAGGTCAATCAACCATTTATCACCACTGCATCAATTCAACATCCAATCTCGTCTGCAAGAAAAAGTTCTTCTCATACTCATCTGTGTTATGATCAGTCGGAATTGGATATTCACTTGCTATTTTCATCGCCATCTAATAGACAGTCAACCTACTCTCACAGCAAACCCTCCTGATTGATTCCCGAGCTCATGGCATGTCCCCCTACCGCAACCTGCCCTATCATATCTTCATCCCTCGGTACCAAGAGCGCTTCCAAATCTAAAGAAAAACGTGAAAATGGCAGCGAAAGCGAAAGCGAACGCAACGGCCAACATATCGTCAAGTCCACTGCAAACACAAACGCTGAACTGCAACAGACGGGCAAAGTTAAAGAGCTCTTTCAGGACTACGATCATGGTCGATCGCCAGAATCTATCACGGTTGGTGGGGCATATGCGCCCATGAGTGGCTACTTTTTGCCGAGCAACTTGCTTGAAGATCAAAATGGGCCGAGGACGCCGAAAATAATTGCGGAAGGGCTAGCGGTACCGGCTGGGAAAGTGAGAGGAGATGACTCTGAGCCTGTGTCGTCAGCCATGGTTACTTCGAGGATGAAATTGAATCAGGTGCTAGGGAATAGAAGGAAGGTTGGTTGCGCAGCGTCGCTTCCTGCTGGGACGGCTGCGCATCTTGCTGAACATGGTCCTCTTGCTGGAAGGTCTTCTAGGGTTGGTGTGTCCTTCGGGGCTGAGAGGGATCCCGCTTTCGAAGGTTCATACGAGGATGATGATGATGCATGTGCCAACCACGCTGCGAGTGATGGTGATCGCGAAGATAACGAAGTTCTGAAAAATGGCGGCAAGACTGATAATACTGGAGAGTCAGAATACCCCAGGTTCAGTCAAGTTGATTATTTTACGCAACATCAAAGCTTACAAATTCGGACAACCGGGCTTCCCAAGCGACCAAGATACTCTGCGGCTACTGTTGGATTTCCGTGTCCTGTTACCGTATGGGCTTTCATAGATAGGGGTGATCCCGAGCATGGGACGCCAACGGCAGCAGATTTACCCTGGGAGATACGAACATTGCGTAAGACAAACGAGCTGAACACAATTGCGGCTTATCTTGCTAGCATGCGACGAAACCTCAAAGATCTAGACGTCAACTTTACCTTTCACTACCGCCCGGTGTCCTTTATTGACAAAGCAGATCGTGATAAGAAAATTGGGGGATATACCTCCTCTGACAAGCAAAATGCTCATACCGTCGCAGACCTGTATATGCATACAAAGGACGATCGGAGTTGGGGGACGCTCTGCGTTACGAGGGAGCATCATGTCCAGGGAATGGCCTGGCATTACTGGGCAGTTGCTGCTATCTCGCCACCCAAGTCGCCGTTCCAGTCAGTAGATGAGAAAGGGGTATACCTTCTCATGTACGACTCAAGGCCGCTCAAGGAACCGACCAAAAAGCGCGACCGGGATTGCTGGAGGAACTATATGCGTCGTGATCAGTACAAATTACTGGTGGAGATAGGGAAGAATTTCAAGATCCTTGATCTCGCAATCAATCGGAGGCAGCTCTCGGTCGAGGGTGAGGACGATCCCCTGCGTCTGACCCTGTGGTGGCTTTGGAATATTGCCCGGTACGGCGGGGGCTTCTATGAGAGAGACGGCGAGCTGGACGACCCACGCTGGAGGTTGACAGATGCCAGATGGCTCCACTTTGATCAGGATTGGTCGAGCAATGTGCGAACAGCATTGCGGTGGAAAAATGTTAAAGAATGGTTCTCAGAGCAACGGCTGGATGAGCAGCTAACCCACGAGCAAAGGATCCAAGCACATGCGGTAGCTGCCTAGAGGCAATGACCCGTTAATGTGACATAACAAGAATGCAATTGGACCTTTTCTGTCATTCTGCAAATCTAATATTGAGCTTCGGCAACGCGGTTCTGCAGGTGGCTCAGTTTAACGAGCCTCGCGACCCACAAGACCGTCCATATGAGGGATAGAGATGGAGCGGACCTAGGGTGTCAGGCACTTACGGCCGATATGGTCTGGTCCCGAAACCAGTCGTCTAGTTACGCCAGTTGTAGCAACAGAGCCGAGATGAGGCGGAGTAATCTTGATTCGTCCGGGAGTAACCCGGGAAACATACTCAAAGAGGAACCAGATCACCTACAACGGAGCAAAGAATGCAGTGACAAGCCAATCATGATGCTGCTCATCGGCAGCAGTCCGCGATCTGGCCGAGTTAATCTGGCCTTCGATCTTTCAACTTCAATGGGAGATACCCCGAGGTTCGTTTTTGACTTTCGGAATGCGGCGAATTGTGATTGGAGTAGTCGCCACTGCCGCGGACTCGTTGACATCACTGCAAATTCGGCCGACGAGGGCTCTTGTGTTGCTGCAGCGGGCCGATTATCTAGGTTCTTCCGTCTGTGACTTTTCGGAGACGCCCTGAGAATGCAGAAGAAAGTATATAACCCTGTATACATAATGTTACCTCCCGTTACCTTGCTTGGATAAAATTCATACCAACCCAGATGAATGTGTCGATGCAAGCCCGGCTTTGTGCGTCGCATCAGCCTCCATGACGCCACTCAATCATTGGGGCATCACCCTCGTTGTTGTCCCCATTGTGGCATGCGTCGTGACAACTCTCTTCTTTATCCTCCGATTGTATTCTCGGCGACTTGTCCGTCAGAAACTCGATCTCGGGGATGTGTTGATGGGTATAGGGCTTGTCTTCTCATACGGCCTAACCCTCTGTACTGTGATATGTGAGTCACTTCATGACCCCAATTTTAATGCTAATTAGCTTACATGTCACCTAGCGGCATTCAACGGCGTTGGTCACGACTTCTGGTCCCTCTCCAGGCCTACCAGAGGGACGGTCACTTTGGTGAGTATACCAATCTCCCGCAGTGAGGTCCAAGTTCTAATCGAACGGGGTAGCTCTTTTGGTGCTCAACAAAATTCTGGGTATTAAGCCACGTCTTCGTGAAATTCTCCTATATCGTTCTGCTCCGCAAGCTTTTCGGAGCCATCACATATTGGCGGAGGCTTACCACCGCATTGATCGTGTTCACGCTTGCCTGGGGCATTGCTTCCATCTTTGTCAGCATATTCCAATGTTGGCCTGTGCGTTATTTCTGGATCAAACACATTGATGGTAGCTGTATGCAGGGGCAAAATACCTTCTACATTGTGGTTGGGTCGATTGCGCTGGCTGAGAATTTCATCTTGGTCTCAATGCCCTTGGTCGTGGTTTGGAGAATGAAACTGTCGCCCCGACAGAAGGTAGAACTAAGTCTTATCTTTGGATTCGGTGGATTGTATGTCTCCTGCTCTACAATTAATCGAACTGGTTGACTGAATGGCACTGACAGTGAACAGGGTCTGCGCCATCGGCCTTTTGCGTATGGTCACATTCAAGAGATACGTGACGGCAGATGCTACCAGTATGTCAATCCATCTACCCTCGTGGTCAAATGACAAAAGTTGCTAATGCTTTCCAGCAAACGGATATCTCCAGGCTATATGGTCCATCGTCGAACTTGAGTTGGGCATTATCTGTGCTTCGGTGATATTGATGCGCCCGATATTCCACCGCCTCTCGGAATCATTCAAAATGAAATGTTGCACCATGCGTGGCCAAACATCAGAGTCCAGTTACTCTTCAAAAGGCGGGCAGACGATGAGTTCGTTGTCATGGCCGAAGCCGCTGGCCTTTGCAGGGACGGGATCAGTGGATGAGTGGTCTCAAGTGCGTGCTGAAGCATACAGTTCGCGTGTGCGCGGTAGTGTGGATGATAATCCCAGTTTAGCTGGGATCCAGGACATAATGGTCGAGGTTTCGATTGATCGCGAGATGCGAACGGGGAAGGAGATGGTGTAGCACATGACTCCCATCATGTCAGCTGATCCCCTGGCATACTCGATGCAGTCATTATCTTCTCTGTCAATAGTAATCTACTATACTTGGTACATATTTTTATTCCGATAGATATTCTTATGGGGATCCGAAAGGATAGGAGTGCGCGCTATAGCCAGTCCAAAATGAGATGGACTTCGCGGAATATGATGGGGGATTGGTGCCGATTTCGAGCTATATTGGAGAATCCGCAACTAAATCCATCTCCTGTGAGCAAATTTGAGAGATCTCGGGGCATTACTGGTCCTAAAGAAAGATATCTGGTGGAGTGATATGTTGTGCTATGGCAAAGGTCCGACTCATTCCCCTCCTCACGCGCAGTTTCGTCCGTGGACAACCACAACGCCAGCTCCACACCATCCCAGGTTATTCAGCACATGTCATTTGTGTTCCTTGATCGCTGACGTATCTTTTCTTTTTTTTTTTTTTTTTTTTTTTTTTTTTTTTTTTTTTTTTTTTTTTTTTTTTTTTTTTTTTTTTTTTTTTTTTTTTTTTTTTTTTTTTTTTTCCTTTTTTTTTTTTTTTTTTTTTTTTTTTTTTTTTTCTTACTATCTAGGAATACGCTGAATACGATATCTGCCCTCCAAGATGCTGCATTCCATAGGTCACCGCTGCCTCGACCAGCGTATTGCGGATAGACAAGATGCTCATACGATTTCGGATTCATCTCTCCGGCAAGGGCTATCAGACCGGCTGCACATAATGCCCATTTGGTCGGCCATGACTGGCTCATCAACTCGAGTGATCGTCCTAATGATCGGCACCCCGCGCTCCCCATCCTCGGTCCGCGTTCCGTTCAAGATAGTGGCATATGAACCCGTTAGTATGATGATGCAACTACTACGGAGGTATACCACGAGGATTAGGCTGCTGACTATAGGAAACAATGTATAGGAGAATGGTATTACACAAGGACGCGACTTCTATTTTCATGCCGTCGTAGTATATATTGGGCACCACAAACCGACCTTGTTCATGGAGCATCCATCATCATAGATCTATTTCTCTGTCTCAGAATACTTGTGAACCATCTCGGATTCATCCAGCAAGTTACCACCGTTCATCATGCCTCTCGCAAGTGATGCCTTCCAGGCTGGTCTCTCACGTCTCTCACCTTCCCATCTTGAAGTTTCACTTCCCATCACCCTCTCTCTCGCCCTCCTGGCCTACCTTCTCCTCGTCTCCACCCTCCGCTTCCAGCGCGTTCGTATCCTCTACCGCGACTACCCACAGTATGCAACTCGTGCATCCATGTCCCAAATGACCGTGCATGATGCATGGGCGATACAAAAGAACATTTTGCAACTCGAGTTCCCTACCACTGCAGTGAAAGCCCTCCAATTTGCGCTTTTTCGGGTAACGATTCCTCCTTACGTCCCCTCCTCTTGACATACTGACGCCATGTGATCTCCCATACAGACATATGGCATCCCGACCATCTCCGCCCTCCTTCTGCAAACCTCCCAATTTTCAAATCCCGCCACCTCCTTCAAACGCTACGCAGACACGGGTGCCCTCATCGGTCAGTTCGTGACATGCCCTCCTACCTCCTCTCGTGCACGCACCGCCATTGCTCGTACCAAATTCCTACACTCCGGATACCGTGCCAGCGGTAGAATTCTCGAGTCCGACATGCTCTATACCCTGAGCCTATTCGCCACGGAGCCCATCCGCTTTGTGGAACGGTTCGAGTGGAGAGCAATGACGGAATTGGAACGATGTGCTATCGGAACTTACTGGAAGAGCCTGGGCGATGCCCTGGATATCAGTTATGATGCGTTACCGTCGGGAAAGAGCGGGTTTAGTGATGGCCTGCATTTCTTGGAGGAGCTCCGGCAGTGGGGTGACCATTATGAAGAAGAGAACATGAGACCCGACGACCGCAATAGATTGGTTGCTGACAAGACGATGGACGTCATTGTTTATGGATTTCCTAAGTGGGTGAGAGGCGTCGGGGTCAGGTTTGCCACCTGTGTGATGGACAACAGATTGCGAGAAGCGATGATGTGAGCTTTTCTGCATAGCAACATTCTTTGTGATGGCTTCTGCAGAGAGCCATGTGCTGATAGTCTGAATCAGGTATGATGCGCCACCCGTACGGTATCGGAGGATTTTTACGGGGCTGGTAGCCCTACGGAAGTATTTTCTGCGATACCTTGGGCTTCCTCGGCCGATGATTCTCCGACAGGAAGTTTTCAGTGATACTCCCAATGAAGCCGGTCGGTATTATGTTCAAATATGGAAAGGAATGCCGTACTACGTGCAGCCGACCATGTGGAACCGCTGGGGTCCGGCGGCGTGGCTGACGTGGGCCCTCGGCCTTCCACTTCCCGGCGATGATGGCGATACCTATTGCCCAAGGGGTTTCGATGTAGCCGATCTAGGACCGAGGCAATTTGAAGGAAGGGGCCGGAAGTCAGTAGGTGACTATGTAGATGTCTTGGAAAAGGAACTCAAAGGACAGTGTCCCTTTGGCGGGAGGAGTGACCAGCCGGAGATATGTTTGAGTCGTTAGTAAATTCTAGAAAAGACGTGGCCTATGAATGACTTTGCTAGAAGGGACATCAGCTGGGTCGAATACAACGCCTACTTTGCACAAGCAAATCATTCTGTCGTCAGCGTGGGTCTAACCGTTGCGAACCATGGTTCTTTCTTTCACTGTGACAGAGAGCGCTGTCGGCGAGCCTTGACATCAGAAACCTTCCCGCCACACCTTGGGAAGCCCAGAACGTCGTGGACTTTGGTTTATAAACCGGTTGGATGTCCTCGTGGCTATCTCAATTCAGCAGCAACAACCATTGCCCGCCATGTCTTCCATTTCGGCACCGCCAACGCCTCCGCCTGAGCGCCGGCTGCCAGAGGGGATGGATGCGTGGATTCTAGGGGCCGGCATCTCTTCTCTGACTGCAGCTGTGCATCTCATTCAGGAGGCGCATGTGCCCCCTTCTCGTGTTCACATTCTCGAAACTCTCAGTCAAGCTGGCGGCGGGAGTATCAGTACGGGGGACCCCGTCAATGGTTATGATTGCCGCGCTGGGGGAATGCCTCCATTCAACGACGTCTGCATGGAAGAACTTCTCTCTCTGGTCCCCTCCAAGATCAATCCAAACCTGACCGTCCTCGAAGAACTTCACGAGTTCTGGGACACTGAAGCCGTGAAAGATCACCCTCATACTCGCTTCCTCACCCGCCATAAACATGGTCTTGAACGCATTGACGCCAAGCGAGCCAGTCTGGGACTGCGCGACCGCGTGGACCTATTCATGCTGGCCTCAAAGTCGGACAAGTCGCTCGGCCGCTCGCGCATCTGCGACCATTTTAGCAATAGCTTCTTCAAAAGCTATTACTGGATGCTCCTTTCCACGACGTGAGTCATATCTTGGTACCGTTGATTTGCCATGCCTCACTAACAATTCCTCCTAGCTTTGGCATAAAACCTGTTCATAGTGCAGCTGAGTTCCGGCGCTACCTTCAACACTACATGCACGACATCCACGAGATCCACCGTCGCCGGAAGCTAGATGGTGGCCGTTACAATCGTCACGAGTCTATCGTCTCACCAATTGCTCACTTTTTGCGCTCCCGTGGCGTGGACTTCCGTTTTCACACCACAGTCACTGATATCATCACCACCCCTTCAAGCAGCGAACCGCACCGAGTATCGGCCATCAAAGCCATACATGAAAATGAGCCCGAGATGACGATAAATCTAGGGGAGCGGGACATCGTGCTGGTCTCACTAGGCTCGGTTATGTCCGGCTCCACAACGGGCACCAACACGTCCCCACCGTCCTTGGAACTAATGGATATCGAGAAAGACTTGGACGAGAATTGGCTGCTGTGGCTAGAGCTCTCCACCAAAAACCCTATCTTCGGGAACGCATACAACTTCTGCACACGCATGGCGGAGTCCCGCCTCGAATCATTTACCGTCACCTTTTCCTCCCCCGAGTTCTTCAACCGCTTTACCGCCCTCACAGGTGATAAAGTAGGAAGTGGGACTTTCGTCACCCTCAAAGACACTCCCTGGCTCCTGAGCATCAATCTTCCTCAGCAACCTCTCTTCCCGGATCAGCCTGCGCACGTGCAGGTACTCTGGGGCTACGCCATGTACCCCGAGCGGGAGGGCGACTATATCAAGAAACCCATGCTCGAATGTTCCGGACAGGAAATCATGGAGGAGATATTAAAACAGTTGAATTTCCCCGTGCAGGGGATCCTAGACCACTCAATCACCCTCCCATGTGTGGTTCCGCGAGCGGCGGCGACACTGTTGGTCCGCTTGCGCAGCGACCGACCTCCAGTGATTCCCCCGGGAATCGACAATCTCGGGCTCATAGGCCAGTTCGTGGACATCCCGGGAGAGGTGGCCGTGACGATGGATTACGGGGTCCGGTCAGCGCAGACGGCGGTCCGTCAGCTAATGGGGCTGGAAAGGCGCAAGGTATTGTCTAAGCGAAGTTCCGCAATCAATTTAAAAGCTTTGTAGGCTCTTTACGACCGGTTGACCTTGTGGTTTGTCGTTGATGCTTGCGTCATTCAGCATTCCGCCTGGGTTTATGATACATGGATTCTTCGTTATACTGGCTTTCCATGTCATGACACTCTCATCCAGTGCCTCTGTCAAACACCCTGCCGATTCAACAATCTCTTCGTGCGATCACATCGAGGATTCACATTTCAATGTGCATCTCAAAAAGACCAAAAGCACGATTTAATGCATGTACATTTGTTTCCAAACTAGCGTGTTGTGTTTATGAGTTGTTATATTACCCTCTATCATCGATTTAGAATGAGCTTTCTAGCAATTCTACTCATAACTGTCGTAGTCTCGAACAGTCGACGGGACCTGCTCTCCTCTTATATAGGTGGACAGGTGGGATTGAGATCACGAGATGGATGAAGCAAGTGTCCGGATATAGCACTTGTCGTCGATTTCTGTCATAGAGGAATGCAGAAAAATGAGTAGCCTGATCTGATGGCCGAAGCTTCTTTTGCAGGGATGTATCCATCTGGAGTTGTGTATCAAGACATATTTGGTGTAAGGGATACTAGTAAAATCCATACAAGCTTTCCTGCAGACCGCCAATACATAATCCGAGTTTACATAAAAACCAAGATAAACCGATACCAATAACAATGTTTGAAGTAATATGATGTCAATCCGTGCCAATAAAAATGAGTGGATATACCAATACGGCGTACCTATCGCGCCAATAACGGACCCAGATTATATGCACTAATACCGCTGCAAATATAACTCCAATAGAAAAGACAGTCAATGTTCGCCGACCCCGATGATGTTGATCAAATGTCAGTCGACGTCGGATCCATTCCCATGAATACTTTATACAATCGTCTGCTCACGGCTGGACCAATGCGTGAGTCGGTGAGGGCGCCGTTTTTGTTTGCTGATTTCTGAAAGTATAATGGTCAATACCAAGAGAAAGATATAATCGAATAAGGCGAGGAGCCGCAGAGGGATATACCTTGACGTCTTCTAGTAGCCCCGGTCCATGTTTCCTCATCGCGTTCACTAAATCCATCGCACTTGGGTATTGTGTCGCAATGCCATATGCCATTGACGCCGTGACTCGGTTCACCTCCTGGAGCATCTTCACGAATGCGTCGGATCGGTTCTCGCCGGGCTTTACTTGTCCTACATCCATACAAAATGCGGAGTCATTCAAGTCCATCCGCTCCCGGCGATAGGGCACAGTGGAAATATACTCAGTGAAGTTCTTGATCCATTCCGCGGACTCTGCAGGGGAACTTGTATGATGGATTAGGCACGAATGGGTTACCTGTAGATCAAGGAGAGCGTCTTCAACCGTGTCGCTGTCTATAGGTGTGACCGGTTCGGGCTGCTGTTGCTTTCTCCGCGTTGACGGACGGGCAGAGCTGTCTTCATATTGTCGTCGCACAGCGGCTTGGTAGGCTCTGTTTTGTGCATTGTTATTCTTCCGCATTAGACTCGTCAAGCCTTCGATTAAATAGATCGGTCGAGACTTTGGGTAGGCTAATTTCAGGCGCTCAACGTGGTCGTTGATAGTATTTCTTGTTTCGGTTGTTGGGGCCACGATCATATTGATAAAGTCCTGAGCCGCTATCAAGCATAGGACATGCTCCTCTTCATCGCGGATGTGCAGCGCGCACGGCTCCCAGTGACCAAGGGAGTCGTTATATGTAGCTCGAACCTTGCGACGCCACTTGACGATATTCGGAATGGTACTGGGGAAGAATGAGAGATCAACTTTGAGAAGGCGCATAAGCTCCGAGGTCTGATTCCCGAGACTTGTGTCGGTAAATGTAGAGGCGAGGTCAATTAGCATCTCATGCGTCGAATCCTTCTTGTCCACCTTGAGCTTGTTGACCTCAGCAATGTCCGCTGCGAGTTGCTTTTCGCGGGCTTTATCTTCCTTGGCTTTCTGCTTGCGCTCCTTTTCAAGTTGCTTGTCTCGTTCCCTTTGCGCCTTAGCCGCCTCCCGCTCTCTGGCCTTAGCCTCCTTCTCTTCGCTTGTAACCTTGGTTGCCTTGCGCTGGGGTTTCCGCGGTGGCGGCATCTCTTCAACCTCTATATCATCGATCTGATCCTGGGTCCTCCGACCTCTCGACGACCTGGACGCAGATTCGCCATTGCTGCCATGGGAACGGTCTTCAAGCGTTGCTAGTACGTTCGCGGTCCGACTTGAAAATGCGTTTGCTTCGACTCGCTGGGCCACATCAAGTAGATCGTCGACATCCGGGAAATCCAATTGGTCGCTGGACACTTGAATCGCCTCTCTCCGGGATCGGTTGTTACTGCGGGTGTTATTGGAATTGCCAGCATCATCATCATCGAGTGAGATAGTGTTTACAGCACGTGAGCTTATGGCTGGTCTGACCGGTAGATTATGTGTGGGTTCGGGCGCCGATGAGGTGAAGACAATAGGGTCGGATTCTCCATTCCAGGCCGGAGGTTTTGTAGGGGCGGGACCGTCCGAGGATAAGATTATGTCGTCATCGGAGAAGAGGAAGAGCGAGTTCTTAGCCGGTGGAAGTGGTACATCTTTGACGGGCGTGATCTCATGGCTCAAGCGCCGTCGTTTGGCGGGCTGCTCGATGGGGTTATCGTAGGTAAATGCGGAGAGGTCAATCTCGTCGGAGAAGATGGAGTCCGAGGCGGGTACGACAGGCGGGTGAGAATGCGCTCTGCGGATGGAGAGCTGCTCACGTCGCTCTAACGGGGGCGGAGGGGTGGAGGAGAGGAGATCGATGACCTCTGGCATGTTGCCCAAAACACCAAAAGGCCCAACCTCGTGATGGCAACAGCGGGGATGAAGAACAACCGCCGAGCTGGAGATGACGGCACGTGTCGCGGGGAACACGTCGGTGGCGCGGTGTCACGTGAAGCAATTCAATATCTACTGGAAGTTGAAAGTTGATGAATGAGCATCACGAATTGAATATAGTACATGCAAGTCAAGGGTATTATTCTAACAATCAATCAAAGCAGCTTCACAAGGAATGCAGCAGCGAGGGCAAGTACCACTCCCACCAATGCAAGGAAGGTAAGAAGCTGTTGGAAGCCATGGAACGGCCGCTGTTCCTGGCCGAGCATCTCTTTGATTTCCTGCTCGAGTTTCTCGCCCATAGCTGTCAGTGAGAATTCCTTCTCGACACGCTCCTTCGCGGCCACAGACATCCTGTCCAGTTCCTCCTGCTTCATGCCGTACAGCACCTTGTCCATCACCGCAGTCCAATCGGCATCCACCTTGGCGTCACGGAGCCAGCCCGTTTCGCCCTCCACAATGGTCTCCAACGGCCCTCCAGTATTCGACGCAAGCACCGGCACGCCAGCCCGCATCGCCTCAACCGGTACGATCCCGAAGTGTTCGTTAATCGGCGTATACAGGAGCAACTTCGCCTGCAGCAAAAGGGTATCCCGGAACGCCGTCGGCACGGACAGCAGGAAGAGCACATCGATAGAATCGGGGATCGAAAGGGCCGAAATAACCGTCTTAGATGTCGCCGTCTGCAAGCCCAACCCAGTCGCCAATTCATCCAGCTCCCGATGATACTGCACATTCTCCTGGACGCGATTATCGTAACCACCTGCATCAAGCGAACAACCAGTTAGCACACTCCTCTCAACCAGCAAACAACGAGCGCAGCCTCGACGGCCAGACAAAAGGGAATACCCACCAGCAACAACCAATCTAGTCCCCTTCCTCTTCTCCTCCCCAAGACCATGATAGGCACGAATCGCCAACGCCAGGTCCTTCTTCCTCTCAAACCGATTGACACTGAGTAGGATCTTCTTCCCACCCCACAACTTCTCCCCATCCTTCACCACCCCCTCACCCCCATCCCCAGCCTTCGTATCAACACACGGATAAACGACACTCAAATCCCCAACCTTTTCCCTCCCAAACACCCCACTAACAACCCCTCTCGTAAACCTCGAATTCGCAACCACCTTATCCGACGCACTCACAGCCCACCCCTCAAACCAATCAAACGGCACGCGATACAGCCCCTTAAACAGCTGCAGTACCGAACCCCCCTCATCCCGCCTGGCAAGCAACTGATCCGGAAAATGACAATAGAACAAAATCCTCTGCTTCCTGCCGTTCTTCTTCCCACCAAACACCTTCAAAAAGGGCACACAAGCTGGCATCTGATCCACAATAAACACCTCCTCCTCCTCTCCCTCCCCATTATCCCCACTCGTAGTCTCCCCAAACAACAACTCCCACGTCAAATGCAATTGCCTCAGAATAGCCATGAGCACAAACAACCGTCCGCCCACATGCGCCGGGAAGATCGTATTCCCGCGCACCTGCACATCAAGTGTCCCATCGCGCGCCTCCTCAAAACAATGCGATTTATCCCGGTGCGAGGTGTAGATTGTGACGGGGTGGCCTCGCGATTGCAGTGCTAGGGCCACGTCGATGATTAGACGTTCTGCGCCGCCGATGCCGAGATCGGGGTGGATGATGGTAATTTTGGCGGGGGGCATTGTTCCCTTTTCTTTGTATTTATTTGGTTGGGGGATTGTGGGTGAGAGTGTAATTGAGTCGAAGAATTTTGTTTAGGTGGATATTAGCATTGCGGATTGAGAAATTGGTTTAATTGTGGGCGTTTTTGTACAGCTGTGATTTTGTAGTTCAATTAGTTAGCTGCGGAGGTGGTAGCCTGCTTGAAAGAGACACGCGGCCGATTGGGAGATTGCGTCATGTGATGATCTATCTCTTATCGCTGGTCAAGACCGGGGTATGTCTATTTGACCTCTATAACTATTGACTGGGTACTAGGATCCTCAAATTATATTAGTCTGGAGAATACTTGTTACTTTATTGAATGTCACCCTAATTTTAAATTGTTGTAAATCGAGCCACCGTCTAAGCTGGTGAAATGAAGAAACTGATATCAGGCAATCAATCAATCAATATACGTCCCGGCAAATAACAACTTCACACCGACGACAATTCTAACTAGAAGAGCAAAGCAGCGACAATGGCTGCTCATGCGGGAAAGGGATGGGAATAAAAACATTCTCAGAGAACACATGTATCAATGTATGGTCAGGGTAGTCGGAAAATGTACAATCACAGGCCATTCTTGTAAGTCATAAAGTCAGGATTCATCAAATAGGCGGAGCAGAAGTCAAGGGGATCAGGTGCACGAGGGAAGGAAGAAAATAAAAAAGAGGTGAAAGGAAATACACAGAAGGTAAATAAGCGGTGGTATCAACGAGGCGAAGAAAGGGGGAATCGACGTTGAGTGGGTTCATAATACAAGAGAAGACTGAACATC